CTGAAATAATGGCAAATTAATCAGAGTACAACTTTGATCAGATTTTATTCAGTGAATTCTTTCATAACTGAACGACTCTTTTAACAACAGCAAACTGTCACGTGACTTTTTTTCATTGTTCTATTGTAGTTCCATATTTCTCAGAATTCAATATTGAGAGTATGAATACTCAGCAAAAGGATGATACCCTTCCACAATGCATATTAATAGAATAGTATCACGTAAAGCATTTCTCAAAGAGATAAATGAGTAGTAAGTATAAGATTGGGCTTAGCAATTAATAAAAGACAGTTATAGTGGATGCCCAAGTCAGATTATTATTTCTGATATCGAAACTTATCACAGTTCAATTAAAGTATAGTTTTCAATTTATATTGCTAATAATAAGAACAATTGCATTAAAGTCATATCAATGTGTTCAAAACACACATTTAACAGAAAACCAATCCAGGGAACTAGTTACAGTTATTCAACAATACTAGCATTGAACTACTATTATTTACCTTGAATGAGAAGTTCATCTACCATATGATTTCTTTAGGATATTCACAAGATACTTGGTTTTTTGCTTGAATCTGTAATGTGTGCTAGTCAAAATTTTCAAAACTCTAAGTCATTCCTTCATATTTGCTTGTTAGTTTTGTTTATTTTTCATTTTTTTCTGAAATAACCTTCGATGAACTTAGTTTCTGCAATTAACAGAATTGGATTGTAATTCATCCACATGTATATGAAACAAATAAGAAAAACCAAACCGAAATAATTCACATAGATGATCACGAAGTTTAAAATTAGAGCCGTAGCACTTATGAGAGCTACATCATAACCCGCTAGATACCATCGAGAATCCAAAAAGTGTTATTCCAAACCTAAAAAATTAAAACGAAACATATTCAATTAAATTGACAACAACATTTGGGTGATGGTTAGTTAAGAGCAGACCATAGCTAAATAGTTCTTTGCATATTAGCCCCTGTCACAATCAATTAGCTTAACGTGATTTGATCCCCATTTGAAACAAGTGAATTATAAAACCTAATTTCCGTGCATATGCTTCATCGTTTGTTCCCAATTAAGATTTATTAAGTTTTTGACCTTAAATTACAGCTTAAAAGGTGAAGGACAATTTGATTAAGTAAATCATTACCAGGTATAATGATTGTCTAAGGAGTGCTGAATTCACTTGACTTCGATATGCAGAAATCCGGATGATTTCGAAAGGGGAAATGAGAAAAGAATAAATGTAGGTAATAATGTCCGTCGGAATTTATCGATCTTAGTGAATACCAGAAACATATTTTTCTGAAACCAGCAACAATTAATAATTGGTGAATCTGCAAATGCTTTAACAAAGAGCTTGTTTATTAATCAGCACATCAAAGACAGGTATTGTATACCTTCATGAAATGATCTGCTTGCGCCATAGACATTGATCTGCATTAGATAAACAGTCATTATGATACATGACATTGGATTAGCGCTTCTTTACAAATCAATATCTTGTTTTTCCAATTCATCCATCTTCGAACAAACTTATTAACAGTATCATGGATTTATGATAGACGTGCATCGTGGTGCAATGACAGTTCGGAATGAGTTATCATTTAGCTATTTTACATTGTGCTGTAAATTTCATTCAGAAATATGATATCAATATCACCAAGTGATTTCAACCTTAGAAGATTATTTGTTTAAGGACTAACTTTTAGTTAAACGTTCACGAACAACTGAAATAAAACCAAAGTTTACTGAATTAATAAGTTTCATTTATCCAGTAACAACTAGAACTGGATATTGTTGCCAGAATTACTTCAAATTAGATAATCCAAACAAGTGGCATATGGCGCTATAGTATAGGTGCATAGCTTGCAAGGCAACGAAAGAAAAATTCATTCTTTTTCTACCACGGGACCTCTTTCAAAGGATTTGAGCACAACCATTTTCATTATCTTTTGCTATGACAATTGGCCTTAATATACTTGCTATCATATTTTGCGTTAAGACTTGCTAAGGCCGGAGAAGTCAATATAATCTTTCCTAAATTGTTGTTTAATATCCAATTGTGATATCTCAGTTCACTTTGGTTACGAACAAAGATTAACAAGTACTCCTCTGACGTGTTTTAAATACAATTCGGATAAAGCCAATCCTTTTTGTTTGGAATTAAAAATTCTCGAATTTTATTCATTCTTAGTATTTGAGGCTATTCCAATTTAATCAGAATCACATTAGTCGTTTTCAGCAGCAATAATTCCAAAATCTTAATGTGATCCGAAACAAAGAGGGAAAAAAACGAGCAACTCTATTAAATAGTAGTTTATTTCTAGATTCACAACATATTATATATGTTGAATGGTAAGTTCACTAACCAAAAAAAAAAAAATGATTATTATGATTAACAGAACCAGGAAGAAAAAAAAAATCTTGGAATTGATATCTGCAAAAAATATAAAATAAATCAATGTTAGTAAGAAAAAAAGAAAAGACACAGCAATTTATGTGCAACAAAAGTCTAAGCAGTTTTAAAATTATATTGAGAGGCAACTTATGCCAAAGAACATAACCCATAAACTTATATGAAGTATCGATGTTGGATTCCAAAAATAGAAAAATATCATAATCATAGTTAGCTTCTTTTCCTCTCTGCAGCAGAACAACGTCAATCGGTGCCATTGTAAATTTCATACTGCTTTCGAAAGTGGTTTTGGGGGTTCAACTAATTAATCTAGGGAAATTGATAACAATGAGGAAAATACTGTAGCTTTTTTTTTTTTTGAGAGTCAATAAGAACATCGTTGCTCTTTTTGCTTTTACCATGAAATTATCAATTCATTCATGCCTCAAGAACTCCACTTTTGCACTTTTGATTTATAGTATCAAAAACAAGCTACCAAGAAAGTTGCTCTCCTTTGTTTCTGAGTCGCAAAAATTCTGGGTTTTCTAGTTAAATTAGGTGATCGAATTTTTTGGTATTTTAATTTAGTAGGCTCTTACTTTTCAGCATTACTACATTCTATTTTAAGGTCTGCTGTATATGTGAGTCTCTTTGCTAAATCTGTTTTGCCAGACAAATAGAAATGTGCTACACGATAATGTAATCCTACTAAATTTTTCATTATTCTGAGTGACAGACACCTATAAGAGAATCAGTAGAATTCTTGCTTACTGAATTAATTTTGGCTGAAAAAGAAAAGCTACTTTGCGTAGGGTCTACATTACGAGATTTCAGTTTTCATCGCATTAGAGTTGCGTAATCCTAAGAAAGATTCGAATGAATGGAGAAGTTCATGTTGAGTGTAAAATAAAACATAGCACAATGTTAAGAGATACTATTTCTTTCTTTTTCATTATCTATAGACTGTGCTCATACTCCCTTATCTTGTAGTAAGAAATTAATTAGAAATTTAGGAAGGATAACGCATATCTGTAAGAAATGCAGAAGAAAAAAATTAATTTGAGATTTAATACAACCATCTTAACGGTATTTCATTACCATCAGATTTAAGAAAGGATTATTACGATTTACTCGTGTTCCTAAAGGCAGCCTTCAGCTCTTGTCTCCAATTTTTATTAACCATTTACTATTTTTTGGCTTTGTTTGTTTTTTTTCTTCCTTTTTTTCTTTTTGTTATAAAGTATTTGAACAGCATTTTATGTGTTCAAAAAGGAAATGATGCCTTACATATTTGTAAACCTTTTTTGTATTTATAAAAATCGAGAGTTTAGAATGCCCTTTCATTTAAATGTTTTTGTTCTAGTAGAATCTTTTCGAATTAATATAGCCTTTCATTCATTTGTCTTATCTTGTTTTTTGCTATAGTAGCAATTAAGACACTACTGTACTGTATGTATGCATGCCAAAATTGTAAATTACAAACCATTTATAATTGCATTATGTCGGTCAATTTAGTAATTACTGATATGTCCTAGAACCTATTGAAATTAATGGAACGAGTTACTTATATTGCACTATTATTATTTCTTGAAATTCTCGGCTTGTACTAAGGCCCAACAATTGAAGTCATTAATGCCTAGTATACCTTGCAGAAGAATAACCACATGAAAGTTAGATAAGAATACTAGAATAAACTACAGTACCAGATATAACTTGGTTTACAGCTTTGTATAAACAATCGAAAGCTCAAACACTGGCTTATATACGTGTTATAAACAGTGACTTCGAATTCCAATCGTAGTTCCGTAAAATACGGTTCTGTTGTACTGTGTTAGATTACTTTTCGATGGTCATTTGTTTACCTTTAAGTTTAATGCGTCATCATATGCTTGCCATTAATGATTGTTCTTCATCACCTTGACAAAGATTTTAACTACCTAAACGTCTTGACTCAACTCTAATGCTATAATTCACTATTAATAGCATTTGTTCATCAAAGGAGAAAATATGCTAGTATATATTTGAGAGTAGTTTCCATTCTAGTTCATGTATAATGATAAGTAACTTTATCTTATCAAACTCAAACAAGATTCAAAAGAGAATACCCAAAAGTTGGTCGGTATGATTGATTTACGATATACATAGCTCTATGCAGCATTCTCAAAAGCACAACACAGAAACCGCTGAAGAAACAACAATGTAGTGAATGTTCCATGTTTCCTCCCATAGTGACAATCACTACAAGATTTCATTAAAATAAAATCTCTAAGAGAGTGCTGTAGCACTTCAAATACGTCCTCACCATCCGTGAAGAGTTACTGAAAATATGTTAAAATTTCAATGTTCGCCTTTTCTTCACTAGTGAGATTGTTAATGTCATCGCAATATCTTTTACAGCCTGATAGTCATGATAAGTCATTATGGTTTAGACTGATGAGATGCACTAAATGTAAGCAGGAGTGAGTATCGGCTAACAGATCTATGCAACTGTAAATTGATAATTCATATCCACACTTCATTGCCTATCCGGTAACACCATACTACCTAAAAATCTATACACACACACTCACGATATCATATATACACGTTTGATCTTGTGTGAGTAATGACTGCGAATAAGATTAAAATCGCACAAGTTGTTTGTGCATGTATTTGGTGTCTTTTCTCAGCTGGTATCATCTTTGGATTTGCAGCTTTAAAACCTGTGCTTCTACAAGAAGGTATATACAGTGACTTATGCTTAAAGCAAGATGATCTGGAGGTTCCTGAACCATGCACTAAACAGGATTTGAAACTAAACTCAATGTTTGCCATTAGCGCGGCTGTTACCAACATGATGGCATTACCGATTGGAAACATACTAGATAATTATGGACCACGCGTAACAGGTATCATTGGTGCAGGTGTCTTGCTCAGTGCAGCATTTTGCTTTATTGGGAGCAATAGTTTACAAAGACTATTTGATCCGTACATGACTGGCTACATACTGTTAGCAATGGGTGGACCCTTTGTTTTTATCTCTAGTTTCCAGCTAGCAAATACGTTCCCTAAAAGATCTGGTTCAATCCTTGCTTTATTAACTGGTGCGTTTGATTCATCATCAGCACTGTTTTTATTCTACAGGTTATTTTACCAGAATATTACTGCTGTTAGTTTAAAAAGGTTCTTCACCATATATTTATGCGTGCCAGTATTCATATTTCTTTGTCAATTGACTATCATGCCCTCTCAATCTTATAAAAGTGTGGCAGCCATGACCAAAATGGCAGTGGAGCATCTGGATGAAGAGGGTCAATTATTGAGTGGAGATGACGGGTCTACCCTCATAACAGATCCAAATGATAGAAGGGCACTTCTTATAGAGTCTGAACATGAAATTGAGCAGAACATGACCGATGCCAGTGAAATTAGAAGAAAGTCGGTGCTAGAAGTATATGTAGAGCACAATCTGCAAGAAAAATCGGGAGGTGTGTTTGGTATCTTACATCACTACTCTTTACGTGAGCAACTAAAGAGTCTATGGTTTCTTCTGATTCTAATATTTTCTATTGTAACTATGCTAAGGATAAATTACTTCATTGCCACCATTAGGTCGCAAGAGGAATATCTATTGGGTGATATTGAAGATGCAGCTAAGCTAAATGGTATTTTTGACTTATTACTTCCTCTGGGGGGTGTTGTATCAATACCGTTCATTGGATATTTATTAGACAGCTTGGATTCTTTGAGTACATTATCTATTGTTTGTGCGATGTCTTTATTCATCAGCATGGTAGGACTATTGAAAAGCTCATACTGGCTTCACCTAATTGGGATAATAGTATTTGTAGTATTCAGACCATTCTACTATACTGTAGTGTCAGATATCACATCCAAGGTCTTTGGTTTTGATAACTTTGGAACAGTATATGGGTTAATGATTTGTATTTGTGGTATTTGTAACATAGGCCAAAAATGGTTGGATGAGCTAACACACACCTATTTCAACATGGACCCAACACCAGTTAATATGGCACTATTTATTGCTACCTTAATTTCATGCTTCAGTATGCTATGCTACGTTTATAAGCAAACGGAAAATAGAGGTCCAGAAGACAATGAATGTCAGGAGCAACTTTTACCAAGTGATGGACAATAGAATTTCCATAAAAAAAAAAAAAAAATGTACACAATGCATATTTATTTATGGAGTTAAATTTATCATAGTTACTCTAATTCAAATCTCTGTAATATTCAGGGTTTTCAAGCTTTAAACCAACTGCTTCTTGTTTTAAATCCAACCAGGTAACCGAATCGAATTCTGAGCTAGTTGTGTTTTCATTCAAATTTGTATCTTCTGTGGAGATAATGGATACTGCGTCGTAACCACCGGCACCAGGCACAACTCCTCCAATAACACCATTTAACTGTGAACAGGCATCTAGTAGTTTGGTTTGAGCTTCTGGTTCAATATCAGCACCAGACTCTTGCGTAATTAGTCTGAAATTTTCCCTTATTTTTGCAATTGCCGCTTTCAGATGAAGTATTTCCTTGAACTGTTGGTCATTTCCAGTATTTATTGCCTTCAAGAGACCTTTGTACTTGTCATTATCAGCTTTTTGTAATTGCTGTAATTGAAGCATCGCATCTATGAAACTCAAATTTGCCTCATTGATGTTGTTGTATATCTCTTCGCTTCTAGGGTAGTTATTAGTGTACCATAGTTTCACTTTTTTCACCAACTCAACAGTCTCTGAACCACCCCTTACATCACCCAACACAAGTCTCAACCCTGCTGGCAAGACAATGGATTCATGTTTTATATTCCAATTTGATTTTATTAATTTACTCATTTCGAATCTGTACTCTCTGTAGTTATCACTTGATAAAGTAGGTAGTCTAGATATTAAATCAGGTTGAAATCTTCTGTACTTAATTGAACCATAAACAGCGGCTGCAACATCAAACCCACTGCCGATCTTGCCCTGTGCCTGACAATGTGATAATTGTGATAGATTATGGATGAGATCAAGTTCATCGAGCAATGGATTGTCATTTAGGAAACAACTCAATAATGCAGTGGTACAGACCACAACTAGACCAGCAGATGATCCCAATCCTGTTTTTGGAACTTGGGCTATACCGGTCTTATGAAACTGAAAGCTTTTCAAGCCATTGGATCTAGTGATGCTATTGTTTTGACTATGATAACCTGCATCTGAGTAAATATCTATCTTGATAACATTTGGAAACGTTTTACCACTAGCAGGTCCTATAAAACTCAAAACATTTAACACAGTCTTCTCTAAAAATGGATTGCGATTCCCCGAAACTTCGACTGGCACATAACCATTTTGAGAATTAACACTATAATTCCAACACTCATTATTAAATTGAGGACTGGTAAACTGAATGTGGAAGCCATCTAAAGTTTCGTTATACTTCTCTTCCGAAACAACAGCATGCATTCGCGATGATACAGCTACAACGTAGGAGTCATATTTTGGATCCAAAACAAGATAGCCACCAACCAGTAAAACTTTACCTGGAGCACTGTATGCTCTTTCCATGTTTTTCATGGTTGCTCCAATGATATATTTTGTCTCAATTGGTTTGAATCAAATAAATTACTATTCTTTTGTATTCACTTTTTTCAGTTACTAGTAAACAGCATTTTTTTTGAAGGAAATTGTTTAAGTCCGATATTCCTCAACTACAATGAAGACAATACGACGATAATGCCATAGTTATGAAAATAATGACTAAGAGAAGATTTGGATATATATATATATATATGACTGCTTGTAAATTCCTAAATGAATTATATTTACATAAAAAAAATTAAAGTGTCTTAATATCTTCATTTTTTCTGAGAACGGGTATACATTCTTCTAGTGCTTCGAGTAGTTCTTTTGTTGGATTTCGATTTTGAAGTCCCCTCCCCAATAGAAGGGTTTACATTACTCTCTGCTTTACTACTTCTACTATTTCTTTTAGAATTCACACGTTTGGGGGAATTAGTAATCGATTTTGATCTAGTTCTAGACTTAGTATTCCTTTTTTTCTTTTTTACTTGTTTGGGAGAGGATATTACTATTTTGTTGGTATCTTCATTGTTTTCACCTGAGTGCATCTCTTTAAGTTCTTCAATTTTAGCGGTTGTATCCAATGGCTCAGGTTTATGATCGATATATTTAAGTTCGGAATCAACTTCTCTATGAACTCTAACAGCAATTGGTTCAGAAGAGTTGTTGATATCATCTTTCAGATTAAGTTCCTCAGTTTTTCTATTAGCATTAGTAACATTTTCACCATTTACTATTTTCTCCGGTTCTTCAGAACTTCCTGCAGCTCCTCTGTTTTCTCCACTTTCTTTAATGTTTTCGGTTATACCATTAAGATCAGTAGAATCTGATTGACCGATTGATTCTTCCGTAATATTACTTGTTACTGCTGGCTGATCACCCTCCACTTGATCAATAACTTTAGGTTCAATGCCTTGATCACCACCATTATCAAATGTAGAGTTAATATCGTTGTTCGCAATAGTACCGGATATATCAGTTTCTCCCTCAATGTCTGATTCAAATGGCGTTGTAATACCACTATCCGTTATTGAGATATCGTTAAGAACCACATTTGTATCACTTTCCAAGTTGTATAATTTGCTCGGATTCAGTGGAATTTCAATACTGGAATCCGATTCAATCAAATCAGGTTCTTCTTCAATATCATCTAGTTGGGTATCGTCAATATCAATCGAGTCATACTGGCCACTAATTCCATTAGATAACCTCTCCAGTATCTGTAATTGTTTCAAAATCACATTGTTATTACCATTTTCTTTGTTATCCTCAGTATGCTCTATACTTGATGGGATATCTGTCGAATTAAGGTCATTATTGATGGAATCATCACTTGATTTTATCATGTCATTATTTGATGTAGTACGTGACTCTTTATCCGATGAGAGATAATTTTCCACCTCACTTTCAGTCTGGTACTGGTCCGGCGTCATTATTTCATCGGCGGTGGTATTATCAGTAATATCTATAAGCTCTTCAAGCTCCATTTTCTTAAAAAATAACTTAGCAACTGAAAATACCGACTTCACGGTAGAGAAAAAACTACTTGAGGTGGAAGATAATTTTCTTAGCTTTAATGGGCTCCTGTCATGGTATTCATTGCTCATTATGAAGTCCGGATCCTCTCTCTTCCTCTTTAAACTATTGGTTGAACTTACAGTTTTTTCATCCACAGTGTCCAGTTTGATATTATCCCCAGAATTAGAAGTTTCCTTTTCCAAAAACAGATCAGACTTATTAAATTCTTCAATAACAAGAGTATCCTTCGATGTGATATTATCTTCCAAGTTATTAGGTAATTCCATATTTGATAGAACAGATATACTACGAAAATCTTCTACTCCAGAATCACTGTTGATTGAATTCTTATATCTTGAATCAATCTCATTTTCAACCCTTTGTGTTTCTGGTACTTCCTCAAATTTTGTGTTATCCTCTATATCAGAATTGCTTCCAGATCTGGAACCTTCTAGATCTAGTTTCTGATCAATCACAGGAGATGGAGAATTAGAGTCGATATTTATCTCTAAATTTGCGGATAGTTGTCCTCTCTCTGAAGTCTTTAAGGATGAGAAATCTTCTATGTGAATGCTTCTACTAATCTCCTGTTGGTTGCTTTCTTCTAGTGGTTGAGGAGATAGACTCATGTATGGTTTATTTTGTTTAGCCAATTCAGTGTCATTCAATATTTCAAGTTCATTAGCCATATTAAAATGTTTAGAAGACATTTCAGGTATGGAAGTGGTGTGCAATTCAGAGTTTTCAGGTATTGATTCTTCCTCTACACCAACTTCCACATTGAGGTCCAAGTCTTGACCACTGTGATTGTCTTCCTTAATTTGTAGACCACTGTTTATGGAGTTATCATATAATGGGGAATACTTTAGTAAGTTTTCTGTATTTCCAATGGAACTAGAATGTTCAATATGGCTCACATTGCCTTCTTCCTGGGATATGCATTTAGTTTGAGAATGACTCTGATCGCTTGCAGTTTCGGAGTTATGATTAAAAAGATGAGTGCGATCAAACTCTGTGTATACTTGGGGTTTCTGAATTTTTAATCCTTCAGTACTGTCGCCAGCATTTGACTCATTGCCGCTATCAGATTGAATGTATTTGGAAAAATCTAAATCTCTAATGCTATCAGTTTCCAGAGTAAAAGGGTTGGTAGAAAATGCCGAAGTATAAACAATAGGGTTTTCAGATTCATTCAATTCATCCTCACTACTGGAACTGTATTCGGAATCGTGAATCAACAAAGCCACTAACTTTTTATCCTTCTCTTTCTTATCATCTGAGTTAAAAGAGCTTTCTGTATTGACATTATCAGTAATTGTCGAATTGTCTTGCTCAATATCATCTTTATGTTCATTTTCTTCCCCTAATTCTTCATTTACTGTAATATTTGAAGTATTTTTAGCTTCTTTGTAGTTCAGCAAGTTTTCTTTTGTATGATTTGATGCACTCTGAGAATTTATATTATATTCATGAATGAAAGAATGATATTGAGTTTGATCATTATCTGAGTCTTCATCATTCGTAGAATTACTGGAATTACGGTCCGAATCGATTTCATCTGTCTTAGTTAATTCTATTCGTTCACCATTATTGCTAGCCTGGATTTCATTTAACGCATCATTTGCAATACTTTGGAAATCTGCCATTTCATGTAAAAATTGTTTAAGTTCATCTTCTTTTTGCGACATCTTCTCATAGTCAATTGCTTCGGTTCGATATTGGTGATCACTGGCCATAGGAAAGTCCTTTCCATCCTCTAGATCTGAATAAGCTCTATTTTGGTCAATATACTCCATGTTTTCAATCCTATTGTCATCTTCTGTAGCGGACTCTGAGTTACTGTTATCACTTACAAGTTCACCGTATTCATGGTTATCATCAATATCACTGTCAAATTTGTCAGCTACATGTTGATCACTACCATCTTCACTATCAATAATCAGTTCAACATTCGAATATTTGTCTGATGGGTGGTCAAATTCTTGTTCACTTGATGAATGGACATTGTCATTTAACAAACTTTTATTCCTGGGTTGCATATATTGTTTGAAGTCTATGTTGTTTTGTGATGTGTCAGAATCTCCGTTATCAGACACGCTCATATTTTCTTCAGAAATGTCTTGGTTGTCATGATCATCTTCATTTTGTATATCTGTATGATTTTCTGTATGGAAATGGTAACTCAGTGGATCATGTAGTATGTCAGTTAGATGTTTAGAATCTTCATACTCTAGTAGTCGTTCGCTATTGACCTTTAGAGCTCTATTGTCATTACTTCCAAACGAGGGACCCTCTTCTTCAAACAAATCATCATACATATTATGATCATTATCTTCATTATTCACATGTTGGTGTCCATCATTACTTTGAGCTTCATAATCAGATGGTAATTTCTTTTGATCTGTATCCGATTGAAACTCAGTAGACTGAATGTCTTCTGCATATTCAAAAGATTCATTAACTACCGATTCGTCATCTGTAAGTATAACTATTGACTCATTGCTTGCTTGGGTTTCCAACTTTTTAATTGGAGCGTCGCCTTCAACATCATTAATTACACCTTCATAATCATCGCAATCTTCGGAATGATATCCCATCTCCATTTCAGATTCACTTCCGGATCTACCGTCATTGATGTTTCCTTGTTCGCCGTCATCTTCAAGTAAATTTTGAGAGTCGTTCTCATCTGGTATTACAACATCAGAGCTATCAAATGCAACATGATTTTCTGTGTTTGTTGTTCTGGTAAGGGTATCATAATCTGTAGTTAATATCTTATCTACAATCTTATTCCTTATCGTTTCCCTTCTTTGAAACTCTCGTATCTCAGTGAAGGCTTTTTTGTCATCTTCGGAAGCAGACTTCAAAATCTGTCGGCCCTTCGAAATCAAGGACTTTATATACTGAAGGGACTTTCTATGATCATCAAGTGTAGATATATTCAATACCGGTGTTTCATTGTATCGGCCCCCAAAAAGCGCTCTCCCACTAACATGTCTCGTTCTTAGCTTAGTACCACTTAATGGCCTCATCCTACTACCTAAACCTCTTGATGGAACTTTCAACTCTAATTTTCTACTGGGAGATCCTGCATCAGGTACCCTTTCTTCTTCCTGATCACCCATATTTGCACCGTCTTAGTGTGTTTCTCTCTCTTTTTCTGTCTCTCTTGCTCTCAAGTATCTTACTACACTTTAGCCAACAACAAAAATATCAATACCCTCACAACTACCATATAAATTAACCGGTGCTGACGAAGAGAGATGTTTATCATAATTTTAAGGCATGAGTTGCAATAATTGCTGCTATTTGTGTTCTTGTTGAGTTGTGTGAATTGCATTATTATTATTTCGTTCCTGGAGATTTTCCCATTTGAAATTCAGGACTTGAACTGTTAACGCGAAGGCTGATCCGATGCACTACCAGCTGTGATGAGCCTGGGTGATAACTTGCAATCATCAATAAGTATAGCAGATGTATTAATCTGGATTAATTATATTACTCTACTAGTACCAGTGGTGACTTGATAATAGCCGTGTTCCTTGATATTCAAGATAGGGTTTTTCTGAGGATAATAGCCTTGTTTAGGGTGGGAAGATAGTTGACACTCAATGTCTGTGGAATCGGTAGAGATGGAGCATTGGCCCGTTTGTTTAAGTTATTTTGATCCATTTGATGTTTTTGGTGCGGTGCAGAGCGAGTTTTCTAGTATATTTCCCCTGGATGTAGTACGATGGAAGACAAATGATGGATCTGTTCGAACAATAGAAAACTTGCCAGTGAAATTGACTGTTGAGGATGATCAGCAACAGAGTAATATCAAGTTTGAAGAACCTTATATTAGATTGATTGTTGTGACGTGCATCTCAGTTGATGAGTATAGAACAAAAGTACGGCCTCTACTTCACCAATGGCTGCCGACCGTTCACGATAGCAGTGGCCCTTTTACTATGCCACTAATTCTTCTCTATGCTAATTCAGAAGTCACAGATACTAGCATATTCAAAACAATGTCTGTAATGGATAAGCTGAACAAAGATTTTCCGGACGTTCAAGCTCTGGAATTAAAATCAGTATACAAATCTCCTGCTGAAAAGACAGAATTTTGGTTAAAGCTGAGTAATAAATTGAAAGCATTTCTAATCGAGGTTTTTCAACATAGGATACGTATTTTAGAATCGAAACTAACAAGACAGTTCACTGAAAATGAAGAACTGGAAATACGGGAACAATTATTCAAAATATATGCCGAGTTTAGGAGGACCGAGGATGCAAAAGGACAATTGTCTATGATTAAGAACCTAATGGATAAAAGAATAAAAAATGTAGAAACTGGGAAATTAGAAGTTCCCTTTGAAATGTCTCTTTCCGGAAAAGAATCTACAAAACAGTTACTGTCCGCTAAAAACCTAACTAAATTCACTTTATATCGATCAAATTTCTTAAGAGAGCTCATGCTATTGCAATTGTATGATGATGATATATCCAAATACACACAGATATATGAGCTAACAAAAGATTTTATTCGTAAAATTGAAAAGGAATTTGCAGCTGATACAAGGCTCCTTGAATTCAAATTTGACTTCTGTAAAAAAATGCTGGATACAATTCCATCGACATCCAGATCAGAATGGCTTCCTACTATAAATGAGATTAAGGCTGATATCTATTTGATTAAAAGAGATGCATGGATTCATGGGTTAATGATTAATCATGGCTATCAGTTACTACAAAAGAACTACTCGAATAAGACTCTGTATAGCTTTGGTCTTGACAAAGAGGCCGCAGAGAGTGAAGATGCTTTTCAAAAATCATTTGCCCTTCAAACTAAAGAACTATTGGCATTGTATAGTCAATGTAATGGAAAGAGACAACGGATGGCTGATATTTTATCGTTAGAGGTCGGATTATTGCATTATCAAAGAAAAGAGTATACCAAAGCTGTTCAGTTACTAATGTCGTGTAATGAATATTATACAGAGTCAAAATGGACTGTTATCGGCGTCAATATTTTAGAAATATTTGTTGATTCGTTAACTAACTGTGTTGGCATTGAGACAATTGATTTTGATGGTGAGAGCGTGCCTGTTTCAACTATACTAAGGAATTCTTATTTAAACCTTATTAAATATTATAACAGTACCAGTGAGAAAAAGATATTTTGGAACAAATTTTTGGAATTAAAGAACGATGACATGACTGAGCTAGTGTATCCAAGTGAGGATTTAATTGACTTCTCTGTGGATGGAAATGTTTTTCTGCATGCTCCTAACGTGTACGGGATTAATGTAGAAATTAAAGGGAACGGATTTCCTGATGTAATTGATGTTACACAATTTAAGATTACAATGAAAAATTCCAATAATGAGTTCAACGAATTTATTGAGAGGGATTTCCTGTTAGAAATGGAGTCCAAAAGTTATTGTTTGAAATCAAAAAACATAACATTTGGCGAATTTGGTATTGAATCGATTGAACTATGTATTGGGTCAACAACAATAATAAAGGCATTTGAAGACACAACAAACAAAGTTATTATCGAACCATTGTTTCACGAAAACAATGTGTGGTTTGAGATAAGAGAAAGTAATGAATTAAAACTAGGGAAATACGAGCTTGAAATAGCTGACTTTAATTTTGGCCATACTAATGACTTGGAACTATACTTGGAGGTCGGAAAGTCTGAGGTAACTCAAATTAATCCCGTAAGCTTTGATTCAGAAATTGATCAAGCAACAATCACTTTAGATAAGGAATCTCTTTCCGAAAGTAAAAAGATCAAATACTTTTTTAATGAACAGCAGGAGCAGTTTACGCTATTTGCCAAATTGACTTATTCGTTGCAGAAAAACCCAGATGTCATTTATTCTATATCAAGAGTTATCCATATTGACCACTATTTGCCGTTATCAGTATCAGTGGAAGACATTTTCAAAAAAGACAAATTTTTTTTTAAATTTCTTCTTAATTCATCTGTTAAGGAAGAACCGGTGTTGATATTCGGTTCAGAATTACAGTGTTTTGAGCTGGAACATTCATATGAATTATCTGGCCCTTTTATTCCTGACTCACCTTTGACCATCACAGGTACAGGAGGTGAAAGCTGCATAAATTGTTTCCAAATTAGTACAAAACAAACTTTTAACAACAGCGATATTTTTCATTTGATGATTAAATATTGTACTTTGAGGGACTTTTTGAAATCTTATGTAACAGACGCTGTCTTATTGGAGGGAGATGTAGAATTCTTCCAAAAATACGAGACTTGGAAGTTGTATTGGCTGTCGAATATTTTGTCAGAACTTGAATTTGATTACAATTTATACGAAAAGAATATGATACTGAAGCTGAATGGCCAGAGTTTGGATATATTTAAAGTTGGTGTACGGTTGAAATACATGAAAGTTGACCCAGTTGTGAGAAGCAAATTTTTGTCCTGTTTGAAAAGGTTATCAGAAGGAATTGACCTAACCGAGATGGAAATTAACGAATACATGAAAGTCTTTAATGTGAAAACTTTAACAGTTCCGGTACAACTCCCAGAGCTTGAAAGATTTTATGAAGTATCATTTGCAAGGCAGGATTGTAAAAGACACCAAACTCCAAATAAGGTAGGTGAACCTTTGGCTTTTCATATTAAGATAAAAAATTCCAGTGACAAATGGGGAATTCAGCGTCACGATAAGTTAGCATACACCTTTGAAATAATAAATAACAATGACTGGCTGGTACATGGCAGAAAAAGGATGATTTTAAAGGATGATTTTGAAGAGATGGATATTGATCTTATCCCACTCCGGAAAGGTTATTTAACATTGCCGCAGATAGAAATAACAAGCTCGGTGGGTAATCCTGTGAGGGTAGACAATAGTAATACATATGATATAGTTTTAGTATTTTAATTGCATTTTTTTTTTGCATAACAAATATGTATATGCTTTAAGGTTCGGCCCAATTGCTAGTTGCTTATGCCGTTTCCGCCATGACTTCTTTCCGAGAAATTTATTAATTTGATATGAAATATTAGTAAATAATGTACAGGTACAAAGTAGTGATTAAATTGACTGAATAAAATAATGATAAAAAGATGTAAGAAAAAGTTAGAGATGCAAAACTAGTAAGAAAGCCTATATGGTTTTCGAACATCTATTCCCATTCAACCGTAGCTGGTGGCTTTGAAGTGATATCGTAGGTAACTCTAGCGACACCGTCGACCTCGTTCACAATTCTGGAAGCAACCTTTCTCAAGAAGCTGTGTTCGAATGGGTACCAATCAGCGGTCATGAAGTCAGTCGTTTCGATAGCTCTCAAAGCAATGACTTGTTCGTAAGTTCTTTGGTCACCCATGACACCGACAGATTTGACTGGAAGTAAACAAGCAAAGGCTTGAGAGATCTTGTCGTACAAACCAGCCTTTCTGATTTCTTCAATGTATATGTGGTCAGCTTTTCTGGCAATTTCGACTTGTTCTCTGGTGACTTCACCTAGAACTCTGATAGCGATACCTGGACCTGGGAATGGGTGTCTCCAGACAAGCTCGTGAGAGATACCAAGAAGCTCACCTAATTCTCTGACTTCATCTTTGAACAGTTCTCTCAATGGTTCGATCAACTTCAACTTCATGTTTTCCAATAGACCACCGACGTTGTGGTGAGTTTTGATGGTTTGGGATGGACCCTTGAAGGAAATTGATTCGATGACATCTGGGTATAGGGTACCTTGCAACAAGAACTCGATGGCCTTACCGTCCTTTGGCTTGATCTTTTCAGCTTCTCTTTCAAAAACGTGAATGAAAGTGTTACCGATGATCTTTCTCTTCTTTTCTGGGTCAGTAACACCCTTCAAGTTGTCCAAGAACTCGTCGGCAGCATCAACAACGGTCAAGTTGATACCTAGACCATCAACCAAAGTCTTCTTGACAGTGGCGGCTTCGTTCAATCTTAGAACACCATTGTCGACCAAGATAGCGTGGAATCTGTCACCAATGGCCTCAGTCATCAACTTGGAAGCGACGGTGGAGTCGACACCACCAGAGACAGCACCGATGACTTCGGCAGTTGGGCCGACTAGGTCTCTGATTCTTTGCACTTCGGTACCGATGAAGTTCTTCATGGTCCAGTTTTGCTTGGCGTGACACAAGTCAACGGCGAAGTTCTTCAACAAAGTCTTACCGTTGCTGGAGTGTGTGACTTCTGGGTGGAATTGGATACCGTAGATTTGCTTGGACTCGTGGACAATACCACAGTATGGGGAGTTGTCAGAAGTAGCGATGACTTTGAAACCGGTTGGCAGACCGTGCAACTTGTCACCGTGGGACATCCAGACGGTAGAGTGGTCGACGTTCTTGAACAAAGCGTCTTCCTTGTCCAACACATTCAAAGTGGCTGGACCGTACTCTCTTTTCTCACCACGGGCAACTTGCTTACCGTTGATCCAGGCAAGTTCCTGCATACCGTAGCAGATACCAAGGATAGGAACACCTAGGTCGAAGATGGCGTGGTCAACGTGTGGGGCATCCTCGGCATACACAGAGTATGGACCACCAGACATGATAACACCCTTTGGCTTGAAGTGCAAGTCAGCGATCTTCTGTGTGCATGGCAACATCTCGGCATAGATGTTGAACTCTCTTAGTCTTCTAGTGATCAAATGAGAGTACTGAGAACCGAAATCCAACACCAGAATGGTGTCAAAGACTTCGTTAACTTGTTCAATTGAAGACATGTTTCCTTGGTTCCTCGTTCACTTACAGTATGTTTCCCGTTAAGACTAGGGCTGTTCTATATAACTTAATATCCAAAGCGGAAACAAAGATCAACCGGGTTCATAAAACGGAATATAACTACTTGACACCACAACTTCAACACTAATATCCAGCTTTAATAGCTTTTGCGATGAGATGCTCATCGCAAAACAAAAAAAAAAATTTTTTTTTTTTCAAAAAAAAATTTTCAGTAACGTGACTATATATCTTGTTACGAAGTATTTTTTTCTGGGGGAAGGGGTCCCCTCTCCTGTTGGCGCTGGCTGATGACGTTTTGATCAACAGAACGGATAAAAGCTAGTGGGCGGCTAAAATATCAGTCAGCTTGGACTCTATGCTTGAATTCAGACGATAAGGCGTTTGGCTATCTGGAGGGCGGAAAAGAATAGAGTTGAAAGTTTATATTATAAAGAAGCGGAACTTTGAAAGCAGACGGCACACGGGTGGATTAGAAATAGGAGTGTGAACAACAGAGATACAAATAGAAACTGGTCAAATGGATTCTGATAAGGGCTTCTTCCATCGGGAGAAGGTTACGCGGAGTAATGGCAAGAAGTCTAACTTGTCGCTGGCGATACAGGAGTCTGAGTCCCGACAGATCAGTGGTAGCGATGCGGAAGAGGCGAAACTTGTGCCGGTTCCCGGCGGTATGATGGATCTGTCTGGAAGTTCAATGAAGAGTGGTCACAGTGGTGGTGCGTCTTCGGGAGCCGATATCGACTTGCAGGATGTGATAAATAATGGGTCTCTTAACAGTGCGATAAACAACAACGGAAATAGCAGCAATAGCAATGACAACGGTGTGTGTGGATCTACTTTTCCTACAGTCACCGCTAGGATGTATAATGATGGAGGTAACGGGGAGGACGAAGATGACGATGATTGCTCCTCTTGTGATGAGAGAAATGAGGAGTCCCTGAAAGATTATAAACCTGGTGGATATCACCCAGCTTACAAAGGTGAACATTATAAGGAGGGAAGATACGTCCTTGTCCGTAAACTTGGTTGGGGGCATTTCTCTACGGTGTGGTTGGCGAAGGATGTCACTACTGGCAGCCATGTAGCAATGAAAATTGTGAGATCAGATAAAGTTTATACAGAAGCAGCTGAGGACGAGATTAAACTGCTACAAAAACTAACAGATGGACAGGATGACCAGCTGGGTGCAAAATATACTTTGAACCTACTAGACAATTTTGTTCATACTGGGCCAAATGGCAGACACGTTGTGATGACGTTCGAAGTTTTGGGGGAAAACTTACTGGCGCTCATAAAGAAATACGAGCATAGAGGTATTCCTCTTGTCTATGTAAAACAGATTTCTAAACAGATCCTTTTAGGATTGGACTATATGCATAGGAAATGTGGCGTTATTCACACAGATATTAAGCCCGAAAATGTTCTCATGGAAATTGGAGATGTTGAGGCCATAGTCAAGATGGTTGAACTTTTGGATGAACAAAAAAAGAATTTAAAAAGATTGCAAAGAAGTGGTTCTGTGCTTGATCACAACCAAAGTTTTGAATTCCAAAGAACCATAGGTCATGGAGCTAATCATTCACAAACCGGGATGAATGATTATACCCGATCAAATGAAGGCACTCCTTTACAACGCATTCCTAGTCGAAAGCCGAGAAGAAACACTATAATTACGGGCTCCCAGCCATTACCCTCACCTATTAGTTCTTCAAACTTCAATGATATGAAGACTCAATTGTTGGGGACAAGCATCTCAAACACAATGCTAACTACCAATATTACCAGTACACAGTACCCAATAAGCAATACTCCTCAAAGGGGCTCATCAATAAATATTCATCAGGGACCGATCGCAAGCAGTTTACAGAGCTCTATCTCAAATAGAAGTATTAAAAACAACCTCATGTCACACATGTCAGAGTCAAGTACTTCTATTGCAAACGATCTGAACGGTCAACAGCAACAGCTAGCGCATTCTTTGTCCTCTTTTGAAATTTCTAATATAGATGAGACACAGGATATGGATGGTAATGACACTAACATTATTCAGGTTAAGATTGCTGATTTGGGTAATGCCTGTTGGTATGATGAGCATTATACCAATTCTATTCAGACCCGTGAATATAGATCTCCAGAAGTGTTATTAGGAGCACCATGGGGATGTAGTGCTGATATTTGGTCAACTGGTTGTTTAATATTCGAATTGATTACTGGTGACTTTTTGTTTGAACCAAATGAAGGACATTCTTATACAAAAGATGACGATCACATAGCACAAATTATTGAACTTTTAGGGGACTTCCCGTCTTATCTGTTGAATAACGGAAGATATACCAGAACATTTTTCAATTCAAGAGGTCAATTAAGAAACATTTCAAAATTGAAGTTTTGGCCTTTGAAGGATGTTCTCAGAGAAAAGTACAAATTCGATAAGGAAGAAGCTCAAGAAATTGCCGATTTCTTATTACCTATGCTAACTCTAGACCCGAGAAAAAGATGTGATGCAGGTGGGCTTGCTAATCACCCATGGTTAAATGATACATTGGGTATGGAGAATGTCAGTGTTCCAGAGAGAAAATTATATGGAAATGGATCGGATATTCCGGGTTGGTACAATGAAGTCCCCAGTCATCAGAGACATTAAGTTTGCGTCTCTAACAAATAAACTGCATTTTGCTTAATTTTTAGTTCAAGCGATAATTTAATCTTGTATTTTTGCATACTTTTTTCAAATAGTTTTATATCAATTATGTCATTATTTAAATCAAACTATACTTGTATATTTTTAAGGCTTAGCTATCAATGTTCTGACTGAATGGCGTAGAACTACGTTAACATGTAATGAACAGGGAGATTGTAATGTAAAAGATATTGAGAAGTATTTGGGTTAATAAACCATCGTTAGTATAAAAAAATATACGAAAAGTAAATGGTTATGTAAAATTAAGTATTTGTAATAAAAATAAAAACATTATGGCATTAGCAACAAATTGCGACGTTATTATCTATTCATCTGAAAGATGGATAAACTTATATTTTAAATGGTTTGCAGAAAACCAATTTGGGGTATCATTATGCTTAGGGGTATGACTATTTGTGATGAACGAATTGATTAGCGATTGCTATAATTATAGTAAAGCGGCGACAGCAGCAGCGACAGCAGCGGCAAAACCGGTACCAAAGCCTGGAGTAGAAATCATCTCTGCACCGTTTCTAGCTTTCTTGTTTCCGCTCGATGTGCTCTTAGAAGCCTTAGACTTAGAAGACTTACCCTTCTTGGTGCTAGAAGATACACTTGAGGACTTTGCTGAGGAAGTGACTGATGCAGATGATGTGGAAGAAACAGACATTGTAGAAGATGTTTGCAATTCATTGATCAAGTTTGAGGATGGGTAAGTAATCGTAGCTGGGATAACTGAACCATCTACGTTTTTAATTTCATACTTGAAAGTAGTTGGTGCAGTGTAGTTCTTCAAGATCTGACCTTCAGTACCGTTAGCACCCCATTTGATAACGTAAGCGGTATCCTTAGATTGTTCTGGAATACTGAAGTTCTTAACACCAAAATCAGAAAACTCCGATGTAATCAATGAGGCATTACATTTGAAGATTTCACTCTTTGGAACATCCTTTTCCTTGATAGTTGGTAAGCTTGAGTTCTTTAGTTGGTTCTTCAAGTTTTCGAAATCCTCCTTAAAAGTAATGGAACCATCTTCAGGGTCAATGGTAACTAAACCATACTCGTTGGCTTCTTCGGAGTATTCGTACACCAAACCACCAGAGAATACAGCCTTGAGACCACCATACAGACCTTCGGAAACTTCATCAAAGGTTCTAGGTTTGTTCTTGTTACAACCGTACTCAGAGAAGATGACTGGGATAACTGCATCTGAGAAACTTGAGTTCAGTTTGTCAAAACCGGAAGACTTCCAGTCGGAAGAACCGGAGCACCACTCGTAAGTGTTTAACCCAAAGAAGTCGGATCTGGATTCCTGCATCGTTTTGGTGATATTGCCACCAGTTAGAGAATTACACTGCAAGTAGTTCAAAGTAGGCAATCTCAAGTCGACGTTGTCAGCAGCAGAGTAACCCACAGGGATAGTTCTGTTGGAGTGCTTGGCAATGTACTCCTTCATGTCTCTTTGAATAGCACGGATGAATTGAGGGTCGATTTCAGCGTAGTTGGATTCATCGTTGATGATCTCATTACCGGCAAAGAAACCTAAGACATTTGGATAGTTCTTGAAAGCATCAATGAACCTGAACACTCTGGACATGTACCAGGCGTTGTAGGTTCCGACCGGGTCAGCACGGTTCAGATTCTCACCATAGTGAGGACCGTTCACATCCAGAATCACATAGATACCAGCATTGTTCAGGATGGTCATACATTTGTCGTGGTTGATATCTGGGTTCAAGGTGTAAACTCTGATAGTGTTAATACCAAGCTGTTGGAACACAAACGCATCACGAGCACATTGTTCAGGGTCAGAAAGCACATCAGAGTCGCTGTCAGGGTCATAGCCAGACGAACCACCAGGCTGGTAGTCAATACCTTTCACATAGAACACTTCGTTCTCACTCTCGGTACTGTTTGGAGAAGCAGGCTTGATGAACCTGTAATCCTTGATGTGGATGGGTAGCAAAGCGTTCACAGTTTGGCCAGCAGCCAGCAGCAGCAGAGCAGCAGAAAGTTTCATTTCAAGCGGATGTATTTCCTATGCTGTGTTTGTATTTGCTTTTTCACAGAAGCTATAGCTGTTAGTCGCCAAAGAAACCTCTTTTTTCTTTTAAGAGTAGAGAACTATTCTCCTAATTACAGAAAGTTGTTTGTCTCCTGGGGAAAGGAATATAATTTATATATTTGTAAAAGATGAGATGAGGGTTGGGATTCATTGTGAGAAAGGGCTATTGAAGAGTGGGATTTTTGTTTGTTTTGATGCGAATCATTTCTTTTCGTTACTCACAACAGGGGGAAGCACAGACAATACGTGGGGATTTGTTTTGATCCAATTTGCGATGAGTTTTGCACTGAGTGGCATTCTCTTGCCTTTGTGTTCTACATGTTCTTTCACTGCCAGACGTCATATTGCTTTGTAAAAATTATAAGAGGCAGTGGTAGAGGGAGGGGAAAGATAAGGCTTCTATACTAAACAGCGTGTTCTCTTGGACTACATTAAGGGAAAAGGGAGCAGGTTTACGTAATTTCAAGCCTAAATTCAACATGCAATTGAATAAACTTCTATAATTGTATTCTGTTCATAAACCTGTTTCTTATTCCCTGCTGAGGATGTTGTTTTATTGGGTATTGGGGGGGAGAGAGGATAGAGGGAGTGAAGAAACTTCCAATTTTAAAGTGTAAAGTAGTGGTTGCAGCACCTATGGAGTGAGCGTCTCTAAAAATATAAAGAATAGTCTTGATCTTAGAAAAGTTGAAATGCTTATGTATACTCACTTATTCTTGTCCATGAACCTCTTTAATATGTGGGATTATACCGGATTTAGTGCTTGAAAAAAAAATTGTGCGAAATTGAAGGAAAAATTATATAAGAAGCAGCGATGAGGTAGTAGAAGGACAATGGGGCAACTCATCGCAACTGTAGAGGAGCAAATTGTAGAAGTATGACTGTAGAGCGGGACTTGCCATTTCTGGTCTCTGCTCCTGGTAAAGTTATTCTGTTTGGAGAGCATTCCGCGGTTTATAATGAGCCTGCTGTTGCTGCAAGTGTCTCATCTTTAAGAACTTATTTGTTGGTCTCGCCAGCAGGTTCTAATGCTGAGGACTCAATTGAGCTAAGTTTCCCGGACATTGGATTTGACCACGTATGGAAGCGCAAGGAGCTGGAGCCGGTTTTGCGTGAGACTGCGTTGTTGCAAGCCGCTCGTGAAGATACGAAGAACCTAAATGAGGAGTTAGTGGGCCTGCTGAATGTTATTCTGGAACCACTGAAGGAGTCTTTGCATTATCATGCTGCTTTTTGCTTCCTGTACTTGTTTTGTACACTATGCCCATCTGCAACTAACATCAAATTCTCAGTTAAATCAACGTTGCCGATCGGAGCAGGGCTGGGATCAAGTGCAGCTATATCCGTGTCTTTGGCCATGGCCATGCTTAGATTGGGTGGTAAGCTAGTTACTGGGGAGAGTTTGTCAGGGGAGGATAAAGCACTTATTAATGAGTGGGCATTCATTGGTGAAAAATGTATACACGGTACTCCATCGGGTATAGACAATGCGGTAGCCACTTACGGTAATGCAGTACTATTCAAGAGAAGTGCCGATGGTACCACGGACTTCGAATTTTTGGATAAGTTTCATGAGCTCAAGATCCCAATGGTACTCACGTATACTAGAATTCCAAGATCCACCAAAGTATTGGTCTCTTCAGTACGAGACTTATCAAATAAATATCCGAAGGTCATTCAAGATCATGTCATAAAAGCAATGGGAGAGCTCGCTTTGGAAAGTGTAGATATATTGAATAGTGGCATTGGTGGAAATGACAGCAATTATGAAAGACTTCTAGACCTTGTCAATATTAATCACGGTCTATTAGTAGCCATTGGGGTTTCACATCCTGGGTTGGAAATTATTAGGAATCTATCCATAACAAACAGTATTGGTGCTACCAAACTAACTGGAGCAGGCGGTGGTGGTTGTGCTTTCACCGTTCTAAATAAAGACGTTCCACAAACAGAGGTGGACAAATTCAAAGAAGAATTGTCTAAGAAACACGGCTACCTATCTTTCACATCAGAGCTTGGCGGTGCTGGTTCATGTATGACGCCAACGCTAGTAGCAGAGCAATATAACCTAGTCGCACCGCTGTTCGAAAATACTGAAAATAATAAGGAAGAACTGGATAAGACCTTGCTTCCTGCTACAGCAACAAATTCACTGTTCTGGATCCATTAGTTATGCGAATATATGTATATCTATATGACTTATGTTATACAAGTTGTGTTTATTTGTCAAAAGTGTTTAGGGTTGCCCTTTGGACTAGAATGGAATCATAGAAATCACATGAAAACACATGGAAGTAAATCACTTCCTGCAGACAGTATGGAATTTTGTCAATCCATAATAGCCTTGGTACAGGCCCTCGTAATCGGTTAAGTATCCATTTAGTTTTTCATCATAGTCCAAAACTGTTTGTGTATGAAGATCCTTCCAATTACGTAACTTACGTAATTTGGTTAATTCCTCTACAGTCAACTGTACCTTTGGTCGAGTACCATATTTTAAAGGTCCAATATTTATCCAATGAAGGTCTTTGTTACAGTGCTCTGACAGATTTTCAATGGAGTTGAAATATTCAAATAAATTCTCAGCAGTATCGATGAAGTATGCAGTACAAACAATAATGTAGTCATATTTCTTTTCTAGAGTAGAGGGATATAGTCTAAAATCAGCCCAATATGGGTAAAGATTTTCTCTCTCAGATACATTGGATAGGTTTACATTCAATTCTCGAGTTTGGTTTTTTGCACTTGTCTGGCCAGAGTAATACAATGCAAATGGACTAATACTAATATCGTTACTGCTAGTTAGTGCATATCTGTTGCATATGAACATATAGGAAGACAATTCGATGGAATCTACTTTTGCCTCTGGAAACTTCTGAGATAAATTGTATGCAATGTTACCTACACCAGAACCCGGAACCACTATTAAGATATCTTTTCCTTTAATATTTATAGAATTTATTCTCTCAATGATGTATTCAGTAAGGGGATCACGTTCACATTTATAATAGTCACTCCAGTCTCTGCACAGATGATTCAGAGATTCTGTAACCGAGTTTGATCTGCTCGTTGCAGAGCTCAGTAGCTTGATAGTATTTAGCTTAGAAATATTACCTTCTGAGTCAAGTTTATAGCCCAACTTATTGCAAGCTAATTCTAGATCAGCCTTTAGATCAACGTTATTATGATTTTTCAATGCCAGCTCCTTTAGGGTACATTTTATGATATCCTCGATAACCGCACTATTCTTAATAGTAGCGCTTGTTATGTAGTCTAACTTGCTGAAATATCCAATATCCTTTAGCTGAGATAACTCTTTTCTAGATAACTCTTTAGCTCTATTATTAACCATACTAGTAATCTTTTGAGATGACTTTAAGTAGCCTTTCATCGATTCCAGGGCGTTGACATATTCTTCAAAGGGCCTAGCAGAAGCAGAAGGTCTTGATTTGTGGAGTGTCAGCTCTGGTGTAGTCAAATATAGCTCATCCTTGTTCTTTATAACCCTTAATGATCTCTCAGCTGCTTTGGCTACCCATTCTCTAAATGGCTTGTACCTTCTCAATAATGACATGCAGATAACGGCTATTGTAACTACAATAGTGGCAGTACCATCACCCATAGTAACTTATTAGCAAAGCTCGACAAAATATCACACAGCTAACAGACTAGTAACTACTATCACCATCAGAATTCCAAACATTCTCAAGTGCACTCTTTTTATAGTTTTTTCTTCACATGATAAGCTGATCTTACCTTTTGGGTTTTCTCGATGCCCAGTTAAACAGAGCTAAATGCTAATATAGCAAAAAGTCAGTTCTATGCAAAGAAGTACACTAGCATACAAGTTAGATCAGAATCAGTTCGATTTTAAAACTAGATATGGTTGGCTACTATTGGCTTAATTCACTTGAAGTAACACAAGTTACTCCTGATCATGCAGCTAAAATTAATGTCGGTGGTAGCAGCACCACTATCCCTGAGTTTATTGACAAGAATATCCCTGAATTAGCTAATGGTGCAACTGACACGTTGTCTCCACTTTTATTCAACGGTCATCTGCAAACAGCTTATACCGCGCTGGCGTCCTTTGAAAGCATTGATCAAGTGAACTACAAGAGAATCATGTTAAAATATCCAGATGGCGGTGTAGGTGCCTTGGATTTTGCTATGAAGGAACCTGATAATAAAACTGAATATGTACCTGAGGGCCAGACTCCTCTAGATGCATTAAACTCACATATGCCCGGAAGATTTTATACCTACATGGATCCTAATGATGCCAGACTTCGCTCCAATGATAGTAAACCCTTGTTAATTGCACTACATGGTCTAACTGGTGGTTCACATGAGAGTTACGTAAGGTCTATGGTGAGGACTCTGCAAAATAAATATGATTTTGAAGCATGTGTCCTCAACTCTAGAGGGTGTTGTAATTCTGCTATTACCACAGCTCAACTTTACAATGGTGGTTGGACTAATGATATCAGACATTGTGTAAAAGAGCTGAGAGAAATGTATCCCAACAGAAAATTTTACATGATTGGATTCTCCTTGGGTGCATCTATACTTACAAATTACCTAGGCGAGCAAGGTGATAAGTCGGATATAGAATTGGCAATTGCGTTCGGTACACCTTTTGATCTAAGTCATTCTGCTAAATGCATATCAGAGTCTAGAATAGGAAGTAGAGTATACTCACCGAAGCTTACGCAAAATCTTCTAAGGTTGGTTAAGAGTCATGAGGAAGAATTGACCAAAAATGAGAAGTTCAGAATTAAATATGAGAGTTACGCGGCCAATCTGAAATCGGTTACTAGGTTTGATGATCTATTTACTGGTCCTATGTTTGGCTATCGAGACGCTGAGGATTATTACCAAAATTCTTCTTCTTACAAGAGACTGCTAGGTATTAGGACCCCTTACATCGCTATAAATTCTGCTGACGACCCCATTGTTGGGTACCAAGCCCTTCATGAAAATATGTTCAGGGCAAATCCATACACAACACTGATTAGAACCTCAATTGGTGGGCATATAGCATGGTTCAAGGATATGAAGGGTGATAGATGGTACACTGAACCTGCTTGCAAACTAATTGCAGATTACCACAGTAAGATTGTTAGTCAGGATCATGCTATAAATGTCAATATAAATGATTTACCAAAGGAAAGCATTGAGCCAGTTAAGACGACATACAGAGATGACTTATAGAATTATTTATTTGAATATGTTTATATCTTAATATTCTAACTACCAGCTATTTAATTATATGAGAGCGTTGCAAGGTAATTCTTGGAATTCTAGGTTCAATTAACTAACTTCTGTTTTTAACATTTTGTTCCTATATGACTTCCATCCGGTGCAACATAGCAAATTCTTGAGAATGTGAAACTTTCGCAAAAATGAATTATTTCTTGCGATGAGCTACCAAATACTAAGAACTTGATGGTACAACAGAATATAATAATGGCTAGTTAAATACTTGCAATTCCCATCAACATGCATGAGGTGATAACTATATCTGTTTCACAGCGGGCCAACCATTTGGCAACCCAGTTCTTCAATTGTCGGGAAACGCTATTATATGATAATACAAAGGACAAAGTCAATGATCCAAAGATATTTCTGAATCCTACCATTGATAGAATCTCGAAGACTGTATCTTACAGTCCTAGAGCTCTATTATGGGATGCTAAAACTGGCAATGGATCATTAGGTAGTTACCAATATTCAGATGGATCCGATTATTATTTCAAAAATGATGATGATAAACCTTCAGATGGAGATCTTATGCAAACTCATCCAGTTATTCCAAAGTCAGATTATCAACGAGCACTGGATGCGGGATTACCTGAACCAAAACTAAATAATAGCAATACAAAGTACTGGTCAGATTATGCTAGACTTATTTATCAACCTTCAAGTTTTAATATTCTTCGGGATTGGTACCATGATACAGATAATCCCAACAGACCTGACTTTAAAAGTCTGAAAGATAGGAGATTCGATAAATTTATCATTGGTGAGGAAGAATTCAAGAGTAATTACTTAGTTGACTTTTTTGATACTAATTTGCATCATGAGCTTGAGCAATGCGATACCTTACAGGGGTTTAACATAATAACAGACATTGATAATGGATGGGGTGGATTTTCTTCAGCGCTCCTTGTAGAACTGCGAAATGAACTTCCAAAAAACACCTATTTTTCTTGGGCTTTTCATGAAAGTGATCCATACACAGTTTCATATACTAGAAACACTAAGGTTCAGTTCAACAAAAAAACCGCTGAGCAAATATCTAACAAAATCAGAGCAACTACATCACTATCACAAGAATCTGATTTGTTTATTCCAGTTTATTCCGATCCTGAATACTCTAACTGGGAAATTGGCAGTTTAGTATGCCCTCTCTTCGATGGTCTAAATTCTGTGCTTGATGGAACTGATACTGAGAAAAGAAGAAACATGCAATATTTATCAGAACTTCTTCAAAATGGCGATAATAATAGAAAGATAATATCATCAGCAAATATGATAAGAAAAGATAGGATTATAGACTATTTATACTATTCTCGTTTCCCAACACAGTCTCGCAAGTCGTCTTCTGCAGTGTCTGAGTTTCATGTCTTTAGCAAGTGTAATATTTCTAGAAGCAACAAGGAAATGAAAGACAACGCAGAAATAAAGAATGTTACTAATAAACAGATAAACACCTATGGATATAAATTTGCTGATACAGTTTCAGATCAATTTAAAGAGGATTCTAATTATAAACTCTGCCTAACTAGTGATGAAAGATGTCGAAATGTATTCAAAGAGTATGGCGATTTTGTGTCCAAGTATATTAAATATGATGATGACAGAGAGGACATGAAAAACAGTCTAGAAAATACTGCAAGCGCATATGAGTTTGGCTGGTACGACGATTCTGATTCCGGGGATGACAATTATTAAACTAAAACTGTTAAAATCATTAATATATTACTATCATGCAAAATATTTATCATATATAGAGTGTTTTCTTAGTTTAGTTCTGGTCTCTACATCCATTTCTTTTATATGCGCATCTATCAAACTAGTAGAAACCCAGGAGAAAAAAATGCCACTAATAGTTTGCAAAAATCTTTCCTCTAGAGGTGCTGTAAGCTTCAACATCTTCAACAGCATCACGAAATTCATCATCCTCATTCACTGTTGCAGGAACGAATGACGCTCTATTAGTGGACACATCTTCAACAACAACAGAATTTCTTCCTCTCCCACTTAATGATCTTGCTATTTCCATTTTATCAATACCAACAACTTCTTCTTCATCAGGATCGATAATGTGGGAGTCATCACCAGCAGTTGTACTTCTAAGTTCACTTAACAGGAATGTTATATTGGTAACCCTTGACTTCACAGATTGAGAACCTCTTAAAGGTTTATTTTTTGTAGAGGATCCATTTTTCATTGCTTTCTTCAAATCACTTACCTTGGGTATAGAGGGCCTTGAAACTTTCCAGGAGTGTACATCATCGGAGACAAATCTCATAGGTTGATTTAATTGTGTATTAGTCTGTGCTTGTGGTGATATTAGACCCATTGGCGATGAGAGCGGTTTGGACGAAAATACAGGAGATAGTGGCCTATCATTTAGTAAATCTGAATTAGAGATCTGATTATCATAAGACATCAAAATTTGCATGCCCTTTTCACCAAACTGAGTGTTGTTTGCATTCTTATAATATTTCATTAATTCTTCCTTGGTAAATAATTCTCCATTGTCAAGTTTTTGCTGTGTCTCAGAATAATATGATGTAACTCCTAATGTTTTAGCCGCGTTGAAATGATATAAGTAATAGGTATACTCCGGCTCTTTAATGTTCATCTGGAAATAATTAAGACCAGGTAGCAGTATAATTTTCTTGTATTTATCAAAGATAATAGACATCGCTTTGGATTGTAAATTTCTATCCTCAATATCACGGACCATTTGAAACAATCTGGATAAAGTGGAACCGCCAGAAATGTGCTCCTCAGTGATATTTAACAGTTGTATAACAGACCCTTTCATAAAAGGAACCAACTCAGTTAATAGATCAACGTTAATAACTGGCTGTGAGATATCATCGACAATATATTTCATATCATCAACCAGAATTCTCTTCTCAACTTCATTTTGTACATTCTTTATTTTGACTACCAAATCATATAACATATCAGATGTTTGTTCAGAGTAGTAAATTTTGTTATTCAAATCTTTTATTGTAACACGACATTGATGCACAAGAGGCATGCTCTCTTTAGATTTTAACTGCACAGCTAAAACCTTTCTCATTATATCCAAAACACTCAGTCCTACAATACTAATTTTTGATACTAGTAAACAAGAAATTAGTTTCAAACTATTGAGTGCACCATCAGGATTGCCTTGGCTACCTGAGACTTGATTTCTCTCATAATTGGAAACCTGCCTTGTGAGTAATAAAACAACAATATATCTTAACTGGACAGGAATGTCATTGGAAATGAACTCTAACAGCTCTTTATTTGGTGTTGATTGCAATTTTTTGATTAGAGATCTAATAGATAAATTCAATTTATCTGTTTCTGTTGTGTTAAAGTAATTATGCAATGTTGCAACACATAAATCATTGTCTGCAGTCGGTATCTCAAGGACTTCTTGTGCACGAGTTTGTGTCTTGCTCAACCTTTTTGTCAAGCTTGGTTGTTCTAGCAGTGAATTTTCCTTGAACTGAGGGTATCTAGCTTGCAATTGATCAATTGCAGTCTCAACACATTTTGGTACAAGATAATTCAATTGAGGATCGCTCGCAATTCCAATTATAGTAGATATGTCTATGCATACCTTTAACATCAAGTCATCATTGTTCAGCCTCTTTGAGACAACTTCAAATAAAAGATCAACAAAGCTCTTAAACATTTTTATAAATTCAGTATCACCGCCATAATATGCTCCGTCAAGGTTGCGGCAAATGGTGCCAAAAGTAATTTCCAACAATTCTATCACAGTGACATCATTATTTATACTATTGTTGGTTAATACCATATTCATTAAAGTCAGAAACTCTTTCACAAACACGTTAAGGTTTTCTTTACAATGATCCACTATCTTGGCCATCAACTCCAAAGTTACACAAACGTTACCAACTCTGCGTCGACTCAAATCGGTATTGGTTCTCTTAATTAAGTAGTTACTAACTTTCTCAAGCTTACTGGAACGAGAATTGACATAGTATATCAAATATGAAGTCTCGGAGGATTTTGGCTTCTTATCTGGCGCTCTACCACTAGGGTAACATTGATTGACCAGTTTTTGATGCTTCGGAGTAAATATGTGACCCAATTGCATGTTGGCTGATATAATTACCTATTTTAGATCCTCTCTTTGTTACTTCTTCAGGATGTTTACAATAATTATGGTTGTCACCTATTCGTTTATCACAGACACTTCCAAAGTGGCCAAACCCTACCCAATTAGAACGCAACAAAAAGTGGTATAAAGGGAAACAAATGGGTATAATGATTTCTCCCTTGAACAAACAATCAAATTATCTCTGACACCTTCTAAATGACTACAATATAATATAGAATTACTTTGTTGTTGTTACTGAAATTTTTCAAAAAATCGTTCATCCTCGAATGGGTCCCTAGCCGGATTTGAAAATTTCAGCTCAATACAATGCAAAGCAGATTGATCGCATCATCATTAATCGATGAGGTAGTTTCAATGTCGAATATTGATGATTATCCGATTACGGATGATTTCCAATTGTCTCTCTTTTATCAGAGCAAGATTTATATTGAATAACAGCGATTAAAACCCCAATGGGTAATAAGTTTCTGGAACAAACTGCACAGATATAACCTGGAAGGTAAGAGCCTTTTTGAACTGAACTTATGGCCCCACCAATATATGTAAGAGGTGGTCTTTGGACCAATATCGAGGATCAGATATTGAAGGCTGCTGTACAAAAGTATGGTGTACATCAGTGGAGCAAGATAGCCTCGTTGCTGCAGAAGAAGAATGCTAGACAGTGTGAAATACGATGGAATGAGTATTTGAACCCGACTTTGAACTTCGAAGAGTTCACTAAGGAAGAGGATAAGAAACTACTTGAGCTAGTTAGGACACTCCCAAATCAATGGAGGACTATTTCAGAGTTGATGGGCAGGCCAAGTCAGCAATGCATTGAGAGGTACAACATATTACTAGAGACTGAGCTATCAAAGACCGATGGAGAAGCAACTACCTCGGCTAATTCAGCTATCAGTACGTCCTTTGGTTTCAAACCTAACGAGATTCACCCAAGTGCTGAAACACAAAAGGCTAAACCAGATAACGATGAACTTGATGAAGACGAGAGGGAAATGCTCTCTGAGGCAAGAGCTAGACTTTTGAATACTCAAGGTAAGAAAGCTACTCGAAAAGTGCGCGAGAGGATGTTAGAGGAATCCAAACGTATTGCACAAATACAGAAGAGACGAGAATTGAAACAAGCCGGGATCAATACATCACTAAAGAAGTCTAAAAAAAAATACGAGAATGAAATTGATTATAACGCTGATGTTGTCTATGAGATTGTACCTCCTGCTGTTTTATATGATGTAACTAGGGAGAATGAAAGAACACAAAAAGCATTACAAGACTTTGAAAGAAACATAGCAAAGAAAGGAAAAAGAAAGTTCAAAGACGACGGAGAGAAAGAGTCTTCCCCACGTAAAAGATCCAGGGATAAGCGTCCAAACAAAGAAGACAATAAAGAGACAAGTATGTCAATTACCAGTAATGATTCAGTGCTATTAAACGACATGAAGAAACCAGTTTTAAACTTATCAGCTCCAAGGGCCGACGGTGAAAATCTTTCTGTTTCTTCTAATAACACTAACGATGCGGTCCTGGTCAAAAAGTATCTTACCGAATGTTTTAGTGCATTGCCTACGCCTAAAAATGATTTTGAAATCCTTTGGGAGGATTCTGATGATGACGACGAACAAGAAATAGTAAGTGAAGAAGACGACAACTCTATAAAGGTACAAGAAAGCGAACAGCTTTACGAATTACCAATGGAAACTTTTGACATAGTTGACAGCTCAATGATACCATCTATAATTGCAGACCCAAAAAATGAATTTGAAGAAGAGTATAATAAGCTTATTAAAGATGCTAGAACTAGAGCTAAACCAACAATCAGCAAAGAACATTTGCAGATTTGGGATGATTTAAACGAGGAAATACAAAAGGACATTAGTGGAAGAACATCGCTTACAAACCCAGAGGTACAAATATCAACAGATACTAACTTGGATGAACTGCGGGCACAAATCCAAAAGTATCAGCAAAGGATAAGCAATTACGATGAACAACTACACATTATCAAGCCACTGGTAGAGAACAACGAACAGATATGCAATACCATTATCCGTTCACTAATCCCGGAACTAAAGTCGAAGCAGTTGAAGTACTACACGAGATATTACATGTTCATGAAGGAGCAAAAACATATCAAAAAAAGAACCAAATAAATAGTATATATGCAACATGCTAGGGATACATTATGATGATGGTAGCATTCAAGTATATACATCTTCTGACCTATATTCCTCACACATTACGGTATTTCGCGGGCATTTCTTCGAGGTTCCATTACGTGGATCACTGTTGTAAATCGATTTACCACGCATTTGAGAATGGAAGAGATATTAATATTAGAAAGCTGAACTATAGCACTTTACAGTATTTCTATCATCTCAATCGTATATTTCCATTGGATAGCTAACGTTACAGGACATTGAAATGAAACTTTGGATTTGCTTGGTGTTTTTTGCACTAATCCAGCATGTGCTATCTCAAGACTACTATGCCATACTAGGCCTGTCGAAGGATGCAAGTGACAAAGAGATTAAGTCTGCGTATCGTCAGTTATCCAAGAAATACCATCCGGACAAGAACCCAGGTGATGAGGAGGCCCACCACAAATTTATTGAGGTTGGTGAGGCCTATGACATACTTGGTGATCCCGAGAAGCGTAAGACATACGATGTCCATGGTGCGGATGCATTCAAGAATGGTGGACAAGGTCAACGTGGGGGCGGATTCCACGATCCATTTGATATGTTTGAGCAGATGTTTGGCAGACAAGGTGGCGGTTTCAGACAGACACAGAGAAGTCAGAACTACCAAGTACGCAACCAAGTTTCGCTGAAAGAATTTTACTCTGGAGGTGAAGTTGAGTTTGAAATTCCATTGAATGATATATGTGATTCATGCCATGGAAGTGGGTCTGCTGATGGTAAAGTTAAAGTATGCCCGGCATGCCAAGGTAGAGGTGTTGTAGTACAAGTTATTCGTATGGGCCCCATCACGCAACAGATACAACAACAATGTGGACAATGTGGTGGTAAAGGTAAGACCATTGAAAACCCATGCAAGACCTGTAAGGGTCATAAAGTTGTACGGAAGAACAAGCCATTCCATTTCGAATTCCCGGGTGGTATTCCAAGAAACCACATCGATAAGAAGAGTGGTGAATCTGATAAATCCCCTGATATGGAGAGTGGTGATATTATAATTGAATATAACGAGAGTGAAAAAGAAAATCTGGGCTACAGAAGACGTGGAAACAACTTATACAGAACAGAAATCATTACTGCTAACGAAGCCATAAACGGTGGTTGGACCCGAGAGATAGAGTTCTTGGATGAAAAGAAGAAGGTGAAACTATCGAGACCAAAGGGCTCAATCGTTAATAATGGCGATATCGAAAGGATTAAAGGTTTTGGTATGCCTATCATGGGATCCAAAAACTTTGGAGACCTTTACATAGACTACGTCGTACTCGTACCTAAGAGCCAAACCTCACCAATAGATGACGAATTGTAGAAAATACTTGTAACATGTAATCATTAATTAACGCTTATATATAGAGAAATGAAATATCTACTTCATTAATGGACTATGAAGAGAAGTATCAATGAACAATATGTTGTACAAAACTATCGCAACACACACTCATACCCATGTGATAAAGATGAAGTGTGCAGTGATAACCGATACATCGGCCATATTGTCTAGTTTGTCATCTGAGCTGTGATTACTTAGAGAATGCAGCTGATGTTAGGACCACGTCCAGGTAGGAGTGGGAACAATGAACTTCCTTGTCACTGAATGAGTGACGAGGATAGTCCCTTTCGAGGAGACACATTTTTACAATGAAGCTTCTCCCCCCCCTTCCTTCCCCCCCCCCACAAACTCGCAACGCAACTGTCGGTATTTGTTCCAGAAATTGAGAAAGAAACGGATGGATGCTCCTTTTGTACTGACTAATCACACACTTGTTACATCTGGTAATTCCCTCTCTCTATTCTCCCCCCAGACCTTTCATTGGACAGTGATTACCCACTGTGTCTCTCCATAGTGCTGATTCTAACCGGGATCCCCTGCTCAAAAGTCAAGTTGGCTGTGATTACTATCTCGTTGAGCTCCTCTCCAAGAAGCTGTGCAAGTTTGGTATTCTCGGAATAAAAAGCATCGTAGACATCCATTGGATGAGAGAGTCTTTTGAGAGTTTATAGTCCTTACTGTAGGTGCTATTGGTCTTTCTGAGCCATTTTTTTGAAGACTTTGTTCATCTCGGGATAAGAGACGGATTAACAATATCCTGGAATACTGTCAACTACAAAGAACCCGAAGAACTGAGCTATATAGAATAGACCGTTAAGACACGTCTATACCCTGCTACGTCCATTACAGTGTACATAATCAGAGTACGCTCCGTCATTACTACTTAATAGTAACAGCAGAAATTTGTCAAACTTCCCCCAGATAGTTAACATTAAATCTGGGTTTTAAAGTTTAAGCGGGATTTTTGGCTTCATAAGGAATTGTATTCTATTGAAGTATAGTGATATATATATCATTTGGATTCTATAATACTGCAACAATTCAAATTGGGACTTCCAAAAGAACAAGTGCTGTGTTTTTAGATACCACATACTTGTGATTACCTTGAAGTGCCAAAAAAGAGAATAAAAATCTGAACAAATCGTCGAAGGATTATAATCTCAAAACCAAAATCCATTATAGATATACAAGACTCGTCATATGATTATTGACATACCACAATAGTATTATCAGTTGATAGCAGTACTTTCTTCCAATATCATATCAAAACTAAAATCAAAAAAAGATGCCAAATATTTTAACAAGGAACCCCTTTCATCATCACCATAACCACAATCACAGCGGTAGCAATATCGATAATTATGCAAATGGTGTTAATGGTAGCACGCAAGATGCAAATGACACCAGTAGTATGTTCAGCGAGGCTACCGGTACAGCGTCTACAATAGATAATGATAACGGTAAGCGTCGCAAGCCATTTCTAAACTTCATGAATGTTGGTTCTTCTAATGTAGGGCAAACAACATCTAACGACTCAGATACCCAATCGTCAGTGTTGGAATTGAAGAGATTTTTGAGACCATCTTTGTTACATAATGATACCAATCGCAGTGGCTTCTTTTCTGGTTCTAAGAAGAAAGAAATTAAACGACCTATGTCTCCAGGATCTCCTGTAAGCCCCCCAAAACATGACTACATTCACAACGATACGCGTAATGCGATTCATACACAAACAGCTATCCCACCATCCACTGACTCCGTTCTTTCATTGGCTAACACTTCCAGTATCTACCAAGACGACACTATTTTAGCTCAAAAATACGGTAAACTAGGTAAAACATTGGGTTCTGGTGCTGGCGGTTCTGTGAAAATACTTAAACGTCCAACCGATGGAGCAACATTTGCTGTTAAGGAATTTAGACCCAAAAAGCCAACTGAAACCAGCAAGCAATATGCCAAGAAATGCATAGCAGAGTTTACAATTGGTTCGACTTTACACCATGTAAATGTCATTGAGACAATGGACATATTTAGTGATGCTAAAAAACAGAGGTATTTTGAAGTCATGGAATACTGTCCAGTTGACTTCTTTGCAGTCGTTATGTCTGGAAAAATGTCCCGTGGTGAAGTCAACTGTTGTCTAAAGCAACTTGCTTGCGGAGTTAAGTACCTGCATAGCATGGGCCTTGCCCACAGAGATTTGAAACTAGATAACTGTGTTATGACTGAGAACGGTATTCTTAAGTTAATCGATTTCGGTAGTGCCGTTGTGTTTAGATACCCATTTGAACAAGAAGTAACGCTGGCCTCAGGCATTGTAGGCAGCGATCCATATCTAGCTCCTGAAGTGCTAGGGAAGATAAGCAGGGCAGATGGTGACGAAAGTGAGGAACCACATCAGACAATCAAAATAGATAAAAAAACAGGTCTATCGCTGTATGATCCTCAAGCTGTAGATGTGTGGTCAATTGGAATAATATTCAGCTGCATGATGTTAAAGAGATTCCCATGGAAAGCACCAAAAGAGAGTGATCCAAATTTCAAGTTATACAACATGCCAGAAGATGAAGAGCATGACTATGATGAATCAGCCAAGAGACATGAGAGGTTAATGAGAGAGAGGAGAGAAAGAAGGGCCGCTGCAGATGCAAATGATAACAATGACAAAGCCACTCCACCGGAGAGGAAGAATACTGACCAAGATATTAACGCAAATAAAGAGTCTGATGTTGAATCAGTTTCAAAGAAAGCTGATCAGAACGAGGTAAAACAAAAAGACAGTCATGAACAACAACCAATTACTAAAAATGAATCCAATTCTAAAAAGGAAGAAGCTGGAGAGGCCAAACATACCTCACCCTCAAAACGTGTTATCCACGGCCAATACAGACTGCTCAGATTACTTCCTCATGCTTCAAGACCAATAATGTCAAGGATGATGAAAGTCAATCCTGCTGAAAGAGCGACAATGGACGATATATTCAATGATGAGTGGTTTAAGAGTATTCCAATGTGTACAATAAAAGAAGGCCAAAAAGTACTTAGAGCGCATGGCCACCATCACACTGTGGTGAAAGATAATGATGGTAGGACAGAGACTTACAAAGTTTGAAATGCACATGAACATAGCATAGTTGAACAAATTCATGTACAGTGAAATCTTGAATGCAGCTAACTACGTTGTTGGTTATATCAGAGTTAGGTATCTTAGCCAGTTTATATTGCAGCTCGCACAGTGCACAGTATAAAACTAAGACATGATACTTGAAATGAGCCTTTAAAGTTCAGGACTATATTTATAGAAATTACAGTCCATTAACGACCTATTATTCCTTATTTTCGATGAAGAGATTATGGCAGAGAAGACTATCAGCTCTCTCTCTTTTTTTTTACAGGGGACTCTTCCCAAAACCTGATATGTACATCAGTTGAAAGCATGTATATATTACTTCCTTCTATCTACTTTAGTATTCTATATATAATTAATACATATATTCCTATTATTACAATACATTGTGGAACAGGCTTGTTTCTGCTTTATTAGTCGTGTTTGTTAAGTCTTCGCGTACGTGATCTCTTAGAAACCGTCACTCCTCCAGGTAGAACTCTGAAATTTCACCTTATTGCAATGACAGTGAGAACTACTGGCTCTAAATGACATAGTATGCTTAAAGGAAGGACTGTATTTGAATGGCATTAGTATAAAACATCATCAGTTTTGACACTGGCTGATATAACAAAGTTTGGCATCCTAATACTCTATCGGTGTTTGTTTATCTTTTTGACAGCCAATAAACCAAAGGAAAGTTATAATTAGAGTCTAAGGTAAAGTGAAGTGATAATAAGAAGGCCACTATCAATGCAATGCTAGTGCGAACTTTGTATATCTCTTCTAGTGTGGGATCATCTAACATGCTGTGTAACCATGGCCTGAAGGTTATCGGTAAATACTCGGCTATCCATGAAGCGACCCGAAAGATAATAGTAAGGAGCTACTCAAAGGAAACCATTAAAAAACACAACAAACAGGCGATCCTGAATACTGCCCCCATCGAATTCATAGCCAACAACAGTCCGTTAGTGGGTATCAGCGATGTGAACACTATTAAAGAGGCTGCAAAGCGAACTTTAAGATGTACAGATGATGTCACAGATGACCAGACAGATGAAATACATCCTCATTTACCATTTAATGTCAAACCTGTTGATGGGAAAGCTAGAGCTGCATTGAAGAAGGAAAAGAATTCTATGAGCTTAGATATAAAAAAGACCATGGAAGCTTATGTGCAACTCACAAAACCAAGATTGACAATCTTAGTCATGTTAAGCGCAATATGTTCGTATGCTTTATCACCTTATCCTGCAACAGTAACGGAACTTCTGTGTTTAACAGTTGGTACAACCATGTGTTCAGGTGCTGCAAACGCCATAAATATGGGTAGAGAGCCAGATTATGACAGACAGATGATTAGAACACAAGCTCGTCCCGTTGTGCGTGGAGCAGTTACACCTAAACAAGCCTTTAGTTTCGCCTTTGGCATGGGAACCTTAGGAACATCTATTCTATACCTGGGTGTAAATCCCACAGTTGCCGCCTTAGGTTTATCAAATATTGCCCTTTATTCGTGGATCTACACGTCATTGAAAAGAAAGCATATAATAAATACATGGGTTGGTGCTCTGGTGGGCGCTATTCCTCCACTAATGGGTTGGGCTGCTGCAAGCCCATTGACACACCCAGGCTCATGGTGTTTAGCGGGTCTGCTTTATGCTTGGCAGTTTCCCCATTTCAATACATTGAGTCACAATATTAGAAACGAGTATAAAAATGCAGGCTATGTCATGACGGCCTGGAAAAATCCTCTACTTAATGCGCGGGTAGCCTTAAGATATTCATTATTGATGTTCCCATTGTGCTTTGGATTGTCTTACTTCAATATTACTGATTGGTATTATCAGATTGATTCTGGTCTGGTCAACGCTTGGCTATGTTTGTGGTCTTTTAAATTCTACATGCAACAAAGACTGAACTACTCTTCCAAGATTAAGAATGACCGTGTGAAGTTCAATGAAGGCTTAGCCACTGCAAATGTATATGCAAGGAAGGCATTCTTTGCAAGTGTCTTACATCTTCCAGCCGTTTTGATTCTTGCTATCTTGCATAAAAAGAACCGTTGGGATTGGCTTTTTGAAGACTCAGAAAATCCAAAGTTGAAATGATCCGAATAATTCTAGTTTTCTCTATTTTAATTATTTTCCACTCCTTAGATGTACGTTTTGCACTCACATTATTGTATTTATTTTTCAACTTCATTACTTGTATATAAGATAGATCTGTGAATCAACAGCTTCGATATAAGAATCAGAAAAGTTTTCATTTTTCTTTTCCAATTAATGCAATTTATGCACCGCATAAAGCTTGTATGTGATGTAATTATTATGATGTTATGTACAGGTGGTTATATGAGTCTAACAATACCAATTACGTGAATATTAACGTGAAGATCAGTGGCTGCTGGCAATCCACCTTTCTTGCTTTATATACTGAAATTTTTTGAACAGAGGGGATTAGATTGATGAAGAGCGGGGCAAGTGAGATTCTTATTGCTTTGCGGTCTCCAAGAATTCCTTGACTCTGCTTCCGATCAGTTCTATGTCTGCCTCTGTCAGCTGTGGTTTTTCGCGCTTAGCCAGCATCTCTTTCTCTTCTAAGAACTTCTTCTTGGTGTCGGACAATGGCATCTTAGGGGCCACCAGCTTGGCGATATCCTTGGCGGTCAGCAGCTTCTTCTTGTACTTAGAGTGAGGGTTACGCAATGTCAGGAATGCGTTCTTTGGAATCGAGTTCCTGACAATGGTGTCCACCCAGAAAGTCTGCTGTCTTGCCAGCTTGGGCTCTGTTCCCAGGACGCCATCTGGCTTGGGTTCCGGGGTGGGCCAAGGCACCACGAGGTCCGGTCTGCCGACGACACATCTGTAAGGCATGACTTTCTTGCGGTCCTTGTCGTAGTAAGTACCGGCGTCGAACGTAACGTCCTTGACCGCGACGGTCTTTGTCTGCCCCGGGTTGGCCGGGTCGTCTATATCCGCGAGCAACTTCAAGTGCTTGCGCTTCAAGGACACAGGCAAAGAGAGCATGTGTGTGGACTGGTTCTCAAGCCAGTACTGCTTGGCCACGGGCACTTTCCGCGAGGGCCCGTTTCCGTCCAGTATAAAGCTGTTTGTAGCGACTTCCAGGTCCTTGATCACCGCAACGGTGCCCTTGTACTTCCCATGCGTGATCACCACACGGTCCCCGGGAACAAACTTCCAGTGCGTCTCATCGGCAAACCGCTGCTCCTCGGGCACAGTCCTGTTGTTTGGCCTGACAAACTCTGGCAACGCTTTGTTCATGAACTGCTCAGCTCTCCGCTGCCCTCTCTTGGGCACATTCTCCAGGTGCTTCAAGAACCGCGATCCGGCCTTCGACAAGTGGTCATACCTAGGCATATTGTGCTTTGCTTATCTATTCGGTGGCTATGTCCTAAGCTCTTAAATGAAGTCCCAGGGCTATACCAATCCTGTCTACTTCACTTTATTATTAGTTTAGACATTACTGTTAGTGTGAGTGTGAGGACTGAGACTGAGAGGGACTGAGAGGAACTGCGACTGCAGTGATGAGGGTTATAGAAATACTACTATGTACGGTAACCATGTGATATACGTGATACAGTATATTAAACGTGATCACCGTATATCACATTATCACATGATATAACGTACAACATTATACACACTTTTCAATTTTCAATTTTTTCATTTTTCGTCTCTCCATTCTCTACGGGTCTTTCTGTGTTGCTTTTCTACATTAGCTCAGACAGCCCCGCAGGACCGGCACTGTAAGCTGTGCGGATGCCGTGTCCCAAAAGGGAAATGTGTCAAACTGAGGGAGGGGGGAGGGTGTTGCGAGTTGTGCTGTTGTGCTGTTGTGCTGTTGTGCGGCGTTGTCTGTGTGTTTTTATCGGTGTTTCGCTTGAGCCACAGAGATCGATCTCTCCCCGAGAAAAAGTGTGGTGGAGCCCTCATCTCTTCATATATAACCATCGACAAATATCAGAAATTGCAATTACAGCTACAATCATAACTACAACATCAATCATAACTACAACTACAACTACAATCATAACTACAACTATAACTACAATAACAATGTCAGGACTAGCGTATCTTGGTGTTGTGGTGGTTTCCTGGGTGATGTCCTCGTTCGTTACCGGGCGAGTGATGGACGTGTACCAGAAGCCCTTCCTGATGACATACATAAACATGTCCTCCCTGGTGCTGTACCTGCCACTTTACTTCATATGGACTCCGAGTCACAGTCCTAAGGACTGTGACGAGGAGTCCTGTCTTATGGAGAAGCACACGTACGGTACTATTCTGCAAGAACCTGCCACAAACAACAACGGCAGGCTGATACTGCTGACTTTCCTGTTCGCAATCCTGTGGTTCTTGGCGAACTTCTTCACAAACAGCTCCTTGGCGTACACGAGTGTCGCCTCGCAGACAATCCTGTCCTCCACTTCCTCTTTCTTCACCATGGCGATCGGAGCCCTGGTGGGCATCGAACTGTTCACTGGGAGGAAGCTGCTCGGTCTGTTCTCGTCTTTCATCGGCGTGTACTTGGTCACAATGTCCGACTTCCAGCTGCCCTCGGCTTCCACGGGCCGCTCCTTCATAGGCGACGGACTGGCCCTCGCCGGCGCCCTCGTGTACGGTGGATACACTACTCTGTTCAAGAGCCGCGAGAGACTTGTGCAGAAGTACAACATGAACCTCGTGTTTGGCCTCATCGGGTTGTTCACACTGTGTACGTGCTGGCCACTCTACTTTGTGTACAACAAGTACATCCAACAGGAGCCACTGGAGCTGCCCCCAACTTCTGCCATATACATGCTGATCCTGTTCAACTGCGCACTGTCCTTCATCTCGAACTTCTGCTGGGCAAAAGCAGTGATGACCTTGAAATCACCCCTCGTGGTCACTACGGGACTCACCATGTCCATCCCACTGGCAATGCTAAGCGACGTGCTCTTCAACAGCCAGCCCTTCTCTTGGCGTTACCTAGTGGGCGCATTCTACATCGTCCAGGGCTTTATCATCATCGATGGCTTCTCAAAGTAGGCCCATGACAACGATCTTAACGACCACCGATCCTGCATTTTTAATAGTTTTGACGTTTATACCCTTTTCTTTTACGTATTAGCATTTCTTTATAGAGCATATTCAACATATATTCACTACTCATCGCAAAACTTGTAACTTTTCAAGCCAAAAAAAGAACGGTGCCAAAACAATAGCATTGGCAAACAATGGATACCAAACTGCAGACATCCACAGCACCTCCAAATGGCCAGCATAGGCGACAATGTCATAGTCAATGGACACTCAGCCACGGTGAAGTTCATCGGCACCACGGATTTCGCAACTGGGACGTGGTACGGGCTGGAGCTGGACCAGCCCTTCGGCAAGAACAATGGAGCTGTGCAAGGACGCCAGTACTTCACCACAAGCAAGAGCGACGGCAACTATGGCCTGTTCTGCAGAGCCCACCAGTTGCAGCTATCGGCAACACAGAGCGAGACTCACCGGTTGAAGAACATCATAGCAGTGCTGGAAGCCAAACTGTCGCAATATATTGAGCAAGTGCGTGACAGAGAAGAGTTGCAAGCCGTGGCTACAAAGAGAGGCGAGCAATGTAGGGAGCTACAAGACATTGTGGAGAAGCTAACTCTACGCGAGCAGGACTCGCTGGATAAAACGTCGCAACTATCACATCAGTTGCAATTACTTAAGGTTGAAAATGATCGCCTAACTAAGCTGCTAAGTTATTATGAGCAAAAATACTCATTGAACGCCGCTGAATCAGAACATATACTTAGTGTATTTGATGTAAAGGAGGAGAATAGACGTTTGAGGGAAGAGGTTGACAAGCTAGAGAAAGTTATTAAATCAGATAATGCGAGCAAGGAAAGCCTTACAAGAGATAATTTAAATACTAGTGACAATGATACTACTGAAATCATTGATCAAAGCTTCGAAAGTGTCAGTAATGAACATATAGTGACTAGGTTAACCATAGAAAATACCGAACTAATTGATCTAGTTGATCAACAAGCAACTGAAATGGATAAATTAAAGCGCTTACAAACTTTAGCTGACGAAATCGAAGTCGAATCGCAAAAACAGATTACAGAACTAAAACAAGAATTATTTAATTCTCATAAACATAATTCGGAGATTATGGAGGAAAGAGATCTGCTTAGACAATCTGTTTTAACTTATGAGATGGAATTGAAAGGTTTGAAAGGTAATGCGGTATCAGATTTTAACAATAATATAATAGAATTAATGAATACATTGTATGGAGAGAGCAATATATTTGATACATGTCTAACAAGGCTTTATGCTACTGTTTATATCAACCGTATCAAAGAAAACACTGCTGATGATGACTATAAGGCCATTGTGCTTGTTTTAATTCTTATAAAAGAGCTTTGTCAAATTATTTTGCTTTCAAATAATGTAGATAAAGTTTTAGTGAGTCAGATAAGTGATCTGCGGGTTCCTTACAGAGTGTACAACGCACTAAGCTCGGGTCAAGTAATTGCTTTTGAATCTTTAAATTTTCTAATGAACAGAATGATGGCTATATCTGGAAGATGCGAAAGTATTAATCTGGTTAACGCCATCTTTAAAACTCTAAAAGCCTTTAGCGACAGCATAGAAGATTTTGATTTAAAGTACCAGATTGATCAAGACTTTGATAACCTGGATCTCGCCCTTGAAGGGCAAACTAGCCTTAGCTTAAGTTGGAAGGACGTTGGTATGATATTTAAAGAATTTGATGCATATCTAGCACGCAAATGTTCTCTGCCTACTATAACTGAGAAGTTTTTACATATGCTGATAACTGTGAATAATTCTAATTCCTCCAAAAATACACCGATTACGATTATGCATAATAATTCTGATTTTGAAGAGGAATCACAAAGCTCTTTGGGTGATTCAAAGGATAATTCTTTAAAACAAAGACTACTTTCAATGGAAGAACGTTTGGAAAAGGAGCAAAGGGAGACGAAAAAGCTACTAATAAGAAATAAATTACTTGAGCAAAAGTATGAAAATATAAATAGACTGGAGTCTGAGATTAAATCTTCAAAGATTGAGACAAGAAAATACCTGGATAATATAAGTGCTTTGGAGGATCGGGTGACGCGCCTACAAATAGAGAAACAAAACTTACTGAAAACAGTCACCGCTTATAAAACCCAGAAATATCAATTAATTCCAGAAAAGATGGACAATAATATAATTACAAAGTCAGAACTGCTTTCTGTAAAACATTTGGAAGATTTGAATATTGTAATTAATCAATCGAGGACAAAAAAGAGGTTGCTATGTGATTTGACTTGGTTGAAAGAACACAATGATGAACCGATCGATAAATGTTCAATGAAAGGGTATCATGAGGCTCTCAATTTTGTTAATTCGATTGTATCGTAGCCAAACAAATATCAAGCAATAATTCTGAATTGCATACCAGAAAACAAAACTACTAATGCCTGCTTGAGTATAAATTTATAAATCACATAATGCAAAATTATATAACACCAAACTATCCGGTATAGTTTGTAGGAATATAATATCTAATATTAAAGCAAGTACTATTATAACCCTTTTTTTGTAATCTCTACATGTCCGTCATCATCGTTTAGTTGTGGTCTTGGCCATTTAATTGCCAGATCAATATCTTCTCTTGGATAGCAAAAGTCTAGAATGTTTACCATTAAATAACTCACAATGCAACAAAGAACGTACAATAAATGCGCCCAAGATCCATCCCTCTTGTAATACCTATGGACCATCTTGACCCAGTCTTTATCTGTAGGAGATGAATCTTCGAAAATGCCCTGATAAACAGAGACAGTTCTCTTAGCAACATCCATCCAATCGTACATAACAGAAACGTCTCTTGCAATTTGCTTTGTATCAACAGACTTGTTTTTTATAAGTTGGATTCCCTTCATAGTAGCATCAATTAGACTAGATACAGAGGTATTTTCTGCAAATACGGTCATATGCTCGGGTAAAACTTCAGGAATACCACCTACCATTGTAGTGACTATTAAAAGCCCGCATGAGGCTGCTTCAACCAATACAGTCCCAAAAGCTTCTGTCAAACTTGCATGTAAATAAATATCTCCTTTACACATAACATCTCTAACCTTTTCATGAGGAACAGAGCCCAGCAGCGTTACTCTGGACTCAAGGCGGTATTTCTCAATCATTTGCTGAACTTCTATAAATTTAGGTCCATCACCAGCAACAATAAAATCCACATCACTGTGTTCCTGACAAATTATTGGTATGATTCGCACTAGCAAATCTGCACCTTTGTTTGGGAATAAACGAGATATTACAACAATTGTGATTCGATCATTCGACTTCAGCCGTTCCTCTTGCGGTGATCGAGGTCTAAAGTCTTTACTTACCACAGCATTAGGAATGACATATACTCTGTCGGGTTCTATATCTGTTCTCATGACCATATTTTCTTTACAGGTGTTAGAAACACAAATTACTCTGTCAATGCATGTCAAATGGAAAGTAAGCAGCTTGTTAACCAATATGGATCCCATAGAGTCAAACCCATACAATGAGTGATCTGTAAATAGTGTTTTTAAGCCCATGGAGTTCGCATGCAATATAGTCTCATGCGCAAACGTAGACACACTCCCATGGGAATGCACTATTTGTATCTGTTCCCTTATTAAGATATTTCGTACCACTGGAAATGTAGAAAAGATAGTTGGGAAAGTGGTCTCCCTGTAGAGCACAAAAAATGGAACGTGATAAACTTTAAGACCATTAGTCAAGTATCTGATTCCAGCTCTATCTTTGTAAGCATGCGTGATTATTACCACCGAATGACCCAATCGGAGCAAATTCTGCGCCAAATGATATATGTGAAACTCAACACCACCTAGCTGGGGATAGAAAAAATCGCACACCATTCTGTACCAATCTCAGTAATACGGTCTGGACTCCAGAGACATACTCTTTACGCCATTCGTAAATTTTAGAAAATAGTTAGTAACAAATATTTCCTTAGGAAACGCCAGACCTTCGAGAAAATTCAGGGACATACGCTATATTATAACCCATCGTCAACGCCAGGGTCCCTATCTGACAATAATCTTAACTCAATTGTGCCCTATCTGTCAATTATGGCGTAGCATCTCTCTTAATGCAGCTATATTTTATGCATTTTTGCAAAAGCTAGGAAATCCGCGATGAGCAGTGTTTTCACCTGATTGGAATGAAAAACCGCAGATAAAGCTCTAAAACACTTGACCAATACATAGGAATGATGGCCACTGTTGGTAAGGTGAAGCAAGTACTGATAACAGAGTTAATAGGTGTTTATAGTTAGGATAGTTGTGGTTTTTGTTTGTTGAAGATTGTTAAAACTTTACGTTACATTTGGTTCATCTTTTGGTTGAATTAACTGTCTTTTGAAAGATTAATAGGGGAAGTAAAGTTAGTGGCGATAAATCAATATATTCTAGATATACACTTCATCCAGATGGTAGGAACTGGTCGTAGAGATTATAGTAGATTACCTGGTGATGATGTTGAGGTCGGTTCAATTTCAGACGGTGGAAGAGAGGCTATGCTGCCTTCTGAACCTCCAGAATATGACAATATATCACCAATGGAATTTAAGGATGTAGAGCCCTTTTCTGTCTCATTTCCAAATAAGATGATACAATGGAGAGATGCTATCAATATGAAAGTTATTTGGCCTGTTCAGGAGAACGTTATGGACCCCCTGGTAGAGTACTGGAGATTGTTGTCATCGAAAGTAGATTTATGCCTGAGCAAAGTCGGTAATCCGCTAATTCTGAGTAGGTTCATTTATATGCTACTGATGTCTTTAGTTGCTTTTATGATATGGAAAAGTGGACTGTTTCCGAATAATAAAGCTAGAGGAGAAAATGGTAAATTCTCAGACCACAGGATACTGTTAGACTACGCAAGGCGATCGGTTGATCTCTCGAAACTTGAAAAGGACTGGGAATATTTAAGCAGCATGCCACATTCTTCGGGAACCAGGAGTGATATGGCTTTGTCAGAGTTTATTCATGATACCTTCAAGAATAATGGCATTTCCCTGTTGGAAAAGTACCAATACGAAACATTAGTAAATTATCCGGGGTCCTCTTACTTATCCATAAAAGTTGGTGAAAAAGTTTTGAATTTTGAGTTGACTGAAGACAATTTTAATCCCCTTTCGCCGAACGGAGAGGTAAAAGATGCTAGACTAGTTGACGGTGGCTATGGTACTTTAAAAGAACTTGAGGATCTAAAAAATGGGGGTAATTTGCATAGCAATTTTGTACTGCTCTTGAAATATGGAAATGTGGTGAGCGAACAAGTTTTGGCAGCTCAAAAATACGGAGCATCTGGTATTCTATTTGTATCCAATAGTTGGAATGATAACAACGATATTGTGGAGAAGAGATCAGTTGCACTACCTCAGTATGGTTTAGGTAACCCCTTGAAACCAAGTTGGGATCGCAATCCTGCTGATCCTAACTCTCCACAAGCACGTCCGTCTATTCCTTCAATACCAATATCAAATAAGCAAGGAAATGAACTACTATCACTTATTAACGATAAAAGCGTTTCAGTCACAGCGAGTCTGAAAGTAGATGCTGTCATAAAAGAAGAACAACCAATAGTCGATATTATTGCGAAAATTAATGGTAACGAGCAAGCTGACAGGTCGATTATAATAATGGCTAGCAGAAACTCAATTGATAACGGTGCCGCCTATCCTAACTCAGGTACTGCCTCTTTATTATCCCTTGTTCAACTAATGCAGGAATTAAGGTACAAATTTAACTGGGAACCTTTGCGCAGCATATATTTTATCTCTATAGGTGGTTCGGAATTCAACAGTGCTGGCGCCGCTGAATTGATAAAAGAAAAGTACCAATCGATCATTGATGGCGTGTATAGTATCATAGATATTTCGGAATTCAATGTTTGGGACTCATCAAAGGAATTAAACATAGAAACTCATCCTTTATTGTTTAGTCTTTTCAATGAGGAAGAAGTTAAAAGAGGATATAACTTAGATGTGCACTCTGTTCATCATTACGGTGATTGGGTACCCTACCTAGCCGCAGGTGTACCTGTCACAGTTTTGACGTCAAAGTCATTGCGAACCAAGAGTGCTCCAATATTTACCAAAGAAGACACCTACTCCGCATTCAAAGACTCATTTGAAAAGGCTGCTAAGGAAGGTATTATTCATGATAACCTTTTGTTTTTAGTGAATCTAGTCCTTCAAGTAGGAGATAAACCTTTGATACCGCTAGATATCACTGAATTTGCCAAATACATCTTCTCCTCATTGAAGGAATTGAATGAAAGATATGACAATCGGTTGGATTTGATGCATGTAATGTCTGGTATGTCGTCTTGGATGGCCATTGGTAAACAATGGGCAGAGGGAGTAGAAGCATGGAAAGTTGTTGTCATTGAGCATGATGGGGGGTTTGAACCTACGTTAATATATTTAGATCGTACTCAATGGAATATTCAGGTATCGAATGTTGCTAGATATTTGGTATCCTGGGAAGGTGTACCAGGTAGAGCACATTATAGGAATTTGTTTCTGGGACCTGAATTATGGACGCAATTAGACGATGATGAAAAGAGTTGGGTACTTCCAGGTTTAAAGGATCTTCTTCACAACGGGCAAATTGACGAGGCCAACGATCACTTGAAGTTAATTGGTAAGGTGTTGAACGACGCTGCGGTAATGTTTGCCCATAGTTCTTGATTGAGCAATTTTGCATATTTTTACATAATTTATATATCAGTATTTGATGTTTAATATTGGACCGCCTATCTCCAATACGTTCTAGGCTATTAGCACATATAAAAAATGACATAAGCCATTAGTCGACTTATACTTTATACAAAGTGAGAAATGGTAGTTTATTGTCTATAAACCGTTGCTGACATTGTATGGTATATTCTTATCGGACATCAGGATAAGTGTGATTGCTAAATTGCAAAAAGCCGAAAATTGTTGAAATTTGACTGAAAAGATGATTAATAAGGCCTGGATTGTTGGTGAAGGATAATATTGCAATTGATTTATTATTATATTTTTACCGAGTTGATAACAGGTTAACTAGGATGTCCTTCTTGAAGAATTTACTATTTGGTGGTGTCAAAACTAGCGAAGATCCCACCGGGATTACAGATAGTGGCAGTGGTAATGCCAAAGCGTCACAGGACGTAAACGAGCCGATTGTTGAAGGTAGGTTCACTCCCAGGACATTGTCTAAGTTTAACGGCCATGATGATGAAAAGATCTTTATAGCTATTAGAGGAAAAGTGTATGATTGTACCGCTGGTCGTCAATTTTATGGCCCTAGTGGACCATACTCTAATTTTGCAGGTCATGATGCCTCTCGTGGTCTTGCGCTTAACTCTTTTGAAATGGAAGTAGTACCTGACTGGGATAAGCCAATGGATGATCTGAAAGATCTCACTCCTCAGCAGATTGATTCGCTGAATGAATGGGAACAGCACTTTGCCAATAAATATCCTGTTGTAGGAACTTTGGAAGCTGAGCCAGGTGTCAATGTTTAGTAAGAGTGATACATATCTCCCAAGTTGTTGAGGTGACTCTGCATGGAAATAGTCTAGGAAATATTACCTGCTGAATTGTTTGTTTTTAGTTTTTATGAATATATATTAAATCGGTTATAGAATATACAGTAATTTACGTTAAAAAATTATTTCTGAATAGAAGTAGGCATCACAAGAGTCTTTGAAGCGCTATCATAATTGCATATACCTAATTCGATTAAAGAATGAATGAAATACTTAATATTATATGGTGTAGTTCAGCCTATTTCAATACTGACTACAAATCAATGCATGTTATGGTAGTTGTTACATAATTATAGTTTTGTATCTATATATTATAACCTAAGCCTGGAATAAACTTGTGAGTGGTAATGTCAATATCAAAAAGGAACAAATGCTTCCCTTGGGATGTTATTGACACTGCTTTGGAAGCTCTTCACAGCATTTTCATAATTCCAACCACTCTGTTCGGCCAACATGTAAGTATATTCGGCGTTCAATTTAGTTTCTAGGTGTAGCTTGTTGAGTAGTTCTAGTTGTATGTTGTTCATATTCATCTGGACATCAGGAGGTAATTGTAACGTTGGAGCAAGCTGGATTGGCTGTTGAGGCTGTTGAGGCATATGATGTACTCCTAAAGGTGTGGCGTTCACAGAAGATATGACTGGAGGTTGACCATTATTGACGGGTGGAGGAGTTTGACCCACATTGCTATTTACTGGAGGAGTTATCTGTTCGTCTGGAATCCAGGCTCCGCAAGAGTATGCTCTTATTGTCAGCATATCAGATGCAACAATTACTGTATTGTTCATTGGAATAATAATCCATGTTCTATCAAATGATTTTGTTCCCAGTTTGAAGGAACTTGGCGCACTATGACCATGGTTGTAACGTCTATGTTTGGAATTGGTTTGATTTCCCTTTTTATCACTCTCAGGTTTACCAGTTTCTTCAAAAAAGCCATGTAGTGTGATGACAAAACCATTTAGAGCAGGGAATGCAAGGGCTTCCATGGAATAATCATGTGCTCTGTCCTGGAGATGGTGCTTGGTCTTTGGTATTGTTTTAAATAGCTCATTTATAGCTTCTGGTCCCATAGCTAATCTTTGTTTGATTGATTTATCGCTGGAAAGCTTACAAATATTACGTGACTGCGATAGATAATGGCCAAAAGATGGCGCAGTATCGGCATCCCTAACCGTAGTTGGAGGAATGGTTGAATCGACGGAAATAGAAAACTGTGATTGAGGAGTGTATAAGCCAAGCAATTGGCTTCTATCCCCATCCCATACATTCAAGAAATTTGTCACAAAATCTGTGGATGATGGACCCAAGTCATTGCTCTCGAAGAAGAATTGCTGAATTTTCACTGGTAAATTGTAAATTGAATCTAATTTGGCGGTATCTCTCACAACCACATTATCTAGGATGACCAGTTTTGGGAAGAGCCTTATCATTTCAGTTCTGTATAAATTCTCATTGACAATAGGATTGTTGGTCATTAAAAGTTCTCTTAGCTCTCTGAATTTGTTCTTCCATATTTCCAACGATCTAAATTTGGATATCTGGTTGTTGGCGAGACATAGGTTTTTCAGCTTAGGAAATGTTTGTGCTAGTGTCGTTACAGCGGTAACATCTTTGAATTGATTATCAGACAAATTTACACTTTCGACTATAAGTTGTGGTTCCTTCGAAGCCAGTTTCAACATGGCTGCAAATAGCTTGGATTGTGTGGATAGAGAAGAAAATAGACCCTTAGAGACAAGTTCGGGATCGGAATGTAGTGCACTCAAGTTTAGCATTTTGTTCTGTGCGTCATATCTCTTGAACAGGCAGCTTCTTAGAAATACCACCGTATTGGAAGTAGACCCGCCTTGATCGAGGATTTCAAACTTCAAACTGCTGCCCGCGAACCTGGCACCATTCCATTTCAACAGCCTGTTGGCATCGTCTCGCGTATTCACATACCCTATGAGCAGCGGGCCTTCCACGTTAGCGTCCTGGATTGATATACGTGTATTTTTACTCACAAAATTCAGTAGATCCTGTACAGTACCCTTCTGCCACCCTCTCACAGAAACCCTGACCCTATTATCATTCATTTGCTGCTGGGCCATGGTGTTTATATTGTTTACATTGTGAGCCATCATCATCTTGCCTCGAATCCAAAGTCCCTAACTAAGATAATTCACCTGAATAGAATTGTCCAGTACAGCTATACAGTTTCTAGTATTCGGGATGAGCTACGCAAAGTTCAACTATGGAAAGAACGCGTAGAGTTGCGGGGAAAGTGAGAAAAAGAGAAACAATACTTCTAGCCGCTGAGCCACAACAATAGTTAGACAGTACCTGCTATAGGCTCTCAAGTGGGAACTCTTGTATTTGCAAGCCATTTTTACTTATAAAGCATTTAGCTTTCCACTTAGAAGAAAGGTCGATGGACCCTAAGCGAAAGACGAAAAATTTTTTAGTACGACAAACGCTGCTTGTGGCCAGGACTCGGAACAGTAAGTGGTCACGTGTATACTATATTATCTATGTATCCCAGGTCTATACATGGTATATACGCCCAGCTAGCTGGTGTCGAGTTGTTGGTGGTGGTTGTGGTGGTGCACTCACGTGTATCCCACCGAGCGCGCTGTCGAGCGGCGTGGAGCCATATGTAATGGATGTATGTACTTGTAGTTGGACCTGTTAGTTGTGCTTGTGTTTATACTTGTGTTTATACTTGTGTTTGTTCTCGTAGTCATGAAATTGCTCTAATTCTTGTTATTTTAGTAGTAGCTGCATAGGTTACTGCTGCAAGGCCAGGCTAAACAGCGCTGCCTTTGCGCACCTTTGGGCACCATTGGTCACCGCATGATCAACGTGTTTGGGACGCATTTCACCTCCGGCAGGGGATTACTCCTCGTCGTCTCCTCCGTCCAGCAGTGTGTTTATCTCTTTCTCGATCCTCTGCTCATCCGCGGTCTTCAGCTTCTTCGACTTCGCAGCCTCCATCCGCAGCGTCAAGTACTCGTTGATATCGTCCTGCAGCCCGGTAAGCTGGTTCCTCAGCTGCCCGAGATAGGTAACCTTCCCAGCCACGCTCCTGGCCTCCGCAGGTCTGTCCCTGTCAACTTGCCCAGCATTCAGCACATACGCACTGGGCCCAGTGGTAACACCATCAGTGGTCCCGTGCGGACCAGCAACAAAACTCCTCCGCTGGTCGGGAGACACATACTCTGCACACAGCTCCATCCCAAAAAATTACCGTTCTAGTGCTTATCCCTCCATCTCGGAAACACTATTATCCTCCCAAGCAACCCTCCTTCTTATCCATCTAGCTTGGCATCGATTTTTCAGTTGTCATCGCTCATCGCACTTTGGCTCTCGATATGTTACCACCTCGATACGTTCACAGCTGCAAAGAGAAGCAAAACTACAGCTGTATCAGCACCCGTCCTACCTAGCCTTGATTGAAGCACAGACATACACATATACATATATATATACAAGTAATAGTACTATATATGTCTACACGTGATAGCTCTATACCTAGGATCCCCACCCAGCGAGAAAATGTGTCAAAAGCTTGCTGATCAGCTTAGATAAGTCCGTGGGGGGATTGTTCGTCTGAAGATGCTCTCTCTCGGAGGGCCCAAACTCGCTGGCAGGAATCAGCTCTCGAGGAATGAGCTTTCGCAGGAATGAGCTTTCGCAGGAATTTTAGAATATTAAAGCTTGCTATCCGGTACACCCAGTGGCTATCAGAAGGGTTGGCTTGGCAGTGCAGTATTGGTAATTGTGTCTTTCTAAATGTCGCATATAGGCACGCCTACCAAGAGCGGGAGTGGGATCATGGAGCGCGAGCGTGGACGGAAGAAGCAGCAGTCGCCGGCGCTGTCGTCACCCAGCTCGTGGCTCAGGAGTGCGTCTACGTCGAGTATACGGCGGTTGAGGCGGGAGCACCCTGCCTCTGGGCTGAACGTTTCTCACACGCCTCTGAAGAACTTGTCGCCGGTTAGAAGGCCGGCATCGAGCTCAGTGGAGAGGAGGCCGGCCACAGTGCAGCCTTTCTCTCTTACGACGCCGAACTCCTCGGCGTCTTTGTCGCGTATGGCGGCCAGTGTGCCTCCTAACAAGCCCAATTTGCTGAAACGGAACAGCGAGAGTCGGGTAGTGGATGTGTTGCCATCGTTCGAGATGTACAACACGCTCCATAGACATATACCACAGGGTAATGTCGACCCAGATAGACACGACTTCCCACCGACTTACCAGGAGATTGAGTCGCAGAGCTCCACTTTTGGCAGGCCTAACCCGGCGGTCAATGGTGACTCATCGCAAGTTTCTTACGACATCGACAGAAACCAGACGTTGCTGGCAGATAACGACCCTATCGACTCCAGAGCGCTGAATAACTTACAACCACTGAGAACAGAGCACCACAACATCAACTCGACTTTGTCGGGCGTTCATTCGAGAAGCAGCGTGGACTTGATCAACCCGATTCAGGACGATCTAAACGATGCAAAGTGCGTCTTTGTCGATAAGCTGTACACGTTGCCAAAACTATCGACGCCCGTTGAGATAAGTATTAAGATCACTAAGCATGCGCCATCCCCAAATCAGAAACCGGAAGAAGAGTCAATACTAAAGGAGTACACATCGGGGGACCTGGTGCACGGTTACTGCACCATAGAAAACAAGTCAAGCCAACCATTGCAGTTTGAGATGTTTTACGTCACTTTGGAAGCTTACACTTCAGTTATAGATAAGCAGAAAGGTAAGAGAACTCTAAAGAGATTTTTGAGAATGGTAGATCTAAGTGCAAGTTGGTCGTATTCGTCCATCGAAGTCAGCTCAGGTATTGAAATAGAATATGGTGGTGTAGATTACGATAATTCTATCATTGGGTTGAATAACAATAGAATCCTGGAACCTGGAAAAAAATATAAGAAATTCTTCATGTTCAAGCTTCCCACACAGCTGCTCGATGTCACTTGTAAGCAAGAACACTATGCGCACTGCCTACTTCCTCCAAGTTTTGGTATCGATAAGTACCGTAACAATTGCAAGTATTCTGTTATTAAGGTAAACCATGTTCTAGGGTGTGGTCATTTGGGTACAAAGGGCTCTCCGATTTTAACATACGATATGGTTGATGATCATCTATCAATTAATTATACAATTGATGCAAGAATTGTAGGAAAGGATCAAAAGACTCAAAAACTAAATATAATGAAGGAAAAAGAATACAATTTGAGAGTCATTCCATTTGGTTTTTCTTCTAATCTGATTGGTGAAAGAAAATCCATGGATCAATTAAACGATTTAATAAGGCTGATTCAAGAGAGATTAGATGCGTTAAAAAAAGTATTTAAAAGACTATCCAAAAATGAAGCCATTCTGCCTGGTGATATCTTAGGTACAGATATCAGTGGAACAATTGACCCATCCACAAAATTGGACTCCGAAGAAATAATTAATAGAAAAATGGAACAATTGACTGTAAAGAATCGTATGGAAGGTGCAGTATCGTTACCAGGTTTTACTCCAGCTTATAACCCAATGGCACCTAGAAAGAAAGAAGAAATGGTAGAAACAGAGATCAATTATAAATTGAAGAATAAGTCTGGCTCACATTTGACTAAGGGATTATTCTCAGGCTTCAGAGCACCATCACCGACTACACCACCAGGAACTAATGATAAAGCCGAGAAATCAGGTTTAATTTTAGTTAGAGCCGCTGTGCCAAGAAAAGGTCTAAGCTATTGGTCGCCATCTTTGCTTAGAAAGACAAATAAGTTTGACGTTAAAAGTCCAGATGATCAGACAAACTGGTTATCACTTCTAGAAAATTTGCCAGAAGAAGAAAGAGAGCCTCTAAAGCAGTTAGACATATCACTAACGTGTATTCAGTCGGACAATAGTGCGGCACATAGCCCACCAGGTATACAGTCTGTTACGACTGATTTTATCTGTGTCACAGCTAAATCTGATAATTCTATTCCTATCAGATTTACAGCAGAAATGTTAATGAACTCAGAGAAGCTTCAAAACCTAAAGTCCACATTCAAGACATTCCAGGGTACTATCAAAGACTATGAAAAGCGCTTTAATGAAAATTACATGAAGCTGAATGAGTTATATAACAAAGAGAACACTTCACAGACTCCCAGAGAGCTTAAATTCACAGATTTTATTACTAATCAAATTAACAATGATGTTGACAGTTTGTGCAACATTAACGTCAATTGCCTGGTGCTAAATGATGTTTTCAAGAAACAGATGCATACATTGAAATCTAACGCAGAATCCAGTTCTGCAAATTCATCCTCACCTGCTATTTCACATTCAGGTTCTAGCAGCAAGCTAACTAAGTTTACAGAGCAGATTATACATCAATGGGAACAGACCGGATCTTCCCAATACGAAAGAAATGTTACTGTCAACTTGGAATATAATCCAGAACTGAGAGAAACAATAGTTCCGAGTTTCGAAAGTTGTCTGTGTTGTAGATTTTACTGTGTACGTGTTACTATCAAATTTGATAATCACGTTGGATCAGTTAACCTTGACATTCCTGTGTCCGTGAGAAAGATAGAGGCATGAGCATTCTGTTTGCTTTGCTCATGAGGCACTACTAGATGACTTTTTTTTAAATTGCACATTACCTTTTTACTTATTCATTTTATTTCTTGTTTGACAACCCTTTTTGACTTCTGATATTTTCTAACATTCTTTTTTATAAAATTTAGACTTATAGTTTACTGAACTTGATTAAATAATTTTTATTTCAATTTTAAGCATTTTTACGTTTAGGTAACCCAAATTTATATAAGATGGTCTCTTAGTAATCCACAATTTAATGACATGATAGGGAAACCGAGACCGATAATCTGACAGCACCCCAAAACGAAGTTCCATCATCGTTTAATGGAAACAAGTTATCAATATCCAAACTATTTCATGACCATCAAATAAGTCTCACAAAGCTTCAATTGAGATAAGGTCCTTTGAACCCCTGTAGAATGAAAAGGCTACATTAAATCAGGAAATAATAAAAAGAAAGCTATTACTATCAAAAGATCTTTTCTAGTTAGGAAGCAGGACAGAATCACGCCATTAGTTTATTCAAATGAATTGGCTTGTGTTTTGTATCAACATTGGAATCTCTCTATCATACGTGGCTGTGCTTTATATTACATCGAAAGGCATTGAGAACTACCCAGCCCGCCGCGATGACCCTAGAGTAATTAAGAGAAGATTAAAGAATGTACTTATGGTATCGATCCTCAATACTGCCATAGTACCTCTTCTTCATTCAATTATTGTACCTCAATTGAGTTATAAGGAAGCATTTTTGAATATCGGTATTATTCCAGGCTATCATCAGCATGGTTCCAGCCAGATTAAGCTATATATTGGAACAATACTGAAGAATCTATGCCTTGTGATGCTATTATATATTGGCCCCTTGACCGACATGGTTTTATACTACATTTCAAACAAGGAATCCTCCATTTTAAGTGCATTTAGGGAGGAATTTATGAACATATGGGGACTGAGAAATTACATATTTGCACCAATAACTGAGGAACTGTTTTACACATCGCTATTATTAAACACCTATCTAACTTTGGAGCCCCGCAAACCAAAATTAACCACATTACTCTGGCAACCGTCCCTATTCTTCAGCATCGCACATATCCATCACGCTTACGAGGCCACATTAGTTGGAAACTTCAGTACCACATCAATTATAATAAATACCTTGTTCCAGATGGCATACACTGGTATATTTGGTGCATTTACAAACTTCGTTTTCTTGAGAACAGGCGGTAATCTATGGAGTTGTATATTATTGCACTCGTTCTGCAATGTGATGGGCTTCCCCAGCGGATCAGAACTGTATGAGTACTTTACCGTCATTAAAACCCCCAAATCACTAAAACTACAACATCTACTAAGCATATGGAATAAAGTATATTATATATTGTTATTCATGGGAATACTATTCTTCAAGGACGGACTATGGAGACTCACCAGCTGTCCAGAACATAATCTAATTCATTAGGCAATGTATAATTATAGACTTAAGACAGAATACATATCTTGTACTAGTTCCAATTATTTATTTATTCAATGGACTCCTTTACAATGAATCCATATACCACTATTGACTGAGCATCCCTCTTGGGGCATCGCTTTTACCGTTTTGCCAATTTTGTATGGCGAAGCCGAACCGTTTTGAATTTTTACGCGACGCGCGATTTTTCAGGCGATGGCCTTTGGTGGCTCTTATATATCCAATATTAAAGGTATAACTGGTAATAGTGCTTTCGTTCGGTGTCTACTACAACATTGGATACATAAGTACCTAGAGACACTATTCTTTTCACTAGCCCTATCAGTATATGTGTCTATGAGTTGTCAGTTGGCAATTAAATTATAATTATTGGAAGGCTTAGGACACTAACTTTGATTCTAATCGGGATATTGATACAAGCATTGCCACTTTATAGGAACCTTTTGAAACTCTGGTAGGTCGGTTTAGTATATTAAGCACCGAATCTTCATATATTTATGACATTACATGCAATTTTGAGAGCAAATTAAAGTCGGAAGGGATAATACGAATATGGGAAATCAAAATTCAGAAGTATATATTGCTGCCCAGTCGCTAGACAAGGAACTACGTTCTGTAAAGAATTTGAAGCGGCTATCCATCGGGTCCATGGATCTACTCATGGACCCTGAGATGGATATGCTTCCTTATAATAATGGATACAGGAACTCGTGGTCCACACAATTAGAACAAGGGGATAAGCCACTGAAGAGTACCAGGTACAGTGATCCTACACATTACAACTCCAAAATTGTACGACAGGAGAGACTACCATTCAAGCAAAATCAACCACAGAAATCAGATAAGGAACAAACGCAAGTAGAAAATACTAAGAAGCAACCCGGATCACCTAAATCGTTAACACGACGTGGTGCTGTTAATTTTAGCTCCAGGAGACCTGTGGACAGATCCAATCACAGTAAAAACTCTAGTAAAATAAATGATACGCTGCCCGATGAGGTAGCACAGAATTTACTATGGGTTAGAGCTGACCAACACCCAAATGTTAAGCCAGAAAACTATATCGAGCTTGTACAGGATGCCTTACATAATATTCAGATAGACAAAACTGAAGAGCACGACAAGGAGAATAGTGACACTTTGGACAAGGTATCTAGGTACTACAATAGTAACAATAAGCGCTCTCCTAATAACACAGGCTTAGTACGAAGACCCTCTTTATTGCGGAAGTCATACACGGAGTTTGACGAGGTAAAAGATAGTGATATTAAAGAGCAGTCAAGCACTAACAATAATGTTGACAGTACGCCCCATAACAAAAAGTTTACATTAAAGGATATCACAGAGGAACTTACTAGAATATCAAATAAGGCTGGTTTGACAAATAACGATGCGGTCACACTAGCCAGAACTTTAAGCATGGCCAGTGTAGCTGAAGAGGATGAAACCGATGATTTGCAAGAACGTCCAGAAGCTGAAGACGACTATGCTCGACAAAGCAGAAACAATGATGACAACTATGCGTCTACCATGCTTCTACCAACAGATAGTCTCATCAAATCCGAGCATTCTACTCTCAAAAGAAGCAAATACACTTACCATATCAGAACACAAGAGGATAAGGATCCTACCATCCCAGTGTCCACTGAGTCACAACATCAAGACGTAATCGAGGCTTCACCAGGATCAATCAATGATATATATGATCACTACCGCGAGCCAAGTGGAGATTGGAGCAGTCTGATTCAGGTTGCTCCAGAGAATGAGAATAAGAAGAGAACAGATACAGATATTGATTCAAATACAAAGATCGTCCAACATTCAACCGAACATGTTGATTTGGGGAGTACAGGTCATTCCACTAGCGACAAATCAGATATTAACAAAAAGGAACCTGCGCATAGAAAGAAAAGGAACGGTTGGTTATGGTCAAGTAAAACCAGTGAGAAAGTGAACGTCACGTCTGACAAACACGAAAATGAAGATATAGTTCCGGAAAGCCGGTTCAACCACTCGAAAAACAGGCATGAACCGCTATACAACCATAAGATAGAGATTGCCAATACCTTAGGAACACTACCAGAAAAGAAAAACGCAATTGACAAGAAGATCAGCAATATTTTCCGCCGTAAACATCATACTCGCCGAGCTAACCAAGAGAATAGTCTTGCTGGATTAAAGATTAGTCAACTACAATGGCGAAACAACGATCACAAGGAAAAAGCTGTGGAGGCTACAAATAACACTGAGGAGAACAATGGAAGTGAAAAGGTTCTTGCGGAAGCAGTAGAGGTCAGAACACATTCCAGTTATACACCACAGGGAAATGTGCATGTAAAGAACGAATACCAGACAAACAATGTTGAAAACACCAATGTACGAGAAATACCTACTGCAAACAATGGAATAGAAAAGGAGATCATTCCTGAGGTCAGCAAACACCAAAATCATCAACAGCAAAAGTCTACCGCTAGACCTGCCCATAGCAGCAAGTTTAGAATAACAGAAAAGCAAACACAAGGCCAAGATCAAGGTCAAGATCAAGGTCAAGCTCATGGATCCGATATTGGTGGGGTCAGTTTGCAACCTGCAGTCAATGTAACCAGCACTAAAAATCAGGAGATAGTAATTCAAAATGTCACTGTCACGGCCACACCATCACAGAGAGAAGAAGCAACAGACAGCAGTAAGACAGCCTCCAAGAAGCCACTCTACCCACCTAGGAAACTTACCTTTGCGGATGTCAAGAAGAAAGACAAAGCCAATGCCCCAATTGAGTTCACGGATAGTGCATTTGGGTTCCCATTACCTGAGCTAACATATTCCACTGTGATAATGTTCGACCATAGATTACCGATCCACGTAGAGAGAGCGATTTACAGATTATCCCATTTGAAATTGAGTAACTCCAAGAGAGCACTAAGGGAGCAAGTGCTTCTGAGTAACTTCATGTACTCATACTTGAATTTAGTGAACCATACATTGTACATGGAACAGAAAAGCTAGATCTTTTTCTTCAGTTCTGACTAACGGAAGGAAACTCGTAAAAGTCTTTATTTCTAGCACTTCCATTGTTCTACTAAATATCCATTAACCTATATACAGACAGCATATCAAAATCCCGCAAATACCGCGTAGTTGCCATAAGAGGAAACTCAGGGCGCAATGAATCGCAGGGGAATAGGGTCACAGCATATTAGTACTTAAACGATATATAAACAACATCTATTGGAATCCTAATACAAAGAGAAAGCTTCCCATTGTTCTAATGAAGTTTAAACGAGCGGATCCAGCTTAGATGTGCTGCTTGCTGCCCTTCTTTTCCCATTTATGGTATGCAGAACTCGTTATCTGCGATAGAAGTTATACTATGGGGGGCAGCAAAGCAGTGCACGCAGTGATTCAAACACACAATAGAGTCTACGTCATAAAATTTGGTCTTGTGATTCTTACAAAGGCTCCATGAGCACTTTGGCACTTTACTTCTCTATTATTGCCAATCCTTTACCGTGATAGCTTGGTAGGCCTGGCTGTATTTGGTGGGGGGGGGGTAGGAGGTAAGTGGAGGTAGGGTACCACCTGCATTAGTTTCTACCAGCAGTACATGCAGTCTACGACTAAGTCCACGGATTCCTTGTCAGCTTATCATTACGTGAAAATATTTCGGGTTTTGAAATTCTTTGGTGTCTCTGTATAGGAGAGAAGGGAAACTCATGGGAGAGAGAAGAGAGCAGGACACTCGCGAAATTGTGAGTCTAGTCTAGTGCTGTACTTTTAACGGGAATTGCTATTAATGTCTCATTTATTGCTATATGTTTTTTTATTTTTTTTCTTTTCGTAGTGAAAAGTTCTAGCTTCTCTTGTTATTACTCGTATGCCTTTGGTAATAAAATAGCTAAAAACTTTCTTTTTTTTTTCTTTGGTAAATAATAGTAATATATATAAAGATAAAGAAAACGCTAAAAAAAAATGCTTTCGTTCTTACTTTGCGCTTGCAATTTTACGCCTTTGTATTAGGAGGATACTACGGAAGAGGCTGACCAAACAAATCATTTAACCATTACTATGTCTGTCGCTGCTGACTCGTCCAAGACTCTGGAGCTGTTCCCACAGAGCGTTCTAGCTAAGCATAACTCCAAGGATGACTGCTGGGTGTCCACACATGAGAGGAAGATCTACGATGTTTCCAAGTACTTGAAAGACCATCCTGAAGAAGCCGATGCTGTTCACAAGGCTCTAGATGGTAAGCATGGTACTGATATCTCCCAAATGGAGTTGACTACTTTGAAGTTCGTTACCGACGACTACTTGGTCGGCTACTTAGCCACCAGTGATGAAGAGAAGAAGTTGTTGACCAACAAGTCTCACAAGGTTGAAGTCAAGTTGAACGCTGACAACACCTTTGACTCCACCACTTTCGTTAAGGATTTGCCAACTGAAGACAAGCTTTCCATCACCACTGATTATGAAAGAGATTACAAGAAGCACAAGTTCTTGGACTTGAACAAGCCTTTGTTGAAGCAAATCTTGTTCGGTAACTTTACCAAGGATTTCTACTTGGATCAGATTCACAGACCAAGACATTACGGTAAGGGCTCTGCGCCATTGTTCGGTAACTTCTTGGAAGCTTTCACTAAGACCGCATGGTGGGTTGTCCCAACTGTTTGGGGTCCTGTTGTCCTGTACTTCATTACCACCGCTCTAATGAACATGAACAACCCATTGGCATTGTTCTTATTTGGTCTAGGTATCTTCGTCTGGACTTTGATCGAATACTGTCTACACAGATTCTTGTTCCACTTCGACGAATGGCTACCAGAACACAGCATGTTCTTCATGATCCACTTCTTGCTGCATGGTTGCCACCACTACTTGCCAATGGATGCCTACAGATTAGTTGTTCCACCTGCCTTGTTCGTTGTTCTGTGTGCTCCTATCTACAAGCTGGTCTTCGCTGCTCTACCATACTACTGGGCTTGTGCTGGTTTCGCAGGTGGTATGCTTGGTTACATCTGCTACGATCTGTGCCACTACTTCTTGCATCACTCTAAGATGCCACCTTTCATGCGTAAGTTGAAGAAGTACCACTTGGAACACCACTACAAGAACTACCAACTAGGTTTCGGTGTCACCTCTTGGTTCTGGGACAAGGTCTTCGGCACTTACCTAGGCCCAGACGCTCCACTATCTAAGATGAAGTACGAGTAAACTAAATCTTCATATCTCTCTGATCTTTATTTCTTAAAATGGAAACCATCATTTTCTGCTATTATACAATGAAAGAGACCTTGACATTTTGAATTTCTTAGTACTACTCAACACATGGTAACGCAAAAAGCTCTGCTAGACTGATACTTGAAGATTTTTTCTCACGACAATGTTATTCACTTTCCTTTAACTTATAAATCATTTATTATTATGTCCTATCATTTATTATTATATATACATTTTACGAAAATTACGCCCGTTTTTTGGTTAATGATTATTATCTGTAGAGATACGCATTTTGGATATGAATTTATCACTACATCAGGTTTTTTAATCTTTAATGATAAGTGTTCACCGATGTGCAAAATTGCATATACTAAATATGATGATTTATTATTGGTATTTCTTTATTATTGGATTATCTTATATGATGATTGGACGGAAAAATTCATTTAAAGCAGAAATGTTCATTTTATCTCTCAAGATCAGTTTTTAGGTCTTATAGTGTAGTGGTTATCACTTTCGGTTCTGATCCGAACAACCCCGGTTCGAATCCGGGTAGGACCTATTTTTTTTGTAGCAGCTGAATTTCCAAAAATTTTTCCTAGATCCGATGAGATCAATTAAGTTCAGTATTGTTTGCATTTCTATATTGAGTCCATAACAAATACAAGAGGTTTTCAACAAAAGAATACCATAACCATCACTATTTAGTAACTATACTAAAGAACTCATATTCTTATTGTTGAAAGAAAACCCTCCTGCTGTCAAAATTGTCATTTGATTTTGTACTATATACATCGAAGAAAACTTTTCTTTCAATACCAAGTTAGCTACACACATGTTGTAATTAAATGTTTGATACAAGTGATAATTCGTTTGTTGGTGATCATACTATTAATTCTGATTTTAATGAGACCCATATTTCAAGTGAACAAGATACTCAAAATGATCTATACCTTGGCGGACAAGGCACTGCTAATGGGTTAGGTGATGCCACTGAGAACGGGGACTCCGATCCCACATCTAAGGACAAGAATCCCAAACTGTCAAAGGAACTAAAAACTATAATAAGCAACGCAAACTCTCTGCTGACGTCTTTAGAGGAAGAACACAGGCATGATCTTGCGATCCACCTCTACTCTTCATACCTGTTAAGGAAACTTTTGTATCAGGCACATGAAAAGAAACATTTTCAGGAGGTAGACATATTTATCAGGACTCAGATCAGAGAAGGTTGGGCCAGTTGGCCCAATCCCAATACTACAATCGACCCTCAACTGGATAGGGTTTACGAGGATAATTTTATGGCAGAACGACGGGTCGATGTAAGTGACGAAATGCGGAATGAAATAGATGCTTTCGATAAGAAAGAGTACCGGAAAATATCAGATTACTCCATGAAACACGCAAGGAATATGCTGCGGATGGAACTAAATTCACATTGGCAACATCGGTTACAACAAGCCGCATGCAAAACCGGCAAGACACTTGATGTGAACAGCATTGACATACCTACCGACATCTCAAACGAAATCATGAACAAGTTGGATCATTTTCTAGCTGGTCTGAACACAAAAATTGCCAAGATTAACAAATTCGACGTTAAACAAAGTGATTCCGAGAAGAAGCTAACTTTGATCCAGAAAGACATTGGCCAATTGAAATCCAACAGACACATAGAGTTTGACTACCATGATATAATCAGCCGAGGTTGTGAGATGGGAATCGACATGCGGAATATATACATGAAGAGTCTAGAGCTATACAACGACATACCGTCCAAGTTCGACAAATCACAGTTTAAGATACCCAAACAAATATTGGCAAAGTACAAACCCGCGGCTGCTGATCCCAGCAAGGACAAATTCAACGAAATAGTCTCACGTATGAAGGACGACTATGTCTTATTTGATAACTTAATATCGGATAAACGCCTAACTTCCACAAGTAAACTACCATGGAAGAAACTGTATAAGAAGGAAAAAGATTTACTTCTGGCAAAGAAGGTGTTTTTCTATGTCAAGGGGTATCAGGAAGAAGAAAGCTCCGAGGATGAATACTCAGCTGAAGATTGCATAGTCAAAATACCAAGACGACACTAGCATAGCCACAATTACAATAGACACGTATAATATTTATCATATAGACATCTTAAAATAGGCATTAAGTATCAACCACATCCATCATATATCACGAAGCCATCGCGAACTTCTCTGATCCACACAAATCGCGCACAGCATTTTTATTATTGGCTTGGCAGGTGTGGCACATATTTAGCCACACACAACCATTGAATAGACATCCTAAGTATGCTATGTAACTTGTACATAGTACCCGCAATCTTTACCACTGGTATATCGCTAAAGGTTCGACACACTAGTCTGCTATAACGTTCAACATCAATCATTAGTAGTGCTATATGGAAACCGGGGTTTACCCTCACAACAAGGGAATCGAGATTGTTCCGGGACGTTCCAACGACCCGAAGCAGCGAAGTGTTCAGCTTTTTTTGTTGGGATGAGCAGACATTCTCTTTCGCAGTACTCTCCGAAGGGGAATTCAAATAGCCTTCACAAGCAGGACGGAATAACAATAAAAGCCATATAGTATACAAACATAACTAGTTTCTCGCTTGTATAAGTCTAATCAAGATCTGTAAAAGAGTGTTATTATATTAGTGTTGGGATAGAAGCAAGTAAAGGAAGGTTATTGTGGGAGTTCTTTCGCGATTAACTTATTACATCATCAACAAACAGCAAATATTGTGAGTTATTTTCTCCACCCCGGGAAGAGAGAAGAGGTGATTAGCAACTGTGTGCCTAGCAAATAGTTATTTCTTTAATCGAGATCAATCCTGACCTATATCTCCATATTGATCGATATCCTTACTCCATTTGAACTTTTTTAGATTAACATACTACAGAATCGAGAAACATTTACAACGTTGGTAAGCAGTAACAATAGCAGTACATTCCTTTAATATCATAAACCATCATATTGCACATTAAAAGGACACACCTTTTAACAAAACGAATAAAACCAAAAAAAAAACCAAACAACAACGACAAATAACAAAGCCTATTCTTATTTTAAGGAATCCTGTTGTAATTCAGATTATACTTTTCTTCTTTTTATTGTCAAAGGTGCGCTTAACTGGTGCCTGAGGAGCTACTTTACTGAAAAATCAACTTCCAAGTTTTAACTTCTGTGCTATAATGTCTTTAGATTACGAAATCTACAAAGAAGGCGGTACACTGAACGATAGATATCAGAAAATTGAAGATTTGAGCGAGGGATCTTACGGGTATGTGTCGCTAGCCAAGGATCTAAAGTTAAAAAGGCTAGTGGCTGTTAAATACATCTTTAAGCTTGACGAAGATGACGACAATAACGATTGTAACGACGCGGACAATTCTAGAATTGAGGAATTGCCTGATGGAGATATTAACAAGAACAATGAGTTCGAGAACAACAAGGAGAAGGAGAATAGTTCCCGGGAAAAGAAAAATATGATGAAGTATAAGAAGTCACTAATTTCTTCGAAGATCAGATCCAGGTTGTCCAATAACATTTGTCTTGAAGCAATGTATGAGGTTGATATTCAAACCAAGATTGGGTTCCACGAAAACATTGTTCAATTATATGACTTTTTCGACTCTTACATTATCATGGAATACTGTTCAGGAGGTGATTTGTATGAAGCCATCAAAGATGATCTTGTTCCAAAGAAGACCAAGGAGATTACTCATATATTAACTCAAATCCTTGATGCAATTGAATTTGTACACAACAAACAAATTTATCACCGTGACATCAAACCAGAAAACATCTTAATCACTAGCTTAATCGATTGGAAGATCAAGCTAACAGATTGGGGTCTGGCTACAACGGATGAAAAATCTTATGACAGAAATGTTGGTTCTGAGAGATACATGCCCCCAGAGTTGTTTGAAAGTAACTTGGATATTGATGAAAGAAAAGAACCTTATGACTGTAGCAAAGTTGATTTATGGTCCATTGGTATTGTGTTTTTGAATGTTGTCTTTTACAAGAACCCTTTTAGAATTGCTGACCAATCTGATAAATCCTTTTGTTATTTTGCATCCAATAGAGAGGCGCTTTTTGATGTCTTCTCGACGATGACATACGATTTCTTCCAGGTGCTAAGATACAGTTTGACCATCGATCCAACTAACAGAGATATCCAAAAGATTAGAGCTGAATTGAAGAATCTCTCCCAATACACGCTTGACGATAATTACTACAATGAGGAATTGGACAGGGAAGAAGAAGAAGAAGAAGTCGAAGACATTTTCGACAAGCCTCAAGCACCTCCTTCATCTGCTCCTGTATCTCTTCCTACTCCAGTTTCCTCATCGAAACCACTTCCAAAATTGCAGGATGATTTCACATTTCTTCAGTCATCTCCTACTGATGTGGATGATGGAATCAGTTATGATCCTCATGAGGAAAATGAAAGGGACAACCAGTTCCAGCATGATGAGAAGCCAGATGTGATTCAACCAAAAGTGGAAGATAGCCATGGAGAAGTTAAAGAAAGGGCCAAATCGGTTCCTAAATTTAGATTCCAAAAGCGCTCAAAGAAGCCTATCAAAAACAACAATAACAATTTCTACTCTGTTGGTGGTAGTAAGGCTATTAAGATTGAACCAAGACGTAGGAGTAAGATCATCAAAAATTCAAGAAAACCGTTGGGAATTCCGACACCAAACACTCATATCAACAACTATATGTCAGAATATGAAAGCAAGAGAGATGAATTCTTTCATACTCGTCAATTCTTTACACCTCCAAGTGTTCAGAACAGATACATGGAAGGTATATTCAATAAAGGATATAATAATAGTAGATATCAAAACAAACAAGGAAACGGAAAACATTGGAATAACAAATACTTCAGTCATCATAACGGACAACACCAAAACGGTAAGTCCAACTCAAGGAGAAGACCAAGTTCTGCAGGTATCAACTATAATGGCAATGTTAAAAATGTTTTTCCACGCTTTGTACACAACAGTAATTTGAACCCAAATTCAGGTAGAAGAAGCTCCGTTCACACTGTGCAGCATTCTCCAGGAACTTATATTCCTCCAAATGCAAGACATGACATCAAAAACAACGCAACTGGTCATAAGTACAGTACTTCACATAGTGCAGTCTCAAACGGCTTGCCTTACAGCTCCCATAATAATCATGTCCCTGACATCTCAACAGTATTGGATTCACATCACGAGACCGCTAAGGTTGATCTAGGTAACCTAACTGCTCAGGCCTACCGTCAACATATTGGCAGAGAAACAGATCATTTCAACATGAGAAATGGGTTTGAGATGGATGACCATGAGCATGATTCAGATGATATCTTGTTTTCACTTGATGAAAATGAACACGATTCATTTGTTGATGATATGCAGCACCTGTCCTTGAGCAGCCATACAGACCATCCTGAACCGGATTCTCATACATCTAACGGATTCATTAGGAATGATCTTCCACCTTTAACGATCAATGGTATAATGAATAGTATCTCGACAAGAACATCAACACCATCGTCTACTAGATCAAGACGTTCAAATGGTGGTAACGATTTACCGGATTTGTTAAAATCACCAGTTCTTGCCGAAACTCCTTTGAGCAGTATCCACAATGGTGATCCAAGACCTGCTATTAACGTTAATGGAAATCCATTGTTGGAGAACATTAAGCATCCACAGCATATGCGGACTTATGGTGTGAAAATCCCTAGCCTGGAAACACCATCAAAACAATCTCAGGAAAGACAATTTAAACCTGGTGTTTACGTTCCACCGCATCAGCGCAGAAGTTTCAATTTAGGTGCAGGCACCGGAATGAATAACAGAGCGCATATTATTAATGGAACAAATGAGGCCACCTTATCTGTGACACCAAACTCTGTCCAATATGGAGGCGCCTATAAAAACCGACGTGGAAGCCTTCCAGCTAGTGCTTTCGGCGGCTATAACCGCAGGTATACCACTGGTAATTCAGCTCATCGCCCTAACATTTTACAGCATGACATATATGATAGAATGGATAACGATGCCCTTGAATTCGAAGACGATGAGCCACCATTTCAAAATAGAAATCATCATAGAAGACACAATTCTAAAAGAAAAGAAGTGCCTGATATGTCCAACACATCAAATACCCCTGAAGAAAAAACAATGTTTGGCCCATATGACATATACTCGAAGACCAATGGCCAGAACTACCCGAACGCTAGAAAGTCTAGTGTTCTTCAAGAAGACATGGTGGGATCTTTAGAACAGTACAAGAACTACTGGTTGATGCTACAACAACAACAAGATTAAACATCAATTTAGAAAGCGTACTTTATCGAATGTTTTCCTCTTCATTTTTGTATGACACTTCATTTTGTTTTCACGAATTTAAAGGTAAAGGGGCTTTTAGTATTAAAGTTTGTATCGAGTATGAGCAAGGAATTTATCTTTTGCCGACTATTACAATTTTCCTTAAAGATTAGGTTTCACGGTGGTACAGCCTTTATCAGAATCAAAATCATTTAAATCGGTTTATTTTAAAACTACTTTTGAAGAATTTCATTTTCGCTCTTGCTAGTTTTATATTGCGATACTGATAGTTAAAACAGATAGGTGTTCCATCTAATTTTTTTTTTTTTATTTTCTATCTCATATCTGAATTACTGATTGAACATGAGCAGAAAACTAAAGCATTTTCGAAGTTGATTTATTTTGTGTTCCTGCTTTCATTCTATAAGTTTTCTATATACCTCAAATTGCATATTTTTTGATATTTTTTTTTTTATGAAATATTACGATTTACATAATAACATATGAAAGATTAAGTCACCGTAAGCATGAATTGCCTTTTTTATAATATTATAGGTTATATCCCGATGATATTCCTTGTGTTTAATGTACATAAATTACCTTTTTAACTAGTTTTTTTTTTGGATGAGGGATATCATTTCTTTGATACCTTACTGCTTTCTTCGAATTTGATATGCTTGTTTTTGAAATTCTGTTTGCTGATGGTAGGCTGGCCCAAAGTTTTCCGTATCTGCGACTTCACTGTCTCTTGTTTCAGTTCTTGTTCGGAGACTTTGTTCTTCAACTTATTTTCCAACTTCTTCGTCCTCTCAATATACCCACGAACCCTCTGCAGCTCCACCATAACTTTCTCATTCAAATGCTGTGTGTCGTGGCCCGAAAGCAACTTGACATAGGAGAACATCAGCGACGCCAAAATATACGCATAGTTATTCGTAGTCTTCAGCCTCTTCAACTCGTCAGTCTCTTTCACCAACGTCTCTTCCAAGGGACTGGCATAGTCCTGCACCAACTCCGTCAGCTCCGCAAGCCTCTTGTCCAACTGCTTGATATACGGCCTTATAGACTTAATCTCCTCACTCATGTCTTCCCTTTGGAACGTGGCCAGTCTATGTACAGAAGAGCAAGTTTCCCACCACAAGCCGATGAGCTTTATTTATGAGCCAGCGCGATGAGATCATCTAATTACGCAATTTTTTTTTCTCGCTCCCAGTTTACCCACTGAGTAGATGCAAAATTTAAAAAACAGAACGTGATCATTACGTGTTCACGGATATGTAATCATCTAGTACGTAATGATCACACCACATCTTCCTGCATTCCGTGTAAACAGACACAAAATCACTTGCAACCATGAGTTCGTGTTCAGTTACTCAGCCATAAACCTACGAATCCTTATTCCGTTCTCGGATCCGAGACATCAAAGACTTCTAAGACATCAGAGGGACCAGAAGGATCAGACAGACCGATAAACTTGAACAGCTTCGATCCTCTCCTCCGGTGAGGATCCGCATTGCATTTTGTTCAAAACGGGAAAGGAGGGACGGGAGGGGCCAGAACGGATGTTTGTTAACAAGTTGAAGACCCCTATTATAAGGCCATTTACCCTTCTTATCCCAATTAAGCTTGCTTACGGGATGGGAACCGTTCCAACAACTCAACTCGATGCCTCCAATCTCCCCCCCAAACCCCATTGCCAATTATTGGCATTCATTTAAGCTATATAACTAGTAATTGTTTCAATTGTGAAACTTATATGTAACCAAAGCAGATATAAGACTGTAATAGATCCTGATAATGACTGGGTTGACCAAGCTGCTGCATTTGGACAAGAAGAAGCAGAAGCGGAAGTCTTCCGCTTCTGCTTCTGCTTCCGCTTCTCCTACTTCGAAGCCTGACGTTTCTCCCAGGAAAATCCATACCCCCGAACCAGTACCGCATGCACATAGGCCCACCGTGGTGCTGCCGGATGTGTCCTCGCTTAAGAGCACTCCGATGCACAAGACCCGGAGCAACTCCACCTATAACAGCAACGGCAACAACTCCCACGGACTTGATCCCGCTGAGCCCGGGTTCCTGAACATCCCTATCTTCATGGACATCACAAATGTGTCTGACCAGGAGACACACGCGGGTGACAAAGCGCCCTCGGCTGCGGGCGATGCGAAGCTTGTGAGGCCCGAGATAGTGACGCAGTTGACTAGCAAGCAGGGCAGCATCACACCGGGCCATACTGACAACCAGTTCTTTGACACGCTGGTGAAGATGGCCCATGAGGCGTCCGTCTCAGCAGGCGAGAGTGCCACTTCTGCTCTGCGAAACGTTACCAACAATGTAGCTCACCTCGCCCTCCCAGCAGATGCCAAGGACTCACACTCACAGCAGAACTCAAGGGAGAATTCACAGGTAAACTTGCAGGAGCACCACCAACAAAATCAACAAGAGTCTCACAGCAAGTCCGATGCCCACAGCAAATCCGATGCCCATAGTCACCTCAGCGTGGCATCGCACGAAACTGACGATGCATCAAAGCATAGCAAGAGGAACAGCAGAGAGTTCTTGAAAAGCTTGGACAACATGCTTGCCGAGAACGGTCAAGCTGCGGGAGCAGTTCCTGGTAACTTCCCCAACGAGTCCAGGGACTTGCAAAGGGCTGTCAACGAACAGGATCAAAAGGAGAATGTAGATGCTGCTGTAGCTCCAGAAGTCACAGAGGATGGCCACAGAGTTGCTAAAGTGGAACCTCTCAGGGAGAAAGAATTGAATAACTCACCGTTGGCCAATAAATCCAGACAACAAACCACTGATAATGGAAAGTCAAAGTCGTGCTTCGTGGAGGCTATGTTTAACACGCCAAACATCGATCCTGCCGCAAAGGCTAAAGAGGAACACATGAAATCACATAGAGCTCAGACCGAAGTAAACCGCTCCACTGGCGACATATCAATAGACTCCAGAGGCGCTTTACGGGCTGCTACCACAAGCTCCCCACGTAGACATAGTTCATCTATATCCTCAGAGAAGAATAATGGTCACAGTAATCATTCCCCACATTACCACAGCCCATTACATGACAGCGGTGCAGAAATAGAACAGAGACATTCCATTGATGTACCATCCAATGCTGGAGGTGGAGACCACAGGTCAAGAAGCCTGTCCAAGACTATATTGGGCAGAAGGTCATTCTCTCCTAATTCCATGGGTATGAACTCATTGCCCTCGAGTGCTATTAGATATTCCATCAGTAAAGTCAAGAATGCCATTGATATCACCGATAGCTCATCAGGTAAACCAAGAAGCAGTTTTGCTGATTCCATTAAGTCTAGTTCCTCAACTGGTACCAACCCAGACGGAACGAGAGTTGATTTAGATACAGAGAGCAACCAGGGCCCAATAAAACTAAAAAATATGAAATATGCATCAGATAGGAAGAACAAAGAATTCCATTCCATGTTTAAAAACTCTAATATCAACCCAGAGGAGAAACTGATAAGTGAACAAAGCTGCGCGCTATCACGTGATATTCTACTACAAGGTAAATTATTTATTGCCGAGGAGCATTTATGCTTTTACTCAAATATTCTGGGCTGGACAAGCACTGTTGTGATTGCCTATAAAGATATCGATCAAATCGAGAAGAAGACAACTGCTGGTATTTTCCACAATGCTATAGCTATTGATACACCAGATGCCAAATATCTCTTTGCATCATTTCTCTCTAGAGATAGTACTTTCGATCTTTTAACTGATATTTGGAATCAAATTGTGATAGGTATGAGGCTAAGAGAAAAGGGCAACAAAGGTTCAATGTCGGATGATTCTGATTCTGATTACGATGACTCAATGTCTGAGAGTGAACTATCTGATGGTGAAATGGATTCAACAGCTAATAATGATCAACAAACAGAACAAACTGAGCTGGACTCAACTCCTTCAGGTACCATCGATAAGCCAAAGAAGAGTAAAAGTAAAACCAAATCTGGCAGTTCCTCATTTGGTCCGGAACAGCATGAACCCACTACTGCAGATTATCAACCGGCGTCAGGTGAGAAGATGATTAATAAAACTATAATTAAAGCTCCAATGGGTAAGGTGGCTCATATTCTCTTCGGTGATGACACAAGTTATTTGGTTAGTATTTTGAAGGCTCAGAAAAATTATGATATTTCTGCTATTCCTAAAATATTAGAGACAAAGAAGCGTGATTATCAATATACAAAACCCATATCTGGATCTATTGGTCCAAGTAAAACGAAATGTATTATCTCTGAGACCTTAGAAACTTACGATCTGGATAGCTCAATTAAAATGGTACAAATGACTAAAAATCCTGATGTTCCATCTGGTAACTCTTTCGTTGTCAAAACAACATTCTTACTAAATTGGGCAGCTGATAACTCAACTGAATTCCGTGTATATGTGGGTGTTGAATGGACTGGTAAGAGTTGGATCAAAGGTGCTATTGAGAAGGGTACCTTTGATGGTGTTACCGACACAACTAAGACAATGGTCAATGAAATTAATAAATACTTACCAAAACTGACGTCAAGCAATGCAGAAGAAGAATCCGAACCATCAGAAGGAGAAGAAGAAGAAGTAGAAGAAGTCATAGAGATTTTAGACTTACCACATCAAGGTCCTCTTGTTCATGAAGCTACAAAGGCAAATGTTGAAAAGACAAAAGATGATGTTGTTATTGAGCAAAATGTAAAATTACCAGCTCCATTAGGCACTTGTTTTGAACTAGTGTTTGGTAAAGACACTTCCTATATTAAGAGAATTACTGAGAATCAAAATAACTTTGACTTGTCTGAGATTCCTGGCTTCAGCAATAACAAGAGAGAATTCACATATACAAAGAGGTTGAACAACTCAATTGGGCCAAAGCAAACAAAATGTCTTATTACAGAAACGATTGAACATATGGATATCAATAACTATATCATGGTTAAACAAGTCACTAAAACTCCAGATGTCCCTTCAGGAAATAGTTTTGCTGTTCATTCTTGCATATATATGTCCTGGGGTCCTGGAAATTCTACATTACTAACTGTTGTATCTAAGGTGGTTTGGAGTGGGAAGAGTTTCTTGAAAGGTGCAATCGAAAAGGGATCAATTGATGGACAAAAGGGTTCTGTTAGCATTTTAATCAAGGAACTAAAGGATATAATTTCTTCTGCAGGTACTACTAAGAAGAAAATTAAATCAAAGAAATCAAAGAAATCAAAGAAAGCTCCAAAGGCTACAGAACCTGCACCAGTTGTCGAGTCACCAGAAGAAGAGGCAACAGAGGAAACACAAGAGTCTGAATCATCATTAGTATCATCCATTATGGATAAACTCATGGATTTTGATATAACATCTCCTTTTGGAATTGCTAGTGTTCTCATCATATTAGTCATAGTGATATTATTCTTTAAGGCAATATTCTGGCGTTCAAGCATAGAACCAAGAATGCAATTCATGAGACCTGGAAGAATTATTATTGATGGCTCCGAGTACAACTACGTTCCTAGTTTCAAGACACTTTACGAAATGTATGAAGACGATATTCGTAAAAGTATCAAGAATAAGCAATATTACAAGAATAATATTATTCTTGAATCTGAAAAGACGATATGGGACTGGGTCAACGATAGAGGCAATGAATCAACGCATACTAACAACGCCCATGCTTCTACATATGATAAGAAGAAGGTCGAAGAGCTTGAAGAAACTATTAAACTCACGGAACTGCAACTGGAACAAATGAAGCAGTTATTGAAGAAACAGGCTCATGGTTTATTATAAGTCATTGAGAGGGAAAAGTAAATTTTCAAATCTATTGTACACTATAGTGTTGTATTAAAATTGTTAATACTAATGGCATGACATGTTACACAGTACTAAAATTTAACGTAACTAAAATTATCTAGTAATATATAAAACACATCTATAATTAATAATTATTATCTCATATGAATGACAGGTTTAATAGTACTATTTTCTAAATATGCGTAAAGAGTGACTTATATAAAGAGGAAAGATTACAGAGCCGCCGACTTTTTGTTGGATAGTATAATCTGTCAGAGATTTAAAAATTACCCCCAGTATTTCAATTCCAAACCTATAGTACCACTGAAGATAATCTTTCTCCACAACATAACTCCTGAATAATATTCCAAAAATGATGACTGATATTGAAGGGCAGATTAGGGAATTGAAGGCACACTTAGTCGAGCTTCAATTGCAGCGCAAGTACCTGGATGAGAAATTCATTCAGCTTTTCAAATCAGCGTATGTTAAGATATACCACTCATTATCATCGTTGTATTCATGGCTATAATATTACTAACACCAATAACGGAATCATAATTTAGTCAACGCTAAAATTACGTTGAAAAGATATCAAAACAGTGTAGATAAAGAACCTGATATGGAATCTCCTGTCAAAATCATTGCGAAACATATAAAATCATTAAAGACCTATAATGAGTTGAGAGATGTTGGTTTAAAGCTTGCCCAATGCGTTGCAGATGAAAAGAACGTATCAATTGGCCAAATATTTGAGGAAATAGGTATTTCTATGAAAGATGAATAAATTGTGCTACATTTTTCTACTTACTTTAACATTATCTGAAAATTATCTCAATAATAAGTTCTGTAAGGGACATCGAGATATCATGATATCTAGAAAACTGGAGTATTCAAATTGATACTCTATTTTAACGAGAGAGGAGCAAAGACAAGATCTACGATAGAACTATAATTCAGTTACTATAAGAAAGGGAGAACATTGTTATGGTCAATAGTACTTTAAAGGTCTGCTCGATTGTAAGAGCTTCAAATAATAAAGAAGACTAATCGACAAAAATCATAATTAGTCAATGACTAATGTCAATAGAATATATTGACTAAAATATTTTATATAAATCGGTTAAATTTAATAATCACACTCGATTGGTGCTTTAATGCCTCTAAAGTAGAGGCGCAATGCGGGTTGCTATGACTCTCCTGTATCCTGTTGTATCCAACATGATTTACAGATTTTCGATTCACGTGACTTTGTGCCTTAATTGAGTAAGAAATCCGAATATCATCGCAATTAGAAGCCGATATACTTACTATAATATTATCAAAGTTGGACTGAAAAACTGTATCGTCTCCTTGTCCCGAACATCAAATACTTCATTTCATTAGCTCATTGAATAGAAAACTGAACTCTGGGCCTGACGAAACAAAGGTAGGAGCAAAATATAGTGCGAAGCTTCAAATGCTCTTATAGGTAAACATAGGCAAAAGCAAAGTTCTGGTCTCTTTTTGAACGCTGTATTCCTATAAGGTTACTAGAGTTTTAGGATTGCTAATAATATATCTATTATCAGCATAACGAAGTGTTTTTTTTTCTGATACAGAAGTTTTTTTAAAGAAGAGAAGGCTACAGAACAAGTGTCATAGATTGATAACCGGACTCAAAAATTTACTGAATAAAAGGTTTGAGGATAACTTTCAAGTGATATTAGTATCTTGGATTATATTTTTACGATTCTAGTTGCACACATTTTAATTATCTAGAAACAGTATCATGGGTAAATTTTGGTTTTGGCCAAAACATGATCACGATAATTCAACATTTGCCAATCAGGATGCGAAAGATTCGGAACAAATTAATTCCTCCAACTCCTTATTAGAAGAAGATTTTTCTCATATTTTAACTTATGAGGGTCTTGAGATTGATCCTACTGGAGCCATAGTAGACTATAATATCGATATTAATGAAGTACGTCGAAAGTCACAACTAAACACTGTCGAGACGCCCAAAGATACGATAAAGGAATATATACCCGAAGAATATGTGACAAATCAGAGTAAAGTCTCCCATAGCAGATACACAATCGCTCAGATTATTTTAGTAACTGATGTTGATGGAAACATACATTCTCTTAATAAAAATAATGGGGAACTACAGTGGACTTTACCTGGGTCGATTTTTCCTCCACTAATTAAAGTAGAAGCGGATGCATCTTTGGAGAATGAGATATTTATAATAGAACCATTTGATGATGGTAACATATATTACGCTGATGTTAGCGGGGGAATCCAAAAACTTCCAATAAATGTCAAGCAGCTGGCTTTATCATCACCAATACATTTAAGAATGAACTCCAGAATGGGAGCTGATAATGAATCCAAAATTGATGATAGAATTTATATTAGTTCTAGACGCTCAGTGATGTACAAAATTGATCTATTGAGTGGAAAAATTTTATCTAAGTTTGGTTTCGAGTCCCAACATGATAATCAAAGTTTCTATTCAATGCATGAAGATGACCAGGAAAGTGACTTAGACAATTCCTCTTTTAATGTGTTACTTACAAGAACCATTTACGAAATTAGAACGTACACAAAGGAAGGTGCGTCTTACAATATAACATATTCTGCATGGGACGAAAATTCCATACAGAGTTCCAACCCTCAATTTCAGATGCTTAAATCCGATACCAATAAAGTTGACTACATTCCCTTAAGTGATAAGTCAATTGTTGCAAGAAATCAGCTAAATGGAGATATGAAATGGAGGACTGAAATCCCAAATATAGCGATTGGGGTTTTTGAGATACTTCGTGACACAACAAATGGTGAACATATTCCAATTCAGTATCCATTAAAAGATGTTGATGTACCAAAACCAGACGATATAAAAAATCAAGTTTATTTCAATAGAGTAGATGGTAGTTCTTGGTATGCACTGTCAGGTACGAACTATCCATCTTTAGTAGGAAGTGCCTCATTGATCAACAATGAGCAGGATAATAACAACTACAGTGTTTTAGGAAGCATATCTGGTGTCCATACTCTTCAAAATCCTGATTACAATGTATTTTACGAAAACAACAGAGGTGTTTTGGGTTTACCTGCTATGAGTAGAAACACATTATTGTTGGACCCACCAAATTCTGTAGTAGATAGTGGTTTACCATCAGATCTGCAACCCCCATATATTGATGGCTCATATAATGATGAAATTTCAGAACAAGAAATGAGGATGCAGCTAAATAGATTGCGTAATGTATCCCATGGTTACTATGAAGAGTTAATGAGTAAATTATCTCAGATAATTGTGCTTTCTATGCTAGGAGTATTTGCATTGTCAACTTTTATTTTTATTTACTCTAGAGTAACAGGTATGCCGGTAAAGCATATGTGGTGGAATATAGTAAACATATTCAGAGCTAATAACAATACAATTACTGCCAAGAAAGTAACTGAAGAAGGTGGTCAGGTTGAGAAACGAAAGAGAAAACGAGGTGCCAGAGGAGGAAAAAAGAACAAGAAAAGCGCATTCATTAGTAACAATGATGATGAGTTGAGTAATAGAGTTTTGCAAGTGTCAGACAAAGTTTTGGGCTATGGGTCTTCTGGAACAGTGGTATATGAAGGAAAATTTCAAGAAAGAAGTGTTGCTGTTAAGAGAATGTTGGTGGACTTTTATGATATAGCATCCAAAGAGATTGAGCTGTTATCAGAAAGTGATGAGCACCCAAATGTTGTTCGTTACTATTGCTCAGAGGAAACAAGCAAATTTCTATATATAGCACTTGAATTATGTGATTCAAATTTGGAACAACTAATCGAAACGAATAATGTAATGAGACATGAACAAAGATTAAAAGATTATGAATTGGTGGACATATTAGCACAAATTACTCAAGGAATCGCTTACTTACATTCATTAAATATAATTCACCGTGATATAAAACCACAAAATATTTTGATATCAAAATCTAAGAAGAGGCTTCAAAAGCCCACTACAGGTAATGGAAATAATAAGACCAGAATCATGTTATCTGATTTTGGCTTATGTAAGAAGCTTGATTTCGAGCAATCTTCTTTCAAAACCAATATAAAAAATGCAGCAGGTACGGTTGGTTGGATGGCACCCGAATTGCTTATTGAAGATGAAAACAGTAATAAAATAAGTGTATCTCAAGAAATTGAGAAGATAGATGAAGTATATGACCCATATTTGAGGAGAAGATTGACAAAAGCAATAGACATATTCTCACTCGGTTGTGTTTTCTACTACGTTTTATCGGGAGGATCACACCCCTTTGGAGATAAATATACGCGTGAATTCCAAATCATAAATGGTAAAAAAGATTTCAAAGGATTAAAAGAAAATATGAAAGATAAGTCATTGGTATATGAGGCTGTAAATATTTTGAATCAATTACTTAATCATGATCCATCGAATAGACCCAGCGCTGAAGTAGTTTTGAGACATCCATTCTTTTGGTCAAAAGCAAAGAAGTTGGACTTTTTACTGAAGGTGAGTGACAGGCTGGAAATTGAAACCCGCGATCCACCCAGTGAATTACTAACCAAGCTCGAAAATAGATCAAGAAGAATAATACCACATCATGACTGGTGCAAATACCTCGATCCAGAATTCTTTGAAAACCTGATGAAATACCGCAAATACCAAAAGGAGAAAGTAGTCGACTTGTTGAGAGCGATAAGAAATGTTTACCATCACTATAATGACTTGCCAGAACACATAAGAGAAAAAATGGGGTCCATCCCTAATGGATTCTATGACTATTTTTCAGAAAAATATCCGCATCTATTAATGGAGGTTCATTTTTTGATTAATAAAACAATCAAGAATGAGAATTTATTCGAGGAGTTCTTTTGAAAAAGTATGCTATAATCATTTAATGAGGTAAATCGCATGTATATAATTAACGATTGAGCGGTCAACCTTGCATTACTGAATATTTTCATTTATAATTTATTTAATAAGTAGTACTAGAAAAGAACACATTTTATAAATATAAATATATGTACAAGATGATATTTCTAATCTTGTTGTAGTTGTTGTTGGTGTTGTTGTTGTGCAGCCAGCTTTCTTTCCTGCCTTCCTTTCTTCATGACTTGCTTCAGAGCGGCGCTATCTAATGGGTCTAGTAATTCAAAAGAACACATTAACCCCTCGCTAACACTCATAACAGCACCCCAGTTATCAAATTCTCCACAGTAGTTCGGGGCTGAAAACACAGTAACCAAACTCCTATCATTAAAAAATTCATAGCCATCTTCCACAACCATATGTGCTCTGCAAACTAAATCAAAACCAAATTTGTTCAAGAATTTATTGATAGCCACTTTATTGTAACAGTAGCTCACACCACGTTCATTATCTTCCCATTCATTAGGAGAATCGGTTGGATCTGACCATAATAAATCATTAATCAAACCAAAATCAGGTACGTCTGTAGGTCTGCTTACATGCCGAATTTCATCCATAGAATTCAGAACTGGTGATAAACCGCCATGGACACAAAAGATTTTTCCAGTGACAATAGCTGCTAGGGGCAGTGTATTGAATGTGTCAATAAAGGTTTTCCATGTTTTTATATTGCAACGTCTCTTACATTCATCATAAAAACCATAAACCCTAGTAACATTTGCACATTCGTGGTTGCCCCTCAATAAGAAGAAATTTTCTGGATATTTTATCTTGTAACAAAGTAGTAGTAGAATTGTTTCCAATGATTGTTTGCCTCTATCAACGTAATCACCTAAGAAAAGATAATTTGCCATTGGTGGGAAACCACATTTGGTAAATAACCTCAGTAAGTCGCCATACTGCCCATGAACATCCCCCACAATTTTTACCGATGGTGACAATTCTAATAATGCAGGCTGTGCTAAAAATATCTCTCTAGCTTTTTGACATATTTGTGCAATTTCCGAGTTTTTCAAACATACGTTTTTAGTTCTCTTAGCTGCATAACCAGCGTCCAGAAGTTTTTGTATTGTCTCATCAATATCAATTGGTTTAACAGGTTTCTTCTTTTTCGTATCAATACCTATCTCAGTTTGAGCTTCAGCGATAGCTACGTCAGATGAAATTGAAGGATATGCGTCAATCTGTAATTTAGAGTGCCCAGATTGATTAGAAGACATACTAGATTTCCTATATTTATCGTTGTTCAATTCAGCTAATTTGTCCCTATTTCCACCTATCGTATCCAAGTTGTTATTTTCTCCAGGTTGTGCTCCGAAATAATCCCCTCTATTGCCATCCAATACTGCTGCTGGTGAATGTAATGGAGTACTATATTCTGTATTGCCATTGGAACCAAATGATGACTTCCTACTAAGTAATGAGGAAGCCATTGAGTTTGTCCTGTGGAGAGATGATTTACCAATTGGTGTATCTCCACGATCAATGCCGCTGTTGTCAGACTTCCTTCTCATTCGAGAACTTGAAGACATAGAGCTAGTTCTTTGAAATTCTGTGGCGGATAAATTCCTGTCCCTACCAAAGGTATGGACAATGCTATTATCATTATTATTACTAATGCTGTTGTTATTTTCATCATCATCTGTAAGAGCATTTTCATCATATGCGAAAGAGTTTGCAGACGACAATGTTTTGCTGTTTCTTAAGATTGGTGGCTTCGGTTCTATCTGTATCATAGAAGGCGGCAGTTCACCATGGTTGTAACTAGACCTCCTAGAGCTCGACGCCCTGCGCGCGTTATTCATAGACGTTCCTGCCGTCAGATAATTATTACCTTCAGTATTATTCCCACCTGAATTCGATAGCCCACCAATGTTATTAGAAATGCTATTGTTGGCTGACATATTTTCAGTGCCTTTCCTTGTATCATTAGTACTCGCTAAAGGGGGTTCCTCAGTATTCAAAGCCTCTGAGGATGCACCGAAGTTGTGTATACTGCTTTTCCTTGAGTGTGTAGGTCGAGAAACATCCGAGTGTCGCGAACTTTGCGATCTCACAGACTTCGTCGACTGAGTAGTATCAGACTTCGACAGAGCAGGCGGCACAGCCACGTTGCTCAGTTTCTTGCCTTTCTTCTTGATGCTGGTCTTGGTCTTGGAAGATGTATTACCCATGATTTAATAATAATATGCACTAGGTTTCCTAAATACTTTCTGTTAGAGGGGATGCAAGTTCTAACAAATAAAAATAAGGTGATTCGTATAGGTTCTTGTTTCCGATAATCGGACAGCAAGGGAAAATAACTGCGAAAAGAAAATTGGTCAAACGTCTCAATCGGCAGTGAAGCTCTATAGGTTTTAGACTAACTCAGAAACTGTCTCACAGATACTTTCTAAAGAGTCACAATCAAGTAAAACTCCACCTATAACTCACTTAAAAAATCGAATTTTCGTACAGGGGAAAAAGGCTCCTGGGTCAAAATAAATGCTGCTATCCGCTGAACACTAATGTATATGCAAGTAATGCCCGCTATAACCGCTGTTTTCGCTGTTTTATTGATGCTATATTGCTGCAATTGCTCATAATATTGCTCTTCTTATGCTCACTCGCTTCTATTTTTTTTTTTTTGCACCTTTGGCCTCCTCAGAGCAATTTGGGAATGAAAAACTATGACGTCCTTAATGATATGACTATTTCTGGGATAATAAGTCAATTTGAATGCTGGCTCTTCAATGTTTGATATGCTGTTATAAGCGTCAATTGGTGCTGGTGGTACTCTTTATTGTGCAATATTAGTGGACGGTATTGTAAGAGATTCAGGGTAGTCGAGAAAGCAGTGATGGAATTGGCGGTACAGCGGACTGATACGGATGCTCTCAGTAGTAAAGTGAGTGCCATACACACAAAGTATCTTAGCGGTGGGATCAGCCAGCAGTTTGCGTATGAGGAAGTGTATGGAGAGTATTTGGCGTCGTTGCGGCAGGTGAGCAGGCGGGTTTTTGGAAAGTGCAGGTACAGTGGTGCGTCTTTCCCGGTTATGAACTATGGCACTTATCTGAGGACGGTAGCGATAGATGAACGTGTACTGGAGTTTTTGCAGTGTAATAGTGGCTCACAGGTCCAGATTGTAAATATTGGTTGCGGGTCTGATCTTCGGATGGTGTCTGTTCTGGCCAAACACAGCAATGTGAAGTATATCGATTTGGACTTCAAAGAGTCTGTGGAGTTGAAGAGACAAGTGCTGGAGAAATCGTCTACGTTATCCAGCTATCTCAAAAACGATAACTATGTGCTGAGAAGTTGTGATCTGAGAGATGTACCAGATACATTAGAATTGCTCAATGAAGAATGTAAGCCAGAATTACCTACCTTGATAATATCCGAGTGTGTACTATGTTATATGCCGGAGAAAGAGACACAATCACTGATTGATGGAATAATACGCTTATTTAAGAATGGTAGTTGGGTTTCCTATGATCCTATGGGAGGATCGGACAAAAACGACAGATTTGGTGTCATAATGCAGCAAAACTTGAGGGACTCAAGGCAATTAGAGATGCCTACATTGCTAATAAACAATTCGCCAGAAATATACGCTTCTAGATGGACCCCCAACTCAGATGAACAGTTTGAAAGAGTAGTGACTGATATGTGGACGTATTATAATGATAAGGTGCCAGCTGAGGAAAAGCAAAGGATAAAGAGATTACAATTCCTTGATGAACTGGAAGAACTGAAAGTGATGCAGAGCCACTATGTAATATTCTTCTGTAAATGGAACGCCAATCCAAACTGAGTTCTTGATGGATTAATTTCCCAGTTAGCCTGAAAGGACTTTGTCTTGTCTATAGAAATGATTTAAGTGTTCGTAAATAAAGTAAGGCAACTAATAATGGATCTTTATAGATGAAAAGAAAACTATACAAGCTATTATTTGATTTAGAATTAAATTATATTACAGTTATGTGGGAATAAACTAGTTCAAAATGGCGCTCGTTTGTAGTAATTTAGTCATGCTTCATTTCAGCCTTTTCATTAGTTAATTCCGGCCCTTCAGTTTCACTATCTATATTTACATCTTTTTCATCTGAGTCTTCATCTGTCTTATCAGTGCTTGGTACTTCCTTGAATAATGAAACAGCTCCCAAGAAAATTACAATGGTTAAAGGACCTAAAAGTGGCAAATAAACAGCAACTTTATGTTCTTGAGGGAAGAAATTTTGTTGGACCATTTCACCGTGGAAGAAAGCACACTCAGTCAATGCAACAAGTTGGTTAGACATGGACAATGCATAACTCCAATCTAGATCAGTTCCTTTTTCTGGGTTGTTCAAAAGGTCAACAATTTCAAGTCTTAAATCTAGCGCTTCAGTTACATTTCCCATAACTTCTTTGGGTATAGACATTTGCTGAAACTGTTTGGATAATTTCACCAGAGACCACAAGGTTTCTACTGATTTTTCAATGTTATTTAGTATCATAACTCTCTTGAATGATTCCACAGTGATATAAGGTGTGTTAAAATCGTCATTGATATCGACTAGGCCCAACAGCTTTGCCATATCGTTAGCAAATTGGTAGACAATTGGTTTTAAATACTCTTTTGAGATGACAGAGTGTTTTTTTAATGGGTATTTGTTGATTGCAACCACGCCCCATTGAGGAACAATGAAACTGTTCCAAGGATGTAACACGTCATCTGCCCTCTCATGGCCCTGGATATAATTCAAGCCATTTGGTGAAAACTCAGGATCTGGGTATACAATTGCTAAGTTAACAGATGAAGATTCTTTGAAGTCATTCATTGCGGACAAGTCTGACAGATCGATGTGGTGTGATAAGTCACTCACGCTAACTTCAGCAGAGTTGTTCAAGGAGTGTAAGTTTAGGTCGTTATGATAAATAATTGAAGTATCCACAGTAAAGTTTACAAGTGAGGTAATGAACTGTCTAAAAGGTGTGAAGTATTCTTTCAAAACTTCATCAATCTCCCAGGACACAGGCTGACTTCCACCGTTGAGTAAAGATATGCTGATGTGAATATCAGGTTTATATAGCACAGCCACTGAGTTTTGTGTTCTGTTCCAATAATTAGAAAACACATCCCATTCCATACCAAAGACGTGCTCAACCAATGTCTGTGCGACAAAGAAAGGTAGATCATTTGTAGCTACCGATTCGTCATCGTATAGTACAGTGACATGCTTTGTACCGAACCCAGGTACAAATCCACAGGATTCATCTAAAACAAGGTCGACCATGTAAACATCATCACCTGCTTCTTCTAACCCTTTCATTAGTTTCTCATCATATTGAAGTACCTGTAGTGACCATGCAACATCGTGTTCTCTTGTGTTCAAAAGATGATTCACTTGTACTTGTACGGCGTCATGGAGATCAGGGAACTTGTATAGGTCGCTTTTCAAATAAACTGGGATTACCATGTGTACATCTTGAAACACATTGTCATGTAAAGACTCAATGTATTGGGACGGTAGTGGTGCCCTGTAAATATTTGTCAGCTTATACCATAAGGGCACACCGACGGCCAAATAAAGCAACACAAAGCACACTCCAACGGCCTTCCTAAACCCAATGGTAGAGCTCATAACTAAAATCTATTGCTCTAGAACGCAATTATATCAACAACAATTCTGGATGACTAGATATCGAAAGAATGTAGGCAGCAAAACGTCTAGCAAGTCAATTCCAGAGGGGAGAAAATGTCTAAACAGCAACTTGAGATAAGCGTCTAGAGTACCAGATATGGAATCTTGTAGCAGATATGACTATGGCTAGTCAGGCATGCTATTTAGATGTTTCATTGTGTCCATTGTGCAATTCCTGCCTTTGATCGCATAGCTTCACCAATTTCTTTCCCAGTCGCGTTGTACTAAGATGTGAGTTAAGGCTCAGTGATAATAGCGATGAGCCATACTTATAGTTGGTAAACTAAAAACTTTGAAGTGAAGAAAGCTATGGCTTTTTGTAATCTAGGAGTAATAGAAAATATTCAAGGCAGAAATAAATCTCTGCAGTAAAAATGTTACGGTTTCAGAGATTTGCGTCGACGTATAATCAGCGTGCGGTGTTGCGTAAGTACCCTGTCGGAGGGATTATACATGGGTTTCAAGTTCGGAGAGCGGTACCAGTACCTGAGTTGAAACTTACTGCGGTGGATTTGATACATGAACAGACTGGTGCTGAGCATCTACATATCGACAGAGATGATAAGAACAATGTGTTCAGCATTGCGTTCAGGACTTTGCCACCTGATGCTACAGGTGTCCCGCATATATTGGAGCATACTACGCTATGTGGTTCCGAGAAGTATCCAGTGCGTGATCCTTTCTTTAAGATGCTAAATAAGTCGCTAGCAAACTTTATGAATGCCATGACTGGGCCTGACTATACATTCTTTCCCTTCGCTACTACCAACGCACGTGACTTTGTGAACTTAAGAGATGTATACCTTAACTCGACGCTTAGACCGCTTTTGAAGGAGCAGGATTTCTACCAAGAAGGTTGGAGACTTGAGCATTCGGAAGTCACCAATCCAAAAAGTGATATAATCTTCAAAGGTGTGGTTTTCAATGAGATGAAGGGTCAAGTATCTAATGCTGATTATCATTTCTGGTCACAGTTCCAACAAAATATCTACCCATCGCTAAATAACTCTGGAGGCGATCCCCAAAAGATTACAGATCTTCACTATCAGGACTTAGTTGACTTTCATCACGCAAATTATCACCCTTCAAATGCACGTACTTTTACTTATGGTTCGTTCCCTCTTGAAGACACTTTGAAAAAGGTAAACGAAGAATTCAGGGCATATGGCAAACGAATTATTAATAAGAAGCTTCCTAAACCTTTGGAATTAATTGAGACAAAGGAGTTAACGCTTGAAGGACAGATAGACCCAATGTTACCAGCCGAAAAGCAGACGAAGACATCCTTAACCTGGAAATGTGGTGAGCCTACTGATCTTTACGAGACATTTCTACTGAAAATATTAGGTAATCTATTACTGGATGGACATGATTCCATAATGTATAAGGGATTGATTGAATCTGGACTAGGACATGACTTTAGTGTTAACACTGGTGTCGAATCAATGACTGCTGCAAACTTCCTAACTGTTGGTATTCAAGGCTCTCAGAATGTAGAAGAGTTTAAGTCTAAAGTTTTTGATCTGTTTAAAGAATTTATTGAAAATGATGTTGACTCGAATAAAGTTGATGCTATTATACATCAATTGGAATTATCAAAGAAAGACCAAAAAGCAGATTTCGGGCTTCAAATTTTATACTCAATTCTTCCCGGATGGACCAACGGTATCGACCCAATTGAAGGACTTGAATTCGATGAATTGATAGGGAGACTCAAATCAGATTTCAAAGAGAATGGAACGAAGATCTTCAAAAACATATTAGATAAGTACATAATAGACCAACCATATTTCCATTTCACGATGAAAGGTTCGGAAGAGTTCAGTTCTAAGTTAGCAGCGGAAGAATCCACCAAATTGGACAAAAAGTTGAAAGAGCTAGACGAGACCGACCGGAAAGCTATTTTTGAGCGTGGATTATTGCTAGAGGCAGCTCAAAATCACAAGGAGGATCTGTCTTGCCTTCCAACTTTAGGTGTTGCAGATATATCAAGAAAGGTAGATACTTATGACTTGAACACAAATGCTAACATCACGGTCAGAAATACGGCAACCAATGGAATAAGTTATATTAGAGGCAAGAAGTTAATCAATGATATGATTCCATTGGAATTATACCCGTTTTTAAGCTTGTTTGCAGCCTCGTTGACCCATCTGGGCACCAAAACAACACCATATGGTGCAATTGACAACGAAATAAAACTACACACTGGCGGTATATCAACAAATATTTCTGTTAATGCTGATCCTACCACATTGCAGCCTAATCTGTACTTTGATATGAGCGGGTTTTCTCTGAACGAAAAATCGGACTACATATTCAATTTTTTAAAAACAATTTTAATGGAAACTGACTTTAGCACTCACAAGGATAAGCTAAAAGTGTTGATAAATTCTATTGCATCTTCGAATACATCGCATATAGCTGATTCTGGTCACACTGTTGCTAGATCGTTTGCCAGTGGTCATTTGAGTACGGTTGCTGCAATTCAAGAGCATATCTCAGGTGTCGAACATTACAAACTGATTTCTAGACTATGTTCCATTATGAATGACGATAAATTATTTCAATCAGAGGTTATAGATAAACTAGTGATGCTACAAAGAATAATAGTTAATTCTCAGAATATGGAATTTTTTGCGTCTGTTGACTGTCAAGCACAAGAGAATAAAATCAGAAAAGAGGTTGACTATTTTGTAAGCACTTTACCTAATACAAGCTCCGATATCTCAGGGGCTATTCAGACTGCGTGTGTGCCTAGATATTCAGACTCCCAAGTTTTAAACTTGATAAAATTTCCTTTCCAAGTCCATTACACAGCTCAAGCATATAATGGGGTTTCATACACCCATAAAGATGGTGCTGCACTACAAGTTCTTGCTAATATGCTGACATTTAAGCACTTGCATAAAGAAATTAGAGAAAAAGGTGGTGCATATGGTGGTGGAGCCACTTTCAGTGCCTTGTCTGGTATTTTTAGTTATTATTCTTATAGAGATCCAAACCCGTTGGCAAGTATCCAAACATTTGAAAAATCTGCCTCATATGTCTTAAATGATGCAAAGTGGACACAGTCTGACTTAGATGAGTCAAAACTTTCTATTTTCCAACAAGTCGACGCTCCTATTAGTCCTAAGAGCGAGGGATCCACATTCTTCAACTTAGGAGTTACTGATGAAATGAGACAAGTAAGACGGGAGCAGCTGTTGGACACTTCGTTGCTGGATATTCATAGAGTTGCAGAGAGGTATATTCTACCGAACAAATCTATCGCTACAGTCGTCGGACCAGGTATTGATGGGGAGACTGTATCTCCAAAATGGCATATCGAAGATATAAAGGTATGATGATGATTACCCATGATACTTTCAGAAATTACACTGTACATAGACTATATAATAATATCATGTAATTATTTCAAAGCTGCAATAGTAGTGCAAAAGATAAACATTCATGACTCTTTACTAAACCCAGATTGGCTTGCCTCTTTCCTCTAGTCTTACTGCTAAAGCTCGAACTTGTTCATCCCAATCCACTAATCTATTCTTCATCTTCAATATTTGTTCTTCGTTGATTATTCTTGGTTGTACCCACGTTACAGTAACTAGTTCATTCACCTGATCAATGGAACCCTTCAGAAGTTTCAAACTTATCGCTTTAATGACAAGGTGTTCTACTTGATCTTTTTCAATTTGTGTGGCATCTGCAACATCTTGGAATGATAGAAGCCTGATATTCTTTGCAAAAATGCATTCAACCAAGCTCATCAAGCGTATCTTTTGTCTCAAAAATGTCTCGTTTTGAGCTAAAATAAGTGTTTTTGGCATCTGCACACTGATTAGTTTATCAAACTTTTCTAAGTCACCCACTGTTAGAGCATTGAGTAGATCTGCAATCCAATGGTAATCCTTTCTTTCATTGATTAGGTTCATAATTGGGTGTTGTAATAATTCACCGAAGTTGTAAATCTTTTCCCCCAAAAGAGCAGCAACGCAAAGGTCATACGCTAGTTCAAAGCTTGGCTCTTTATTGATGATAGTTAATTCATTGTCATCCTCCAGAGTTGATAGATATAGGAGAGATGTGTAATAGAATGAACTAAAATCCTCTTTCAATTTATAGTATTCCGCATTAGCAGAATAAAATGAGCTGGTCAGCAATAATGGAACGTTATCCTTAAAATCAAGTGTTTTCTCTAGAACATCTAGCATATCTCTGGCCTTCAAAAGTTCCTTCTTATGCAAGTACAGTCTTGCAATCTCAATATCAATGAATAAAAATGCATTATCGTGATTATTTAGACCATCGTTTCTGGTCTTCTTAGAGTCTATATCCTCCAAAGTCTGCTTTAGATGGGTCAAATACTTCAATGCTTCATCGCTGTCACTTATGGTCTGTAATGCGACCAAAAGATACTGCACCAGAGACAATTCGTTTATATTCTCCTGGAATTTGACGATAAAGGTGTCATAAATACGCAGTCTTAATGGCTTGGACCTCTCATCCATGAAAAAAACGTTCAAGTTTTGAGTCAATTGATGCCATAACTTGTTCTCATAGTCATGTTCAAACTTGTCAAATAGATAGCTGAGCTCAGGATCAGCCTCTATGCGCAAGGTGCTCAATATAGTATCAACCTCGTGTCCAACCATTCTCACAATATGTCTGTGCCTATTTTTGTTTCTTTCAAGTACTTGTGACCGGATAAATTTTCTACCAAACTTTGAAAAGCAAACGTCCAAACTAAACCGCTATTAATAAGTACCTGATATTGTGGTTAGTTATCATATACAGAAGTCCGGTGTCCTTCCAACAAGTTCACAACTACTGCTACTCTTTAAAACGCTAAAAGGGAGCTCATCCTGCGAATCTGGGAAAAGCCCTACGGTGTGGCAAATTAATAGTGTCGTTTTTAATGATGATAATATGAAATATTGTGTGAAGTCAGTTGTTCTGATGGCAATCAAGGACTTTCATGGGAGCAGAGTGGTAGTTTCTGTGGTATATTTTAAATGCTAAATGATAAACATGTTGCAAAGCTTCTTTTATGTATGGTATATATTTATACTTATAAGGGAGCTTCCATTATGGTACTGTGTGAACTAATTCGACTGTGAACTTCGATCTTAGCTTCTATTTATCCTTTCTTACTTGTCTCCAAGCATTCAGTGACTCTCTTGAGAAATCTATCATTGCTTTTGTAACTTGACGAAGCATGTTTCCCCACCTTTGTTCTAGTTTTGTTGAGACGTGTTCTAGACTGCGCAAGGTGGATTCATTCACGTCTTCTATATCTCTTAGGACAAGCTTTTGCACATCCTCGAGTTTGTCGAGTTCCCTCTGTAAGATTTTGATTTCTTGTTTCCTTTCTGCTTCGGTTAGAAGGCTTGGATCTAGTTCTCGTGCAGACCTGTCTCTTCTTCTAGATAGCTTCTTCCTGACTTTAATCTTGTTAGCGTTGATAGTGGACGCATGTAGAGAACTTGATAGTTGTTCGATGTTTTCCTCGTCATCAGATTTATGATGTTCCTGTTGCGGGGTATCATGGTCAGCGTGAGTCTCATCGTGTGCAGATTCTTCCCCTTCAGAAGTGTAATCGACTTTTGAGTATGGAGAATCTGGTACATCGCTGATGGGTTCCTGGTTAGAATACTTTCGTGACTCAAGTATTGTGCTCTGATTTATGACATTAGTCATGGTTTTAATGTGATCGTCTAAATCTAGCAATGCTCGCAGTCTCTTTTTGTTTTTATCCATAGTAATTTCAACGATTTCGTACTGCAAATATTTGGCCTTGCGGAAGCCTAAGACACGTTTACAGTCCTCTAGCAACTGTATGAACTCGTACAATGGTTCTTCTAGATTCACTATATGTCTTTCGCTCAAGATTTCATCCGTGACATAGCTCACGTCGAAAGCATGACCCACTTTTTCAATTAGCATGCTACTCGATCTGTCTTCATTTTCGTTCCCATCGCTGCTTATGATAGCATTCTCAATGCTAAAAGAATTGTAATGCACACCTAGCTCACTGTGCAGCCCACCAATAAGTTTCAAGTGGTTTTCCAATTGCTTGACCGTTTTGTGGAGATTCTTGTAGTTAATCTTGTACTCCCAGAACTTCTTCTCAAGCTTGTTAAACTTGTTCTCCAATTCGGTGTTAGTCGGTATGAGGGGGTTTAGGATGCTTGTGTTTGTAGCTACTTTTGAGTTCGGTGCTGGCAATAACAAGTGTAATGGACTCGGTTTGGTAGGGTTTAGTGGTGGCGCCAGCCTATTGTCGTGTGGTAGTATTAGTATGGGCGCCGAGTTCAGCACATCCTTCCAGATAATCTCACAGTCCAGAAATTTTTTAAACACAATATGGTTGGCAATGTCTGGTACCTCGTAGCACTCGTTCAGAAACCGGCACAACGTGCGTTTCCGGGAGTCGATGATCCGTGTGTCAATAGACTTCTTGAATATATAGTTCATAATAGAGTGTTTTGGCGGCAAAGGCGGTACTACTACAGTTGGCAGCAGTAGCGTGAGGTTCTTTCGCAAGGAGTAAAACTCGGAGTACCGCCGCACAGTCTTGAATCCGTCCAGCTCGATCACATAGCCAATAGCGTGCTTGCCCCAGGGGTCCTTGTAGTCACCGGCCTCCTTGATCTGTATAGGGCCTGAGCTGTCCACAGGAATCTTAAATAAGGAGTCTGTTCCAGTGGCCCGCACTGGAACAGACACAAAGGGCTCTTCAGCAGCCTTGTACAGCGTCTGCGTCAGTATGTCCACATCCTCATCCCTAATATCGCTGTTCTCGTTGCTGTCCTCATCTTCGTCCTCGCCCTCACCTGCAGCGCCTGTAGCGCCTGTAGCACCTGCAGCAGTGCCAGCAACCACACCCGCACCATCTGGAGTACTAGCACCTTGCTGTTCCCCAGGCGCAGGCTGCGCCAACTTCAGCACCGCCTGCTGACCACCAGGGGCACTCGCTATCCCAGACGCAAACATATGTGTGGTGCCCACAAATGGGTTATTGTCCTCCTCCTCCAGGTCTTCGTCCCTGCCGCCACGTTTCCGTGACTTGTTCTTCATTGTATGCTGTTCGTTTATCTGTTACTTCTATGTTCAACTCCAGAATATGGTTGTGACACCTCTTAAAGCTCCTTTTGACACCTTTTCGGCCTTTTTCTCCCTTTAAGATGAGCTTGCAAGCCAAACTAATAACAAACTAGTGTCACAGCAGCAAGTGCAAGATGGATCAAGGTATGTTTATGTTGTGGTGTGATGTTGTTCTGTAGTGCTGGGTCGCGACCCTGTCATGAATATGGTGTGTGTGCAGTTGACTAACTATAAACTTGCAAGTCGCACAGTTGGGATGTAAGGCTATGGCCCTCTCGCTGGACAGAAAGCCACTGGGGGCCACTGGGGGCCACTGGGGGCCACTGGGGGGCCACTGGAGGAGCTTGGGAGATATGATACAGTTATAGTGAAGGCCTCTGATATGGGCGATGAGATGCAGCAGGAGGTGTTCCGCATCGCTGAGGAAGCCATGCGAGAGCACACGCTAGAGCGGGAGATTGCGAGTGTGATCAAGAAAGAGATGGACTCCCGGTATGGCCACACCTGGCATGTCATTGTGGGTAGGAGCTTCGGCAGCTACGTTACGCATGAGAAGGGCAAGTTTGTGTACTTCTATGTGGGACCTCTGGCGCTGCTGGTGTTCAAGACATAAGGTCAGGCGTTGGGCCACAAAGGAAAGAAAGGATGCTCAAAAGAGCCAGACGTGGATATATAACTTCATGAAACATATGTAGCCGCATATAAAATAGATGCACAGACTTTGTATACTATTAGTGTCAGATACAGCTATCATGTGATGTGTCGTCCTGCCAATGCGGATGTCACCGGTAAAAAGTTGGGTGCGAAGCTCCGATTAACAATGGCAATGGCTAGTAGCTACAATACAGGACGTTAAGAGTACATATTGAGGCAGTGCAGGCATTCAAAGCACCATCTAGTACGCTAGGCTACCACTGATAATTGTGCTAGGTACTCTGAATTGTGGGATAAGCGTGTCAGTGGTACTGGAGAGGACTGGGAAAAGGATGTCGAAGGTTAGCAAGGAAGGGAAGAAGAAGGCTGGGCGGAAGATTATTGACACTGAGGCCAAGAATAAGCGTACGGCGCAGAACCGGGCTGCGCAGCGGGCGTTTCGGGAGCGGAAGGAGGCGAAACTGCGGGCTTTAGAGGAGACTATAGTGGTTTTGAAAGGAATGAACAGCAAGAAGAATAGTGAGACGGAGTACTTGAAGGAGTGTCTGAGTGAGTTGCTTACGGAGGTGACCAAGTACAGGCCTGCTAACGAGAAGGACCAAGGGATTCTCAAGAGGTTGAAGGAGATCAAGGCCGATGACTTGAAAAGCGTTGAAGTTGTGCCCGAGCAGCCGAGCGCGACTAACTTCATGAACAGCCCTACGAACATCACCACAGCGGGTTCCGATAAGCAAGCGGATAAAACTTCCAGTAAGAAGAGCTCTCCTCATGTTAAGCTGGAGTCCAATACATCTTCTGTGTCGGTTACTTCGGAGGAAAGAGGAGTTTTGTCGCACACACCCACCACTACGAACACATCGTTTGACACTTCCCCCTCAGTGATTAACGATCTACAAAGAACAGCGGCCAACAGGCTGGAGTCTACTGGATCGTGGATGGACTCGATATTTGACCAGGATTCCAAGCTGTCAAACTTAATGAACGACCAATCTTTCTACCCATTTGATAACATCAGCTTTGGCAATTCCCCTGTAATAACGAACAACTGGGGAGAGAACGATATGGTCGCTAAGCAAGCTGGGCTAGAGTCCTTCAATTTTGCTATCTCCAACAGCAACAGCACGTTCGGTTTGCCTGCGATAGCCACGGACATAAGCGACATAAACGACATTAACGACACGACGACACGGATAGAACCGCAATTAGCATTCCCTGGGGAGGACATCAAGTACTCCAGGGAGAACATGGTGATGAGGAGAGAGAGCTCTGCAATGAACAACGGTGGCATCCTAGATACGGTGATAAACTCGCCGATACCCATGCTCGATGACAACTCGGAGGATATCCTCGGGGATTTCACATGTAGTTGCCAGAACAAAGCTAACAGCTGTCCTACACGTCAATTGGAGAACGAGGCTAAGGCAACCCCCGTGGGCAAGAAGATAGCAGACATGAACCTGGACGATGTGGAGCTACGGTGTGAGCTTCTGACGCAACATATAATATACAGAGAGCCCTTGAGCACAGTGCTACAGCTCTTGAAGCGCACACGACATGAGAGGGACGCAAGGAGCAGCGAAGGCAAGCCGGTACTGCGGTGCGAGGATATCTGCGGTACTGTGGGGCCCAGTATCGGATACGACTCGCTCGATTTCGAGAACTTGTGTGCTGAGCTGATGAACAAAGCCAAAATATCTGACGATGGCGACGGCACGGACATAGTACCAAAGCGGCACGTCGTGATCAAAGCGGGAGACCTGCAACGCACCCTCGCAAAGCATATCTCTTCATAGGCTCTGCACGGGAAGCTCTCCCTTTTCAATAATGCATAGCGGCGTATATAGTACATACATAAATCAATTCACATTCACTAAAACGTTTTCGCAATTAGCCACGGCGATACCACACATGGTGCAAATACACATATAAAGGCAAAAACGGATACATAAGCATGTATATCGGGCACAGTGCCAGAGGAGAGTCTATAACAGTATTGCATATCATGTGACTCTTCCATTTTTTCTTGTCGATAATGGAAGTGAGGAACCATCGAAGCAGAGAATATAGGACCGCCTACGGTGATTTCTGTGGGATGAACGGTCTTTTCTTGATCTTTGCTTTCTTTGCCAAGATGACTACCGCAGGAGGCGAGAAAAATGGAAGTTTTGCAAAAAAGTGAAAAACTTTCGAACAATGCAGGCAATAGCCAACAATGGAGGGGTTCAATTAATAAAAGGAGTTGTATTTAGTAATCCATAAGGTGGTACAAGCAGGACGACAGAGGAGAGAGTGTGTGGGAACGATGCATTCTTTGTTCAAGGAGGATTACTCGGTGACGAAGGAGGCGTCTGAGCCCGAGGCAGACGAGAGCATTGATGTGAATATGGCTGGGCTGTCGCTGACGTCGTCGATGGGCGATGGGTCTGCGTTGCACATATCAAGTCCCGGGCCTTCTAATGCTACTGTGCAGACGATCAAACGGGAGGTTACGCACGGGGACGAGTCTCCTCAGGGTGATTCGGATGATATAAATGCGCAGCATAGCAGGGCGATGAGTGAGCACAGGCCCAGCATAGTTGCTTTGAAGATGTCTTTGAAGGAAGTTGCTGAGGCAGCGGCGGCGAAGCGTAAGAACCTGCCTTTCCGGACAATAAATAATGTGATGGACTCTCAGCGGAGTTCCATTTCGTCGTCCAGGGATGAAATATTTGTGGATGCTAGTCCGTCGCCAGTTGTGACACGAACAGCCTCAATTGATATTCCGCGCTCTGAAGATGGGAGACGTTCTAGTAATAGGCTGGTGAACTCTAAGCCGTACCTGTACAACTATGAACCGTCGGGTGTTCCTGTTGGCGACCCTGATGGAGGCATGTTGCAAGGCACAGACGTTGTGCTGAATCAGGAGTTGTTGGAACAAGCTCTCAAACGTGATATGAAGAGGAAAAGGGCGGACACCATGCAATCTTCTACTGTGGAACTAAATAAGAAGGTCGATACCAATACTTCGAAGAACAGTAACCATACTGAAATAATGAAAAACCCACCTGAAACTGCGGAGCCAACGTCTGCCACTGCTGCAATGATGATGAGATTATATGGGGATCGTACTTTGCTGAACCAACAGATTACGAAACAAAAGGAAGATGAGAATAAATACAGTCATACTATTACTAATGCTGCTTACAAGAAGCTGAAACCATTTTCTGGAGTGAAACGAAAGATACTATCCAATCCAAATTTAAACTTACAACCATTAGAACCAATTAGACCAAATGAGCCTCCTACATCAGGTCAAAGAACTCCTAATAATAGCGCCCATGTACATAGTGAAAGCCCTTCCCCTGATCGTACAAACGTAATACTGAAATGGAGGGATTCTCAAAATCAATCCAATAATAAGGAACTTAAAGTTTATCTTGTTAGTAATGAAATATGCGCTTCCTTGAAAAATGATGACAAACTCTTCGCAGAGGGTAAGCTACTAGCTACTGATAATTCTCAATTCAATAAGATTCCTTTAAGTTATGACTCACACAATAATGAATGGTATGTTCCTGATTTATATTTACCTCAGGGTATTTACCGACTGCAATTCTTGGTTAACGGTAACCTGGTGCATTCTGATTTCTTACCAACAGCTACTGATGATCAGGGAAACATTATGAACTGGTTTGAGGTCTTGAGGGGTTATGATCGAATTGAACCGTATAGAGATGAATCCGAGATTCAAAGTGATTATACAAGTTCTGTGGATACAACATTAGAAGGTATGGAAAACAATGGTTTTCAGGGCAGTTCGGACAATAGTACCACAAGTATGAGAAACAATAATCCCGTGGCTCTAAATCTACAGGCACCTGCTCCCAGCAAGGCACAAGCGTCGCGCAACTCTTCATATTATTCAGCAAAGAGCTTTGAAAAGTCTATAACCCAATTTTCCGACTATACTGGTGTTAGTAGAACTAACTCCATGGTCAGTGCGGTTAGTCCAATTAATAATGCGAATACTCGTGATAACGATTTGGAGTTCTTTCCTCCTATAAAACCCAAGGTTTATGAATATTCAAACAATATTCCAGCCCTTTTCAGAATATCCTGTGACATGGAAGATGTGGATGATGATAATGGTACCGAAAATAACCCACGAGCATTTTATGATCGCCCTAGCTTTACTAATAGAGTTGTGGATTGTAATCAGGATGCTCTATTTGGTGATTTGCAGAAGGGGGGGAAAATGGATGCTGAAGAAGCTGAGAATCTATTCTTGAAGAAATACCAGGTTCCAGATTTACCGGTATATCTAAACTCTACTTATCTGAACAAAATATTTCATGAATTCCATCAAGTGGCAGGCCCATCAACTCAGGACTCTAGCATCAATCATATCATACCTCATGTGAATTTGAAGCACTTACTAACGAGCAGTATCAGAGATGGTATTGTTAGTGTAGCATGTACTACTAGATATGCTGGTAAGTTTATAACACAAGTTATATACGCTCCTTGTGGGAATGATCAGCTAGAGAGTAAAGAATAAAAAGATATGACTACTGACTTACATTCATTTTTTATTCTTCATTTGAATTATAATTATAAAATAAATTATATAGTCAATAATTACTTGCATATGCTTACCTATCTATTTATACTTTATGATAAACTCATATTTTGCAAACTTCACACATATAATTTTGATCAGCAGGATGTTAATTTACGCATTTATTTAATATTTAAGTATATCCAAATGTTTGTTTCTGTTTTTTCTTAATATTTCCAACTGATTTCAGTCAACTATCTTAGCTTAAGAATATATTGAATTGTATACAGATGATCCTATCCTATATACTGTTATACTTTCTATGTAGGATCCGTACTAACTAGGTCTAATTGCAAATTCATCGAATAATTGATCGAAATCCTGGAATCCGTCTTTATTTTGAATATACTTTTGTTCAATTAATTCTGTCCATGGCTCAACAAAATCCAGTCCAATGTTATTGCTAGCTGAAAACCAGTCGATCACATCCTCGGGAAGATAAGCAGTAAACTGACCTATCTCATCTATCGAATTGGGTCCAACTTTACGTGTGGAATTAGCTGTGCCTTGTGTCGTAGTATCATGAGAGCTATCGTTTTCACTGGGAGGTTCTTGGGCGTCACTTGAAATTGTGTCATGGTTACTGGCCTCTAAAGACTCTTTGTGAGTGGTCTGTGATTCAAGGCTGGGATCATTATTTAAGCCATTCCCTGTCATGAGATTTTCATTGTCCCTCTTTCTTTCATCGATTTCCTTACATAAGAACATCAATATTGTAGAAAATTTACTAGCTAAATGCAACTCATCAGGAGTTGATTCTTTGAGAATGACTGCAGCTTGTCTAATCATATGAACAGTGTCATCAACTAATATACCACTTAGTTTCAAAATTGACTTTGCTTCCGAGTTGGTTGCCATGCTATGATCACATAATGTAATGTAGCATTTTACAATGAATGATGCAGATCTAACTATTCGCATTACCCACCTTACTGGCATATATTTCAGCATATCAACTTTGTGTACCCTTATTGCAGACTTTAGTATCTCTTTCGCGGCTCGATAAGCTTGTTCGACAAATCTTGCACTCTTTATCATTTCATTCAGGGTCAATTTGGATTCTTTCACTTCAACTTGAAGAGCTAAAGAAAATGTGTACAACTGGCAATAATAGTAATCACTAATAAAGCTTTCACCTCTTATATTGGCAGTTCTTTTGAATTTACTCAAATCATCTAAGGATATTATCACTGGCTTTTCATCGCTTACTGGTTTCATTAGTTTGTAGTAGTTCAGATACCATGCGTTCAAGATTGGAGAAAGAACATCCAATATCATTAAATTCTTCTTTTGATCTACACTTGAAACTCTTTTTTTCATTTTTTCATAGTATATTGTCTGATATGTGATTGTGACAATTCGCAATAATTCAAGTTGGGCTTTCTGATAAGTAGTGTACGGAATCGGGTTCTTCAAGAAGGAACTGTTCTCATCGAGGTAATTTATACTATATTCGTCGTTTAGGAATTCGGTTTCAAGATCAATTATAAGGTCAGGGTTTTCTTCCTTGAGTTTATCAGAATAAGCTTTATGGATTGCCCACTTTTTTGTTGACTCTTTATTCTGGGCAACAAGTTGCACAAATTTTAGTAGATCTTCATTTTCTATATCGTCTTGTGACTTGGGATTATCTATTTCAAACTCCTTCATCCCACCATCAATGGATACTAATGACTCACCTAATGTTGGTTTGAGATTCATGTTGGAAGCATAGCATATTTCAGCAATGTTCGCTGCTGTATAAATTTTTGCGTTGTTTTCTAATATGTCCATTTCTTGGGCCAATCTTATTGCAGTACCAGTAAACATCCATGCCATCCTGTCACTTCTCTTCACGGTCGCAATACCTCCCAGACCATCAGGGTCCTCTTTGGAAGAAGAAACGTTATTATCAGATAAATAATGAGCAGTATCTGATACCTCCCAGTGGATTGCTCTTGGGTTCCATTCTGTAAACAAAAGGAAAGCCAAGGTGGTACCAATTGATCTCGTGCTTGCCTGGGACCAGACAGTTTGTGATAAAAGTTGTTGGCAATGTGTCCATAATTTATTATGAATTATGACGTTTCTATTGCCTTCAATACCGTTGTCGAATCCAACCTTATCAAACGGATTATATCTGGCTGAAATAGCCAGTATGCAATGTAATAGTAGTGGATATTTGAATAATTCGTCAAAGTCCTGTAAATGCAGTGGTATGTAAGGGTAAAAGGGATGCATGAAATTGAAAAAAATATTTACCAACATTCTAGCCTCATCCATAGTAACCAGTTTACCGTCACCCAAAAGATCATAGTTATGGTTAGACGGTGTCGGCACCTCGGGTTTGATTGCCTCGATACTGGGATATGAACTCCTAGTTGAGGTATCCTTTGAGGTCGAGTTAGTTGTTGAGTCAGATTCGTTACCGTTATCCTTCTCGCTTAGGTCTCTTGTCTCTGACGTCGTACTCGCAGCATCAGATCTTGTAGAGCCGAAAGGTTCGTTATTCTTGTAGTCGTTTCTAAGTTTGGTTGCTTTAGCAAGAAACTCCAAAGCACTCTGCATTGATGTTAATTCTAGTTTCCAAGCAGTATCTGATTTAACTCTATCGCAAGCCTCTATCAATGCTGTATTTGGAGAATTTAGGGAAACTCCCTCTAAGTTTTGATTTTTCAGACCAACCAGATTGCTCAAATTGTTTAAATGCATATTTTGATTACCATTCATGGCTCTATGGTTTTGTAATGACTGTGTAATTGCATTTAGCATTGAGGCAGATGTGGGACTGGTGGATTGTGAGCTTTGCAACCCCTGTGAATCTAGGATGTTGCCTAATTTCCCTATCTTCACCTTCGGAGCATTGAAAAAACAATGTGATCTGCTTCTTCTGCATGCTGCACAAGGAGGTGACACGGGTCTATCAGCTGGTCCCAGATCACATTTTATCTTCTTGTACTTACACCGCAAACATGCACCAAATGTATTCTTGTGTTTTTGGCCTTGTGAGGATGAAGAGCCACCCACAGGTGTGGTGCTTCTTGATTTCTTCTTCGGAACAGGTTTAACTATCTTGTTATCCATGATTCGAAATCCACTTCAAAACGGAGCGAAGAGCAGGAAAGCTCGGGGAAAGAATATTGACAAGGAATATGAATATCAACGGGAAATAGTGCAAATGAAATAGGCAGGAGAACAGCGGTGGCACTTTTCCTCTATTTTCAAATCTAGTTTAACAGTAGTGGCCTTTACGCTAACAATGGGGATAAGCTTTTTATAGTTGACTTCTTTATATAAACCTAATTTATTACGTTATCCTATTGTTAATGCTGTTTTGTGATTTTGTAATTTTCTGTTTTTCTTAGGTTCTCCGGGGTTTTCAGTACAGATCAATTTAACAAACCAAAAATGTCAAAATATCAAATTAAAGCCACACAGGAAATTTTTGATTGAGAAGTGATGGCGTATAGTGGTCTTTATATATATATATTTTGTCCTCTTTTTAATTTAATAATACTAAAAGAAATTGGATTCATGACTATATGTTGGTAATTGCTCTTTGCCAGTTTTTCACCAGTTTTCTCCAGTTTTCATAGTATACTGGTTCTTGACAAGAAAAGAAAAGAAGGAGAGACTTACATCCTTTGTGGAGGTATCGTTGTTGCAAGGGCTCTTCTTAATATTAACTTATCTTGTGGGGTCAGAATCAACTGAAAATAAAAGGTGTCAAGCAGTCCCATGCAATCTGACTTCACGCTCATCGCTGGTCCCAGCACTTGTAGCATTTGCAAGAGAAGCATTGTCATGGAAGCTAAGTTGCAAGTGCATTTGATGCTTCTAGAAGAATTTTTCATTGGTATTGGAAGGAGTTAAACTTCGCCACACTTGGCTGCTCTGTTTCTGTGTCTCCTTTTACCGGAAAAACCCTGTGTTCACTCACTCAATAATTACTATATAAGTCAGCAGAGCGGTAACTGATATTCGGAAAATCCTTTGCTATCCATGTTATCACTAAAATTGTACTGGGGTTTCACTGCAGAGTACTTACGTCAACAGTAGATGACATTTCTTTTTTTTTCTTCCTCCTTATTTTGATGCATCGTACGGCTGTTTGACTATGGAGTTACTTTTCATTATCAGTTTCTTACATCCTCGCAATGAAATGGAGGAAGGTTGCCATCGAAAAGCCAACAGGACACACAGAAGTTCCCGTAGACAATGTAAGACACAAAATAAAAATGTGTCGATCTTGGCTTTTATCAGTTGTTCGACTGTATTAGAGGGAGGGGGAGAATGCCAGCGCACAGAAAATAGTGTAGAAATCAATATGTCGGGGTTTCCTTGCTATAGGTTAGAATATATTTTTAATAGAAGGTGTAAGAATTGCGGGGCACAGAAAATGCCCCACAATATTTGAAAAAAATAGGTTTAATTGGAAGAAAGAAGCTATACTGAACCAGTAGCGGGAATATAAAAAAAAAGTATCAAAAAATTATTCCGTCTGTGCGTGGGTTTCTTTGGCTCAGCTTAGGTGCGGTCAAATGTTAATTCAAGTCTCATGTTGAAGAATTCAACTTATTGGAATCCCGAAACCACTTCTGTTAGGGCTCTCTTGGATTAGAATGAACCTAACCCGCATACTCAAGGACCAAAAGAAGCTCATCCAAGAACAGATTATGAGCATTGAAACGTGTTGCTAACTAGTACTCCTATTCTCAAATTTCTTTTTTTGTTCTAATTAGACTTGAAAAGGGACCCTTTGGCTGTATTTCAACGTATTTTGGCCTTCACTAAACGGCAAAAAAAAAATAATAATGAAGCACTTGCTTATGTATTTATGTTTATGTACATCCCGAGTGAAACTGTGCGCGGCATGGTTCTCTTCATAGAGAATTAGGATTATGTAAATATCGAGACTCTTGTTATATGTTCTGAGAATATCAACAAAATGGAATCTGCTGCATTGCTATCCATTGCATCAAGGAAAATAGTAAATTTAAAAATAGAACCCGCTTTGCCCAAACTGAAACTGAAAATAAAAGGCCTTCTGTTTAGTAAACAAACGTTATCGTTTACAAATCAGTTCTATTGTTTACAAAATTTTATAAGATATTATTAATGCTGAACGGCAACACTTCACCCTCATTTGCCGACCATTGAACTTTGCTCGGTGATCACTATTAGCTCGAACCATTTTTATATGTCAAATGCCCTTAACACGTGTATTGAGAAAGTTTAAATTGATTTATTTCTAGGTGTAGAGATAACTTTTGAACTTGTAGAATGCTAATAGAATAATTTTTTTGAATATTAACTTGATATATTTAAAAATTAAACAGTTATTTGAGAGGAAGCGAGTAATAAGATTTTTAGTTGAATTGTTCATTCAAAGACTTATATTATTTACATCTCGATAATCTGTGAATTTTGAAAGTCGTTTGTACAACTCCTCATCAAATTCATCCACATCTTCGATTTGTAAATCTTTTACATTTTCATCTTCATCATCATCGATGAATATGTCACTTCCAAGAGAAAACGTACCGGAAACGCTTTCTGCCATCATTTCTTGTTTTTGCAGGTTGTAAACATCACTGTCGATTCTGGGAACCAAAGTTATAGGGGAAACCTCCTCAGTTGAGTGTTGAGATTTCCTACTTGGTGCAGTGATATATTGTGCGGGCCAAGGACTGGAATTCTCCCTCGGGATCTGGAGCTGATTACTTGAGCTGTACAATGTACTATCTGCTAAGGCACCAGTATCGTAACTCGAGTACATATTCGGTCCCCCGACAAAATTGTTGAAGGCATACGCAAGGCCTGCCATCGTACTTCCATTGGAAACCCCTTCGGAACTTGAGTAGTGCTTTTCGTCCAAGATGCCATCGTACACATTATCCTTGTAATTGCTTCTACCATTGTCATGATATCCACTAGTATTGTCAACCTTGATGTTCGATTTCTCAATAGTTGCATTTCCTTTTCTTCTTCTTTGCGTTCTTGACATCAGAATGAAGAACAAACACCATATAAAAAGCAAACCTAAAGGAAGAACTGTTGGTAATACTATTGAAATAACACGATTTTTATGTTCTTCTTTCTCTGGATTCTTATCATAATTGTCAAGACTACCAACGATGGATAAATTGCTGGGTAAGCCTTTTCCTTTCCTACTCTGTCTCGTGTTGCCTGATTGGTCACTATTGTAGTCTGCATCAGAGTTCGATGTAGATTCAATACTCGATCCAGAAATCAGACCTGTCAATGGTATGGAAGGATCAATCAATCTGGCTAGTGCACTAAGCGAATCATTTGGATTAGAATACAATGACGAATTTCTATCTTTTATCAACGCACTTAGAGAATCTAATAGATCGTTGGGAAAATAAACCTCCACGACCGATACAAAGAATTCATGGCCAGGGATAAGTAAAGGAACAATACCGTGTACACTAATTGTGGAAGCATTGAATAAATTAGAATCTAAGAAAGCCAACGCATTATCATCTATTAAAGAATTGATGGGGAAATCATTAGGTGCATAAGAGGAAAATGGATACGTCAAAACACTGGGAAGAAAATTGAATATTTGTGCTGATGATAAAGGGTTATCAATCAAAAATTGATAGTTCAGGCCTTGTTTTAGTCCTATTGTTACCAATGTTGTATTCGGAGATTTCACGGTCATCTTAGGAGGAGCGATAAACTGGGGCAAACTCTTTGTAGCAGTCGGATTGAAGGAAGATGAAACTGTAGTTGCAAAATCACTTTGAAATATAATTCCACTAGGTAGCCAATTTTCATCGCTGGACAATGTCTTGGGTCCAGTTGGTGTTGCTGGTGGAGGAGAAGCACTGGAAGGTATTTGATTTGTTATGGTTCTTGAATTAGTTGGGTTATTTTGAAATGTACCCTGTGATGGTCTTGAAGTAGAAGTCACGACTAAATTGGAGTCACTTTCAATATTTTCTGATGGTATGTTTATGTCGCTACTAATATCGAAACCTACATTAGGAGGTACTGCTGAAGATGGCTCGGTCAAAACTTGTGTAGGAATGGAATTGGAGCTAACGATATCCACATCTACTGAAGGAGCAACACTATTTAAAGCATCGTGATTAGATACAGAGTTTGGGCTAGAGTCAGCATCTTTTGAAGCTATGTGTACGCTAGACACATCGACATTGGAAGCAGTAAACTCTGAAACCGTAGAAGTTGTGGGGGTATTATCTTCAGGTTGTGGGATAGTGTTGGAAGAATCAGCACTTGGCACTGAATTGGCAAAATTGGATGCGCTGTTTTGAACATTCACGCTTGATTGTGCAATTTCAGCATATGAGGCATCATCTCTTGAGATAGATTGACTATTAATTTGGGATGCAGAATCCAGTACTGTTCCCGAATTGGCAGTTGGTGTTGCATTATTATCAACTGGCCTACTTGGGGTTGCCTGTTCCAAATTTGAAGAAATAGCTTCAATGTTGTCAGTGTTTGACAATATTGATGATAGTGAAGAGGAAGATGGTGCTTGTTTGGCATCAACAGCTTCGACAGGGATTTGTGACAAGCTGTTCGAGCTTATGTATTCACTAGCAACACTTGAACCTGTTGGTTCAAGTATTGAGGATGGGATTGATGCTGCTTGGGCAGGAGATAAAGGTGCAGCCTGGCTCAATATAGTGCTGGATGCAACCGATTGAATCGAGGATGGTGGTTCATTCTCTATTGAAGAAGGTGATAGTACGGGAAAGTGCACAGAGAATTCTCTATCGGCAGAAGGCTTCAGGAAATTGGAAAGAGTAGAACTTTCAGAAACAAGTGTGGGTGTAGTCGTAGTTGTTGGTGGTACTATTAGGGGTAGGGTAGTGGTTGAACTATCAGCTACTCGTGAATGGATTGCCTGTGAATAATCCAAGGATGATGGACTTAGTTGTTCACTAAATGAAGAAGAAGGGGCATTACTAGATAATAGCCAGCTAGGAACATTAAATGATCCTGAAAACTCTGAAAAGTTAATTTCTTGGCTAGATATTTGTTGTGACGGTATAGATGAGGTTGGTGGTGACGAGACTGGTGGTGATACCAAAATTGATGGTCCCAATTGACTTATTGAACTAGATGGCAAAACAGAAGACGGTGATACTTGGACTTCTGGTGGTATAAGTGGTGCGGCAGATGATGGAGAAACTTGAACCTCAGGAGGTACAAGTGGTATAACAGAAGATGGGCTAGGCACAACTGATGATGGGGATGGCGAGTTAGATTGCACTGGTTCAACTGATGAAGGTTGGATTGATGGTTGTTGCTGTTGTGAAGAAACTTGAACACTAGAAGCGGAGGAACTGATCTCAAAAGCAGGAGGTTTCGCGGGAGCTCTAGCTTCAGATGGCGCAAATACTGGAATGACACTTGAAGAGGATTCTACATTGATTTTTGAGCTTGAGTGGTAATCAATAGATGATGGCTGCACTGATGGATTAATCGATAGTATTGAAGATGGACCTTGTTGGCTCGAACCATCGTCTAGGAAATTCAAGTCGTCCGTATTAATGTCATCAGATGGTTGACTTACGATGGAATTAGAAACACTGTTTGGTTGTATTGATGAACCCGCATCAGGATACGTATTAGTGTTTGTATTAGTGTTTGTATTGGATTCTATAGAGTTTGCAACAGGTGACGGCTGTACTTCCGATGGTTGTACCGATTGTATTTCGGATTGTACTGAGGGTACAGATTGTATTTCGGATTGTACTGAGGGTATTGATTGTATTTCAGATTGTACTGATGGTTGTGCTGAGGGTATCTCAGGCTGGATCGATGCTGATAGCACAGACGATATATCTTCCGATATGGGATTCGGTACAGGCGTATCGTTTGCGCTAGTGGTTGCAGTCACAGCAACCAACAACAACGATCGTACCAAAAGCAATAGCTTTCTCATTGTTGTAGTATGTGGTGGTGGAGCGCTTGGTGTTCTATCGTTTAGTTGGGGGGGGGGTCTGATTAGAACTCTTTTATGGTTTTATTTAAATTTTATTTGTTTTCGATAGTATTTTTTTCTTAAGTTTTTTTATTTTTTTTTTTTTTCTCTTTCTATTCATTGTGGTAGCAAATTAAGAAATGCCAATCTTCTTGTAGGCCGTAAAGTGATTACTCAAAAAGAAATTAATTGAAAGACAATAATCCCCGGTACGAGTGTTTGTCAGTAGTTATTACTCACACAAGCATCGATATATTACCCAATTGCAATTTATCATATTCCCTTTCCGTGGGCAGTCTGCCAATTTTTAGGAATCCAACATAGAGCATTCCGCAGCAACGGCCTTCCCCCATCTCTCTCTACAATGTTGCAGTTAAAGGGTCCCCAATTTAAAAAAGACGCATAGAACAAATTACCAAATACTCTTCCATACTCTTCTTAATTTGTTTGTCTTGTGCAGTCCCGGATAGGTACTCTGTACTGTGGTCTTAGTGCGGTCTGTACAATGAGAAAAGAAAAATGGCCAAGCCTGAAGGAAAAACCCTTACCAGAAAGGGAAAGTGATGAATGGGGGAGGGGAAGGAAACCCTTATATTGTGAGTACGTTGTACGGGTGTTCCTTAGAGAAGCTGAAAGTGAGAGTGGTAATCTGGGAAAGAAAAGACTATGATGGCCAGAGAAATAGCGTGAAGGTTGAAAGGAAGGTAGAAGTATTGTCGAATGATAAAAAAAAGAAGTTTCCTAACTAGGAAATGTTCTTAGCAGATGCTTAGAAACAGATGTATGCCCAGTTCACACTGTGTAATTAAAAAAGAAAGTGTCCACGTAAGATGCAGTCGTAATCTTGCTCTTAGACGAGACGTGGGTGGATTGCTGTATATCTAGTGGCTAATCACTAAAATACTTCTCCCCCCCCCAAGAGAATCCGCAGTAGATGGACCAGAAGTCCTATTCGCAGAGAAACACTAGTGGGAGTCAACCGGGATGCCTTCACTTCTCTTCTCTTTCCCATCGGACGGGGTGGGGGTATACTACTCCATCTGCACAGAGACTACCGTACGGCCCTGTATAGAATGGCATCCTGACTATAGTTACGCTGACTGGAACAGTTAGAAGAGGGACGGTACACAACACAGAAAAGTCCTGAGAGACTTACCAGATAGACCACAAGCTGAGGGGAGGCGCAGGCGGGGGGGGATGTAGGGCAGCTGAAGCATAGCCAATCTCTTAGAATGTACCGTGCAAATGCTTATCAATCGTGCAAAGCAAGGAAATTTATGATTGCCGTGTTTGTGCTAGATGATAAGAGTGCTCAACATAAGCCACAAAAGGAAAATTAAGGCAACAGCACAAATATGTGAATTACTGAAGGTGGTAAAAAAAGTAACGACAACTGCAGGATTCGAACCTGCGCGGGCAGAGCCCAAAAGATTTCTAATCTTTCGCCTTAACCACTCGGCCAAGTTGCCAGGAATATTACTGTAACGTTTTCAGTTACTTGACAATGTAACGTAAGAATTTGTTTTATACATTTGTACGTAATCACGTCACACAGTACTGTTTCACCGCCAGCACTGCGGGGCGAACCAGACAACTAAGCGATCGCTACATCTATCGTAATTGCCATTTACTCTTTCTATTATTTTTTATTAAAGAAGTTGTATATATTACCACTACTGTTAACTTTGTTTTTAGAAATGGGTTTCTTCTTTACTCTCTTCTCCTTTGAAAATAACAGCCGCTTCTCACCTATAGAGAGGTTCTTGGAAGTTGATTCTACCCCGTTCAAACTTTCTGATAGCTTCAGAGCAGCATGGTAGTCCTTATGTTCATCGTACTCTTTCAAATTATCAAAATGTACCTTACATTTCTCACAACTGAATTTCTTGGCGTCTTCATCTTTGTCCTCTACCTCAGTGACGGGTTCTATTTTAGGGGATATTGTCTTTGTATTGAAGACTTGCTTTTGGTTACCAAACATATCAAGCACCGTTTTCTGGTGGTCTAGTATATCAAAATTTGATATGATAACATTTAGATTTATCAGTGGGTAAAATTTACTGGGATCTTTGGCCGCAAACTTGTCATGGATCTCTTGCATCAATTTTACACATGTCTTCAGTAGATCTCGACTTAGATACTTTGAATTGTTAATTACCAGCGGCCCAGATTTCCGTCGTACATCTCCGGTATATGATCTTAAATTCAAAGAAACCGTTCTTGGGACAACAATCTTATTGTAATCCTGCTCTAAGTCAACAATCCGAGCTGTCAATTCACCGTTAAAGACCTCCAACCAACTGATACAATCAACAAGGCTGTTGCATGACTTCCCTCGAAGATTTTTATTTGACATCATGCTTTGTATCAAGGGTTTTGGTGTGATAGGTGTAGAAAATGTGCCTCGAACCATGCTGAAGAGTTTGTCAGACAAAACTTCAAGCTTGCTTCCTGCAACAACGGGATATTTTTTCTTGTTCTCCGCTTCATCCAATTCGGTCTCAATATAATCCCTTAACTGCTTATGGTTAGCTGGCCAGGTTTCACGAATGTGTTTGATGGTATCCTTTTCAGGCAAATTTAGCAGCCCTTCTAACTCCCTCCCTAGAGCACCACCAAGTGTCCAAAAGGACGTTATCTCAAAACCACCTTGATCTAAAAACTCTAGTATATCATTGTTCCGAATGACAGTCTGGGCGTCAGGCTTTTTGTAATTGGAACCGAGCTTACACAAAATCTTATTTCTTGCAATACCACATGATGTGGTATAACCTAGATTATCCTGAATTGTTTTCCTAATCAGTTGTGTGTTTTTTGACGCCAATGCAAAGATGACGTCGTCCCAGTCTTGAATAACGGGAGCTTCTTCATGATTATATACCAAACCACAGTAACTTAGCTTTTTTAAAGCTTCAGGCACTGGTGGTAGCGGCATATCCAACTTGTAGTCACCGTTGACAAACAACTCTCGAAGTGGATTTTCTGCAACTATATTATAGTCATCGTCATCAGTAGCTTCCACATTCGGGAACATCAAATCACGGAAGCACAATCTGCCTAGATCTAGAAACACTTCGTCAACACTGGCTTTCTCAACATGGTCACAAAATTCCCGGAAGATCTTTAATATTTTCCGACTCTCCCTTCTATATGGTTCAAGTGAAACTTTATATTCTTCCGGTGGTAATTGTTTCGCAGGATCTTCATTCCAAGAGCCGTAACCATCGTGGTATTGCCAAAAATTCTCGCCCTTCTTGAAGACAGCGGTGTGGATGGGTATTATATCACTGCTCTTTTTTAGTGCTTCCTGGATAGTGTGCATTCTTGAAATGTTGTGTTTTCTAGCCGCATATGATATAGCTATTATTGACTTCCACTGTACACATACCACTGGATCATCCTTTGAATATCCACAACGTATTTGCTCTGCCTGAGCAAAGAAGGCATTCACATCAATGTGTGCTAAGCAAGCTAAGTTTGACAAGTATGCTTTATCCTTATTATTAAGATCAATCAAATCTTTCCATGTAAATTTCGAGTGGCCCATCTGGCTCAAATACAGTCAATCAAACTGGTAATTACTGTTCTATGCAATATTGTGATTAATGGCCATACATTAGAAACAATGCTTATGACTTGGATCATCTACATTTACTACTGCAGAATTCAGGTTAGACTAACATGCAAAAAGTTTATATTCATTTTTGTAGTTATTCTTGTTTTCATTAGGATGATTACACTCTGTGGATGTGGATTAATCGATCATTGTTAATTTAGTGTAGCTACTACCATTTCAAACAAAACGTAAATTCTTGCAGTCGTACGCATTTACCCATATTGACAAGATCCAAGTATTAAGTGGTTTTACAGACTAGAAAACTAGTAGAACACCATTTACTACATGCTACAGCTATTTCATCGAACAAGATCAGTAGTCTATTACATACAAGAAAAGCGGTAACAGTTTGAGCGCTAAATTATTGACAAGATATTTTTACTATAATAACAAGTGAATTATAAGAAAATTGTATGACGTTGAAAATGGACCAGTATAGACACAGAAGAAAAAGTCTATCCCGGTGAGTAAATCATCAATAAGTGCATTTGGTCTAGTTTGATTTTAAATTGGAACAAAGTACGGAAGAGTATACAATCCCAGTATCCATTAGATCCCCCCAATTTTCCTTATAACTATGTTATCGTCAGCTAATTCAGATAAAATCCAAATTAACCTCTGAATAAAACAATTTTGGAAAAAAGAGTTAATGGAATCAATATCAACCAGAATTCTCGGTCCCAGAGTGTATCAAACATACTTTCAAGTTGTTATGATTATTTGACATGTTAGTAGTGATCAGTCTAGCGAATCTAACGATAGTTTGAAACCCAGAATCAATCACGTTCACCACAAATATAAGTTTCTACCATTGAACTATAATATTGTTAGGAAAAAGAGTAAAATAAAAGGAAAAACAGGAAAAAAATGAAAAACGTAATAATGATTTTAAAATTTCTAAGTACTTAATGAAAGCAACGAAGAAACGATAATACGGTACAGAAAATATATTCTTTTTGTGCAGAATTAAAAAACCCTTGGGAAATGATACAATCTCTTTTGGTTACAAAAAAGTTGCTTTGTGACTGTTTATTGCTTAGTGAATTTATTATTATTAATTAAAAAAATCTCCTTAATCTTTTGTTGTTAAAAGTATTTTTTATTAACCACATTAGTTTTCTGGGATTTCAATTTCACCGGCGTTGATGGCTTCAATGATGTCGTGTGGGTTCTTGAAGTCGACACGGCAACCGACAGATTGAGCAGTACCCAAGATTTCCTTGGTAACAGAGGCCAAGTTCTTACCGAAAGACTTTTCCTTCATTTGTCTAGCAATTTCAATGATTTCATCCAAAGCGACGTTACCACTGTGCTTGACGTTCTTGTCCTTCTTTCTGTCTCTTGGTGGTTCCTTTAGAGCGGTAATGACCAAAGAAGAAGCAGATGGAACAACAGAAGCGGTAGCTTGTCTGTTTTGAATCTTCAATTGAACGGTAACCTTGATACCCTTGAAGTCCTTGGTGGCCTTGGCAATATCTTCACCGACCTTCTTTGGGGACAAACCCAATGGACCAATCTTTGGAGCCAAGGCAGCGGAAGCACCGACTTCACCACCGACAGCTCTCAAGTACAAGTACTTGACTTCATTTGGATCGAACTTTGGAGGCATTTTCTTATTCTTATTTGGTCTATCCTTTCTTAAAGAGGCACTCTGTCTTCAATAATAAGCGGATAAACAATATCAAATTTGAAACTCAATATGCTTATATCCTTTATGTACTACGTTAATATCAAATTGTAAAAAGAAGACAACGTTGGCACTCCAAACAATAACGCTGAGTAGGTCAATATTCACTACTAACAATTACAATTTTGCAACTTTTCCCAATAGGACTTACTATCTGGTAATGTGATGCAATTGACAAAATTTACAACTTCCAACAATGTAGATTTGCAGTGGTTCCACAGTAATCAACGCAGAACACACAGGACCTTGGGCAACCGGCTCATCTTTCCTTCTTACCAGCTGGCTATCTCTCTAGCCTACCACTGATACATTCTGAGCCTAGCGGTGTGAAGTCTCTGCCTAGCTCTGCTGTTCCCCCCTGAGCTCAGTGGGACCAAGAAGCCAATTCCCCTCCAGGCTGCCCCAAGGCCAGTAGGTCCCAACAGCCTTGGGGTCAGTTACCAAGGGTGCCCCTTCCTAGGCCGGGGCCTCCTTGAAACCTAGACTCATCCATTCCAAGAGGGAACTGCCGAACACACAGAACTTCCCAACACCGGAGGACTGTGCCTCGCCCCTCGGAGGACCTAGAGTATCAACCTATGGGGTATTCTTTCCGGGCACTGTACCTATCCTCACAGGCTCAACCAAGAATTATCAGTTTTTCGAGCCCCACTCCGGGGAGCTGCTACCAATTGCACAATAAAACAGAAATAAATTTCTCCCAAACAAATTTCATTTCGGATCGGTTTATGGTGTATGGGTTCATAAAGTTACAGTAGTCACAAGAAAAGATCAAATTTTGTCGTACGTAGTGTTTTGTTATTGCTAAGGATCCATATACGTATCGCGGTATATTTAGACTGCTGTCACATGATGTGTAGTCGACTACCTTGAGTATTCATCACCACACTCCTAGTTGTACTTGTATTGTAAATGCAAAATTTGGAGTATACGACTATATATGGGTTTACCTATAATTATGCGGGCAACTATACATTCTCTAATACTTCGCTGTTAACTTTCTAAGAGGTCTGAAACTGCGTTCTGTTATCTCGGCCAAATGGCATAGGGAAGAAGGACGCTTTTATATATCGATTTCAATTTCATCTGGATTAGTCTTAGCCTCTTGATTTTTAACAGAGGATGCAACAAATTGGACATTACCTTGTCCTTTACTGACCTCTTCTGTGTCGACCTTCATTTCCTTTTCAAGCTTTTGTTTCAACAGTAGCATTTCCTTGTAATAACTCTTGTCACCGTGCTCTAACTCAAATTGCTCCCAAAGACCCCAAAGTTCTTCATTTTTTATTGGCGGAAGAAGTTGCGCTCCATACTGCAATAATTCCCTTGCTCTAGTGTAGTCGCTTAGACTCATTTCTAGTTTGGTAAATTTCAATACATATGTGATAGCCTTGGAATTTGGTAGTTCTTGTATACATTCAGATAATAATTGACGTAAGCTATCAGGGCCAAGGAATTCCTCGCACTTGGAGATAGCTGATTCCCACAAGTCAACTCTTTGTTTCAATTGCTCTTTGTTGGTGTACGGCCGTCTGGCACCGCTCATCAGTAGATCAATAGCTCTTGAGAATAGCTTATTGTGAATCTCAAAATCACTATATTTGACATATATGCTATTGATATTAATGTCAGTGTTGCCTAGTTGTTGTAAACATTGCTCAAATAGCTCTCTTATACGTTCCTTAGTAGCCTGATGTGCTGGTTCCATGACTTCGTCAAGCAGCAACGTCCACAGCTCGTAGCATATTTCAGGAGGAAACATGTTGATTCCCTTCTCATAGACTTGAAGGGAACCGTGTAAATTGTTATTTTGCTTGAGAAATGTCGCATAGTTGAGAATGCCTACTGGAGTGATAAGTTTTAAAGTCATTAATGTATCATATGCACGGATTACATCATTTGCATCGATGGTAGGAATCGATTCCAAAAGATCAATGTAGTAATTCCATAACCTCTTTGAAGTGAACAGTATTGTCTGTGATGGTAACCTTCTATTTTCTGATTTAAACCGATCAATTATACTTTCGTAGGATGGGGGGACTGTAAGAGCTTTTCTTAGTATCTTTAGTGCCCTCTCTATATTGTGTATCTGGAACTCATTAACTGCCCAAGTATGCCAGACTATCTCTAGGTCTTGTAAGTCTGGAAATGGAACTTTGGTAGCGCTTTCATAAATAGTTCTTGCTTCTTCATAACTTTTATTACTCCAATAAACCTTTGCATAATCGCACCATAGCTTACCGAGCATACCGTACTCTTTGTCTTTAACCTTGATGGGATCAATTGTCTTTATTGCTTCCACAAAGACTTCACATTTTTTATCAAAATCTTCAAATAACGTGGTTCGCTCAAGCCAGTTACTAACACTGTTTGGATTTTGACGGATCTTCAGATCATTGACCAACAAGTGGTACCTGCTGGTCAGGTCACCAAGAATAATCAAGTGATCATCCATTTCTGATTTCCATTTCTTTTGTACTTGAATTTCAGGGTCATCTCTCATTTCATCAAAGATAGTCTCCACATAGGCTTGTTCAAAGTTTACATGATAGGTATAAATAGCGATGAATTCATTAGTTTTCACCGTCTCTGATAGTGCTTTTGTCAAAACCTTCTCCATTTTATCGAAGTCAGCTCTTTTCATATGGAAGTCAGCCAATTTCAATGTCAGTAAGACTCGGTGCTGTGGATATTTTTCTAATAAATTATCAAAAACACTTTTATAATCCTTATCGAGACGTAATTTGTCAAGGGTATCAAGGTAATAAATGTACAGATCAAAATCATATTCTTTCTTGGATTCTCTGTTATTCTTACCGGTTTTGTCGTTGAATATATACAGGTCAAAACATTCTTTTATTATCTTGATATCTTTTGTTCTGATCAGCAGCCTTAGAGTTTCATCATATTTATCTTCGTTCGCTACCTGCAAGTAATATCGTAATAGGCTGGCTGTCCACTTATCTACATCTTCATCCTCCTCATCGTCTTCAATTTCTGTCTGGTCACCGCCTAGAAATAATAATTTATAGATGTCTAATCGTAAATCTTCGTAATTTCTATCATTAAAAGCTGAAAAATCGATATTATTAGGGCCTTCTTCTGAGGGCAAAACATGCTCAAGGGCAAATCCCAGTACTATATTCCAAATACGCTCTACTTCGTCCTTATTACACCTGTGTAGTACCAGCTGCAAGCCTTTCATAATAATATCAAGATCGAACGTGCTTATGCAGAAAAGCATCACCTCAACTGCAAACACACCCAAGGGGCCCTTCACTGAGTTTATACATCGCTCATATAGTTTAAAAGTATCTAGGTACTGATCCAGCTTGTACTGCCGCCTAAACCAACCGATATACTGTTCCCAAACGGTCAACGTTGGAAACTGGGTCACCATACGCTCGTATAACCACAAAATATGCCTTGCAGACCGCACACCATCCTCGCAAACTTGTGCCTCCCAATGTGCTATATAACGTTGCCACACTTCCACGCTTGGCGATTTCTGTAACTCATACTCAAATGCGATATCACTGTCGTCCAGTATGTATTGATCTATGTCTGCCATCCAACTGTATCCAATAAGATCCGTTCACTACTCGTTGTCAGTGTCTTATCCTTGATCTTCAAGCACCCTATAACTAGCCAATTACTGTTATGCAGATCTTGGACCAGCTAAGGACAGTCTCTGCTTCCCTCTTTATAATCCCGGTCTGGTTCAAATCGCTTATCCTTAGAAGCCCTGTAAATTTTCCAGTCTCAAAACAAAGTTCGTAGAACATTCAGCAGGGGGGCCGGGACCCTTTAATCCCGAGCCCATCGCAGCTCAAAGGATGAGTACCATAGAAAAGCAAGACGTATTAGCATGATCTCAATGGTGTGCCTGTTGATTTAAACACACGTTAGTAGCACCAAAATATGTTGTTGAAGAATCTGGTATATATTGGTAGTGTGGCTGCTTTACCCTGGTCTAGCTCATGGAGTTCGTTGCTTCAAGACGATGACAGTGTTCGTACCATTGACGTTGGTGATGGTCAATTAAGACAAGTTACTGAGTATGATAAGCTAAAATTGAGGAGGCGTGGTATCAAGTTTTTTGATGTCACAGATGTGCTGTTCTTCAGAAGCGAAGAGGACCCTGTAGTTGCTGATTATAACTATCCAATGCAAATGCATCAGAGAGATACTGTACATGGTGTGCTCGACAAGATCGATAAAGAGTCCATGTACGCAGACTTATCTAAATTGACAAGTTTCTACACAAGGTATTACAAGAGTGCGGAAGGTGTGAAGTCTGCGGATTGGGTATTATCAAGGATAACTAACATCACCAATGGGCTTGAAAAGGACCTTGTGCAGATTGAACAAGTTTCACACAAGGGCTGGGATCAGTACTCAATTGTGGTTAGATTCAAAGGTACTTCATTACCAGATAATATTGTTGTCATAGGTTCTCATCACGATTCTATCAACTTATTATTACCATCAGTTCTCCCTGCACCTGGCGCAGATGACAACGGCTCTGGTACTACTACAGTGTTGGAAGCCTTGAGAGTGTATGTGGAATACTATATAAAGCAAAACCAACGTCCTATGAATACCATCGAATTCCATTTCTACTCTGCGGAAGAAGGAGGACTTCTTGGCTCCCTTGACGTATTTACCAGATATGCTCGAGACCAAAAGAAGGTGGTAGCCATGCTTCAACAAGACATGACGGGCTATGTGAGAGATCCAGCTAAAGAGCACGTAGGTTTGGTAACTGATCACACCACGCCCAAATTAAACAACTTTTTGAAGTTGGTGATGAATGAATTCTTGTCCATACCATATGTGGAAACAGAATGTGGTTACGCTTGCAGTGATCACGGAAGTGCAGTAAAGAATGGGTTCCCTGCCGCATTTGTCATTGAGAGTGACTTTAAAAAGACCAATAGATATATTCATAGTACAATGGACACTTTGGACAGATTGAGTCTGGACCACATGGCTGAACATGCAAAACTCGTTCTGGGAACAGTTATTGAATTAGGGCAATGGTTGGGGTTCTAAGATAGAAGCGCCAATAAGATCTTGGGTTTGCTAATACTGGTTGAAATACCTACAATAATTATCCACACTGACCGGATTATCTCTATGCTTATTTAAGATATATTAAAGACTATATATCACGTGATCAAGACAATTTGATCCACGCCAAAACGTAAATCATCGCAATGTCATTTTGCAGGTTGAACAATAATAACAACAACAATAGTATTATCAGTGTAACTAGAAGTCAATGGTATGAAAGCGTAAAAGTTTTTACTATCGCAACAATCCCTACAACACAACTCATCCCAACCTCAAATGATAATACTGGAAGAGGAGAAAGAAAGTATCTCTCTGCTGCGATATTTGGTAAACGTTCCACCTGCGCAACTAATAAACGTTCTGCTTTTGTTGGCAGCATTTTTATGGGCTTGGATAGTCAGATTCCTACTGCGACATAGTATTGATATTGGTGCTGTGGTACAATTGAGTCACCCTTGGGATCAATTTGCGGCTAACAATGCAAGATTGAAAACTCAAAGCACAAGGTTTACAACTTATTTGGCGAGGGTTATCCTGCCGTTGACATTATTAACTAACATATTGCACAGCTATATTGAGGAAAACAAAGATGCGAATGCGCTAGTTGTGCTAATGTACACACTACTACCTTTAGGTCAGGCAGCATTTCTTATCCTCTCTATATTAAAGACCTGCGGAGTTGTAAGATATTGTGTGAAACGATGTCTGGTCATAGAAAGTAGCCCGCGAGCATTGAGAAATGTCTATATATTGTTTTCTGATACAGTGACTTCTTTTAACAAGCCCATTATTGATTTTGCATTATATCTGACATATTTGCTTGGTATACAAATAACGCATTTTGACTTATTCTTGGCGGTAATACCCCCATTAATAAGACTGTGCCAATGTCTGAAGGAGTACAAAACAACCAAGGAATTTACTTTGCTAGCCAATGCATTAAAATACTCATGTCATTTACCTGTAGTATTATGCCTGTGGTATTCAAGAGTATATGGAGATGATTCACTGACTATAAGGGACTACAACATCTTGAAAGTCATGATGTTCATACAGTCGACTTACTCTTACATTTGGGATGTTAGAAAAGATTGGACTATTACTTCTATATCCAGCATTAGATATCAGAAGAGCAGAGTACTGTTCCCAAAATTTTATTATCATATTGCAATTGTGATGGATGGTATTATGCGCTATTGGTGGCTATGGATTATTATTTTAGCCCCATACGATGTATCTGGGAAGCCAACCGCACTTTTTTTTGAGAAAGAAGCACAATTCATCGAGCTAATACGAAGGGCAGGATGGGTGGTATTTAAACTAGAATCCGAGTACAGTACAAGAGATAGTGATGCGATCAACTACCAAAAAGAATCTAGGTAAAACTACGAAGAGTTAATATAAATATGCATGTGTATAGACTATCCGTTAGTAATAATAATATAAAGTATTTTACTCCTCTCGACAAGTAATATGCTACTTATTATGTCCATGTTAAGGCATTTAGGACATGGAACTTAACATAAGGCTCATTTTCTTCTCTTGTTCGCATTCGCCTTCATTTGGTTTACACGTCTCTCACCCTTTGTCAGATATCTGAACTTCTTCTTCTTCTTCTTCTTATTGTCCTCATCATCACCCATGCCCAAAAATTTAGCATATTTCGTTGCTCTCGTGATGCTTTGTTTTAAAACCTTTTCCGATTGTTCTAGTTTCACATTATTAACTTCAGCAAGATATGCAAAGTTCTCATTGGGCTCCAATGTCTCAATCTCAACCACTGTATTATCTGAATACTCTGAGGCTACAGCGTTCTTCTTTAATATAGGTTTTACACCTGACTCATCTTTGTCGTCTTCATCAATTTTAGTGTCTTGGTCCGATTGAAAGCCTTCCCATTCTTCTTCTTCTTCTTCTTTAACCTCAGACTTTTGATTTTTCTTCTTTTTCGTATTGTCCTCCCAATCTTGGTCACCAGCAACTTCCTCAAGTTCAATATCTAGTTTAGACTTGAATTGCTTTAACTGCTCCTCTATCTGCTGTTTTCTCTCATCTCTTATCTTTTTTCTTTCTTCTATCTTCTGTAACCGTTCCTGCTCTTTGTGAAACTCTTGTGCTTTCTTCTGTCTCTGTACTTTTCTCTTGTGAAACCCAGTCAAGAAATCCAACCTCGAATCCTTGTCAAACGATACTTCATCAGCACCAAACTTTTTAGCCTGTTTAGTGGCATAGTTCTTACCACGCGTAAGAATCTCCCTATTACTCTTGACTGCCATATTTTGAACACTCTTACGGACTTATGAAAATTCAATTCATAAGGATAGAATACGTTGTGTATTATAGCTGTTGTATGCCCTTTACTCTTAAATATCAAACAAGCTCATCGCAAATTTTCCAAAATTTCAATTTTTTTTTCCAAGAGAAAACCCGCACATTAAATAAATCCCTAAACTTAATAGTCATACTAATAATAAAGAAACATTCTACATAGAGTCTGGCACTCATATGAACTTGAACTCTATACAAATCCAATCATACTACATTGACTTGATTATATGCCTCTTCATTATAGTTTAGGTTCACTTGCTGTGTCATCATGGCTCTTTGCTGGCTAGATTCTTTCTTGAAAAGGCATCTCAACTGTTGATTACCTTCCTCCTGTTCAACTAATAGCAAATTGTAATAAGATTACCAATTCTATTGTAACCATGAGTGGAAACAACGTTAAATATTATGATGATCATTTATATACTGTATATGCTTACACTCTTTCAACGATCATGTAAATCATGTGTTTTAAGGTTGAAGCCTGAAATCCCTTCTTGAATGTTATATGATGAGCTTATCTTTGTGTTTGGTGTAACATTACTACAAATGCACTCACATATAAACTGCTAGTGCATCGAAGATACATCTAGAACACTATCTGAATATATTATGGCCGGTAATATACATTCATTGGGAAACACCACACCTAGAAATGGTAATGGACCTTCCTCAGAAGGACCAGCAACGTTCTCTTCTTTCTGGTACAGTGTGCCACCTGTTTCAAGATGGTTGGTTACGTGCTGTATAACAGTGAATACGTTATGTCACTTGCACCTGATTGGTTATCAACACTTCGCGTTTACTTGGTTTCAAACGTTTCAAAGGTTGCAGATATGGAGAATGCTGTTCTCTTCACTAATCCTGCCTGCAAACTTGATGCCTGCATTGATGGAAGGTTACAACCTTTACGTTAGAAGCACTGAGTTGGAGCAAGGGTTCTACTATAGCTCAAAGAGAATAAGTCTAAGCTCGCACAATTTCGCCTTTTATCTGTTCTCATGTCTGGTGGTAATGACCACAATAGCTGGCTTCTTATTCGGCACTATGGTTCCTCTATACTTGACGTCTGCATTCACTGCATGCCTGACGTACACATGGTCTCTGTACAATACTGATAAGAAGGTCATGTTCTATGGACTAATACCAGTATGGGGTCGTTACTTCCCAGTCTTACAACTATTCACAGGGTTTGTGTTGGGTTCAAGATTTGATTTCTACTTGTCTTTGATCGGTATTATAGCGGCATACATTTACAATTGTGTTGACACCTGGACGTTAGGTCCACTATATGGACTACTAATCAAGACCAATGTGGCCAACTATGGATACGAGCCAAGAGGAAAAGTGCAAGCACCAGGTTGGTTCATCAAGATTTATAACTTATTCAGTGGTGAGACCACACCATCAATTGTGACTGATGGTAATATACTAAAAAGCACGGGAATAAGTTCGATCCTGAAGACAGGTGGACAAAGATTAGGTACAAGAACAGAAGGTGATAACCCATCACCTTCATTGGCTGGCCAGTCTGCCTCAATTAGGTCTTCTTCTTCAGTGAGGACTTCTGGTGCTTCAAGAACCCAGACAAGTATGGGATCCAGAATGTTCCCAGGAAAGGGCAAGAGGGTTGGAGATGACTAGCAGGATCTGGGGTGTAGACGAGATGAACAATTCATTACTGTATATATGAATTATTGAAATTATAGATACCATTAGTCTCTTTAGGACTATCTTTATAGCTTTATAAATTGATATGCTAGGCTACGACATATTTAAGAACAAGCCCCAAATACAGAATCCGATGAGGCAGAGTAGTTTCATAAAATTATCATACCAGTAACGTCTGTTCTTATTAGTTTTTGCTCAATTAGCATAACTTAATAAGAATGTCTACTTTTTGTTTCAGCCAAAAACCTAAAGGATATCATACCCTAAACCGCCAATGACTGGATCAAACAAATCTGAGAAATTTGTGCCTGATGCGGAAGGCCTGCCTGTAATAATAAATGGTAAAGCATACCCAGACATTCGTCGCAATCCATTAGATGACATTGCTGTAACCTCATTTGCACTGGGAATCCTTCTCGGTATATTCGTTGGTCTCCTTACATTCACACAGTTCAGAAATTTCAATGTTTATATCATTGCCCTGTCAATATTCCATTTCCTTGAGTTTTATGTAACTGCCAAGGTGAACCCAGGTAAAGTCAACTCAGACTCCTTCCTTTTGAACAATGGTATCGGTTATCTTGGTGCACACATGTTCGGTGTCCTTGAGTGTCTTGTGGAAAGTATATTCTTTCCTAATATGAAGAAGATTAGCAACTCTTGGGTAGCAATATTCTTAACAATCATCGGGGTAATATTGATACTTTTAGGTCAAGTGTCTAGATCAATGGCCATGTATCAAGCTGGTAAGTCATTCTCTCATATCTTGAAGACGGAGAAACTCGACGATCACACATTAGTGACCACAGGCATTTATGGATATTTGAGGCATCCAAGTTATTTTGGTTTTTTCTGGTGGGCTATAGGGACTCAATTGCTACTCTTAAATCCAATTGCATTGATTGTCTTTGTAGGCGTGCTTTGGAGCTTCTTTAATAAGCGCATATTAATTGAGGAGAAATACCTTATACAGTTCTTTGGTGAGCAGTACATAAACTACAAAAAAAGGGTCAAGGTATGGATACCGTTAATTGATTAGCACTCAAAATGTAATAATTAGACTAATTTAGAACATCTAATATAATATAAATTTTCAACGGAATGTTTTTAATATTGAGCATTCTGTAATGAGTTTCGATGATAATATGCAATTGTTAAATAGTGCTACGAGTTAGATATCGGTGCATGAATTTACACAAACCATGGACTGTTTCCTTTGACTATTTCTGCTCCCTTAGTATTATTAGGTTTAGATTTACTTGTTAAGAATGGATTAACAATAGGAAGCGCGCTTGGTGGTTTTGTCTTGATACTAACCCTATTAATTTTATCTAAACTGGGTTCACTGGCTATTTTGGAGGTGCTATGTGATTGTCCCGCAATCTGTGGTAATTTTGGAAGGATTGGAAGCTCCGGTGCTTTATCAGTCTTGAGTCTTCCGTTGGCAAGCTGTGTGAGTTCTTCTGCTTTTTGATCGTTGACAATATTTTTTATTTTCCCCTTCTTGTTTGTTCTCTTATAATCATTGACATGCTTTAGATCCGGTGTCACGCGTTGTTGCGACTGCCGGTTTTCGTTCCTTATAGGTTTTTGCATAATCTCAGAAGATGCCCTGCCATTTTTACCCTCATATGCAAGTTGCTGTTCACTAACAAATGGATTACAATCAGAAGTTGTTAAGTTGGAATTGCTACTCAGAATACTGCGAGATCCCAAGCCAGCTTGAGAACTTATCCTCATGGAATATTGTTGAGCGCTATCAAAACTTGGATTAATTGTTGGTTGTGACGTCGCCTTGGGATCTAGGGTTTTCTTAGATAACTGGTTATCATTTTTAAATTTGGAGTTTATCCCAAAAATTGGATTAGCATCCGCTCCATTCGTATTCTTTAGTGGCTCTTTTGCTAATAATTTTGGTGCTAGCCTTTGAAGATGTGGTTTTTTGTGAGTATGTGAATTCTGAGGCAAAGTAGCATTGTTTGATAGGGATGCCAAAGTGCCATTTATTTCATAGCTCCCATAGGAAAATTCTCTTGGTGATCCTCTTTTCCTTGCTACTGCAGACAATGGAAGGTCGTCGTCTTCATCATCATGATTGGTATCATTATGAAGAGTAGTAGAAGCAGCAATAGCAATAGATTGAGAAACTGCACCATTTTTTTCATTGCCTATGCTTTTACGGACAACATTTCCAGTGCTACTCGAGTTGTAATTCTTTGAAGTGGGTACTAGTTTACTCCCCCTATCCTTTGATTTAGTAGTAGTTGTGTCATCTTCTTCATCACTTAATAATGACACCACATTTAGTTGACTATTATTTCTACTTGTCTTATTGGTGATAGTGTCAGTCACCATTTCATGTTTCAGTACTTCAGTCATAGTGTCTTTGCTTGTATCTTCCTCATCACTACAGTCCGACTGGTCTTCTTTTTCATAGATTGGTTTCCAAGTACTATCTGGTGCCAATTCAATTTGCTCCACATTGTTTGCACATGAGTTGAGAACCCTCATTGAAAACTCACATACATATAGGTCTGCAGGTTTCAAAGAAATTTGACATACGGGGCACATCCAAGTTGGAACTTGTAACTGGGAATGCAAGAACCAGAGGCCGTCAAAGCATTGTAAGTGTTCACAGTATTTACTCCTTACTGGATAACTCATTCTTGTGTATGAGATTGGACATTTCAGACTTATAATAGTAGAGGTTGTGATCAATTCATTATCGGTCTGTTCACCAAATAATTTCTTCACATTTTCCAATGCTGAGGTATATGGGATGACTGGTTTGTTCAAAATTGTTGTAAGAATTTCTTGTGGTGCGATTGGTTTGATAAGAGCACAATAAGAGGAGTAGCACTCCTTATTGAAAACATGGATTATCTTTACTACATTTTGAGCTCTCCAAGATTTTAAGAATGGGGTGAGGTCGACTGGATTAACAGATCCATCTCGGTTTTTCAAACCTTTAAAATTTGCTTTTATCTTTTCATTATTGACCCACACTTCTATAGGGGTGGGAAATGCAATTGGAGTATCCTCATCTTTATTTGGTATGTAGTCACCAGTTTCAGGATCTTTACTATCCTTTCTTGAAAAAAGATAGAGTTTCAAAGGGTACTTCTCATCTGTGAGTTTTGTCCATACATTTTTCTCAAATTTAAATTTGCATTCTGCTACATTCTTGACTTCTATTGCAGGCAGCCTTCTTGTAGTGTCTGGGATTATACTCAATATTTCATAAAATGGTGATCTAACGAAATTAGGTGATTTAGGATTATTGCTAATATTCATGAACTCTATCATTTGTTTTGTTACAACGTCCATGGGATTAAATTCATCCACATTATCCCAATAGCCGTATGGATCATACTTGTTTGTGTATTTTCTAACCAGCATAGTCAATTCCATCATGCTCGGGAGTTTCTGTTTCCTGTATATCGCATCTATAGCTCTAATTACAGCCCTTATTTCATAGGATTTAGATCTGTCCTTTTTCAAATACCGAAGCAAAAATAGGCATAGCCCATTCCTTTTATCCGCAATGCCTACATTTTCACTGTTTCCAGTACCGAGATCAACCTTTAAAGCTTTGTATTCCGATAAATACCGTATCAGTGCATCCAAACCATCTAAATCAAGCAGACTCAGCCTATTGCATGCATTACAAACCAAGCATCGATCATCTCCCAGCGGTATGTTATAGTCCATCCAAATTAAAATCGCTTAATCAACCTTGACCTTTCGAAGGAGGTAAAACAGTATAATAATTACACGACTAGCCACCTAGTTATACTAAAGTTCAAAGTAAAACGTTCGTGTTCGCTGTGTGCAGATCAGAAATGAGATGAGGTGTCAAATCCTTCCTCATCACTGTTTGTTTTTGTATGATTTTCGATGTGCTTCCTTCCCCCAACAAACATCAAATTAGTGAAAATATAAATTTCTGCTCCCGACGAGATTCGAATTGATGTCCAACCCGTCGGCAGCTACAAAACCTTTGACTTCTTCTCATTTAACTACTAATAAAGACTCATCTCATCTCTTTTATATTTCAATTATAGCGCTTGCCACCTCCTGGTAAGCTCATCATTAAGCGGGACAAGGCTCTAGTCGATAGTGGAGTATGAAGAGAGTTACGGTGTTAATTTCTGGATCTGGTTCTAACCTGCAAGCGCTGCTGGATGCTGAAAGGGAAGGTAAGTTGCCCGGTATATCGATCACGCATGTCATATCTTCTAGCAAGAAGGCTTACGGCTTGGAGAGAGCTGCCGCTGCTGGTGTACCCACCACAATTCACTCTCTTTACAACTATACCAAGAGCATTCCTAAGGAGGACGTAGCTCAAAAGAAATTGGCCAGACGTCAATTTGAGAAGGATTTGGCACAGGTGGTTCTGGAATCTAAACCTGATCTAGTGGTCTGTGCTGGCTGGTTATTGATCTTGGGCCCAGACTTCCTGGCTATACTGAAGGGTATACCTATACTTAACTTACATCCTGCCCTTCCGGGCCAATTTGATGGAACTACACATGCCATAGAGATGGCCTGGAATAAATGCCAAGAGGATAATAAGCCTTTGAAAGCCGGCTGTATGGTGCACTACGTGATAGAAGAAGTTGATAAAGGTGAGCCATTAGTGGTAAAAGAGCTGGAAATAGTTCCTGGGAAGGAAACTCTGGACCAATACGAAGAAAGGGTACACAAAGCCGAACATGTAGCAATTGTTGAGGCAACTTTGAAAGCTCTAGCGAATTAACAATACGGTATTTTCAATTAACCCTGTAGAAAGGCCGATATGGTATTAGAACTAGTTTCACACTATCAACCTGGAACCTTCATTAATCGATAAATATTATGGCATGTATACTACTTTTTCATAAATAATAAACACCTGCAAAAACTACTTGGATATTCCAGAGTTGCTGCATCAACTTTCTCAATTAACTTCCTGTATCTTACAAAGTTGTAATTCCTAGAGGGATTATGTTATTATGGTGATCACGAAAATAGATCATCGCTCGCCAAATCGGAAAAATCAAAGGTTAACAGCTCCACACTTGAAGAAAAGAGGGCATTAAATCTGAAATACAGCTCATATTTAATACTCAGCTTCATCTGTCAGCTCTCATAGGTACCTGAATTTGCATATTTTTCCCTCTTTCTTTTCATTGATTAGTATTGGGTAGAGATATAGACATAGTAATTGGTCGAAAAACGTTAACAAATCACCTACATTTGTGCTTTCACTTGTGTCACTTCGATATAGAAGTTGAATATATAACTTATCGCTACTTCAAAAGGTATACTCACTGTTAGAAGAAGACTAGATACAAGCAAGAATTTTAGCTAACCAATTAAAAAAAATCCTTTGAATCTGGGCCCCGATTTTCATATGGACTTCCTTTCAAGCAATCTAAGCTTTGTAAATCCATGCAAAGTTAGGACGCTGGTGGTACCTATAGGCAAATGGAAGAAACGAGACTTTCTAAATCAATTTGAGACACTCAGGGCAAATAACGAGGTTCGGTTACTTGACATAACTCCTATCGATTGTCCATTATTTACTCCGCAGGCTTTTCCAAACGGTAGGGTATTCTATGATTTTACTATCAGTCAACATGCTGATGCATTAGATCTTTTTCTCTATGACTTCGAACCCTTTAGAAAGATATTTGTTATAATTGGTCTAGTAAATGACAAGAGTGACCCTGTTGACAATATGAATATCTTAAAAGAACGTTACCCAACTGTCATATCTCACAACCTTTTGTACACGGACAAGAGTTTGATCAATTCAGATGTAGAAAATCAAGATATAAGTAATATCTTTCATTACAACTCTGACAAACTAGAAAACTACGAGACTATTTTATGTGATATTACAAGAAATTTCCTTGTCGCGTTAAATCATTATTACTCATCTTACAAGCATGTCACCCTCAGATCTCCGGGAGCAATTGGAGGAAACGCGGTGCGTAAGACGAGTTTATTGATGTCTGCTTTGCCTGGAAATCAATCAAGAGGATCTGGCTCTCTTTACAACTCGAATTCAACTAATACTAACAAGAGGTTATCCTCATTTGAAATGACCACCAATAATATAAAGAGATCGGCATCTTTAAAACTGTCTACATCTCTAGCTTCAACAGATAATAAAATACAAACAAGAGCACAGGGAAGGCAATACAAAATTTTAGGTAATTTCCAGTTATTAGCAGGAAGGGTGTCAGATGCATTGAATTCATTTAATGAAGCAGTTATATTGCTATACAGGGTTAGAGATCTCTTGTGGCTTGGATCAGCTCTCGATGGAGTTGCAATATGTGCTGTTATATTATCATACCTACAGATGCCATTTAAAATACCGCATATTGTTGCACTAATTTGTCCAATGGAAAGCCCGAATAATAGTATCGAAGCTCTCAGCCCCAGGAATAGTTTGACTAATAGTGTCCAGTCTCCAAGGAATTCTTTAACTTTAGCTACCTCCGAGGCTAATATCGATGTCGATATGTCAAACTTGCCAGTACTAGTGAAAGCTATTCTTGACAAAGCTTTGCATTATTACGATGAAAGTCTTTCACATAATAGTGAGTATGCCCCACAAATTGTTTATTCTCAATTTCTCTCACGTACTTTGAGTTTTATGTTATGCTGTAATTCGGCAGTTGTACAGTCGCAAAATGTGGCCTCAAGCATAATAAATTGCAACTACTCCAATAAGCCTTTAAAAGACTGCGAGAATTTATCCTTTTCTAATTCTGACGTTTATTCTTTTTGTGGGAAGGTGTTGCTGCTGAAAATTGATGATATGGAATTAGAGGAACAGTCAAGTATTTTCTCGCTATTGTCAAAAGCTTATGCATCTCTACAACTTACAAGAAAACAAGCATTTACCCTACGGTTACTCTTGGTTTCAATTTCTTCACACGCAGAAGGCTTAAAATGGCAGCATAGCTTTCAAAATTTTCTGGACACAGTGATGAGATTATATGATATTCATGAATCAGCAGACTCTAATGAGGTAAAGAGTAATTCATTGGAATGGCGAGAACTTCAAAAAGACATAATAGAGTTATGCTTACAGATTAGTGTCAGCATGAAAGCTGAGTCCAATATGAGGGATTATGGGTTGTTAATGCTCAATAAATACAATGATATGCTGTCTGAAACTGAACAGAAGGAAATTTTGCAGGTAATTCTCAAGCCTCTGATACAAAATTTGAAGATTAAAGAATACTGGGACCCTTTTATCCTAAGAGGAGTTACAATCTCGAGGTTAGAAACAGATTCAGCTTCTTATGATACTCTTAGAATACCCAATGAAAATAGTATTGCTACTGCTCAAAAAATCAATCCACATGAGGTGTTTAATCCATTCAAACAAGCCAACTCTCTAAATCTAAAAACTTCAGGAAGCTCTGACAGTAAACCAAAACTATTTCTGGTAGATGATAGGGCCGAATTTAGCTGTACCATCCAGAACCCTTATGGTTTCGATATTACAATATCAGATATACATCTACCAGACGAAATAACCGATTATTGTGAACTAGATACACGAAGTTCGGTTAAAGATAATCCTTATGTTATTGGTGCCAAATCAGTACGAAACATCACCTTACCTATTAAGATAAAAAAATCAACAGCCGATGATTTTCTATTCTTGAGATATTTGAGACTTTCAGTCTTAGATCTACCCTTGTCAAGATTTGATGTATATCCAATGCCGCAAAATGGGGGTATTATTTCTCCATTAAATATTAATTTAAGGACGACACCGCCCTTGGAATCAGAAGCACTTACTTTCAAAATTCTACCCGAACAACCCGAACTTGAAGTAATGAATAATGGAAAGGTAACGGGAAACTCTTGGATGTTACTTGATGGTACCAAATCTCAATTCACAATTTTGATACGAAATAAGTCATTATCCAAGTCGATAGATCAGTTGAATGTAACTGCTGTTACCAATATTGAGCATGCTTTAAAGGCCGACTACTGGAAGAAAATGCAACCAGATGATTTAAATATACTAGAATCGAATATAATGTGGATGAAAAATGAATGTATCAAGATATTGAATAAGCCAGAGCATGTACAACCAAATGAAATTTTCGAATTGAAGCTGGAGATTGATACAGTGCGTGCTCCATTTGAGTTTGAATCTTTTATAGTTGTTGTCGAGTATGGTATGCAAGAAGAAGACAAATCCTGTTTTTATATGAAAAAACTCAAAATTCCTTATGAAGTAACCTTACGAAGAAGTATTGAAGTCCCTAATATGGATTTGATTCCTTTAAACCATATGAATTTTACTAATACTAGCGATTCCAGTTGGATTGCTTATATACAATCTTTGTCAAACAAATCTAATGATGCATTTAGCTACTCTGCTAAAGATTACATGCTGCTTTTACTTGATTTCAGAAATTCATGGATTGATGGCATACACATCGAGGTGACATATGAAGATTTTGTAAGCAAAGGCCATTTGGTAGAGTCAAATCGAAATTTGAGAATTATTGTACCTATTAGGAAAATCGATGTTGAAAAAATAAACTTTTCGAATAAACCAATTCCCCGGATATTTAAAGAGAGACAATTTCTGCAAAGTGGAATGGACGAAAACACTGAGATAACTATGCGTGAATGCTTCTGGACAAGAGAATATATCCTCGAAAGACTGTCTTGTCGATGGGAGTTGAGTACAGATTCCTTAATAAGAGGAGAAGTTGACTTTAGGAAATACATCGAAAAGTTTGACAACAGAACTGTGGCCAATTTGTACAAGGGTAAGCTTCCTTTTTCGATTACACTTTCTAGTAGTTCAAAATCTTCAACTACTGGTGAATTAAATAGAATATCATGCCAGATTTCACCTCAAACAGTTCAAAGACAACATTCTCGAATTCAGCAGACTGCATTGTTAAATTTCTTTATATTTGAACATTTTTCTTCGAAACTGCTACCAAAATCTAACAGGAGGTTACTTTATAATGGATCTCTGTCTCAAAAATTTTCAACCAATAGTGAGAGTACAGTGTGTTTAGATGTGATTCCTATAGAACCGGGATGTTATGAAATTTGCGTCTGTATTTCAGAAACTGAAAGTGTAGATAAGGTCTTGCAGTTTAATCCTGACAGCATTCTTGTCGAAGTTAATTAGTTTCTGTTTTAATCAACGTCATCTAAAAGTTCGAATTTGGCATTATAAATATTATATTATGGTAGCCACTTTTTATAGATAGTTAAGCAAAATTAGAATATGCATATCATTTATTAATTGGAATAAATCAAACTAAACTACATAAAAAATTAAAAAGTAATATTAAAAGCTAAAACAAATGAAAATTAGAACAAAAAAAATTCGGATGTTTACATGAAAAGTCAACCAAACACAATATATTGGTCGATTAGTTCTTTGTTTAGACAGATATGGTTTAATTAAAGTAGCATAAATTGTCAGCTCTTGTGTTTTAAACTTCAGATCTAAACGTCACTGAATTCTGATGTCTAGAAGGGAATTAACCTTCTAATAAAATTAACCTTGGCTGTTTTACCGTTTTTAGCAATTTTACCATTGGTTTTAGGCACTCTTGCCAGCCAATAGAGGAAGATACCAGCCACATAATCAAATACAATGAAACAAATAAATATACCATAATTACGCCATCTTCTGTAGTATTTGGAACTCACAGTGGCCAAGAAATCATTGGTGTAAGAGAATTGACAGAAATGACATTCATCGGTAGCAGATGGATCAGTTAAATATCCAGTACCTGCTACATTCAGATAAGGAGTCATATATTGACCACATGTTAAGCCCTGTGGCGGAGTAAATGTGACCAGTTCTGTATTAGAGCATCTGATATCAACATTAGCCACACCTGTGGATAATAATGCATCAATCAAATAGGTTAATGGTGAGACTCTGTACATGAAAATCCAGAATCTGGGCATGGCATCTGGAGTAGCCATCACACCACAAAATGATAGGGCCATTGTGAACATTAAGGAACCAATGTGAGCGGCAGTCTCAGCAACTTCGTTGAATGAAATAACAAATAGACCTAAGGATCCAACATAAACATAAAACGCGATGGAAAACAACCAGAATAATGCACCTCTTTCGTGCAACTGGTGGGCTTGAGAGGCATTAGCATAGAAACCAACAGAGTAATAGTAGATACAGTAGGCTAATGTACCAGCAACGATATTCCAAGGAACTTCTACCACTATCTGAGCCAATATAAATGCCTTCCATGAGAAAGTTCTAGATGGGCGTTCCCTTGCTTCATATAAATCTCTTTGCTGAACAAATGTAGGCAAGTACTGCTGTAGTAACGGGTTGAAAATAACTGTGTACATGAAAATAGAAAGCATTTGATTTTGTAAGCCTTGTAAAGTATGATCTGCTTTGAAAAATGTGAACCCAATAAACAGTTGATTAAAGATAGTCAAAATGTACTTGGACCATAAGTAGTCCGGAGTCCTCCAATACTGCTGAAATAATCTCACACAGACAAGCTGGAATTGATACCATAGCGATGTTGCGAATTCCTTATTAGCGTCCTCATCATTATCCAGCTCCTTTTGGGAAAGCTCTTTTTCCATTTGTTCTAGTTCTTGTTTAACTTGTTTGAACTGTTCGGAATTTCTCCACACCTCATGGTAGTCTTGGTTTGCATGTGAGCCTGGAGCTGCTCCAACTACTTCTAACATCCATTCAGCTGGATTTGCATCTGGAGGGCATTTATGTGCACCATGATCCTCAAAGTATTTGATCATTGTTTTACATCCTTTACCCAAGTCACCAAAATAAACAGTTTGACCACCCTTTTGTAAGAACAGCAATCTGTCAAATTCCTGCATTAGCATAGCAGAAGGTTGGTGAATAGTGCATAAGATTGCTTGTCCGTGGTTTGCCAGTTTCTTCATCAGTTGGCATGTTGCCCAAGCGGTTTGCGAATCCAAACCAGAAGTTGGTTCATCCAAAAACACTAACAATTTCGGCTTTGCAGCTAATTCAACACCAATAGTTAATCTTTTTCTTTGTTCAACATTCAAACCTTCACCAGGGACACCAACAACTGCATCTGCGTAAGTTTCCATTTCTAGGATCTTAATAACAGCCTCAACATATTCATTTTTTTCTTCAATTGATACACTAGAAGGTTGTCTCAAGTAAGCTGAAAATCTTAGCGATTCTCTTACCGTTGCAGTTTTCAAATGTAAATCTTGTTGCTGACAATAACCAATAGATCTTGAAAATGAAGTATCTCTTGGTCTACCATTAACCATAACATCACCTGTAATAACACCCATTGTAGTTCTTTCAGCCAAACAATCCAATAATGTTGTTTTACCTGCACCGGATGCACCCATTAAAGCAGTTAGTGTACCTGGTTTAACCCAACCATCGACATTGTTCAAGATTCTTCTTACCTCTGTCTTGATTGGTACATCATAACACAGATTTTGCCAATGAAAGATTGCTTCTGATTTAGATAAACCAACTTGAGGGCTACCACCTCTACTTCCACTGGTAATGGACTCAGAATCAGCATTTTCATCATATGTATCTTGTAGCATGTTTTTTTCGTTGGTCGCATTGGAGGTTATAGATTCGGAGTTGTTCTCGATATCATTCTTGTCTGTGTGCATCTTCGTCTTGTCACGAATTTTACCCTCCTTCTTCATACGCTTAACAACGCTATGAGGGAAAACTAGCATTTCACCTTTCTGTTTAGCACCTTCATTGAACTCACACAGAATTAAGTACACAAAGAAGAAGAAGATAACATAGGCCATACCAACACCGAACCCACGCCACTTGTGTTTATTTTCGTAATCGTAACTCTCCTTCAAGAAGTCATCACCAAGAACATAATCATTACCAGGTCTTGCACCAACGGATGCACATACTCTTTCGGTACCTGTAACATCGTTATATGCCCCGCCTCTGGGAATATAAGTGTTACATGGGAATCTACGATCATGGAATTCATTGACCATCAAAGATTCAAATAGGTATGCAAGAGGGTTGATGTACCAGATCCATTTTGACCAACCTAACATCTTTGTCCGAGGAATAGCAAAACCAGTATACATTGATAGCGCCAACAATAACATCGATGCAGGTACCATGGCCTCTTGTAAAGTCTTTGTTAAAGACCCAACACATCTGAAAAGATGGGACATGGCAAAAACAGCGATAACATTGATTAGGAAATAGAAGAAGAATCTACCAGCATCTCTTCTGAAGTTCACCAGGAAATAGAAGATGATATTGAAAAGAATAGCTGTAACAATCTTTGGTGGGATTTCAGATATAACAGATGCAAAAGCGTCAGCACTTGGGTGGTATAGAGAATATGTTCTGTGTTTTTCGGTGATTGGTCTTGCCTCATATAAAGAGAAAATTTCCAGCAAAGAGGAGAAAGCATTAAACAAGATGGCAAAGAACATGGCTGCACCTCTGAAATAGAAAGTGTCAGCAGAAGAACCCTTTTGAATTTTGTAGAACATAGATCCCAGAATGAAGGCCATTGCTGAATTACCGAAGACTTGGAATAACGTGACACTTGCACTATTTTTAATTCTCCAGAAATTTCTTATGAGAATATACTTGACTTGCATCATGTAGCTTACCACATATGGGGATGAGGGTCTAGCTCTCTTTGATTGCTTAGCGATGTGGGCTTCTTTAATTTCTTCTTTATCATCTTCTGATTGATGTGCCAGTGTTTCGTCTATCTCTTCTCTTAGTTGCTTATATTCCTCGGAGTTGTGCCAGTACTCAACCATATCCAATGGCGTCTGTGGCACTTTAATGCCTTTATCCAAGTACTCCTTGTTTATTCTTCTCTCTGCAGGTGAAGTGATCGAAGTCAAGAAGTCAGGGATGGTCTGTCTCTTAGGACAGAAGTAACCCATCTTCTGGAAGTATACCTTTGCGTGCTGGGCGTCACCAAAATAAATCTGGTAGCCTTCATAAAGCACGGATACTTTGTTGAAGAGATTGTAGGCGTCTTGCGAACACTGGTAGATAGCCACGGTGGCCACATTTTTTGCAATGTGTGCCTGTGTCTTCAGAGCTCTTACGAATTCCAGCGCAGTGGCAGAGTCGAGACCTCTCGTAGCGTTATCCCAGCATTGGAACTTTGAGCCACAGATCCACACTTCAGCGATAGACACACGCTTACGCTCACCACCGGAGACACCTCTGACCAGGTCATTACCGACCTTTGTGTCCCTTGTGTGGGAAAGACCGTAGGTGGCCATAGCGACATCTGTTACATGGTTGGCGAAGTCCTCTCTGGTGACACCTTTGACACGGTTCTGTGGGGTCTTCAACCTGGCCACAGTGACCAATGTCTGGTATACCGTCAGGTGGGGCAGGTGGATATCTGCCTCGGCGTTGTACACAACTTCACCACGGTAGTGCTTCTTGATCTCGTTGGGCGTCAGGCCATTGTAGGAGATCACGGAGTCCTTGCTAATCTGGAACCCGTGCGTGGTCGAGGAGATGGACTTCAGCAGCGTGGTACAACCGGAACCGGGTCTGCCCAGCACCACAAGCAGCTCACCGGGCTTCAACAGCCCGTCCATGGGCTTCAGGATGCGGAATGTATCGCTCTCTCTGGCGGGTCTCGCCTTACGCCAGACGGCGTTTAGCAGCTTCACGGGCAGGTTCAGGAAAGTGCTCTGGTATGACACATCGGCGGACTCACCAGAGGCGCTCAGGTCCTTCCAGCAGCACCCGATCGAGTACGGCTTGTAGAACTCCGGGTCCCCAGTTGTGATCTTGGCCATGTTCTGGACCCACGCTTTACTGGAGAACTCATCGCTGTTGGGGTCCAGACGGGCATCGTAGTCGTCTTCCTCCTCGTCCGAAAAGACAGGGTTGACACCTTTAAAGTCCGCGCTGAAAATGGAGGACGCCCGCGTTGAGACTCTGTCCAATGGCGCGCTGCCATCTGCGGGGGCCTCTTTGTTTACGGACCGGTTTGACGACGTTAAGCTCTGCTGGGTCAGCGACCGGGCGAGCTCCCGTATACGTTTCTCGACGTTGTCATCAAAACCCATATAGGGCTGATGCGAGTCTACACTCGAGACACTAGAGTCATCGGGTGTGTTCATCACTATATTATTTTGCTATTTGTTATGTTGTAATAATTTGTTTTACTGAGGTGAGCTGAGTGGTGTTCCCTACTTCCCAACCTAATACACCCAACAAACCTTATAAACGTTCCAGTATATATACCAATTGCCATTGACGTAGTAGCTAATATAGTTTTTGAGGGCTGTTGCAAGGGGGGGGTGAAGTGCAAGATAGAGGTCTTAAAGACAGAACAATGCCTTCCTGGCAGCACACACTACAGCAATGGGGCGGCCATCCCCCCCGGAATGCTGTGATGCCCCCCTTCTTCCCACAGAGCCAAAACAATGAAAAAGAAAAAAGTTCCTAACGGCTCCGTGAGGTATGCTGACTGTACGCCATTGTCTAGGCATATAAATAGTGTGGGGGGGAGACTATGCCACCCCTTAGTAGACCTCGAGGTTGTGGGTGAGAAACCAACGTTAATACGTTCCTCAAATGCAGAGTGCAAAGTGCAGAGTGCAAAGTGCAAAAGTGCAAAACAGGCAATGGTTTCCGTGGAATTCTGTGTGCAGTGTTGTGATGGATATTCCACGGAAGATCCACTATTCCGTGGTTGATCTATAGGGATACTCCGTTGCTGCTGTGCAATAATACTAATTAAATTATAAGAAGCCTGGAAAATGTGTTAATATAATATATTAATTAGCGTAGATCAGCGTTTTTGAAATGACGTCTTTAATTTCTTGAGTATTTACATTTATACAAGGGGCTCTGGTATTGGGATAGTTCAAATTTATTTACAAGAACTGGTTTATCTTTAAGTAGTCTGGGTCTTGTGGTTTCTGGTTCAACATCCGCCTCTTCAGTTGTTTTGGAATGAACGGTTGTGCTATCATGTTGTCGTTGAACGGACCCAGCGCACCGTCAAACGCCTTGTGGGGCTTCAGCTTGTCGCTGCCCAGCTTCATCATCGTTTCTTCACGGTACTTGTTCAGCTCTTGTGCAAACTTGTGGTCCCATAGACTGTTTTCTGTGTCTTCCTCGGGCCAGATAAATGGCTCGTTCATGTCAATTGTCATCTTCTTGATCTGCGGTCCGCGGTACCTAGGAGACGCAATGTTACCCGCACGCTCGTACCTGCCGTGCAAAAGTTGTGTGGTCACGTTCATGGCCCGCAGACCATACACATGGAACAAGTAGTCTCTTAGGTCAAGCTTGTTGAAGGATTTGGGCACAATGAACTTGGCCTGGTATGGTGTGTGCTTGGCATTGGGGCGTAACAGGATCACCCGCGCTTTGGGGAAGTATAGCTTCTTACCACCAACTTTGAAATGCGCTGCGTTCTCTTCAATACCTTTCTGGGCAAGACCCAAAATGTGATCACTAACTGACTTACCGACCAGTCTAGGCATGTCTTAAACGTGTTATATATGTCTTATTGTCTCTTCTGACTAGGGACAAACTCTTACCTTAACGTTCAACTTTAAGCACTGCTACCGATGACAATCTCTATCGGCCTTATCTAAAGTAGGTCTATCTCGAGTGATTTAGTCCTAGTATCGCTTTACTTGTCTAAAATACACAATGCCACCTTTCTCTGGGGTACTATCTGGGTTCCACACGATGCACAGTTGGACTATCCCCATATGTTGCTATTGCTCTTACCAACTGAGCATGCGATTATCTCGACGTGAGAATTTCATTGAACTCAAACCCCCAGTTATGTCATCTCGTACGTAAAATTCTTGGGCTCTTTCGACTCTCTACCAAATGCTGAAAAAATAACGAAACATAGACTAAAATTGCATGTCAAAGGCTTCACTAATGCTATTCAACTGGTAGCTTTGCTTTGTGGTTTTGCAATTGAGTTCAGGTGGTTTAGCAATTTCAAACATATACACTGGAGGTACACAGAGCTTAGTCTTTTTTTTGTGTGTGTTCTATTATAGCTATTGAGATTTTGTTACTAGTTCACACTCCGATCCCAGCCCGCTACTGATACCGATAACGATAGCGACAACGATCATTCCCTAATATAATACAACTTCAATTACAATATGTTTTTTATCAAGGATCTATCGCTGAATGTCACTCTGCATCCTTCTTTCTTTGGTCCACGAATGAAGCAGTACATCAAGACTAAGCTGCTACAAGAAGTGGAAGGTTCCTGTACAGGTAAGTTCGGTTACATTTTGTGTGTGCTGGACTATGACAATATAGAGATTGAGCGTGGTAGAATATTACCTACTGATGGGTCAGCAGAGTTTAACGTAAAGTACCGTGCCGTCGTTTTCAAGCCATTCAAAGGTGAAGTAGTAGATGGTACCGTGGTGTCATGTTCACAACACGGGTTTGAAGTACAGGTAGGGCCAATGAAGGTGTTTGTCACAAAGCATTTAATGCCACAGGACTTAACTTTTAACGCTGGTTCAAATCCACCATCATACCAAAGTTCGGAAGATATCATCACCATAAAGTCAAGAATTAGAGTGAAAATTGAAGGTTGTATCAGTCAGGTTAGCTCCATTCACGCAATTGGTAGTATTAAGGAAGATTATCTAGGTGCAATCTGAAGAATAATATTAATCGAATAGTAAATAACAACACTGTAATTTTAGCCCTCAAAAACATTATATCACTGGTTTTGTTCTTTTTGGTCCTATGTTTCTTTAAGATTATAGAGAAATGTTAAAAAAAAGTACGCTGTACATTAGAAGCATTAATAAACGACTTAAATGTCATGCAAAAGATTACTTTATCTATCACAAAAGCTGGCTCGCATAGAGTCACAATTTTATACTACATGCGCTATAGAAAGAGTTGCGATATATTTTTTGAAGGCTTATAGAGGATTTATAAAGATTATGCTCATGATATTATCATTTTTAATATAACGATTATTACTCAACCTATTTGTCAATAAGCTCATGTAATTGTTAAACAAGTTGACTTGTCATACAACGATAATTCTTAGAATGAGATTTACTATTAGGAACAAAGTTAATCTAGAACAGAATTTGACACTGCGTTACATTTGGCATTCACTTGGAAAAATAGGCAGTTGAGAATTTAGCAGCATAAATTATACTATGAAATGAACAAACAATTTTTAGGTGCCAGCAAAGAACTAAAATTAATATGTGTAACATTTGGTGGAGACGTTAATGAAAAATCTCTAGAAAGAAAGCTCAAGGGAAACTATCATTTCCGACTTTGATTATTCAAAGTTTTAGTATTTATGGTTTTGTCTTTCTCAGAATGAAATGCCCTCCTTTCCCTTTTTCTATGTTTCCCGGTTCCCAATATCCGACGTACTTGCCCTGATCGATAACATCCTTTATAATTTTTGACTTGATCATATACAGTTCATTCCCATTATCATAGTCTTTTTCTATCTTGACAATGCAATTATGCCAGGGTGTTGGAATGTGTAGTAGATCTTCGAATTTGGGTTCATCTATGTTTTCCAAGCTCTTAATAGTGCGGCATTGTTCAGGAGCAATCACCTTGATACCAAATTTGGGGCCGCTATTTACGTGAGCATGGATCGAAATTCTCAGATGATTTGGAAAAACCAATTCTACTAAATTGGAATAGGCGTCGTTTCTTTTAATCATGTTGAAGGCAATTTTAGAAATTGTTTTTTTGAATGCTTTTCTAGACGAGTTTTGGAAATATGGTAATAGCGCTAAATCTTCCATCATGAACTTTGAGAATCCTCTAAACAAAAACAGTCTAGGGTGGCCTGGAGTTGAAATTTGTTTTTTTAACAGCCCGGCATCTGTATCACAGCCGCACATCAGAATTTGTCTGCACAAATCAGAGTATTTGCAAATGTTAGTTCCCGTATGATGTTCCATTTCAACCTCGGCAACCCATTCAGATTTAAATAGTTTAGCAGATTTACCTTCAAAAAGCAATTCTTTTAACCCACAAAATCCAATTGCATCTGGTTCTTGTGCCGACAAGTTTTTGTACAGGGTATGCAATTGTGAAGTATACTCTGATACCACTTCATCATCGACTCCAATACAATCAGAAAACACATGGCCATCACTAACAATCCAAACTTTCATTCCAGGTGGATAGAAGGAGCGTACCTGCTGTGTCGCAAATATTAGTCTTTTCAATGCTAATTCTTCTCCCTTGTCGGGGATTGTTGAAAAGACCTTGTTTTTATTTGACGACTTACAAGGAAATGCTGGTAAAATACACTCAATACGTCTGTATCTTTGTGTAAAATACCTAACACGAGATTTAAAGTATTCTCTACCTGTTTCATACCATTTCTCATCAACAACAGAGTTCTTAAGCTGCTGCTCGAAGAAAGAAGTAAACATCTCATCATATTTAATGTCATGGCTGATTAGAGGAAATGAGTTATTTTCTAAGCGGCATCCATCTAGAACATGATATATAAACCAATCATTAAATGCGGAAGCAACTTCGACTTTTGAAACACAACCTCTAATTTGCTGCTCGCCTTCTTTTTGGTACTCACTAATTTTTATTGGCGTTTGAAGATCATGAATATACCTCTTTGCTAGCTCTTTCGAGATGTGAAATTCAATGACATCGTTGGTAATCATGGAAGATTTACCGTCTAAGCAGGCAAATAATTCGTAGAACTCTTGCCATTCGCGCTCGATTGTACATTCCTTTTTTATTTCAATCGCATATAGTTTTCCATAGAAATCCCTGGTATATATTGCAATTATTTTGTTAAAGGTGGAATGGTTACTTTCGGTTTCTGAATCACCCTTGGGTGTTGAAGCTATATCAATAGAACTGCCTAGTGTCATATTATTTTGATTAATTACTATGAACTAAGCCTAGATGTAGATATGGTTCGTCTTGGTGATTAGTCTAATAAAAAAAAAAATAATAATAAATATCAAAGCATTGAAACTTTGATAAGAACTATTGAAATTATCAACTTTTGCATGATTTTTATATGTCTTTCATTTTGTATAATTTACAGTGTATCTTCATTAAATTTTAACGCATAGTAGTTGTGGTAGGTCAATATCAGTAACTCTGATTGATGATGCTACGTTCATACATAAAAAAAATAATAAAAGAAAGCAAATTTTACTTCATTAGAAGAGGTGTTCAGCTTAGAAATGGACAGTAGTGTCATTGCTGGTGATTGACTAGCCTGATTGGGATAGTAGTTTACACTTAAAGAGGGTTTTTTTTCCAAATCAAGATAACTAATAAATGTCTCCAAGTCATACATCATTGAAATAGTTCAATTCTCAACTCCTCACTTTTTATTTGGATGCTCTTATTAGGAGAAATATACTTTAGACCTTCATATACTTATTGTAAATCTCATATTTTTATTATTTTCTGAGGTTGGCTATGTAGTGGAATTATGTGCAATAAAGCTAGACATCTGCTACGCGATTGTTCAGATCACTTGTCCTCACAGATTAATGGCTGAGGGTTCCTCCTGGATGTATAGTAAGCTAAGAATGTAATTATATGAGCCTTAAAAAATTTGTTCCTGATGAATAAATTTAAGGAACTATACTCACAAGACGAATTATATCTTGTGCTTCTAAATCCAGCAAGTTTGACAGTCCAGGGTAACTTTACCCTTTCTGGTTAACTACAAATCTTGATTAGTAGAAATTCTCAAAACAAAGTGATTTACGGTATAATTGAAAATAAAGGTACAAAGATGCCTAGAAAGTTTATATAATGACGTAATTATGTTTGGACGACAATGCATAATTGATTTAACCTCATCAGTTTTATGCGGAGTGATAATCTTCAAACAAAAATGTATCCTAAAATAATACAGCTGATTGCAAACCAAATGTGATTTTTTAGGAAAATTAAGGTTTATTAGATTGGGGGGGAGGTGTATGAATTTCACTCAAGTGGGATTAAAACATGGCAAGTGTCCGTAATTTCTTAACAAATAGCGCTTGTTCAATTTGATCGGACGTCATCTTCCTTTGATATATTCAGTTAATTTTCTATATTTCTACTTAGAAACAAATGTGTTAAGGTCATTTTAGTAACTGGTTCATTAATGGAAAAATAGCTATTTGACGTTATTGTAATTTTGGCCATCTCAACAGAAGCTATAAATATAGACTATTCCATATTGTCTTGTTGATATAATTTCTCTGATACGTATAATACACCAGTGGCAATGCTAAATATTCTGGTTTTTGGCTTTATATGTCTAGTACTATGTTGGATTTTAACCATCTGTTTTCCACCTATTTCGTTTCCGAATAATATTCCAACAATTCCTTTTTATTCAGTTTTTATACCTCAGTATTATAATATTGATCAAGTTCAGTTCTACAACTTGTACATTAGGGAAAAGCTAGAAAAATATGGAGCTGTGAAGTTTTATTTCGGTTCTAGATGGAATATCTTGGTTTCACGCCCAGAATTTCTGAATAACATCTTCAAAAATGAAGACACTTTTGCCAAAAGTGGAAACCAACAAAAGATTCCGTACAGTGTTCTAGCAGCTTATACTGGAGATAATGTAATCAGTGCCCATGGAGTTAACTGGCAAAAATATAGGAAGCCAATAAAAGATGGTCTTCAGCACTTTGACATTGGCATATTGCTTAAAAATGCAATGAAGTTTTGTGAATTAATTAAAGAAGATATGAGGCCATTTAAGTATCATTGCAATTTTAAGATCATTCCTTATATACAAAGATTGACACTAGATAATATCTGTCGAGTTGGACTTGGATTCGAATTTGGTGCAATAGATGAGGATAATAATTCTTTACATAGGCAGCTAATACAGATTAAGAAACAAATTTTTGATCCCTTTTATCTTAACTTCCCTATGTTTGATAGGTTGCCTATACCCTCAAGATTATTAGCGTTTCAGAATGTTGAGAATTTTAGGAGTAGCTTAGTAGATAAGGTACAGAAGCAGCTAATAAAAACCTATAAATTTGAGCAGGCAAATACATCTGGTTCTGCACTAGTAAGAGCCTACAATAACGGTGAATTGACATATAAACAATTAACAGATAATATTGTTATTCTTTTGGTGGCTGGACATGAAAATCCACAATTATTTATTTCAAATCTAATATACTTACTGGGGAAATATCATGACACATGGCAAGTAGATATTAGAAACGAAATTCTCAATAATGAAGAAAATAATTTATCTGAGTTACCTTTATTGAACTCTTTTCTATATGAATGTCTAAGATATTATCCCCCATTAAGCGTTATTATAAATCGGAAGACTACTAAGAGATGTATGCTTGGCCCAGGTATAGTAGTACCAAAGGATACATATGTCGGATATCATAACTATAGTACTTGCCATGATTCTAATTTTTGGGGTCATACCTCCGATATTTTTGATCCTACAAGGTGGGGTAAGGATATAGAAACTATCAACAAAGCATGGAAAACAACTAAGAATAATTGCATCCTAAACACTTTTCATGGCGGAAAGAGGGCATGCTTGGGAGAGAAGTTAGTATTTGTCTCTACTAGGATCATAATTGCTGAATTTCTCTCTTCATTCGAATGGAAATTATCACCATTATGGGTAGAGCAAATGACTCATGCAGGACCATTATGTCCTAAAGATTTAGCTTTAGATATTAGGGTAAGAGATACTAGCATGCAAATACAAAAATTAAATAAATATCTGTAGATTTCAATGATATATATTAATGGAACTAAAAACAATGAAGAGTGCTATGCAAAATTAAAAAAAAAAAACAAATTTCTGGTATGCAATATAAGCAAGCCTAATACCAACGATGCTAGTTAATGTGGTAAAACTACAATAGAAAATCCAAAACGAAAACAACCACTCATAATTAGAAAAAAGAATGTCATGAACAAAAACATAGTGATGTGCTATATTGTTGAAGTTTTCTCAGCTTCTTCCAAACAGAAGTATAATTTATCCCAGAAGTAATCGAAATTCAGCTCATATCCTACAATAACACCTTTCTGAACTTCTTCTTGCTCATATTCGTTCAATATTATCAGTTTTCCCGCGTGGTCACTATGGATATCAATATCAACATCGATATCTAAGCGCCTATACGAGAAATTAATGACCTCCTTTGTTTCCCAGCCATAAAGCTCAAGAAGAGGTAATAAAGTAAGTGGATCATGAATTGGGGGCCCACTTTCAAATCCTTGAGCATGTTCATATGTCTTTTTGAAAAATAGGAACAAATCGTAGAACAGTCTCCTTATATTCGACTTACCATCACCAAGAACCCTCTTCATTACTTCATCAGTAGCCAAGGCTTTGTGTGTGAGATTCAAAGGAATTAATATACACTTCCGTTTGATACCTGGATCTGTAAGCAAGAATTTAGCAGCATGAGGATCAATCCATACATTAAATTCAGCTGATAAACCTTTATTCACATTACCCACACCCAGGCCACCTCCCATAATGCTAATGTATTTAATTTTTTCTAATAAGTAGGGTTTCTCCCGCAATACAGTGGCAATAGTGGTGGTAGCTCCGGTTGAGACGAATGATAGCTCACCATCACTTTCCAAAATGGCTTTTTCAATAGCATCAATAAAGTTAACCTCTTTGTTTACCTCCACTACTGGAACAGGCAATAAAGAAGTGCCGTCCAACCCAGTTTCTCCATGAATATCAGGAGCATAATGAGGTTTTCTAATCCAAGGTCTTTGTGCTCCTAGATATACTGGCACATCAGTCTTCCCCAAAGCTGTCAATAGGGATCTAGCATTATAGTCAGTATTTTCTGGTGGCGCATTACCAAAGCAGGTGCTTAGTCCCACTAGTTTGAATGCAGGTAGGCAGCATGCCAAGAGTATTGCAACTGCATCATCGTGGCCAGGATCACAATCTAGCCAGATAGGTATTTCGGTTGCTGTCATCCTGATAAATTCTTCTTGATATTTGTTTTAAAAAGGCTGTGGTCTCTGTTCTCTTGTGTGTAATAGTTTATACTGCTGTTATTAATATGTTTCAAAAAGTGGATACGTAAAGGATATCTCAATCTAATAATATATTATAGTGTCTTGCGTCTCTAACCCTTCCGCATCCTCTTGTAAACTTCGTTTTCTGTTTTGCATCAGAAGATTTACGATTTTATAAGCCTTTATTGATACTCTGGGTTGCCTTTGCGGCTGTTTCTGAGAAAACCCGGGATCTAAGTGTTTTTTGACACATTTTCACAGAGGGCACATATACAGGAACAAGAGAAGAGTGGTCATTACTCATCACTCAGAATGCAGCTCTCCTTCCTAACATATATGAAGCATGTTGGATACTCAGGACAGCTCATACATCTTATGCATGCGTTCATAATCTAATGTTCTGTTATAAGTAAGTCCAATCTATAGTTTAATTTTTTATCCTTTCGAAGATATTGATCGATATTAAGACTTCGTAAAACCTAAAATATTGGCGAGAGTTGTTTTCTTGATGTTCTAATTTCAACTGTACTAGTTATTTGATGCATAGTATTAGTTATATGATAATTAGTGATATAGTATACAGTGGAGTATTTATTTCTGCGCAGTTGGAAAAACAAAAACATCTAATTTGGAATTAGCATGAATGCATAGTAACTGTAATAGCGTGATTAAGACTATGTTTAATCCATGAAGATATCGTTACCTTGTTGAACAGCCATCTTGGTGTGGAATACGATGTCCTTAGATTCCCATGGGTAAGCATACCACTTGTCTGGGACTTGTCTAGCAGCGAAGTAACGGTTTGGATCGTTCAATAATTCAGCAGGTAGGTCAGCCTTCTTTGGCTTCAGTTTGTCGTGTAGGACAAAGATACCAAAGTTTGTCTTTTGCTCAGGATTCTTTTCCAAATCGATACCCTTAGCCTTGGCTTGGTCTGCGGCATCCTTCTCTAGTTCGTGGAGGGCGTAATGCAGAGTGGTACGTGTGTCATCAACCTCATCCACGATCAATACATTCTTACCGACTAAGTCAAGTTTACATTGTTCATAATCAATCCATTGTGTTCTGTTAACTTTGACACCAACTTGCTCAACTTCTGAGCCAGCAGTATGCAGGTCTTCGTAAAGAGATAAAATGATTGCAAATATTCTAATAGTAGGTACACCTGGTTCCTTCAAAAATGTACGTAGAATTCTTGCTGGGATGAAACCACCACCACCGATAGCGATGATCAAGTCAGGTTTGAAGTTTTTGATTCTCTCAGCACCAATTTGACACAGCTGATGCACGTTGTTGTAGGAGATATACTGCTTATCCTCGTCAGACATTTTTGTATGCACTTATTTGATGTTTCGATTGGTAAAACTTCAGAGTTGTATGTCAATCAAATGATCAGACAATGTCTATATAGTCAAAATTAATAAATGTTAACACTAAGTGTTGCTGGAAACAACTAAATTATGAAAGAGTGTTACAAGTTTAGGTAAGAACTAAACAGAAGAACCACCAGTCTGATTGAAAAAATAGCAATTTAGATGCCATTAATGACGCGAAGGTGTATAACCTATCGTCCATCTTTCTTCACATTTATACTTTTTACAATTTTTTCATTTAGTTCATTTAGGATAAAAAAAATCTCATTGGTTTCAGCGATGAGCTTGACTGGCTTCCATTACAGAAAATTTTTCAGTCGTGATCTCACCTCTACATTGATTACTTAGCATTGTCAAATCAGAAGTCAGTTACAAATGATAAAAGCCATGTATAAGCTCAAACCGTCTGGAAAGTATTCAACAGCACAACTTTCCTGAAGCTCATCGCAAGGATTTTTTATTTCTTTTTGATATTTTTTTCTTCAGTTAGACTCAAATTTTTTTTGAATCCTCACTTTCTTAGAAAAGTCCGTACTATCGTATTTCCATGGTCTTGCAGAAGTCACATTTAATTTAAATTACAACATGAATTAATTAATCTCATATCATCATCTATGTTACTTATTGTAAAAACTGCTATGACATTCTCGTACTTAAAATGACCGATGAAGAAGTGTTAAGCATCAATACAGAGACTATTGCTGTCAAGGCAATATTATCGTTTCGTGTGTTGCCCTGACTTGTTTAAACATTGGTTAGGGCATCTTAGGTACTTAAGATATTTATAGCTAAATGCGCCCTGATTCATTGATTGCAGTTAACTGTTGTATAGAATTTAAAATTTGAATGCAGATGCTTTTAAGAATGACATTATATAGTAAGTGAAGAGATTAGCGAATCGTATTTAATTAAACGTATCTAATATTAAACTTCGACATCACTGTAGCCTTCTTCTTCTGCCTCCGAGTCATCATCTTCTTCTAATGCCTGTTTATCATCTCCCTCTACTTCCGAATCGTCATCTTCTTCCTCAGATCCGGTTTCATACTCTTCTTCACCATCGTCTATTAGACCAGCATCATCAAGCTCTTCATTGTATTCGACATCTTCCTCATCTTCATCAAATTCAACTGTAACTTCATCTTCTAGGTCTTCCTTAGAAGTTGGAGAAATGACAACGTTATTCAAACGTGCTTCCAAGCCCATTAGTTTAGGCAGTAATTCTGCTCTTTTCCTCAAGGTAGAGTGTAAGGACGCTAAGCTTGACATCAAATTCGGTATGTTTACTAGATACGCACCATGGATAATTAAACACCACTTTACCCAAATGTTTAATGGACCTTGACGGTGTGACTGTCTTGCAATTCTTTCTGCTAATCTCTCCAGCAGTATAATAGCCAGAGGTGCTTTTAATCTCAGGATAGTATCTCTTATCACCCTCTCATCACGGTTGTTCAATACAGTTTCAAGTAAGGAGTGGTCATTGGATTGCAATGCTTGAGCCAATACAGTGGTGACCGTACCAGCTACTATAGCAGATTTCGTCAGTTTATCAGATGAGGTGGATATTTTGTTCTTGGCAAAGTTGTTTGATAATTTCGAAAAGTTTGATGCTTCAAGTTTATCCTGTAAAGACAGATCACCAGATGTATCTTCACCAGCTTTCTCCTTCTCTTGTAGTTCCTTTTCCCAATCTTGAATAGCTTGCGTCACATGTCTATAATTGTCACCAGAAGTAATTGTGGCATTACCTTCTTTATAGGCCTTTGTTGATGCTACATCATTACCATATAAGCTCCTGGAATCGTTGAAATTCTTTTGCCTTAATTTGGAGTCCACTGGATGCTGATAGTCTCTTGGAATATTCTCTAAATTTAGATCAACAAATCTTGGAATTGTAACATTGCTAAACCAGACTAAACTTAACAATCTACTCTTAATGAATACATCTAGTACAGGAAATGATTTCTTTTGGTCTTGTTCGCTTACCAGATTAATTATGTTATCCGGTTGCTTTGACTTCTTTACCCTTGATCTCTTCTTTGTAGATGTGATATCTGAAGATACTAGTACATCTTTGAATACTTCCACTGATCCAGATTCTGTAGTAACAATTATATCATTCTCCTTGTCAGCTCTATAGTTCACAATATTAGAGTTGGATACCAGGATATTTTTTGTTTCTCCGGATTGAACATCATAAATGTTAAGGAATCTATCACTAGAGGCAGAAGAAATAAAATATTGATTATTCAGCTTGGTCAACTTGGATACTGGTGTAATATGACCTGGGTAAGTAAGCAATACTTTCTTGTCCGAAAGGGAGACCAAGTAGATGGAATGTGATGCTAGTAACAATTGTTCGTCATTGAATATGGTCAATTGTGTCAATGCTTTAACATTGTCGACTTTGAAATGTTTTAATAATTGATATGATTTGGCATCAAACTGATATAGCATATCATTAGCATCACAACACCAGATATAGGCACTATTTACATCCATACCTGTTATAGCATGACCATTGGTAGTAGATAGCTTTGTAACTATCTCATTTGCCAATGGTGAATAAATCCAAATTTCACCGTTGCTCAGACCTATCAATACACATTGGATATCCTGAGCCCCAAACCAGCACAACTGTGTTACTCGCAGACCAGACTCATCTATTAGCAGTGATGGAAGTTCCACGCTTGAGTCGTAAGATGAAGTAGGCACTACTGATACTCTTTGCTTGTCAAGTTCCACAGACACATAACATAAATACTGTCCATCACCATTGTAACATGATCTTATAATAGGAGAAGTATCAGTCATCCTGTTAATTTTTGTACTTTATTCTTTGTAACAGATATTGGAACTTGTATTCAGATAAAAATTGCTTTCAAATAGAAATTGTATTCAAGCAGAAAATGTTATGGTCCAATTCAAAGCTTTGATGACTGTTTGCTTAGTTAAAGCCTGATCTACAAAGTGGCTAGTAATATCTCGAAGTTCCTAAAGCATACAGTGGTGATTATATAGTGTCTTCGCGGATAAACTTGTTGGCTATTCTGCATAGTTTAGAGATGCTCATCGCAAAAATTTTGTCAGTGTTAGACCTAACTAGAAAGAAATTTGGTTCTCTCTAAGAGCAGTTCAGAGAAATTACCGTACCAAGATAAATTGTATTTACTGTATCCTTAGAAACGTACGGAGAGAGTTATTTGAAAATTTGATTAAAAAAAATTTTGCAAAAGTCACATTATAATCCGTTCCTAATGATAATAATTGTTACTTTATAGTTATTCCATCAAGTAACCCAATTGAAGGATGAGTTATAGCACTATTTAAACTTAGAATTGATGGAGTTATTATTCTTTTTTATGCTAGTTTTAATTTTTACATTATTAATTGCTTAAGTTGCTATTAAATATTCTATTTTTTCAGTTGGGTGTTCATCAAAGTAATTGCCTCAGAACAGACAATATAACGGCAGTTTAAAATTGAGCAGTCATTGAGTTCACATTTTCATCATGATTAGATGATGATAATAATGACTTTATATCAATATTAGCACTTTTTGAGCTTTCGTTTGCGTAATCATCCAAAAATTTTCTGAAGAAATCTTCTGGTTTCAATAGGGAGGTAGATGCATCGTAGTAATTTTCCTCGTAAGGGTAATTATTATCAGCAGAAACAGTAAATTGTTCTGTTACATTTCGAGAGCTAGGTGTGCCATCTAAACTTAATAAGTGATGACTACCTTGACCGCGTTCGATATTATTTGATGTACGCCGTGACGTCATTCCATAAAATCCGGTCATATTATTTGCAGGTCCACCCTGTTTTTCTGTTGAATTAGTTTTACTATCCTGCCATTCATGATAAAGTGGTGTGGTAGTCAGATTATTGGTACGATGGTTAAATTCGTTCCTACCATCTTGGTAATCACTTTCTCTGTCCTGGAAAGTGGCAATATGTGACTTCATTTGCAACAATGTCCTCGTAGATGCTTCTGAAGTGCGCTGATTTAACTCTTCAAATAGAGGTTTTAGAACGTTGAAAGTAGTATTGCTTGCATCAGAACCCTGTCTTAGGTGCAATAATATCTCCATACCTATTTTCGAAGTTTCTTGTACACTGAAGCTTAGAGGATTACCTGAAATGTTGCCTTTATTGTATTGAAACGAAAAAAACTCCAAGCATGAAACACTGTAAAATATAGTATGGACTGAAAACCAGTAACTACCATTCAAAAATCCTTCTTTTATCATTTCTTCTGCTAGTTTGATAATTGCATGAGCAGTTTCAAAACACTTGATAGCATTTCCAAAATGGAAACTAACCGTCGGGTATTGGGACGGATGCATTATAATATAATGAGAAAATGGCTTGTATAGTAGCAGTTTTGTAAGTAAGTAATCTAAGTAGAGTAACTTTTTAGCCTTCAGACATCTCTCGCCGCACCTCGTCTTTATAAGTTGATCATCATCGGCCCTTAATACATTGGGTAGACTTGCATACCATCCAAATAGCTCATTTTCGAAGTACTTTACTTTTTCTTCCACAGCACTCAAAGAATAATTTGAATGGTGTAGGTTACGCAATGCTTTACATATATGGGACATTATAAGGATGAGCTTGGTATGTTGGTTATTTGCACCTGCACTGCTTAAACCAAACTGACATTTTTTATAGATAATGCCATCCTCTCTAATGTTCTCATCTTCAACATCAGCAGGTAAATCCTGATTCACATCACTATCAGATAAACCAAAGGGGATACCCATTATGCAATTTAGATACATATCAACCTTAAAGACACTCCAAAATAATCTCTTTCTAGTTTCATCTATAATGGGAGTCGGCCCTATCAATGATGTTGTTCTATGAAAGCCATTCTTCACTAATGCCCGCATTGCTATACCCACGTAAGAGTAGCATATCTTTATTTTAGCCGTGCATTGCAAAAATAGTGTCATCATGAATATTGTCTGAATTGAATATATATCGTCCGCATTTGCTATGTCTATCAATCTCTTTGCCTCTAGAAAGAATTTCTGTCCTTCATCTTCATAGAACTCTCTTGTGGACACATCTTTACCATTAACATCATCTTTGCAAAATAATGCTCCCACAGCCAAAACAGAGTATATCAGCGGTAATACCTTGAGTTGTTCGTTATTATAAGTCTTGTTTTGACTATCATTATCCTCGTATAATGACTCCAATAACTTTACAATGGTCGGTCTGTGGTAAAATCTGAAGAGAATGCACACACAGTCCCAAGTTTTCATTATTAGTTTTAGAGCAACATCTTTTGGAGGTAATGGCACTCTTGCTCGGCTTGGTATATAAGTGTTAATGACTGAGTTAATGTTTAGAGAAGAATTAGAAATGTGTGAAGATATAATATTAATGAAACTCTCTCTGTCAAATGATGGACTATTCAAAATCTTGTCGAGTTGCAAAGGTGGGAATATTGCTTTCACTATATCTTGGTATAGTGAATTATCGATTTGAGATTTGCTTTGTGAGTAATATCTTTCTGGGGATGTTGACACAGATTCTGGTGAAAACGATTCGATTTCAGCAGATTCATTTCCGTTTAGGTTGTGTTTTGGTTTTGACTGAGACAGTTTCGGTACGTCCTGTTGGTAATTAGCACTGTGTATGGTGTCTCCATTATTGACCTTCAGACTTTTTTTTACCTTAACCGCTAACAAGGGGCCTGATCTCTTCTTGATTTTGTTGGGACTGCCGAGTATGAGATCGTGAGACTTGTCATGGGACGCAATCTCACGATATATGCACTGTATGTTAGCCTTCCTGCAACTCTGGCACGGGTTACCACCTTGACACTTGGTCTTTCTTTTCTTGCACAAATCACACGCCCTGGAGAGTCTCTGCGTTCTAGCCACCAGCTGATTTGTGGTCATATCAGGAGACAGCACAAATAATTTTGGTTTCATGCTTAGGTTATTCTTCTTCTCCATTGTTTTCTTCAAGTTCAGAAGAACTCTTGCGATATATTAAGAATTACTTTGCTCGTCTATCCCGTCAAATGATCTTCAACTTTGTGATATCCTATATGTGGCCCTTATATAAACTTGGCTCTGTAAATCATGTCCAATATTGAACAGTTATAGATTGCCTTGTCTGCCCTCACTTTTAGCAGCTTCTAGTACCGCTCGAATGCTCAAATGCTCGAAAGCTCGAAAGCTCCTAGGCTCTAAAGCTGTAAAGCTCTAAAGCTCTAAAGCAGTGATTTGCTGAGGCCCATTTACACAGAGGAGTTCGAGTGACAAAGAAGCGATTATGCAGATTAGATGTTCAAGTCCAGAGTTCACGGGGGGAATCCCACTAGAACTCCAGCAGCGTGCAAATTATTATCCTTTGGTTCAGGTCCCAAGGAAGACACAGAATTACTCATACGAAAGCCTAAGATTTCGGGATCGTCTACAGTAGAACATCAATTATCCTGGTGTGAGAAGGGATGCAAAAGACAGCACTAAGACAGTATGCAGAGAACATGGTTACAGCAGCAACGAACATACGCAACGAACATCAGTAGATTCCTTAGGGTCCCTCACCCCCCCTTGTCCTCCACTACCCTGCGTCAGAAGACACCTGTTAGAAGAGTCCCCCAGTTTCGCTGCGAGAAGTTCATCCATCGAGTGTATTCTCACATATAGGCCCGCTAAAAATATCTGCTCTGCGGGACAGACTGTGCTTCGGGATTAGCATATCCAGCAATTAACAGAGCAGAGAATATTCTTTGATTTCCACCTACTTGAGCCAATAATGGAGGCTCCACTTAATAAAATGCGCACAATGCATCTATCACAGTGCGCAGCAGGAGGATACCAGTTGCACACCGGAGATATATCTCAAAAATGATATTGCCTGGGTTTTTGGAGCTATTACCAGATCGGGAAATTGATACGACCCTTTAAGGATGTGGGGCGAGGTTCCTTATAGCGTGGGATGAATAAGGTGGATATTAGCACCAAAGCTTTGATCTACAGGTATATCCGTACCTTTGGTGAAAAATAGTATGTAAAAGCGCATATCCATTCTTAAGAATTAAGTTAAACTTATTACCTTCCTATTAGTATTTAGCAATAGATGTTGTGAAGTATAGAAGGAAGTCCTCGTATGCAGAGCGCAATTCAGTATTTCAAGAGGACAAGCAAACGAGATACAATAGACTTTCTAGCCGCGAATTTGTAGTGATGACAGAAACTATAGCTTATCAGGTATTTTATTCCTTTCTTTTTTTTATTTGTTTTTCTCTGATGTTTTATTGAAAGAAAATATATATTGAAATATCGTGTGCTATTAAATATTGTTCTATGTACAGGGACCTTAAATTATCTGCATGTTGTATTTACTTGAGGTACTTCTCCCTGAGAAGGTTGTTTAATTTGTAATTCTCTGGTCTACCAGTATTTCTTTCATAGAGGTAATAACTGGAAATACCAAAAATCAGTGCTATTGTAGGATCAGCAATCCTGGGATGTGTTAGTAATACTAATATCACCGGTGTGTACTAAGATAATTAAAAAATTCGGAACTTACCTTCCAATTAAGTATGGTGCCGGTTTCATATTTGCGACAGTTTAATTTGCGCTTATACATATTGTGTATTCCTTGTGCACCAATATCAAAGAGAGAGGGAACTTATCCCTCGATTTAAAGCTGCTGTAACGGCTCTTCGAGGCACTAAAAATACTCGTCATATGTTACTTAGCCCCAATTAGACCTAAATCCAAGATAAAGAATGTTATTCATAGTGGCTCTCTAAAAAGCTTTACATAATTACACAGTCTTTCACCCCTAAACCATACATTACCTTTTCAACATCTCTCTTGACTCTAATCCAGTCTGCTCTTCTTTGAACAAATTCATAGATCTCCTCCTGGGTGAAAAGTCCTTGGAATTTCCCCAGATCCGAGATCATTTTACCTAGATCCTTCGAGTCCTTACCCGATATTATATACAGTTGTCCGATATTTTTCAAGCCTTGGTATAGACGTACTAGTGACTTTTGCCTCAATTTTTTCGAGAAGAAGTCATAATAGTAATTAAGATCACAAATGAGAATAATGCCACCATCTTCTGATATTAAGCTCCCTTTTATGTGCTTGACTACCTCATTGAAAAACCGTTCACCAATCTCTTGCTGATATACATCAACTGTTCCCTTGTCAGTAGCACCGTTCAACAGGAAACAATGATTCTCTAGAAGTTCTACTACTTGCATAGCACACTGTGTGGGTTTGATTTCTAAGGTAGAGGCTCCCGATGAGCCAACTTCAGGGTTGAAATCGTCCGGTAATTGTACTGTATTAAATACAAAATTAATCTTATCCATTAGCTTACTGATACCAATATTCAGTCCCTCAGCAACATAATCATCTACCACTGTCTCAAATTTCTTTTTCGCTTGAACAACGTCATTCAAGAAATCTCTGTTCTTATCGATAATATTCTTCCCTAACAATTCATTTTTATAAAAGATTGATATCATTTGTAAAATAATGTCACAGATGTTCATTAGTTCCGTGAAATTTACTAATGGCTCAACTTTTGCAGTCTGGAAAGCTTGTAAATTTATATCAATCTTATCTATTTCATTAGGATCGTATTGTTGGAGAAGCTTGGTACCTTTCTCGAATGCAGGCTTTACATGTGCCTCACATAGCTCATTTACAAGAATCTTGAACAGTGCTTGGCATTTTGTTTTGACAATGTTGGCTATAGTATCTATTTCAGTAAAATAGTTTACTTCATCGATTTTTTCCTTGACCAGCTGAACTACCTTATAACATAAGTCTAAGCTAACTAATGTTTTAATGTTCTTTAAATTATTGGAGATTGTATTCAAGTTATACGCAAGTTTCAGCTGGTCTTCCATATTTTGTCGATCACTTTGAGCGTTTGACATTTTAAAAAGTTTCGTGAAGGAACTTAGAAAATCATTTTTATCGGTTCCAATATCGGTTCCAATTTCTGATTGGTTACGCAATGAATTGTATATCTCTTCATTCTTTTGCATTTCTTCTGATCGTACTTTTTCATCATGGGCTTTGAACTCCTTCGATATTTCATTTCTTACGTACATCGGTGTTAAATTTAGATATTTCACAATGTTGTCAGTTAAGTATATGTTAAGAAATTCTTTCACTACTTTGTGAAAAGTTTCACCACCGTTAATTGAATCATGTAAATCTTCACAAAGCATTTTGGTTATCATTGTGTAAACTCGTGGAAAAAATAGTACAATGTACTCCTCATTATCTCCCAGCAACTGGTTGATTGGAGTGAGTATCACTTCTTGTATAAATGTTTCTATAATGTTCAAAATCATAGGGTATTTATTTCCGAACAATATGTCAATTGTGTCTATGTTGTCATTGAGGTAATTTTGTAGCTTCTCCAGAGCGTCAGATAATTTGTCGTAATCAAAAATTACCTGGTCATCACCTTTGTTAGACGAAGAAGTTTCCATCTTTGATAGTTCTGTTTCTGATTCCAACAGAGATGTATTTGACTTTTCTTCTTTCTTTACAAGCAAACCCTCGGGTAACCAATTCTCAAAGTCTGTATAATCTATTTTAGATTTGTAAAATTCTACTGCATATACCTCTTCATTCAGGAGCAATAAAACGCTAATAAACGTTGCGGTGCTTTTGTAGTCTGCATTTTGATAAGTTCTTTCAGCTTCTTGTAATACGGAGTTAATAAAAATTTCTTTTAAAATAACCAAATTCTGCTCAATTTTTGTATAGTAATCAATATCATTTATATTGCACTTATTGTACCTTTGTATATTATTCAGAATTTTGGCCTGAGAGAGAGGATCTTTCTCATATTTTGCAGGGAAAAAATGGGACATGTTATTATGGTAAAGTTTTGAGCAAAATTTCTCCAACAAGTCAAAGAACAGCTTGAATACATCCTTCGCATTTTTATCAGTAAAAGAGGATAGCCTGTCAAATACGTTTGTGGCATCAATATCATTGTTTTGATCTGTTACTTCTATTAACAGTTCTTGCTGTTGTTCAATTTCATCCTTTTTATCTACTTCACCAGCTTCAGTTGATTTAAATAACCCTATAACGGCAAGTTTGTCCATCCATATTGTTCGATCTAAATCATCAGTTAATACTTCATGATATACTCTCTTGTTGACTTGCCTAAAGTTGATGTAATCTTTAGTGTTTAGTAGGCTTGCTATGTAGACAGTAATTGAAGGTACTTTGAAAAGGTCTTCTACTACCGTAGCATTTGCATCTAAATCATTGATCATTATGTTCTGATGTTATTTATGGAATTGCGTCATAAACTTCTATTTGTTATGCTGAAGACCCTCAAACCTATTCGATCCATATACAATGGTTTGATTGAAATAGATGGATACTATCACTATATGGAAATATTAGTTATAAACTGAATGAAAGTATATGATGTTTTGGTATTCAATATTCTCACTTTGTTGGTCCGAAGAATCCTTTAAAGGTGAAAAAGCATAAAATTCTGAAGGTGACAAAAAATAATCGATGGCCCATCGCATAACTATGACATTAATGGTATTAAATACAGTCAACCGCAAAGATAAGTTCTGGTAGTCTGACAACAGAATAAATTACAATATTTTTTTAACCTGCTGTCTGTTCACTTAAGAGAATATCGCAGATATTAATACAGTAATATTAGTTATGACAGTTAATGACATTCCTCAGCAAACAAAGGAAGATATTAATAAGACAGTGGAGTATCTAAGACAATACGGTCCTGAATTCTTAGAAAAGTTGAGAGGAGATGTCAGATTTGAGTTTATAGAAGAGAACTCTCCATATCACAGTTATTTTATTAGCCAGTACCAAGACAACAATAATAGTCATCTACCAGATAGTGTTTTGTCGAGCAACGGGGAGGCTGATGAGGAGGGAAAAGAAGTTGAAGAGCCATATGAATTCAGGTTTTCAAGATATTCAAGATCATTAACTAAAAGAGATTTTGAAATAATACGACAAGTAGCATTACTTTGTGCAATTAATGAAGACGTCAAATATCTGGACAAGATCAGACAAGCATACGGAAGTGATGAAAAACTGTCTTTCTTGAATAAACAGCATCCTTTGAATTCTGTTTTTTTTGATTTGTTGCAACAGTATAAATTAATCATAAAACAGGATATTATTCCACCTGCAATAGCCTTTCCTAAGAATAATAAAAAAAATAAGAAGCATATTGATCTGAAACAGATTGTATTAGATAGATGTTTTAGGAGAGCGGAATATGCTGAATACACTAAGAAGTTACAGGATGTGAAGCATAAAATAGCTCATGAGCGCAAGATACACTTTGCGGCAATCAAATGGACAGAATTCAAGGTTATTGCATCCATGGCTAAGCTGCATAGAGAACCAAAACCAGCCATTAAATTTAATGAACTCATAATATCAACAATAGATGGCAAAAATTCAGCATTATCTGTATTTGACACTGCCACAGGGAAAGAAATACCTTTATTAGAGCAACGGGAAGAAGCAAGTGCTGAAAAGAAGACTAATAAGAAGAAAATGAAGATAAGAGCTGCTGGTGAAACAAGACTGAATAAGCGTAAGGCCTCAGAAGCCCCTAGTGATGATCATCCAGCTGAAAAGAAGGGGAAGAGAATGGTTAGATGTCCAATAACCAACAACCTTATCGAAGAGGATAAATTTGATCAGCATATCCGTACCATCTTGAATGACCCTACGATATACGCTGAAGAGAAAAAGAAATATAAGCAATCGCACAGTCTATCAAATTTAACATCTGATGAGGTATATCAAAATATTAAACGATTAGTGAAAAGATAATGTACTGCCACGGACAAAGCTACCCGATTGTAGAGCAGCGTCAGTCACAATACCACCCGAACTTGGCAATAACGATAATATCAGTCGTTAAGACAAATACTACAAATGAACAATACATCTGTTTGCCAACTGCTTCCGGAATGAAAATTTATTAGACAGATACAGAGGAAGCACAGTGCGACGCAACTGTTAAGCACACTATAGCATTTTTCGGATCACGTGCCTCTGTTTCTTATGTGAAACAAGAGATGCCATCAGAAAATTAAAAAATGAAAATTAGGTCTGATTTTGTTACACGCCTGCGGTATTTTCAGTGGCCCCGGTGCGAAATTCGCGTCCATTTTCCCAAAACGGTAAACCTATTAGCTGACTTGTTCTGTTTTGGGATCAACCTCCAGTCGAAGTTGAAAAAAGACCCAATAAGAAAAAGATTTGGATAAACTTGATGAGATACTAATAACACCTGGAGTAAGCTTGGTTTGCCTTGACAACTGGTGTACATTACAATAGTTTATTAGGCGCCCGAATAGTTTGGTTTTCAGGAAAGATTTTTAATATTAACAATTAGTACCACGATCAATCATATCATTAGTGGAGGTTATCAGAATATTCTACATAGTTTTTTGGGAAGCCATAGATATCAAAGTTGTCGGTTTTTATTCCATTATATGTGTTGACCTTTGTCATAATCACAGCTTGCCAATTATATCTCATACTATTGAGTCTCCAAGATTATAGAAGTTACTGCAAATATACTACAATAGAAATGGAAGAGGTAATAAATCTAAACAACATTTTTTATAAGTCCTATTCGGTCGACCCCAATACGGGTCACTCCATCTATGTCTTCGACTCTACTTATTTGCCCTCTGCTGCAGAATTAGGCGTAAATGATAAGAATGATTATGATGAGATGATTACGGAGTTGATGGATATGCTGGTGAAGAAGCTACCACAGGCACCATTCTCGTTGGTTATATTTTCCTCAGGGTTCTCCGCAAAGAAGATAAGCTGGGTGTATGGTGTCAAGATGTACTCTAAATTGCCAAAACTATTCAAGAAATACCTGCAGGAGACGTATATTGTGCATGAGTCATTCTTTGTTAGAACAGTATATCAAGTATTATCAAATGCTATGAATTTCAAATTTTTAACTAATAATAAAAGTGAACAAAATGGCACAGTGGAAGATGAGAGCAGGAATGGTAATGCAATAAGACACGTTTCTACATTATCTGAACTAGCTTGTATGATAGATATAACTAGACTGAGAATATCCCTTAACGTTTATTTACATGATTCAGAAGTGACTGGTGAGTACTTCTTGTCGTTACCTGATTACTACACAGAAAAATTATCACCAACTAGTAAAAGGCAGTACAGACAAATAATATTTGACAAGATATTTAACCGTCTAAAATATGACGCGTTAACCAATGAATTAGTGTTCCAACGGCCAGGTTCTTACAAGAAAGTTAATATTCTATTGAGTATTATTGAAAGAAATAACTATATTGATCTTTCCCAATGGGACATCTATTCGCTAGCATCTATATTCACAAATTTCCTCAAAAATAAGAGCAAACCACTAATACCCATAGACTTGATTGAGCTTCCAATTCATGACAATTTCGAGTATACATTTCAGGTCTTCAAAGAGATAGTGAGGTACAATAACTACTATGATATATTATGTGCTATATTCCCTCTCTTCATATCAATTTTAAATGCCGGCGATATTACTAGGCATGATAGCAGATCTTTGAGTAGAGCTCTAACTCCAACATTATGTAAGGAAAAGGTGTCTATGATGAGCTCCGATAGATTAGCGATAGGTAATAAGTACATCAGGAATCTTTTTGAACATTTTCATGATATTATAAAGGTATTGGAAACCAATGAAAAAAGAAATGAGAAAATAAGTAAGAGTGACATTGCAGAACTTGCTAACTTGACCATCAATACCCACATTAATATCAACTCCAGAAGTAGTTCAGGTTCCTCTGATTTGCTGTTAGATATAAATTCTGACAGAAGCGGATCTGTATCAAGTTCACCAAAAATACCACCCAAACTTCCACCTAGAAGAAACGCTAGTAGTGAATTGAAATTGGCAAAGGAAGAGTCATCGATCCAAAGGCCTGTTAGAGCAATCTCATTATCACATACCAATTCAGAGGATGAAAGTAATACGTCTCTGCCATCGGTCAATTCCACATTTTCAAAGGCCTCGTCTTCAACTGATTCCACAAATATTGAACAAGAAAATAAAAATACTGATATTAATAATGACAATACTAATGATAAAGATAGTCCAGTCAAAACTGAACGAAACAACAATGATATACAGAACATGATCACGGATGGTTTTGCTGACGTTGATGTCTCTCAGGTTGTTTTGAAGAAAGACAAGATTCAAGAATTTGATAAGGAACTGCAAAAGAAGAAAAAACTTGCAGGTGAAGAAAATACCGTAAAAACAATAAAGTTCTCAACGGAAAGTTACTCAGACATTAAAACAAATAAGGTTAGTAAGTTGGCAGCTTTGTATGAGGAAAGATTGATGGGTTTACAAGTGATGAATGAGATACGGCATCAGAATTCAGTCTAGCAGCACCTCTAGCGTTTATGAACAGTTTTAGATTAGCATACTAAGTACAGTTTTTTGTATTGCATTCACTAAAGCGTTAATTAATATAACTTACTCTCATATTACATTTTAATAACATCTATACAAATAAATAACAACACCAAGTGTCAATATATTTTGTTAATATTGACAGTAGAAATAAATATTAATATGCGAATTTACATGCAAAACAAATCAGTGGTTTCTACGTTGTTCACCAATGAAGTTGATAGCTGATCCAGCCTTAAAGAAGTCAATTTGATCCTTTGACAGAGTGTGTTTGGTTTTGATTATGAAGCTTTCACCATTTGGTTTAGTTACTTTGACATCTAGGAACCCGCCATTATTACCGTCTTGAGCTACTAAATCTATTAGGCCCACAGTCTCCAAAGTGTCACCACCAGAAATTCTGTCATAGTCTGCCTCATCAGCAAATGTTAGTGGTAGCATACCTTGTTTCTTCAAGTTTGTCTCATGGATTCTGGCAAAAGATTTGACAAGTATCATTTGACCACCCAAGTATCTTGGAGACAAAGCAGCATGTTCTCTTGCTGAACCTTCACCATAGTTGTGCTCAGCAACAACTGTCCATGGTCTACCATCCTCTTTCCACTTCATCATCAATCCAGGGATATCATAGGCAGTACCATCTAAGTCATAAGCCTTATTCACCTCGCCAGTTTCCTTGTTTTGTGCACCAATTAAAGTGTTGTAGGAAATATTCTCCAGATGACCTTTATACTTCAACCATACACCTGCAGCTGAAATATGATCAGTTGTACATTTCCCTTCTACCTTCATCAATACATTAGTCCTTAATTCCTTACCGTTCCAAGGTTTGAAAGGTTCCAAAAGTTGTAAACGATCAGAGGTTGGAGAAACTTTGACTTCAACATTTGGATCAGCACTTAATTTTCCTGCTGGATAGAATTTATCCCTACCGTGTTCAAATCCCTTGGAAGGAAGTTCTTCACCTACAGGTGGATTGAATCTAAATTCACCGCCATTTGGTAATGGAATAGCATCAGTTAATGGGTTGAATTGAGCATTACCTGAATAGCTCATAGCAGTAACGATTTCTGGGGAGGTTAGGAAATTCATGGTGTTTCTGTTACCATCATTTCTAGCCCTGAAGTTTCTGTTAAAGGAGGTAAAAATTGAGTTGGTCTCGCTTGATTCCTTTGGAACATCTTCTCTATCCCATTGACCAATACAAGGACCACATGCGTTAGCTAACACAATGGCACCATTATCTTCAAATTTCTTAATAAGGCCATCTCTATCCAATGTAGCTCTGATAGCTTCAGATCCTGGAGTAACAAAGAAAGGAATGCGAGGCTTCAAACCAGCCTTTTCAGCTTGGTTGACTAAATCGATCACACGACTCATATCTTGGTATGATGAATTGGTACATGAACCAATCAATGCAGCGGAGATATTTTGAGGCCATTTTTCTTCCAGACTTCTTTCAGCATATTTAGTAATTGGTGTCGACAAGTCGGGAGTGAAGGGGCCATTTACGTGTGGTTCTAACTCGGATAGGTTAATTTCTATTACTTCGTCATATTGAGCACCTTCATCCGCTCTTAGGAAATTGTAGTTAGCCAAGGCGGCGTCTGCTGCAGTAGCAACAAAACCTCTACCAGTGGCTTCCAGATATCTCTTGTGTGCAGCTTGGTATGGGAAAGTGGATGTGGTAGCACCGATCTCAGCACCCATATTACAGATTGTGGCCATACCGGTACATGATAGAGTTTCTACACCTTCTCCAAAATATTCGACAATGTAGCCTGTACCACCTCTAACGGTTAGTTTACCTGCAAGCATGGTGATGACATCCTTTGGAGCCGACCAGCCGTGTAGTTTACCGGTCAATTTAACACCCAGAACCTTTGGTGCCTTTAATTCCCATGGGGTTCCAGTTAAGGCGTCCACGGCATCAGCACCACCAACACCAATAGCGATGGCACCTAGACCACCAGCGTTTGGAGTGTGTGAGTCTGTACCTAGCATCATCAAACCAGGCGCGGAGAAGTTCTCCAGCACGATTTGATGGATAATACCGGAACCAGGACCCCAGAACTGTATGCCGTATCTCTTCGCACAGCTCTCCAGGAAATCAAAAACTTCCTGGTTGGTCTTAATGGAGTTTCTCAAATCCTTGGTTTCACCATCTTTTCCGACAATTAAATGATCACAGTGGATCGATGCTGGAACAGCAGTTTCTGATAGGCCAGTGGTCATGAACTGCAAAAGAGCCATTTGTGCAGAGGCGTCTTGCATGGCGACTCTATCAGGATTCAATTTCAAGTACTTCTGGCCTCTGATGTCTGCGACTCTAGAGGACGTAAGAGATTCTTCGGGGTTACACAGATGTGAGTACAGAATCTTTTCAGCCAAGGTCAATGGTTCATTGTTCAGTATTTGCTTAACTTTGTCCAAGTTATTTAGTAATTTAGCATAAGGTGGAGTGTATGCTCTCAAATTCTCCGGAACAGAGGGGATATTTCGACTAACTGTAGCCAGGTTTCTTCTACCGACAGCTCTAAACATTGCTAGTGGGTACGAATTGTAGTTTGTTGTAATGTAAGACAAGGTCCGGCTCAGTATAGACGTTTTACTTCTATTTGTTATTTTTATTTGTTAAGTTATTGTTGTTAATATATATAGTGAGTTTGCTATGAAAAAAAAAATTTTGTAGGACTTGCAATAAATGTTTAGTCATCGCCAAATATTTCCCACCGCAATTTTTTCTTAATTTCCAACTTCAATTGACAATGGGAAGGTGGTACTGTTTACACTGGAATTCTTAGTATTAGTCAAGAGCCAATGGATGTTTCTTGCACATCCTAAAAGGAAACCCTTTTCCCGAAGATATGAAATGGAAAGCTTTTTGTAAAGAACTAGTTAGATCAAAGATGAGAGGTTGATAGGAAACTGAAGAAAAATCCCGATGGAAATTTGGATTTCTTTTATTTTTTCAAAATGATGACTACTTAATGGTTTGGATATCCCCTGCATTGTACGGGTGATTGTGTAGTTGGGCAAAAAACTTATTCGAAAAGGGTGTGTACGAAAGTATCCTGTGTTACAAACCTGGATAGTATCAAAACCAAAAAGTCGAATGCTTTTCTCACCAATAGTAGGATTATTAATGGCATGCTTTTTTAAAGTAAAAAATAAATGCTTCCAACCAGATTTGAACTGATGATCTCCACATTACTAGTGTGGCGCCTTACCAACTTGGCCATAGAAGCTTATTAAGTTACATTTTTCAAAGAACACAGCTTGAACCACATGCACAAGAAATATATACATGTAATACTGTACGCAAATAAATAGTCACATAGTCCCCCCCCCATAGTGCAGAGGGCCCATACGACATTGTCTAACTAATGGGCGTCAGGTCTCACCGTCTGCACATAGAAAGCTAATTACTACTCCAGTTATGTGTCAATTCACAGAGGATGGATCCGTTTTCATGCAAATTTTTTGCTCAAGAATATTTGCTTGACACTTACCGTACATCCTCCAGGCAAGTAAAAATACAATGGGTACCCGCTTAACAGTGTGACTGGAACTAAAGCACTGGCTATCAAGTTATTGTCTGCTCTTTACTTTAGATCAGACCCACGTGGGTCTGATCTGCCACCGACCCGAAATTAGATATCCCAGCACCATGACTGTGCGCAGTTCCCACAGCACTTACAGTTCTATTCTTAACAAGGTGCCAGAGATCATCGCACATCCACCATCGTCTCTGGCCTCCCCCCCTCTTTTTTTCTGTTGGCTCACAATGTCTATTCCTCGAGATACTTCTCTGCAGGAAGCACCGCAAGATTTGATATTTGGTTTTGATAGAAAAAAGCAAATGCAGAAGAACCCGCGTAGCCACCCTCCCAGATTTAAGAGAAAAAAAGTATGGAAGGGATTTCTAATTGGCAGGCCGATGCATAGAGCGCAACGCAGGAGCCTAAAAGGTAAGATCCATTTCGGTTTTCACGGTTTTCACACGATTTTCTCGGAGAAGGCAGTGGGCATTTTCTTTCTTTTCCACCCTAACGATCTGCGCAGTAGCACACACACAAACATTTGGCAGAGACGATTCCCGTAGCACTTGGAACTGCGAAAACTGAACAAAAAATGAAAAAAGCAACTTTGGAGAGAAGCGACGCACAAAATCTTTCCTCGAGGGAAAAGAAGTCTGTTAGAAAGTTACGCAGAAGGAAAAAGGAAAAGGGAAAAGCGAGATAACGAAGCGGGTCCCCCCAGTAATTTCGTTCTTAGCTCTGCTAAATGAAAATTGAGCCTTCCTGCCACATAATGGGAAGAAGAAAAAAAATTGGCAAAATAAAGAACACTAAGAAAGAAAAAAAAGAACAATGAAACTAGATTCCCTAAACTTTGCTTATATTGTAGACGATTACAAAACCGGAATCACTATATAACTAGGTGTTTGAATACCACTCTTAAGTATTTCCTTTCCCAAGTGAGAGTCCATTATTCAAGAAATAATAACAAAGGACTGAAACAAACGGGACACTGCAGATGAGGTTCTCGCATTTCTTGAAATATAATGCTGTGCCGGAATGGCAGAACCATTATATGGACTATAGTGAGTTGAAGAACTTGATCTACACTTTGCAGACAGATGAGTTGAAGAACGGTCCCATCGGTAATCAGCCACCGGAGCGTGGTCCCGTTGTGGAAGAAGAGGACGAAGTCATCGCTTCGTCTTCGAAGCACTTTGCAGAGAAGCTCAAGAAGAAGTTCTTCTCCAAGAAGCCTTCTTCGAACACCACCGGTAGTCATCTGGCGACTGAACAATCCTCTTCCCATGCCATTCATCACAGCAAGAACAAAGACGGTAACAAGGAGGCCAGTGTAGAAGAAGAGACCTATGAACTAAAGGATATCAACCAGGCCTCTGCAATCACAAACGCTGGTTCGCTGGCTGCCAATAACAATAGCAAAGAAGGTAAAAATAGCAAAAGCTCGCCGCTAAGAAAAGTTAAGGAGAAATTCTTTGAGTCACGTCGTTCTTCTTTGTCAAGCGAAGGCCAAACTCTGTTCAATACCTATGATGCATTCGTTACAAGCCTAACAGTAGAGAAATTTAAAGTCGATGACTTCTATAAGAGAATTGAGGCCAAATTCTACGAGAGATTCGAAACTCTATCTAAGGATTTGGAAAAAGAAGGCATGGTTATTGTGACTAGACATCCATCATTGTCGCATACAGAAAACGTAGACTCTCCATTTGCGGATGCCATGAACAAGGATACTCAAGTTGATGAGCATGGAAACGTTGCGCCAATTACTTCAATTGACAAAAATAACTCTTACCTAGAAGTATCAGAAGATGGTGAAGACGAAGACGACTTTGTCGATGAAGATGTGTTCTCAGAAAGCGGTGACAATACCGCGCTACTAAATTACTCACAATTTAACGTCAAGTCTCAAAGGAAATCGATTCTTAAACAATCGATAATTAACTTATATGTGGACCTATGTCAACTAAAGTCATTCATTGAATTAAATCGTATGGGTTTCAGTAAGATTACTAAGAAGTCAGATAAGGTATTGCTCTTAAACACCAGAGAGGAATTGATACATTCTGGTGAATTCTTTAAAGACACATACGTCTTCCAAGATTCCACTCTAATGATACTGAATGGTAAAATCGCACAATTGGTTGAGTTTTATGCCATGATAACTGGTCATGAGCGCGGAAATATTGCACAAGCAAAGCAAGAACTTAAGTCTTACCTACATGACCACATTGTTTGGGAACGTAGTAACACATGGAAAGACATGTTGGGTTTGCTATCCCAAAGCAAAGATATAACTACCGATATTGATGGAGCCGTTGCAAATGCACACTCTATTAGTAAACTAGACTTGGAATATTACGAGTATCCTCTACCAAGACCCATTCCACTTAAATTTACAACTATTTATAAGTTGCAAGTTCCTAAGTTATTTTTTACGTTGAAGGCCTTCAAAATTGCTTTTATATTTGTTGCCACTGCTATCCTTTTGGCAGTTCCAACCTTCCACGATCCTGCTCAGCACAGATGTATGGCACTTGTTGAATGTGTCGCCTTTTTATGGGCTAGTGAAGCAATCCCTCTTCACGTTACAGCTTTCTTGGTTCCGTTGCTGGTGGTTTTATTCAAAGTGTTGAAAGACTCAAATGGCCATGTTATGAAGGCTGCTGAAGCATCAACTCTTATATTATCAACAATGTGGTCATCTACTATTATGATTTTATTGGCTGGTTTTACACTCGGGGAGGTCCTCGCACAATATAATATTGCTAAAGTTCTGGCGTCTTGGTTACTTGCTTTTGCTGGTACTAAGCCAAGAAATGTCTTACTAATGGCTATGAGTGTTGTCTTCTTTTTGTCTATGTGGATTTCTAATGTTGCAGCACCAGTTTTAACATACTCTTTGTTGTCACCATTACTTGATCCGCTAGATGCTTCCAATCAATTTGCTCAATCCCTGGTGTTAGGTATCGCTCTTGCTGCTAATATTGGTGGTCTTTCATCGCCTATTTCCTCTCCTCAAAATGTTATCTCGATGCAATATTTGAAGCCTTACGGTATTGGATGGGGTCAATTCTTTGCAGTGGCTCTACCAACCGGTATCTTGAGTATGTTGTTAGTTTGGGGTTTAATGTGTATGACATTTAAAATTAACTTAACCAAACTTGACAAATTTACACCAATAAGGACCAGATTTACATTAAAGCAGTACTTCATCATTGTTGTATCTATTGGAACTATTTTACTATGGTGTGTGGAATCGAAGATTGAGGGTGCATTTGGTTCTTCTGGTATCATTGCTGCTTTACCAATTGTGCTATTTTTTGGTACTGGTTTACTAAGTACTCATGATTTGAACACTTTTCCATGGTCTATTGTTATCCTAGCTATGGGTGGTGTTGCCCTTGGTAAAGCTGTTTCTTCTTCTGGTTTGTTGTCAACTATTGCTAGGGCTCTTCAAAAAAGAATTGATCATGACACTGCACTTGCTGTTTTATGTATATTTGGTGTTTTGATGTTGGTTGTGGGTACTTTTGTTTCGCACACAGTTTCAGCAATTATTATTATTCCATTGGTCCAAGAGGTTGGTGACAAACTGAACGATCCAAAGGCTGCACCTATCCTTGTCTTTGGTTGTGCTCTATTGGCATCGGCAGGTATGGGTCTGGCATCATCTGGTTTCCCTAATGTTACAGCAATTTCAAAGCTTGACAAAAAGGGCAATAGGTACTTAAGCGTTGGTACATTTTTATCCAGAGGTGTACCTGCCTCCCTATTAGTGTTTGTTTGTGTTATTACATTGGGTTACGGTATTATGCATTCAGTTTTGAAGGCACCTACCCAAAGTGCCACATGAGGACAATAAACGCTCAAATTGCATGAACTTTCGATAATATTATTTTCATATTCAAAATTGTATTAATACCGTTATTTCAATTCATATACTAAGCCATTAGCAGAAAGACAGGTATGGCACATTGTAGTTGGCCGCAAAATTTAATCTTTGTTCTATAAAGGTTGAGATTCTGTCAAAACTAAATGTAATCATTAATGGTCATTAATTTTTATATACTATAGATCCACATATTTGTATATTTAATATAACTAGCATTAACTCTGAAAAGGGTGTTTCAATTATCTATTAAGCTAACATAATGTACCAACTGACATGAATATCTAAGAATAATGTAGTCATTAATAGGTGAGTTGCAAGTGTCAAAAATATCCAAAAATCTGAGATTCATGGTGATGTCAAATATACTCTGAAGAACTGCATTACGAATATATGTACTACTTGATTTTTCTCTCATGGAACTATAGGTGACTGTAGCAATTTATCAAGAAGTTTGGGTCACCAGTCTTAATAACGTTCTGTATACATACGAAATGTCCATAAGTTTCTGAATTTCATTTACGTTATCAATGTATGATTGGAATTCTATGTCTTCTAATGCCTTTACATCTTTGTTAAATCTAGTTCTGATTTCATTAACTACTTTGCGCTGATCCTTTAGTATATCAGCTCTCAAATGTCCAATAACTTCATGTAGGCATTCTTCATGGTATTTCAAAATGTCATAACTTTCCCGTGTGATAGATTGAGAGTTCAGTAAAATTTCTTTTAGTTGTTTGTTCTGTTGTCGTAGAGTTTCTTCAACTCTATTTTTATCTTTAGAAGATTGAGAGTCAGGTACAGGGTCTATCCGATCCAAAAATTGCTGAATAAGTCTTGCACTACTTGAATAATGATCATTGACAGATGTCTCACTGCTGTTCACCCTATTCGATAGTGTATCAACAGCCACTAATATATTCTCCTTCTTCTCATTGTTGGTCGCCAACTGTTGTATGAGTTGTTCAAGCAATTTATACAAATGTGTCAGGTTCTCAGATTGGGGCGTCATATAAAGCTGCTGGGGAGCCTGGGGAGGCACATTACCTTCCATTATATCTTTTATGATTTGCGGTTTTATTCGATTTGATCTCTTTTCTGACAATTTGTACAATAGTGTAAAATCGTTTAGAAGATACATAAGTTCTTCATTTTTATGTTGTGTTTAATACGCAATCTGATTCTTTGTAGAATTGGTTTATATTTTAGATGTTCCAAGCCTGACCAAAACATAAATAAAAAAAATAAAGAAATACTCAAGTTTAAAATAAATGAAATATTTTCTCTGTGACAGTATATTTACGTTTTCTTTTAAGTCGATTATATTTTACTACATAAATAAGAATTACCGATAAACTTCTAAACCTATAGACGATGAACTTTCAGAGAAAGACTTCTAGAACACGAGTTAATCATTACGAATTAGTCTAATATCTTCTGAAGATATTGAATTCTTTTCAACATCTCTAGCATTCAATAAATCGTTTTTCCTAAACTTGTCCTTCCCATCCTCAATCGAAGCAACTAAACCTGCTTTTAGGTGTCTTTTTGCGACTCGTGATTCTATTTGGTCCTCACATGCAAGGATCTTATAAAATAATTTAGCATTCGAGTTACTAACTATATTATAGATTTTTGACCAGTTTTCTTTATTATAGAGCAAATAGAGTCCTTCAAATATAACAATTCTGGACTTAAAAGAAATAGTATGTTGAGAAGGTTGTGGATCTTTAAGTGAATGATCAAAACCAGGAACTTCGACTGACGGAACACTGCAGTCAAACGATGATGAAATGGCATCAAATGCTGTGAAGTCATCCCCATCATATCCTATGGATGGGAATATCCGACTTGTCTTGGCCATGATCTCACAGAGTTTAAGAAAATTATTACTATCAAAAGTTAAAGAAGAACCTCTTCTTAGGTGAGCCCATTGAGGATCAGAAAAATGATCCAGGCATTCTCGGCTTAAGTGAAACCCATCCATAGGTAGAACCTCGGCAATTGTAGTGTTACCTTCAAGATTCTTTTCTTGAGAGGTGGGTTGTCTAACTTTTATGGCATTCAATTGACCCCCCCTACCAGTAATTGTATATGAACCATCTTTTAGACGTTTTTTCTTACAAATGAAGTCAACATTTTCCACTGAATCGAAGTTCTCATGTCTTTCATCTTCTAAAGCACTACTAATGGTTTCACCTTCAATACCTTGAACAAATTGATCAATGTTAATATGGTTATAGTTTTCACACCTTAAAGTCTTTCTGTCTATTTCCTTAAGATAATCAAGATATGATGTGTTGATTGCATCCTTCAGTTTTTCAGCAATTGTGGATTTACCGGATCCTGGTGGACCAACAATGAAAACCAACAGTCTATAATTCTCTTTGCAAATTTCCCTATATGAAGCAATCACTTCTTCTTTTAATCGATTAACATCGACCATCTCTCCCTATTGTCGCTTTTATATTAAGAAGTCGCTATTTGTTGGACTTTCAAATGCGAGTAGGCTTCCTATCTTGTCCTTTTGTAGTTTCTAGATGAGCTCGGCAGTCTCTGTGTGTATATGCTCGAATGTGCAATCACTCAATTGAATACTTAAAAATCAAAGTACTTCTTTTACTTTTCTCATGCTATTCTAAGCTATATTAAAATTGAATGACTAGCGTAATATAGGGCTTAGTATTCTCACATAAATAGCTCCATAACTATAACAACAACAATAACAATAAGAATTAAACCAATATATTTACAAAATACTTATCCCTGTGTAAGAGATAAAGTTGGCACATCCTTGAGACACTTTATACAAAAATAATTACCTCTCATAATATCAATTCATATTTTGGTCACTAATACATAAGGAGTCCTATCATGTGATTAGAAAACAGTTAAAAATTAAAATTAAGATTATAATTCCGTACATGTGAAACCAAAGTTGATATGAAAACATTGCTGTGTATGCTTTCCGAACAGAAAAAATGACTTAATAAAGTAGATGATGATTGTCTACCAGTCCGAAAATTTTTTGTTTGATGATATTTTTTGATGAAAGCGATGAGGTGGATAAAAAATTGTTATACAATGAAAGACTTCATGCTTGAACATTACTTATTATCCTGATCACTTGAGTATTACAAAATCCTACCATTGCTCTGTTTGTTTATTAAAGTGTTGAGACATATTTTCATAGGTACAAGTTATTATGGGTTCTATCAAGAAAACAAAAGGGAAAAGCCAATCAACCAAAAGAGTTGTTACGCCAGAAGTGTTTGCTGATCAACAAGCTAGAAATCAACTAGCGAATGCTCCTAATCTAACTGAAAAATCAGAACGCAGAAAGGCAAATAAATTACAGGTAAAGAAGGAACAAGCTAGGGCTAGACTGTATGGTAAGAAGAAGAAGGAGAGTACATATTCGGAGAAAGACTTAGATCTTCCATCACTCAATAAAGCGGTTAACCCAGGAGTTAAACTTAGAAGAGGTAAGAAAGGTAAGAAATTCATTGATGATCATGATAGCTTAACTTTACACAGGTTAATAAAAACAATCGGGGACAAATACGATGATATCACTGAAAGTAAATTGGAGAAAGATAGAAGATTAGAGGTAATCAGAGAACTAAAAAGACAAGAAATAGAAAGGAAAGAAGCCGCCAAACAAAGTCAGTTAGAAGAGAAAAAGGACGAATTGAAGAAGAAATCATCTATTGCACGTTCAATGAGAAGAAAAAACAGAAGAGATCAAGAGCGTGATCTGCATACTACTTCTAATGATAAAGTGCAAAGGAAGAAGAAGTCTGTCTCCTTTGCTTGAGTGTTTATGGATTAAAAATTTCCCAAGTTTTTTCTACAAGTGCTTATAATATAATATCTTTTGCATTCTTTTAATTTTATTCTGTATCAAGTCTATTATTATTTATAATAATCACTTTTCATACCTAGAGTTTAATGTCAATATATTGAAAGGGTATTATTATAACTAGTTTCGTCTTATCCATTAAAATTGGTAGGTAATATGTAAATTATATTAAGATACTGCATTACAACAATGATGAGTTATATATCACAACAAACGATTAAATATTTAGAAGCGTTTTTTCTTTATGAGCAATGGAGAGATCAAAATAGAGCTGAGGGACCATCACATCGCCGTATTTTCTTTAACTAATTTGATAAAACAAAGTTGTCTAGTCGATATTTGTGATTCTACAAATTTTAAAAGCATCCAAAAGCAAGAATATTTAATAAGCATTAAGTCACACCATGACTGATTTGCAATCAAGTAATAATGTGGCTTTCCCTGATGCGAATGGAAATAACACAAGTAAACTGGTTCAAAGTTTGCTAGAATCTGCTAAGAATCTGCCAAGTAGCTCATCAGAATTAGGATCAATTCAACTAAGTGTCAACGAAGTAAGACGGAGAGTATCTCAACTTCGCAGCAAAAAGCCTTCAACCAACGATAATACTGGCGCATACTATCTCTTAGCTGGTGATGGTCTTGTACTAGAAGACATAAATTCAGTTGTCAATGAGCTGAAAGGTCAAAAATCAAAAAGGCCAAGGCCAATTGAAATAGACAACGAAATTGTTGAGGTGGGATTCACCAATAGGGAGGAAGACATACTGTCTTCTATTGAGAAACAACTGCTATTTGCAGCTCATGATTTCGACAATAGTATCAACAAGACGTTGAAATTAGACTGGAGTCACAAAAAGCAAAAGATAGAGGATAATTTCAGAGCATTAATACAGAGAAGAAAACAATCAAAGCATGTTCACCATTCTTTATCAGCAGTCGAGAACGCTGAATCAACACTTGGTCTGAAAACCCCAACATACAACATCAACAGTAATTACGATGAGAGAATTAAATTTGAACAATATGCTAAGATAATTGAGAAATTCAACCAATCTTGCTTGGATAAGTCAAATCACAGTACGACACTACTAGGGGAGATGCTGGACAACTTTCAAAAGAGGGGCTTGAACAATGGAAATAATCTTCAATTCATGGATGCTCTTAGCGTATTAGTTGATCATCAAAGAGGTGCAAATTACGATCATAAAGTCAGTATGAAATATTTGGAGTCTGAGTTGTGGTCTTACATAGTCGATCTAGGACATCACAATTATAACTCCCAGTTGCTGGAAAATACGGTGGATTATATCAAGATCTTTATTGACAAAAAGCTAAAAAACCATGATGGTACATGGAAGGTTCCTAATCTGGTAATGGCTAATGAAGATCCACTATGGATGATTGCCTTTTATCTACTTCGTTCAGGCCATATTAGTGAATGTATTGAGTACCTAAATTCTATGAAAACATTTCTGAAAAAAATTGAACAACCCATTATCACATATTTGAAAGCAAAAGCTGCGAATGAGAATGGCCAATTAACAGGAGACTTCTTGAATAAAATACAGATGGAATATAACCAACACATTAAGAGTAGCATTGATGGAGACCCTTACAGAAATGCTTTATACAGAATCGTTGGGCGTTGTGATCTTTCAAGAAAAAATTTCTCGTCTATCACTTTTAGTATTGAAGATTGGCTCTGGCTACATTTATGCTTGGTAACAAACGAACCAAAAAAATTAGAAAAGTCAACCCAGTACTGTCTTTCAGATCTTCAGAATCTAATTGTCTCCTATGGATCTAATAAATTTGCAAATTCATATTTGAAAATTTTAGTTCTTACAGGCTTGTATGAGAATGCAGCAGACTTTGCTTTTGCTTTATCTTCAATTGATGCTATTCATTTTGCACTATTTCTGAAAGATAATTGCCTCCTAAAGCTACCACCATCAGAAGATTCTATATCAACATCGGAATCAGGTTATCTCACGTCTGTCAAAGATAAATACTACTTCAACACTTCAAGGATGTTGGCTGATTACATAGATCAGTTCAAATTTTCTGATCCTAGAGTTGCAGCTCAGTATATCATTCATATGAAGTCACCCGACAGTGTGAGTAGCATTGAGCTATGTAAAAGCTTTTTGGAGAATCTTGTCCTGGATACAAGGGAGTATGCATTACTTCTGGGCAAGGTCAATGAAGATGGTTCTAAACTTTGTGGTCTGATTGAAAAGCTCTATCCACTCGTTGATAACACTGACCCACAAGATTTCATTTTGCATGTAGCCGATGCCGCTTCCAGGCGTACATCCAGTGATTCCAAAGACTTTGATAACATACAGCTATACATGTTATTGAATCAACCTGGAAAGATATTCGACATGTTGAACAAGCAAATCTCAGATGTACTAAGTGCAACTCCATATAATCAAGAAATAGCAGGATTGGAAGATTTCACAGGCTTTGATCCAATTTTGCTAGCTTATAAGCTGATAAATAGCTACAAATCAAACTCCGAACAGTTCGTTGAGAGAGCAAGGGATGTTTGTGTAACGTTGACGTCTATTTTTGAGATTAAAGGCCTGGTTACAAAGAAGTTATGGACAGAAGCACTTAACGCAATAAAGGACTTAGATATAATACCATTGAAAGATGAGGTGTTATCAAGAGAGAAAGCTAATGAGTACCCGATAATTGATAGTAATATCGCTAAATGTATTCCAAATTTATTAGTTCTTACAATGCTCACTCTGAAAAATAAGCATGTATTATCAGGCACAAGTACTAGTGACAAAAACAGTTATATTGAAATGGCAAAGTCTCTAATGGTTTATGCTGGTCTAATTCAGTATAAGATGCCAAGGGATACCTATGCGATTTTAAACAAATATGATATAAGTAGGCTAGTTATGACATAAAGTTCCATACTAATGGCTATAAATTATCTTTGCATTCTCTAAACTTATTCACTAAAAGTCTTCAGAAAAAAGACTATGTGTAATTGTTCTTTAGACTAGTTTGCCAATCAATAATTTCTCGCTAACTAGATGATCTAATATTTATACTTTTGATTCTATCACTCAAATCCGTTATTAAGACCTTTATGTTTTTTGTATTTGCTATAAATATATACTTATCACACATTGGCATTCATTCTTTTCCTATATTCACTATAATCGGGTTGAATTTCATAAGCGTTAGGACTAGCTGGCCTGTTAGTCTTTTGTCTTCTGCGCCTCCTCTCTATCCTGCGCTGCCTCCTTTGTTCTGAGTTATATTTATCGTCATCGTCTGACTCTGATGATGAAGAAGAAGAGGAAGAAGAAGAGTGTTCATGATCTGAAGGACAGAGTTGCTCTGGATCTTCTTCTTCTTGTGCAGGGTGAAATATACAACATATCTTAGTTTTCTTCTTGTTCATATTTTCATTATCAACCACATCTTCTTCCCACCTGACATTGCGAGACTGGCTGGTACTTTCACCTTCTGTTATATTGGTATTTGCAGCTCGAAGTTGCAATACTCGAGGCATCTCTTCAACACTGACCGTCCTTGACCCTTCTGACACTTGATTCATCTGTTGCTGTTGGTTAATTTTGTTTTGATAATTAACTCCAATTAGCTCCTGTTTATAAATTATCTGCTAGTTTATATTTTAAACTTCTTAGCTTTATATTTGTTATTTCCCATAAACTACAGTATCCGTAAAACCTCTATAAGGACGATTTAGTAAGGGAAGCTCCCCCCACATCCAACGGCATCATCATTTTCTAATTATATTATTGAGCTTTGTGAACTTCAGAATGACTTTTAACGTACAAAGAAAGATTGAATGAAAACATATGGGGAATATAAATAGGTATATAGCATGTCTCCCTCTTCCAACAATTCGGTAGTCTTCGAGGCGACAGTAGTGCATTATATGCTACATGGCAAGTTCAAATTCACTCATCAATAACAACATAATATGACTTATGGTGCCAGTATCTGTGATGAAGTGAGCTTTCTCTCCCAACTTTTCCAAACTTTTAGTCTGAAAGTAGATCAATTAGTGTCTATTACTTGGATAACTTCTTTTTCATCTAGCGGGAGTTGTAAAAATACAATATATAAGTTCAAGGCATTTTAGCATTTCGTTCTGACCAATAGTTCTAATATGATTTCTTCACATGGTGGAATGTTAAAAGGTTAAGATTGACGAATTCTTGTCTGACGAAGTGAGAAAAAAAATGTGTCAAAAAAGGTCTGTTTGACACATTTTCGAAGACTATAGAAGATACTTTAACTATTCTAAATAGTGGTATAACTGTAAGACTTGACACCACTCGAGGTAGATATAGCAATATGGTTGGTCCAAATGATATTCCTGAGGCTTTGAAAGGTCACAAATACCCAGCTAAAAGTCACAACAAGAAGGTTAAGGATATTCTGTTAAAGACAAGAGATGACTTGAAAAGTGATGACGTCGCTGTTTTCATTGCTGGTGAAGAGGTCGAAGGCTGGAAGTATTGTGACACTGATAGAGATTTCAGACAGAACAGATACTTCTATTACTTGACTGGTTGTGATATCCCCGGTTCTGCTCTGTTGTACAACTTCAAGAACGATAATCTGACATTGGTCTTGCCAAACATTGATTGGGACGATGTTATCTGGAGCGGTCTTCCATTATCTTTAGAGGAAGCGAAGAAGGAATATGACGCTGACGATGTGGTACACATGAAAGATTTAGAGAACGTTTTACAGAAACAACTGAGTGATGTCAGCAAGTTCAAGATCTATACCACGGATTTGGATAATGTTCACAATGAAACTCTGAAGAAACACCTGATTCCAAGTGACAAGGACTTCTTCTTTGCATTAGATGAAGCTCGTTTAATTAAGGATTGGTATGAGCTGGAAGTTCTAAAGCATGCTGCCAAAATCTCCGATACTTGTCATTTGGCTGTGATGTCTGCCTTGCCGATTGAATTAAATGAGGTTCAAATTGAGGCTGAATTCTCCTACCATGCTCTACGTCAAGGTGCCCGCTCTCTTGGTTATGACCCTATTTGCTGTTCTGGTCCAGCTTGTGGTACTTTACACTACATTAAGAATTCTGAAGATCTGGAAGGTAAAAGCTCTATTCTAATTGATGCTGGTGCTGAATGGAGACAGTACACAAGTGATGTCACTAGATGCTTCCCAATCAACGGTAAGTTCACCAAAGAACACAGAGAAATCTATGAAACTGTTTTGGATATGCAAACCCAGGCAATGGAATTGATCAAGCCAGGTGCTAACTGGGATGATCTGCATATTTTAACTCACAAAGTTCTTATCAAGCACTTCTTGGACCTTGGTATCTTTAAGAAAGACTTTTCAGAAGAAGAAATTTTCCAGAGAAGAGTCTCCTGCGCATTCTACCCTCATGGTTTGGGCCATTTGATGGGCCTTGATGTTCATGATTGTGCTGGTAGACCAAATTATGAAGATCCAGACCCATACTTCAAATTTTTGAGATTGCGTCGTACTCTTGAAGCTGGTATGGTTCTAACAAATGAACCAGGTTGTTATTTCAACGAGTTTTTGATTGAAGAGTTCCTAAAGAAATTCCCAGAGCGTGTTGAAGTTGTTGACCAAGAGGTTTTGAAGAAGTACATGTATATTGGTGGTGTGCGTATTGAAGACGATATTATTGTCACTGAGACTGGTCATGAAAACATGACTAAGATCACTTCCGATCCAGATGAAATTGAGAAAATTGTCTCCAAGGGCCTCGAAAGAAGTCGTTCTGAATTCCATGCTCTTGTATAATTTGCCTGTGCCGACATCTTAGTCTCTGATTTGGAGCATATGCTCTTTTACTTTTCTATGTTCACAACAAAAAGACTATTTTTATATGTTAACGATACATAATTAATATTTATTTAATGACAACATGTTCATGAACTACAGCACCAGAAATATTCAAAAACAAAAATAACAAAAGCTTTCACACTGTGTACTATATGCTACCTTTTGGCACATATGTTGGAAAACAAAAAAAATAATGCGATTTCTGTGGATCGAACACAGGACCTCCAGATAACTTGTTGACCGAAGTTTTCGAATCTTCAGTCTGGCGCTCTCCCAACTGAGCTAAAACCGCATTGTAAACGATGTAAACCTTGCTTAATCATGTTTGTCATATACAATTAAACTAAATCACGTGAAAGCAAATGCGTAATTGAATAAGGGATCTTGGTGTATCAAGTGCATAGTTCGCTTGCTCTCCATAACCTAGGCGGTAAAAATATCGATCCCATTAAAAAGTGTAAAAGCTTTTGAATATCTTTTCATACAAGTAAGAAGTATTCTGAATCAGCTGCACTCACTGGGTATAATTAGTGTATATGTAATTTTCACTTTGAAGGAATAGCCGCCATATAAGAAAACTGGGTTAACCCTAAACACATAGATACTACAATTAAAAAAATAACGGTTGTGTACATAACAGTTATAAATAACTACGTCGCACTATCCTAATCAACTCTTCAAAAGTTTACTGAATATGTCTGAAGAAAACCTATCAAGTTTTTTAAATCCTAGAATCTTTGAATCCAAGACGGGTTCAAGAATGACTCACTCTCAAAATTTAAATGAGAAAAAGACAAAATGCTCATCTCCTGGAAATAGCACATACAGCGATGGCAAGAAGTTTGCTATGTCAGGCAAAAGGAAGTTGCCAGCATCTAATAGTTATCCCAAAACTAAACAATCAAGGTATTGCCAGTCACCATCATATACCAATACAATATCAGGGTTAGAGGCAACAGTATCAACGAATAGGACTACTCGTACAGGAAACAAAAGCATAAAATCTGTGTTCAGTGTTCCCGACACAGTTATCTTCTCAATATATGAGAGTAGTAAGGAGGTGGATACCACAATTGGGATTTCATTGATCAATTTTTCCACTGGTGAAATCATACTGACCGAATATGTAGACTCACAATTGTTCATTAGAACCATGAACAAAATACAACTGTATGAGCCAACGGATATACTTATCCCCTGCCATTCGGTGAGACCCCATATGTCAAAGCTTGCAACCATACTGAAACTAAATATAAACCATGAAATAAAGATACATATTGCAAAGAGCTCATGCTATAACAATAGAAGATCAATTGAATTCATCAAAGCATCCAGTATAAATAAAGCAGATGGGATTCAAATTTTACTTGCTAAATTATATGAAAAACGGCATTGCCTATTTTCGTTAGCGGCAGCAACGGAATTTCTTCAATCCAAAAACTCAGTTAAAGGATTGACTCCCAAAAAAAACAAAGTGTTAAGCGATTATTCAAGATTTAGAATCAGATATGAAGCGATAGAGAACACACTTCTGATTGATAGTAAAACTGTTACAAATTTAGAGCTTATCAGAACATTAGAAGGAGATGAAAAACTATCATTATTCGGCACATTAAACACTACATGCACAAAGATGGGGTACAGAAATCTCAGAGGAGCAATTTTACAACCTCTTACAGACTTAAATGGTATTACAAATAGACTCAAATCTGTTGAAGAACTTACAGAATGTGAATTTCTTAATGGAATAAGATTGGTGTTAAGACAATTGCCTGATCTGGATATAGTATTTTCCAAGTTACTGACGGCCGGTAAAAAAAGCATTGGAGTGACTCAGAAAATAAATTATGCCTTGTTAATCAAAGATGCTATTAAAACACTTGAGGATATAAGGCAGATATTGCTTAAATTTCATCCTAAATCAACCCTACTATCAGAAATCAGAAATTCTTTTGTAAACTGTACCCTCCAAGATTTTGGTATTCTGATACAGAAATATATTAAACCTGACAGCTCATGGGCCAGTAATTCTTTAGAGCTTCAAAATCAGAGACTGTACTGTTTAAACGAAGAAAGCAATAGTTTGCTTGGCACCTTGAGGAGTTTGTACTCCAAAATCAGTGAAGAGATTTTAAATGATATATCATGTTTTGGGGAAAAACATTGTATTCATGCGTCACCAAATTTTAGAACCGGTGTAGGCTTCTTTATAAAAGTTTCCGATTCCGACTACATCAAAATTGAAAAGAACAGAGTTAATATAATAAACAAAGTGAATAAAAGAGGTCATGTGGAATTTACAACTTTGCCGCTTACGAAAAAAAACATACGTCTTAATACCCTGATAACAGAAATTGAAACACTGTCGGAGAGCTTAGTAACTGAGTTGCTATATACGCTTAGTAAATCAGTTGAAGAGCTTTTTATTCTCACAGAATCTTCCGCTCTACTGGACTTATTATGTTGTTTTGCTCACAATGCCATAGAATATAGTTATTGTTTTCCAAAGTTTTCTGACAAGATATTTGTAATAGATGCTCGAGACCCAGTAATGGAGAGGTTGATTAAGAATTACATTCGCAATGATATTTCTAGTACACTTTATAGTTCTAGATTACAAATAATAACAGGAGCAAATATGACAGGAAAAACTGCGTTTCTTAGACAAATCCCGTTGCTGTGCATAATGGCGCAAATGGGTTCCCCAATACCTGCTGAAAATGCAATTCTTCCTGTATATGAAAATATTCACACTAGGTTATGTAATGATAGTATGGAAATGACGTCATCAAACTTCTCTTTTGAGATGAAGGAAATGGCATACATTTTGGAATGTTGCAATGCAGAATCTCTAATTATAATCGATGAATTGGGAAGAGGAACAAGCATTGGTGATGGATTTGCAATTTCTCTTGCTATTCTTAACTATCTCAGCAAACTTGAATCTACTACGTTTATTTCAACTCATTTCGATGTAATACCCATGATTTTAAAGAACAAGCCTTCCATCAGGCATCTGCACATGAAAGCACAAATAATAAACTGTAATGAAATAATAAAAGAATATAAAGCAAGTTCTGTAGAGATAACTTCAATACCAAAAATCGACGGTATTTCATGCGTGAGGAATATATTTGATGAGGATATTATTAATTCTGCAATAAACATGAGTAAAGCAATTAACAAAATGGGGAGTTTTTCAACATTATCAGAACAACATTATCTTGGAAGCGCGACAACAAGCGAAACAGAGGTTTTGTTCATGAAAAAGATTATGGATATGGTAGAAATTCTAAAAGAATTAAATAAAAATAATGGAAATTTATCACATAATGCTATTAAAAGGATACAGTATGAATTTCTTGAAAATTTTACAAAATAATTTAGTTTATTTGAATAATATAGAATATAATTTAGCATGAAACAATTAAGCATAATTGAGCTTATTATCTACTCCTTGACAATTTTATAGACAAAATTAAATATCGACTCTAGATGAGGATGTAGGCTCTCTAAATCAACTTCTGCAGTGGCCTGTTTCCTCCCAGTCTCGCGGAAGACACTAACAAAATTAATAATTAGTGTAAAGAATAAGAAAAATGCCACCAATTGTGGACCAAATGGAGCATCTAAGTATTCACCACTCCTCTCACTTATAATTCTCAACCGTTTCTTATATGAGTAATAAGCCCAGAGAGCAGTAAAAACAGTAGCTGCAAAGTACAAGTCTGCCAAACGCTTCGCAAGATTCGGAAATTCAGCCCTTCTTACTGAGTTTGAAACTGAGAAAGTCAGGACACTTAACAAGACAGTAACACTTAACCACCTCAAGAAGGTACGCTCATTAGCAAGCCACACTTTGGCTTCGACTTTGACAGGTCCCGCATTTTTTATGTAGCTAGTCGGTTTTTTGACACCTTCGGGAAGTTCAATTTCTTCATCCTCTGAATCAACACCAATCAGTTTGGAGTCCCTGCCAGCACCTAGAATTTGTAAAAATGTCAATTTTGTTTTAGACTTCTTTTTTTGACCAGTTATTCTTTCTCTTGTAGACAGACTATCTTCTTCATCAGATGATTCATGATCCTCTAAGTCTGCTGCACGATTTGTTGAAACCTCGGTAACTGTTGAACTAGTAATATCTGAGCTTGGTTTCGGAACTCTAGACAGCCTCCTCATACTCTCAATCTTAGAATGTATGTCCTTCTGTTTATTAATTTTCTTCTGTTCATCTTCATATGCCTGTTTTGGATCTTTACGAATATCAGTGTTCAACTCTGGTAACCAGAATGGTAAAATATCAAGTTTTTCTTCTTCGGCAAACAGTGCAGCAACACCCTGAATATATAATGAAAATTTAGGGACTTCCTTTACCAAATGCGAGTTAGTTAGTTCCTGAATCCAGCCCCCGTGCTTTTTGGGCAATTGAACTCCTGAAAAGTCTATATTAGATTCAGATGACAAATTAGCCGATGGATTTTTGATTTTGATTTCCATCACTGAATATGGGAAGTTACTGTATTCGCCAGGACGTAAGAATCTCATAGGATTTGCTACATTGCTATCAATATCAGTTCTATGCCAGTTTTTTGGTTCTCTAATGGGCCTATCTTTATCGAATGCATCTTCTCTAATATAAGTAACGTTAGAATCGATTGTGATTCTAATTCTATCATCACCTGGAATTTGGAAAGCCGTTCTGGTATATGTAGTTCTAATGACAGGTTCTAGTTTTTCCTCCTGTATAAAATTTTGTATCTCATTGAAGTTATTTTCAATTTTTTTTAGTTCTGATTCTGGTGTGCCGCTCTCGGTTAATTTTCTTAACACATTTTTCTTGTAGGATTTGTCATCATCAAATATAAAACCGTTAATGAATTTCGGCTTCATTTGCAATCTGATTTCTTCGAAATCTGAATTTCCAGTATCCTTATTCTCGATAAACATTCTCTTCTCCAAAAAGATGTCAGGTTTTTCAGAGAACTTACCAGTCCACCTCAGTCTCAACGTAGGACAACAATTTCTCTTAAGTAGTTTATTATTGTACAACTCGAAAAACTCATTGTCAAAATATATAGTAGTGATGACAGGATCATATGATTTGTGCTGGTGATGAATACCGTCGAAGCTGTTGTCACTTGCTGAATCAGAAGATTGGACATGCTCATCTGCGTTCATTACCTCAGACTCGAATCTATCAATAAGATCATCATTTTCCGTAGGCGCTGAAGCATAGACTAACACAGGTAAGTGCCTTAAAATTCTGGTCTTGACCTCCATCAAATTATCTTTGTGGATCCAAAATTTGAAACTCTTGAAAGAAACATCTAATTCGTCATTCTCATTCACACTGGATAATTTTGGTACACTAGCAAGAGACGTAGACACAGTATTGAAATTAGATCTCAGGATGTTGTACAAGAAAGAAATGCGGTAAAGAATAGGTGAATACTCTTCAGAGTGGAATGGAAGTTCCTTTAACCTGACTTCAAGCAATGATCTCACTGAAGGATACTTGGGGTGTAATTTGTCGTGTTTCTTAACGATCTTCATGAATCCAGTATAATTCAATCTGGAGAAATTATCCAGCTCATTGGCTTCACTTAAACTCTCTTCCAAAGTCCTCTGAAACTGCTCTGTGTCCAGATTTTGCAACCCTTCCTCAGTGTTGGTACTCTTCTCCAAAGCATTGAGACGATCCATGATCTCATGGTATGTCTTCATCTGGAACGAGTAAACTTTCTCAAGTTCCTTATCCAACGCCTCAGTGAAACGGGACTCATCTGACTCACTCCAGCTCTTCCCGTCCTCCTTCAAAAGCTCCTTCAACCCATCATAGTCAATATAGGACTGCTTCCATGGCGGATAAACTTCGCTCGCCAACCGCACACCAAATAGCATCTTTCAACGTTCTCCCAACTGTTCCCTTTACCAATTAGCCGCTCCTCTCAGCAATGCTCAGCAGAAACAAGAATGGAATGCGCTCTTTATACTTGCAATTGCCCACTGTTATCATTGCAACTTGACTCCAGAAGGATTTAAAGGGAATTTGGTGCAGAAAGAGCCCCACGAGGGAGCCATCCAACTGCCCCGGGGTTGTGGATATTACACGTTGTAGATAGTGATACATCACGTATAAAGTATAGTTCAATAGTCAAATGGATTTAAGTATTCATAGTTTTGACCGCGATTATAATCAATGACTGTGTCTCTAGGATGCGTGCAAAACTTTTTCCATTATTACAAAACCCTCTGTGATAATTGGTTTTCCTTTTTGGACGGGGCGCTTTAATTGGAGCTCAGCAACAAGTTATTTACTGGAGAACAAGAGATATGATTCACAGTTGATGTTTACGACCACTACACCTAACCGAACATTTCCCCACCATAATTGTGGTAGTGAAGCATGTAATGTATATAAATGACACTTTTCAGATTAAGATACTTCGTGGAAGTATCTCGGGATTACATTTAAATTATACAGATTTGGATAGCTTATATTGGAAACAAAAATGGATAATGATATTTTACAACAACCAGAAATAAAAGTTAAAGATAATGAACTGAAAAAAGGGAGTCGGGTCGGTTTTAGTTATAATATCATTTTCTCTGAATTTCAAAAAATGTTTTATATTTTTCTGAATTTAAATTATTTTTCATACTAATTTCCTTAGAAGTGGGAATGAAATTATACATATTAACAACAGTTTGATTTGGAGGAATCGCCCTTGTTTGCGTTGATGCTGATATTACCGTCTTTACCACTGTTTGGACCAGATAGCTTATTACTGTCAATCTTCTCCTGTATTAATCTTGCCAAAGTGAAGAAAATCTCGTTGACGTTATCGTCATTCTTTGCACTGGACTCTATGAATGGCAGACCAAGTTCCTTGGCCAATGCTTCACCTTGCTCATATGTCACCACCCTAGTGTCCATATCACTCTTATTACCGACTAGCAGCAGTTGGGCTTCATCGTTTGCGTGCTCGTTAACAGTCTTGAACCATTGCTTAATGTTTGCAAACGTTCTCTCATCAGTCACATCATAAACTAGGATAATACCCATAGCACCACGGTAGTAAGCAGTGGTAATAGTTCTGAATCTCTCCTGTCCAGCAGTATCCCACAACTGTAACTTCACTTTCTTGCCGTTGATGTCAACAGTTTTTATTTTGAAATCAATACCAATGGTTGTAATGAAGGATGGGTTGAACTTGTCCTCGACAAAACGGACCAAAAGACATGACTTACCAACACCAGAGTCACCAATCAGTAAAATCTTCATAATAGAGTCATAACTCTTACCGTTGCCAGAAGATCCCGATACCGTTCTCAGAGCAGACATAATGTATCAAATAAAATATTCCTTTCTTTTCCCCTTGTATTAATCGTATCTCCCACACAAAAACAACAACAATGCCTAAAATACAAACAAATGTAAAGTCCAAATGTGTCAATATCCAGCTAGCAAATTCAATAGATCGGTTCTCGCGTATGCGTTCCTTATGTTCGATATCGTGATGTGCTTCTTATCTTAATAAAAGACAATGGTACACTATTCAATGTGCAAGAAGAAAAGCTCTATCAATGTACTACTAAATTAACTTTGTTTGGATTATGAGCTGATACTATCACATACCATCACACTCGCATCGAATTGCTGTCACTATGGGGCAAACTTCGTCAATCCCTTTCTTTCTGTCGGCATTCACTTAGTAAAACCAATTTTTCTGTTACTCGTATAAGACGATACTATTATAGATGCTATAAATGTCATAGTAGCTATATGCATGTATATATACATCTGCAAATGACTGTTTGTTCTGAGTAGCTCAGTTTCTTAAGTAAAAATGGAGTTATATAGTACTATGCGTAATAGCTCTTCCACAGAACACCTTCTAAGTCTTCTAGCTCATCGTAAGTGAATGCTTCTCTGTCGAACTGCCAGGTGTCTGCCCTGACTTTCTTGAAGTTGCTCAGTGTTTCCTTAGCGGTAGAGCCTGCCATTCCTGATGTCCTGGCCCAAGAGGCTAGTATACTGACCTGGGCGGGGATCCATTTAGGCAATGGGAACGCGTATGGGAATGCAGATACTATGGCACTCAAGCCAAGGACACTACCGTGGACATTAATGTCATTTCTGGAGAGTTCCTTCTTTTCTTTGTAGCTGTGATTTTCCAATTGGTCATCAAATTTAGAGATAAGCCTTTCAAGTTGCTTGCGGTCCGCAAGGTTGTGAACAATACCTGATAGAACTTTCCCGGCAGTTGTTCTTATCTCGATGGATTGGGAGTTGTACAGATGACCAACCACAAAGTCAAGTATCTTCTTTTTGTCCTCTTTTGAAAGCTGTAACAACTGCAGAGATTCAAAATGCTCTACAAACGTTAACTGCAACTTAATTTGGTTTGTTGTGTGAAGATACTCATCACTGCAAATAATATCAACTATATCTCCAAGAATTCTGTGCCCAACTGGAACAAAGGCTAATCTCATAAAAATCTTTGAAGGATCTATTCCAGCCAGGAAGCACATCTCCTTATTTTTCATCAGTAGCGCTAAGAATGGCACGATATAACCAAATAGATATGGAATCAATAAAATTTTATTTGGTCCACGCAACATTTCCGTCATCCAGTAGATTACAGTTGAGGTTAGATAGAAATATCTGGTCTTCAGAACCTCTTGTGGAGTCATTTTGTCATCAAGTTTTGCCGCCTCTGAAAATACGTCTGAAAATATTTTCTTAATAATATCATCAATGTACTTTGGGACTCTTTTCAATTGGAGATTTAGACCATCTGTCGATTTATCCTTTTGATTTAAAAGCAGATAAGTCGATTCGTAGCCTGGATTGGATACGTTTTGTATTATAGTTGAAAAGGTTTTCCCAATGGCAGATCTAACCTGATCATATTGGTGATCAAATGCCAAATATGAAAAATCAGAACAAATACTAGGCATTCTATACTCAAGTCCCATCAAAATACCTCTCCACATATATATTCTAGAAGACTGATAAAATGCAGAGTCAATATCTTTCAAATTCGACATATTTGAGAAATGCTTGTAAAATGGTTCACAGCGCCTGATATCCACTACTGCTGGTAGCCACCAAGTTATTGTGGACCACACTTCAAATGCATCATGGTTTAGATCGTTAACCAAACATTCTGGCAAGAACTCATCTAGAAACACATCTCTATCTTTTTTCTCTACTTCAGTCATGAATTTACTTCCAGAAACAAGAGCACCAAAAATCTCAGCAGACATGATCATGGATGCTTTACTGTCTCTTTTGTAAAACTCTCTACAAAGCCCACAAATATCACATATTTTCAAATCACAGAGTTCATCACTGATTAGTAACAATACTAGTACAAAGAAAGAAACATTACTGCTACTGAATACATTTTTAGATTCATTATCCTCAACAAAACCGTGACATAATTCCCTTAACAAGTCAACACTTAAATATTTTCCAAAATCTGACAATATGCCCTCCTCATTTTCACGTAAGTTTATAGGATATTTGCTAGTTTTAACCACATACATGCTGCTGCCCCAAGATAGCCAACCAACAAAACATTTCGCATCAATGAAATAGTTAGAATCCTTAAAGTTAGTCATTTCTTTTGAAAAGCTTTGAGAAAATGTTGGATCAGATGTTTCTATCTTAGTCATATATCCTGGAAGAAACGAGGTTTTATAAGCATTCATAGTATCATAATTATAATCAGAGAGTGATAGAATTCTATTTGCAATCATAATGAGAGATTTAATAGTTAGATGAGTAACTTTTGGATGATTCAAACTCAATTGATCAAATATAACTTTTATAGTATCTCTCTCTGGAACCATCTCCATACTTGATTGAAGTTTAGTTAAAAATCTAACCAATAATAAGGAGCGCTTCCAACTATATCCTTGATTATTTCCCAAAACCTTTGACATACTGTTCTGTAGATGAGTGATAATCCTGTAATAGTCTTTTCTTTTTTTGGATTTTGCCGACAGAACTGCCTCTACCTGAATAGAGATATGAGGATCTGGTGGTCTAATTGATGAGCCTGTTGTTTCGTCTAGCAAACAAATACTCGACGGTAGTTTCAGACCGGAAATCAAATCGTCTAATATAGATTCAGCTAGTGTACCAACGTCATATTCATCAATATCAAGACATTTAACCAAATTAATGAAGACAGTTTCGATATTTTTGTAATCAGAAAATAGTTTTTTATTTATTTTTTTGATCCTCAAAATTTGAAGCAAAACAGCCAGCTGTTTAAATTCAGATGCCTTTAGTGCAACATGAATTTCCGTTAATAATTTCTTCATAATGATAGAGTAAGAACCAATAATCTGCTTCATACAATGCACCATTGTACCTTGGGCTGGTTTATTAATGTCGGGATATATAGACATTGCCAAATCCAAGACATCTCTTAAAAGTTGAACCTCAATTTTAGATGGTTTTCTGTTTGTAGATCTAAGTAAAACCCTGTTTTGATGAAATACATCCGCTCTCACAGCTAAGAATGTTCGAGTATACGGTTCATCTAAATGAGCAAGATATTGGATATTTTCAATAAAATCTAAGCTTAGAAACGCTGTTGGGTCCTCATTAAATACTGTTTCTTGGCCGACATCCGTAAACCATACTTTGATAGCATGTAGTAAAATTTGAAATAGGTATGTGTTATTTTCAGCATTTTTGACCAAAAATTTGAGAACTTTATGCAAAGTAAGTCCCACTTTTGATCTAATTTTATGTACTTTGAAATAACCAGGGTTTCTAAACTTATCAGTCACCGAGGATCCATAGTGATAGTTGTACTGGAACATATCGAGCTCTCTAAATGCAACACCTGCATTTATGGAGGAGGTAAAATCATTATGGAAGCCAGGCACAGGAGTGGATACCCCAGATGGCGCTTCAGAAGTCTGATCATCTAAAATCAATTCGGGATCGTCATCTCTTATTTCAATTGTATCTGAATGCTCATTTCTTTCATCGTCGGAATCTTTGTATGAAATATATTCATCATCACCCTTATCAGACCTGATCTGTTCTAAGTCAATATCCAACTCTTCAGAATCGCAGTTGCTATCCCTTATCTGTTTTAGCAAGAGTAACGTTTCTCCATAAGAAAATCCCTTCGATTCATTTACTTTATTTTTGTTAAAATCAGGATCAAACAATAAACTAGCCCCAGACAAACAATGAGTTAAGAGTAATAGATACTTTTCAATTTCATCTTTATAACCTTTGCTCTTATTTGCACCGTTTATGATTTCATCCAGCTTTGTGAACGCCAGATTAGTATACTTCTCTATGACCATAAGTGCCAACTCAACTTCCATATCAGTTGGTACATGCCATTTGATGTTCAAGTTTTCTTCTTCATATTTTTTATCAGAAAACTGCAATCCACCCCACCTTTTAATATCAGGTATAGCAGAAGATTCGGGAAATAATCTGGTATCAACTACTTCTGTCGCAATCAAAGTGAACAACATATTGTGAAGGATGATAGATGTCAAAACGTCAATGGGAGGGTTTGTAATGTTCTCGTAAATGAAATCCAGAAAATCCATAATATCATTTGATAGATCTAGTGTGGTCGCGTGAGTCTGTCTTAAGACATCGTTCAATGCTGTTAAGTATAATACCAACTTTACATCTCTAGCTTGAACTTCCGTTGAACTTCTTAGTGATCCTGCTCCTTTTTCTATTTGATCCTTGATATGATAAACCAACATCGGAACAAGAGATTTCGCTAAAGAACTATCTCTCCTTACAAACGCTGCCAATGGTATTGTGATAAGTTCGTGATGCGGTTCATTACCTTTAAAATTCTCATTTGTCCAAAATTTATCGGAATAGAATTTAAAAAACTTCTCAAACATTTCATTATCCATACTTTCCTGCATTATTATCGTCGTTTGATTCATTTTGGTTACCAAAGAACCTTCAATATCTACGTCAACAAAATCATAAAGTTTATCAACAAAGACCTTTATCATAGTTTCAAATATTGTAGTGGAGGCTCTGAAAGCATTTAAGAGTACTTCTTCATCAACTTTGAAATCTTGAGTGTCATTTAGTTTCATATGATAGTAATGCTCTGTCAGGAACGGCAAAGTTGTAGACTCAAATGTCATAAATTCATCCTTGCTTACCAGATTTTTTATCGGCACAAAACAAAATACTGTTGCAAGTGCATTCACAATTTGCCCAGTTAATTCAATATCATTAGTGTCTAATTTAGAGACCAAGTTAGAAATAATATTTGTAACGTGAATACGGTACAGACTATCTTCAACCATGTATCTAACTGTTCTTGTAAATTGCTTCAGCGAGGAAATAATTCTATGTCTAGAATTTACATATTCTCCCGCTAACGCATCATTTAGATCATTGATTATCTTGTTGAAGATCAAGTGCCTATTCTTAGGATTCAAATCCAACAAGTATGCCAAGCATGAAATATAATAGTTCGATACATCTGAACTCTTATTTTGAGATCCAATATTAATAATATTCAACAATGAATCTGTAAGTTTCACATGACAGTAAGGCGTTAAACAAAACTCAGTATGAAAATTAGCAGCCTTCTCTTCACTATATCTTGCATGATACATTTTCACAAAACTGTGAATAAATTTGGCTATAGGCGAGGTCCAAAAGCCAGTATTTGAAGGATGAACAAAAGTTTCAATAGCACTGGTCAATTCATCAAGTTTCTCAAAAAACTCATCTGCAAATTTACCATTAATAGAATGAATGAAAGGCCTTGCAGTTCTAGTATATGAATGAATCTGACCGTCACTTCTCAAATGACCCTGTAGCCTATTAAACATGAAATTAAGCTGATCCTCAGTAAAAATGCCAAACTTTCCAAAATTGATATAATCTGTTTTCCAGGAGCCATCTTCTTTTAACAGTCTGACATGTGCATCCTCTGAAACCATACCTGTCAAATCGTACATATGGGTATCAATTGCAACATTTGCGCTGACTGATCCCCATAAACTAAAACATAAGGAGAAATAGTCCGTTATTTTTGCCTTGTCATTATAATGGAAAGGAACAGATGATGATAGTATTGGTAGAACTGCAGACATGGTTGAGGGTGCTAAATTAGATAACAATTTTTTCATTATATTCTCAAGAATGGTGTCGTCTGATTCATCAAAAAAAGGTCTACAGGATAGAGACAGTCTCAACAGAAGTCGGAAAAATTGCAAGTCTTCTTTGGAGGACAGATCATATCTGCAATAATCAGAGTCTGGGTATGGAAGAAATTCCCATAGCAAATCGTATAATGCTTTGTAATCTAGAACCATACCATCCTCTTTTAACATCACAGTAAAATCAGTCCCTTGATCGTCTGTATCTACTAACGCTTCAAACATTTCAACAAACATCTTTCGATGGATATTCTGACCTTGACATAAAGAAACGTAATAGTATACAGTGGCAAGTGCCTTCCTCAGATGTACAGGAAAATCAAACTGCAGACAATTTTTTAGCTCGTTAGTCCAGTGATTGATATTTATGATAGTCGCAGAGCTGGCTGTGATCTTACCACTGCCAGGTCTATCAATATCAGAATATATGCTTTCGCCATAGAACTCACCTTGAATGTCATCGTCATCTAGCTGATCTGTAGTATAGCCGGCATCTTCAACATGAACAGTGTCTCCAGAAAGTCGAAACATGTCCGTTTTCATCGCCAAGTCATCAACAGAACCCTTGAATTCAGCCAAATCCTTACTTGAGATCGAGATCAGCCCTTCAATATCTAGGGACTTAATCGCAATGTAAAGATTAACGATGACATGACATAGGTATTTAGCTTGGTCCAAGTGAGACTCGACATTATATGGCAGATAATCTGCGATAATGAACTTGGGCTTCACTTTTCTGCTGTACCATCTGGAATCCGGGTCATATATATTCTCCCTGTGGAGCCTTTCATCTGTCACATAGTCCAGCCCATAAGCCTCTAACCTCTGTGACATTACTTTCTCAGAATCCATCCCATTGAAGCTTCTTTCATCGAGCAAAGTAGGTGTCTCAGACCTCGCCCGCAGGTTCCGAGCAGCAGCAGCCAACATCCCACCACGCGGGGATTTGATCCGATTCCGAACATCACCACCAGAAGCTGGCCTCTGTGGCGTTTCCATAATCTTCATCTGCGCCAATGCCCCCTTTTTGGAAGGCACCGGAGCATGTATATTGTCAGTCATCCTACTTAATTTCTTTTCTCTAACAACGGTGCAAGTTAATTACTATGCGTCTTTGAAAAGTTCTTTAAAGAGACCGCTATTACGACAGAATAGAATTGAGTAGTACCAAGTCCCACTTATATATAGTCCCTTTGTCAATGAACTGCAAAAAAAATTAAAACTGGGGTGAGCCATCGCTAAATTTCAGAAACCAATCCACTAATAGGCAAGACCCTTAAAAAAACTGCAAAATAGCTGGTAGATCAACCCATTCTTAGTGGAGCCCGCTGTGCAGTGTTTTCTTCATGTGAGTGCTCCCTTTACTATATGGGGGGGGTGGCGTTGTCTCAGAAAGTGCCGTAGAGAATTAGGGAGATTCTACCTTTAAATAGAGAACAATGGACGTGCTGCATGACTCCCGCTACTGGTGGTATAGACCAGATGTTATTTACACATCAAAGCCAAATGCTGTTTGTCTCAATGTGACGCTTCAAAACAATTTTTACCCTTGATAATATTTTTTTTAGCTAACAATTAATATATATTTCTTTGCCTATGTAGCATATTGGTTCAGGTCCAGAGTAACTATCTTAGAACTGTTTTCCTGTTGCTGTCTGAACACACCCACTAAGGCGTCTGATTTCTCAAACATAGTGTTTTTTAGAGAGATGACGATGAATTGCAGGTCCGGGTTGCCATGTCTGCGAATGTATGCTGCTATGCGTTGTACGTTTGATATATCTAATGCTGCGTCTACCTCGTCCAGAATGAAGAATGGACTTGGATTGTATGAGTTAATGGCAAATAACAGAGCCAGAGCAGCCACGGTCTTCTCACCACCAGATAAGTACTCCATATCTTTAAAACGTTTCATAGGTGGCGTGGCATGGTAACGAATTCCAGCATTGAAGGGTTCGTCTTCATCTTCAATCGTCATAGATGCACTACCTCCTCCCAGGATCGAGGTGGAATTCACATTCCTGGTTAACTCACTATATATGGCATCTAGGTGCTCGTTGATCTTTTCAAAGGCATTTTCAAAGAGCTCTTTCCTCTTTTGCTTAACTTTCAAAAACTCATCAAATACCTTTCTCTCTTCTGTCTTCAATCCTTCTGTCTCCTTATCCACTTCGTCAAACCTAGACTTGGCGTCATCAAATCTCTCAACAGCTCTCGCATTGGGCTGAAGCTCCTCTAGAACATCATCTATGTCTCTAATTTGATTATTAAGATCTTGCTTCACAGCAGCACTAGTTGCCTCCTTATACTTTCTCGGTAACTTGGAGAAATCAATTTCAATTTTTTTGGCAATTTCAATAGCCTCATCGTCAACTTTCGAAGCAGGTAATTCTTCCAAACCGACTTCTGATACAACTGGGACAATAATACCTGAAACTTGACAGTTCTTGAGAATACTCATTTTCTCGAGATCTAATCTTGTTATATCATCCTTGATCTCGTTTCTATCACTCTCAATTGATGCTAGCCTATTATTATATTCTGAAATAATGTCTTCAGTGGCTGACGCATCTTTCTGCTTCGAATCAAACGCAGCCTTAATTGATTTCAATTCTTCATTCTTACCATCTAATTCGCCCTCAAGAGTTTCGATAGACAATTTTATACTCTTCTCTTGATCGACTAACTCATTGAGTTCATGTTGCACAGAGTTCTTTGTTTCTTGAACATTTTGTAAACGATCCTTGGTGGCATTGCACCTTCCTGTTTCGAACTCAACTTTGTTCTCCAGGTTGAGTATTTGCTTTTGCAAAATTTGCAACTCTTTGGTTTGCTTTCTTATCATTTCCCCCGTATGTGATTCATAATCCTTCATTGTAAAGCCCACCTTCTCAGTTAGTCTAGCAAAACATTTTTCCTGTAGAGCTTCTCTCTTTGTATTCCAATCTCTTATCTCATCTTCAAGACCAGATATTTTATTCTCCAGATCTTTCACTTGAGGAATGAACTCCCTATCAATAAGGTTGTTATGATGATTAATCTCCGTTTCAGTTTCTTCAACAGCTCTCTTAGTTTGGGTTATCTGGGTACGAATATATGAAATCTCAGAGGTCAGTGATGATAAAGAGATTTCTAATTCACGTGCTATTAAAGTAGATTGTCTGCTCTTATTTGCCGCCTCTTCCACATCAACAATCAACTTGTCCTTCAAATCCAACAAGCTTTGGTATTCATCTTTGTCCCATCTATTAGCACTGTCACTAGTTATACCACCAGTCATTAAACCTGTTTTATTAATCAAAGCACCATCAAGTGTCACGATCTTTACATTTGCATTCTTATTCCATTTCAGATCTCTAGCTATGTCCAAGTTATCACAAATGATAGTATCGGAACAAACATAATACATGGCACGTACCAAATCATCTTTATATTCAACAGTATTAATTGCCAATGTATACGTTTCAGATTCTGGTACCGGCATTCGGGGTGTAGCAGCATCAATTGTATCCAGCGGGATAAAGGATATTACACCAGCTCTCTGCTTTTTCAAGAACGAAATACACTCCTGAGCAACAGAGAGACTATCTACAATAACAGAGTCAAAATTCTTACCTAATACGGTTGAAACAGCTAGCTTGTATTTATCTCTCTTGGGTTTGCAAAGTTCATGAACAAGACCTCTAACACCAGGGAAGAATCGTTTTAACATTGCAACATTCTCACGCAACTTTCTCTCTTTATTAGATTCTCTTTGTGTGGCATTTAAATCATCAAGCTTAACTAAAGTATCTCTTAACTTATGGTTTAAGTCAAACTCCTTATTATTCCAATACTCAATATCCTTCTGAGTCTTTCTAAGTTCGTCCAATTTATGGGAGTGAAGATCGTTCTTTTCATTCAGTAAGAGTGTGCTGTCTCTAATCTTGGCATCTTGTTCCTCTTTTTTAGTCACTAGTTCATCTTCTATTCTTTGCTTAGATATCTCTACTTTGTCATTAATGATTTTTAGATCAGCAGTAATCTCTTCTTTCTTGTTATCCAAAAGATTTAAAGTGTCTTCAATTTCGATACCACCATTATTCAAGTATTCTCCTTTCAACTCATCATATAATTTTAGGTCATCTTCGCTCAGGGTGAATTTGTTGTTATTCTTTGATTTTGAAAGAATTTCTTGTTCAAAAGCATTTTTGGAATCTGTCACAACCTTCAATTGATGCTTATATTTCTCTAGATTTGCCTCTTCACGTTCAAGATCTTTTTGTAACGAATCAACTCTTTTGTCAAGATTTTTTAGTCGATTAATGGAAGCATTTTGAGGTATCTTGACAACTTTCAGATCAGACTCAGCCTTTTCCTTTTCCTTACTTATTGACCTTATGTGATTCTTCTTTTTTGTTAACAAAACAGCTTCTTTACTGAGAGCCTTCTTAAATACTTCTAGATTCTTCTCTTCGGCCTCTAACTTCTCTCTAATTACATCGACATCGTTTTGCGATTCCTCAAGTTTCTGTAAACACTGATATCGTTCATCTTCCATATGATATAGTTGCCATAAAGAGAGATTAGTCTGAACCCTTTTCTTCTTTTGAACATATTTCCTGTACTCTTCATCTCTGCTCATACCTTCTTTATAGGTCTTCAATTCAGCGTGGATCCTCCTTCTTTTCTTAATAGATTCTGTAGATGCCTGGCAGATCTTATCATATTGATCTTTTAGCTCTTCATATTCCTTTTTATACTGCATAGATCCTGATACTTCCTCAATCAACTTCGTAAGACCCAAGGGTGATTGGGAAGCAATCTGTTCAACATCACCTTGAAATACCAAAAAGTTCTTCGCTTTAATCAATATATTCTGGGATTCTAAAAATTGTGAGTACTCCTTGTAAGTGACAGTATTTCCGTCCAGTTTGTAAGAAGTATCTCCAAGTCTTGATATTAAGCGCATTAACTCGACTACTTTCCCGTCGTATTCATAAAAGGCCTTTACATAGGCAGTACGGTTCCCGTTTTCATCATTGTCTGCCCCAGTGGGTGTATTTTCCCTCGATATTATATCTCTGTATATTAAATCTTTCAAGGCGCTTGATCTCAGACTACTACTGCGAATACCTAGCACAAATGATATCGCATCCATCAAATTGGACTTACCAGAACCATTGGGACCGATAATACTAGTAAAATTCGAATCACCAAAATCAACATTTACAGTACCTTTGTAGGACTTGAAGTTGTATAACTCCAGACCAACTAATCTTCCCATAATTTTTGTTGCCTTAGCTTTGCAGATTTCTTGAGTTAACAATTTCTGGATTGAAAAGAGTTACTGACTAGAACACTAAATAAACATAAATAGCAACAACGTAATGTCTTATAATTTAGTTTTGGCGGCTAATCAGTTGTGATCCAACCATCGACACGATAATTGAAAGTAAGTGGATCTAAGGCAGTTGTCGGTGTTATTGCCAGAACATGCTTCGAAATCAAACACCAAACTATTTACGCGTATCATATTTTTCCCATCAAAAGTTCGCGTTTTTACTTCCGGGTAACTGCTGTATCACATGACTGGGTTTGGAACAGATTGAACTACACCACATGGACCTTGCAAAATGTATAGCAGTTCAAGGATTACCAAGTTCGTTGCTATAATGATAGCCTTAATTACCTTGATACTTACTTATTTATTTGATATTGTCCCCTTAACATGCTGCGAAAACTGACAGGTGTTTCAAACTCCGAGCACTAGCTATTCTGGCTGACATAACACAGAAATGGACACAATACCAGACATGCCCTTCAAACAGCAACTTCAGTGTAAATCCAACAGTTGCTAGTAAAAAAAGTTACTATTTAGTGTATCTGACTAATTTAGGGATCTCTAACTTAAAATGGAAGTTCATACTTCTTTACAATAGGACACAAAGCTAGGAATATCGCATTCTTTAAAAAAATTAAACAATGCACTGAAAAAGTATGCAAGAATATCTCTTCGGACCTTGTTTAGCAAAATATCGGAGTTTTTACTAAAGCAAAAGTCTCTAAATAGACTTGTGGATTTATTTTGTTAAGACAGCACTGTTTAGTTCAGTAATAAATTCTCGGAGCTTTTAGTATTACTACTTCTTCTGCAAAAATCCACTGTTATTTTTCCGAGTACTGTCGACTAGATATTGGTACAATTGTAGTGTTGCCATAAAACAAAAGGTATAGTAAACCAATTTATAGTGGGAATAATTGAAATAAATCACAAAACCACAAAGTCTGAATTATTTGCATAATTTAGAAAAATTACATATAAAAATAACGGTTCAAATGAGACATTTGAATTACATTTAGTTTTTAAACTACAGTTTTAAATATTTTTAAAATAGGTTATACTTCCAATTTATTTACTATAATAATTAAGAATCCCAGAATCTAAATAACTACTAATTAACCTAATAAACCAAGTTAGCTTCATATACAAAAAAAGAGGTACTCTAACAAGTTAAAGCATACACAAGAGAAGAAGACCAAAGAGAAACTCTCAAAATATAAAGTAGAAATAGCATAAGAACGCTACTTTTGGATTAATGTCTAAGACACCTCCGTACAAAACGGGGCGTGGAATTCACGATATTGACCATATTACTGCTCACGCAGTATACCTATTGAAGAATGAGGTTGACAGAATTATCAGCTATAATCCTTGGTCAATATCATGGGTTAGAGAACACGATAAACCTATTCTTTCAAGAGGCGCTAAAAAATTTATTGACTTTAAGAACAGTGATTTATTTTCATGCGATGTTGACTATAGGAATATTGTTCAGAAGGAAGCACATAAGTTAAGCAAAGTCATCTATAGACCTCCAGAAGATATTTGTAGCTCTGACTCAGACGCAAGACATTTGATACTAAATCAAAGAGAGGCTGAGAAGTGGATACAAATCGCAAACGCTACAACTTTAATCGCTTATTCTGTCGTAAATGCACACTTGGACCTTGAAGTGGACCCACAAGTGAGAACCACTCCACTTCCAGATGTTAAGTCTTCCATATCAAAGAGAAAAAGAACAACGAATCATTCAAAGTCAAAGGAAGGAAGTTCTTCTTCTGACACTGTTACTACTGCTGCTACATCCACAGTTGCTCCTACTGCTCCTACTGCTCCTACTGCTGCAACACCCACCAATATCCCCCCCAATCCTACCGTTACTGATCGTACAGTTACTGCACTTGCAGTATTGTTAGCTTTTACTGCTGCTGCTCAAGGGCACCCTATTTTAGATGGCGTTAACACAAATTTCAAAATTAATGACTCTGCGGCAGAAAGTGCTGACAAAGAACTTGGTGATTCTTCAGAGGAAAATGGTCAAATATTTTCTTCTGACAATAAAGAAAGCTCTACTTCTATTTCTCCAGAGGGCACTCCACCAAATCCAACTCTTGTTGGAAAGCTACCAGTTGAAATACAAGCGCCGGAAGTAACAGTGCGTAGGCCAAGGACTACAAAGGCTGAACTTCAAACTAAAAAATTTGATGCTAGCATTACCTTAGAGGCTTATTTGGTGAGAGGTTTATCTTTACCACCTGAACCCTTAGCTGCTTTTGTTGGGATCAGTTACTATCATTTCCATAGAAGTTTCAAAAAATATGTTGGTGTTACGATTGCCGACTATACCAGCCTATGCAGAAAAGTCTTCTATCACAATCAAGATGAGATGGAAAACTATAGGAATTACAAAGTTGGTTTTAATATGATAACCTTGGGCCATGGCAGTGTTGTCAGGGATAATAAATTCCTAAGGGATGAATTATTCACCAGTATTCCAGACAGAAATATTGAAAAGACTGATGTTCTTCTATCAGAATGCATTATAGCTTTAGATGTCAAGAAAGATAATGATGGCAATATCATCAAAACCAAGAAAGGTGAAGAAAATGATAGAGGAAACAAAAGTAGAAGAGATCGCCGTCAAAATATAAACAAGCTCTCTGTAACACTCAGAAAATTCAGTGCCGCCGACCTTTTCCTGGGTAAACACCGTAAGGATAAACATGGGTATAACAGTGATCTTTCATCAAGTCGTTACCTTTTTGATAGTAATACTATTGGGAGAACAGTGGACCCACAACCCATTAACACCTTTGTGGCAACCAACTCTGAAGACACAAACAAAAATCCTAAAGAAAATTCTGGAGTGAAAAGCACTACTCAGAATCATGTTGATTCCAAAGACAACACTACTATAGCCATTTCTGAGAATAGTAACGTTATGGTTACTTCAAGTGTTGCTTTAAACTCTCATAACGACTCCACTGTACTATCGGAAGATGATAATGATAGATTGGCGGATAAACACAATGAAACTGATACAGGGAAAGACAACTCAAAAGATGTCTCTTTAGAAACTATGAGGACAACTCAGACAGATAATATCAATCTTTCCTTAGTAGAAATTATGCCAACCTTCCCAAATAGTATTGCTTGCGAAAATAACAAATTGGATGGGCCATCTACTAAACCGTTAGCTGAACAGAATTTCATCTATTCACAAAGAGACCAGATTACCCCTCCTATTCTCAGTGTCAATAACTATTTTCTTCTACCTAGTAGTTGGGAAACCCCAAAGGATTTGATAAATTGCAACAATTCTGAACAAGGAATGGATAAAGCTTTGCTTGCTACTCCACCAAGTTCAACCGAGGCCCAAAACATTCCTCTCAATTCTTCAAGTAACGAATCAAATACAGAACAAGGTACTAGTTCAAATTCAAACTCTTTCAGAGAGTCTCCAAGCTTTGATGTTAGTGCAAATGAAGAGTTGATGGACTTCGATAGTCTTTTTGATTTCAGTATGCCATTTTTAGCTAACCAGGATTTCCTTCCTGAGGATTATATGAACTTGAATGAAAATGATCTTGATGCACTTAATGAAATCAATTTCAATTTAGACAATATTACTGAAAATAATGGAGACAATGACATTAATATGCATTTGGCAATTAATGAAAACGACGCAGATATCGACATTACGAACAAAATTCGAATTGAAGACATCTGGGAGGATCATGATATTACCCTCGTAGATGATTTTGTTAGCAATTCAGACCCTTTGACGTTAACATAAAATGTATCTGATTATTATTGATTCAATATATCTGACAAATGTTCAGACTACATCACATAAAAAAAAAGTTAAAAACTATAGAAATAATTAAAAAAACAAAAAAATGACAGTATTCTAACAAATTGTTTTACAGTATAATTGGAGCAATATTGTTAATATTTTGTTGAATGCTAATGGACCTCTACTGTTATAGGTTTATTATGAGTGGTTTAATCTGTATTAGTAGAGGAAAAAAAAAATAAAAAACACAAAACATAAAAAAAAAAGAAGTCCTTATGTAGCTCTTTTTTTTATTGGTCCGATCACTTAACCTACCACTCGGTAGTGATCTGGTCCATTATATAATTACTCTATAGTCCTTTAATAAATATCAATTTTATTTTCTATAAGCCTGTTCATCTATTACTTGGGAAATTATTAATATTATGATGATTTATTAAAAAAACACAGTATTGAAGGCATCAAAATTTTTAATGAATATTTTATAATACTCTATAATTTTCTATCTCAATATATATATACAACACCATCCGAGAGTTTTGTACAGACATTTTAATTTACAACTGAGTAACTAATTTCATTAAACTTATCACAATTTTGAATCGCGTGTTTGCAAGGGCATCGCCAAAAACAGAAATTAATAAGAGGATTAACAATGTAAACATGATTCTTTCGAAGATTTGTAATACCTGAATGAGATACACAACTAATGAAAAGAACTCTGGATAAAGTTTTGTCAGTGTTACTTACTTAAAAGGTCTGATGGGTCTGTCATGGAGTTTACATCTGACTTAGAACAAAGAAAACAGCAAGATAAAAGCAGCTCTAGTATATTTGCATCCTCTACCACCGAGAATGAGGTTAGTAGTTCTGATTCAGAGGGTATCAATGATGCTGTTGAGAGGTCTAGAATATCGGAAGATGAGCTCAAGAAGCTAGAGTTAATTGAGAAGAAGAACGAGTTGTTAGAGAAGAGAAATCAATTACTAACTGAAGTTAATCAATTGGAGAGAGAAAGTGTGGAAATGATAGATAAAGCAAATAAAACCATTGATAAGAATGCCTTGGATGTTTTAAATGACTTATTGTCTTTTTCTCAAAAACAATCACAAGACTTGGAAGTCAATAAGTTGATCAATGGAGAATCGCTGGAACGACTTAGCTCATCTGTAAATGTCCATGGTGACACATCTGTTGACGATGAGTTGAAGAATAAATATGACAGCTTACCATTACTCAATATGAAACTGAGACTGAAATATTTAAGCCAATATTTGTACAAGGATATTAAAATCATAATAACTTCAAACTCAAAGAATGAGGGCTCTAATGTTTCCTTAAATGTGGAACTATATTTTCAGCGTTTTGAAAATATAACTTTCTCAGTAACAATAAAAATTGTCTACGATGAAGTTAATGAGGTAATGAAAGATTTTACGATAATATCAGTTTCTGACCAAGTACGGCTTGCAGTGCAGCCGCTTTTGCAAGTTAGAAACCCTTCATTCTTCTTACTAGCATGCTTTGAATTTGATAAAATACGGCAAAGGAGATTCAAAATTCTGCGAAGACTGCGAGATAAGTTTATCAAGAGAGTGAAAACTTGTGAATTACCTCGATCAGGTGAGTATATCCTGCTGCACACACACGATTCTTTAAAAGAGCGTGATATTTCACTGAGAATAGACTTTCAGGTGTTCTTTGAAGCTAAAAAACTCTCATATTCTCCATTCCCAACATCCAGATTAACATATGAACTGAAAAAAAACGGAAAGAGAATGCTCGACAACATGGTAGAAAATATCGCCGATGGTCTAATCAAGGAGTATGGTGTTGAAAAAGGACTTGAGGAACTATGCAATGCCTGCTTGTTCGCTGACTTATACAAACATTAGTAGTGACAAGCAGAAACATTTATTGTCAAGCATGAGACAATTAACAAATACAAACAAAATTAATTGATACCATTACTATCTATATGTGATCACTCTTTCAGAATGTCACAATGTTAGCATGCTATGTATGGAAGAAGTACAGTTGTAATATTATTTATGCAAGTAAAAAGAAACGTCATGTATTTATAAAACACTTCCCAACAAATATGGGGACAATGAATAGTCATCTAAGCTCAAAGTTCAAATTGATATCACAGTATATCATTACCAGTCACCTCCGTCACCTCCGTCATAGTTACCATCATCGAAGCCATCATTGTAGCCTTGATCGTAACCGTTATCGTAGCCTCCACCGCCACCATAACCGTTGTCATAGCCACCAGGACCATTGTCATAGTAGTTGTTTTCCACTACTGTAGTGTCCTGGTCATGGTGGTGGTCGAAGGCATGAGAAATTGCTTCTGCACCAAGCACACCTACACCCGCACCTGCTAAACTACCGAAGAAAGCCTTCTTCCCTACACCACTACTGCTCTTTTGCTGGGCAACTGGTGCCTGCTGATAAACTGGTTGTGGCATTGGAGCACCGCCATAGACAGGCTGTTGTGGAGCATACATTGGCATTGGCATAGGTTGCTGTGGTGGGTACATGGGCATCGGTTGTTGTTGAGGCACTTGTGGCGAGTAGTATGGTTGAGGAGAGACTGGCGCTGGTGGTTGTGATCTGTATGTGGTCTGTGGTGGCGGCGCAGGCTGCGCTCTACGGGCTGAATGTGGAGGGGACACAGAGCCTCTGGCATACTCCTCTTTCGACTTATAGCTTGGAGGAGGCATCGGTGGCTTCGATATCTTGTTCCAGGTGGTACCCTCTGGCTCTTCCCATTGTGACCGCTTAGTTGCTAGGTACACATAGAACCAGGTCTGGTACTCATCATCAAACACTGCTTTCCAGCCTGAAGGAACGTTAGGAGGGTCGTCTTTACTCTGAGGCATTATTGAGATTGGTCTCGCTACCTTCCACAAGAGAAAAATTAATGGAGGGCGAATGTTATTATAAACATGATACTATATATATGCCCCACCCCATGCCCCTATACAATGAATAAGCCCTGATCGTCGATTCTACGGATCCATCGACGTTTGCGATTTGATAACGCAAGTGATTCCCCTACAACTACCGAGAAGGGACGAAAGTGATATGTTGTGCAGATCATTTTTACATAAGCTGACGACATCAGAAATTGATAGATTCTCTCTACCCTATCAGCCAACCTTGCTACAATGAGAGGCCTCCACATCCTCTTGAGTATTGCAAATGATGGACATCCCATTCATTACAGGAACCCTGCCCAGCTTACCACCGTGCGCAAAATACATAGCCTTCAAATAGAAATACATACAAACACATACCCCTAGTTAGACATAAAACTCTGGTAACACTTGGCAAGAATATACCACTACATATTGGCCTTAGTAATGGCCAGTTTATGCGATGAGCTGTGAATGCTTATATTCGTACCTACACACGTAGTGCCATTTCGGTGCCCAACTGGAAACTTTTCAGGAAGCGCAGTCTGTTTAAGGATCACATACAAGGCACTGTGCCGTCGAGTTTTAAAGGAAGACTATTACACAGTTCCTAAAGCAATTGTTGCAAATGATCAGCTCTTTATCTGTTTTCGAGGAGAAGTTTTATTACTACTACTGTCTGGTGCACATTCCGATCACAGTGCTTGTGGACTCCAGTGTTGCTGTTCCGGACAAGTGGGTCCTGCTGCCTGGGCTAGTGCAATGGCACATACGCCAGAACAACGACTTCCTGCTGCATGAGAAGCCCATGTGGCTGCAGCTGTTTGTGTGGTGGGAGCTAGTCTTCCAATTGCCGCTGTTCTTCTACTTCGCCCACCAGTTCAAGAAGATCTGGGCCCTCAGATCGAAAGATACCAAAAACGCCAAGGCAGAGCGGGCCACCACGAAGAAGTCCCTGTACTTGTGGCTCCGCGTATACGGGCTAAACGCCGCCCTAACCACCTGGATATGCATAGTCGTGATCCTCTATAGGGGCTACTACCCGTTTACGCTGGACGCATCCCGCATCGCAGGAACCAAGCTGGAAGTGAGGGACACCCTGGCCCTTATGGGCCTGTACTTGCCTACTTTCCTGCTCCCATTGCGCCTGTGTATGCTGCAACAGTGAGCATCCATACAGACCCTCCCATCCAGCACCGTAACCATGATTCAACTGGTTGGTCCATTATTCCCCATTCGCATCAACAATCCCCCGAATTTCGCGTTTGTACGGTACTTTCTAGGGGGAATCACCCTTTTCGCGTCCTTCGCTGCAGAAAAAGAAATTTGGCAACATGCTGGGCTTCGAGATGGCTGGGCATAGTGGACTGTGAGTGTTGGATGTGAGTGTTGGATGTGAGTGTTGGATGTGGCATTAGATATGGATGTGGACTAGGATGGCCATCGTTGCTTCTTTCCGATATATAATACACGTATGGACTTTTCGCCAATCCAATCTGTTGGTGGGATGGCGAGAGTGCGCTTTTCTATATAAGAAAGAAGTATTACAACGAGTATATATTTTAGAATAACAAGAACAGCAATACCATTGAATAGCGAAATGATGGAACAGTATGTGCCTCCCGGGAAGAGGCTGTTTCAAGCGAGGCATAGAGTGAGCAGGCGCGACTTGCAGCATTACGGGGAGACTGATTGGACCACGGTAAAGGATGAAGTGGTGAAGGATGATGACCTGTTGGGCTACGCGGTGCCCATTATCGATAACGGGGACCCTCGCATTGCCAGGCCGTTCAAGCAGGCGAAACAGCTGCCTTACAAGGCTAAAGCGGGCTCGCTGGCTGCTCCACTGGCTTACCCAGCTCAGAATAGAAGTGCGCTAAGCATAGATGGCACTGGGTCGCCGGCGTCCTCTACGTCGTCTATCTTCAGCGTACAGAACTCATGTCCTGAGGTTGGGGATAGGTATAGTAGCAGCACGATGGATTCACTGGTTGAAGGGCTGGACCCCACGCTGAAATTCAACATGCAACGTAACATCAGTGTAGACTCTCTGATCCAGGATAACAACAAGCGTATCTCAGAACACAGAGACTCACTGGCCCTCCTGAAAGAGTACGAGTACAACGAACGCAAAGAATCCAACAGGTCCAGTAAAGACTACTACCAAAGCGGAATAGATCGCATTGAACATGAAACGAAAAGAGAACTACGCAGATTACGTTACGAAAACAGAGCCTTGCTACAAAGAGAAGATGCCCTAGCAAAGGTATGGCGGTCGATTAGGAACTGCAAAGATGACGGAGCACTCTTGTTAGCACTCAGGAAACACCATGTCTACTGGTTCGGTATACCTTCCGATTTGAGACTGAAAGTGTACAAGTTGTGTCTGTATCAAGATGGCGTAGCACCACCGGTGCATTCTCTTGGTGCAGCTTTGTGCAAGAGACTCGGAGATGTTAATATAGTTAAGCAGATCATAGCCAATATAAACAAGGAAGTACCCTGGTTGCTGCGGATCAGCGGGACCGGGTCCAAGTCTCAGGATTCACGTACATCGCCATCTGAGAAGTCACAAGCCGCAGTGCTAGAGACGAAGATGTATGGCTCCTACCCTGGCCTATACTACCATCTCAAGGACAAACTACACCTGGATATATGTGAGCAATTCATGAAACCGTTGCTGCGTACTGTGCTTCTGCGCATCTTGTACCAGTGCCCTCACGATGTAGCCACGCTAGAGCTTCTGGACATCGTAGTGGTTTCAATGCACTACCACGAACTGCAAACGGTGCTCCTGGACCAAATGCTCAACGCAATACTGCAAGAGTGCCACTTCAAGTTCTTCCATGAATCCCTACACGCTATCAATAATGAGATCAAATCCACCGAGCTAGACGTCTTCAGGTTCCTGGAAACGCTGCGGAAACCACACGCTGAACATCTATAACTATGTAGCATCTACAATATAGCCACCCAACCTACCCAAACCAACTAATACACATCCCTAAAGATATTCTAAATCACATCAACTGAAATACTCTGCTGACCAATGAGCAACCGTATAATCCTCACACACAACATCACCATGTACGTCACAGCACTCCCACTCCGACACTTCGGCTTCCAAAGGGGTGGAGTCTGGCGGGCCCCCAGCAAGTGGGACCCGATGGAGTCAGACCTGGTGGTATATAAAGGGCAGGCTGCTTCTCCTGGGAGTTTCTGGTTCTTGGCGGCTAAGAACAGTGCCAAATACATTGAAGTACGTTGGGAATTCAGGAACTGCAAGGTACGCTATCAATTTGTGTAGCGGAGACTGATTAAATTGAAGTTCAACCGAAAGGGAAAAGATATAAAAGTTTTGAGAGAATGTTTAGAGCTGTGTCGAGACGTGGGTTTTCCTCCTCCAGCTATTTAGCTGCTATCAAGAAGCAGCACGATCTGGTAATCATCGGTGGTGGTCCAGGTGGTTATGTGGCCGCTATCAAGGCTGCGCAGCTAGGGTTGGACACTGCGTGTATCGAGAAGAGAGGCAGTCTGGGTGGTACCTGTTTGAATGTTGGTTGTATCCCATCCAAGGCTCTGTTGAACAACTCCCATTTGTACCACCAGATCAAGTCTGACACAAAGAACCGTGGTATTGATGTTAAGGGTGACGTTGAGATCAATGTTGAGCAATTCCAAAAGGCAAAGGACACTGTGGTTAAGCAATTGACTGGCGGTGTTGAGATGCTGTTCAAGAAGTATAAGGTCAACTACTACAAGGGTGTGGGTAGCTTTGAGAGTGAAAATAGCGTGAAAGTTACTCCAGTCGAAGGCATAAAGGGCACTGTCGAGGACGAAACCATTATCGAGGCAAAGAATATTATTATCGCCACTGGTTCTGAGGTGACTCCATTCCCAGGTATCAAGATTGATGAAGAGAGAATTGTTTCTTCGACTGGTGCATTGTCTCTAAAGGAAGTTCCAAAGAGATTGGCCGTTATCGGTGGTGGTATCATCGGGTTGGAAATGGGTTCTGTCTACAGCCGTTTAGGTTCTAAAGTCACTGTTTTAGAATTCCAACCAAAGATCGGTGCCTCAATGGACGGTGAAGTTGCCGCTACTTCTCAAAAATTCTTGAAGAAGCAAGGCTTTAACTTTAAACTATCCACTAAGGTCGTCTCTGCCGAAAGAAACGGTGATGTTGTCGACATTGTAGTGGAGGACACTAAGTCTGGTAAGACTGAAAATATCCAGGCCGATGTACTACTAGTGGCTGTCGGTAGAAGACCATACATTGAAGGTTTGGGCGCCGAGAAGCTTGGTCTAGAAGTCGACAAGAGAGGACGTCTAGTCATTGATGAACAATTCAGCACAAAGCACCCACACATCAAGGTTATTGGTGATGTTACATTCGGTCCTATGCTTGCACACAAGGCTGAAGAAGAAGGTATTGCTGCAGTAGAATATATCAAGAAAGGCCACGGCCATGTCAACTATGGTAACATCCCATCTGTCATGTACACACACCCAGAAGTTGCCTGGGTAGGTAAGACTGAGGAACAATTGACCGAAGAGGGTATCAAGTACAAGGTTGGTAAGTTCCCATTCATTGCCAACTCTAGAGCTAAGACCAACATGGAAACTGAAGGTTTCGTTAAGATCTTGATCGATGCTGAAACTGAACGTATGCTTGGTGCTCACATTATTGGTCCAAATGCTGGTGAAATGATTGCTGAAGCTGGTTTAGCTCTAGAATACGGTGCCTCAGCTGAAGATGTCGCAAGAGTATGCCATGCTCACCCAACTTTATCTGAAGCATTCAAGGAAGCTAACTTGGCCGCTTTCGACAAGCCAATCAACTTCTGATTCGTCCGTTTAAGGCTGTTTTATTTAAGAAAGAAGTGTAGCAAAGTAACCTTGGTCAACAAAAAAACTAAGGTATTTACATTTGCACAAATTATATTTTTTACCACTAATATTTTATATTCAGGCTTGATATTAAGAGGCATTATGCTCAATCCCGATATTATGTATATACAACTAACAGAAAAGTATCATTTTAACATGAACTAGAGACCTAATTAAGTTATGCATTTCCCAATTGTATAATTTACAAATTTTAAAAAAAGAAAATAATTATTCAATATTCTATTTTTTATGTCTAGCAGCTTTCATTTTCTTATAATGACCTTTCTTACCGCTCATTTTCTGTTCTTGTATTTGGCTGTATTTTCTCTTGAAATACTTATTTGTAGTGTCATCGGTCATTAGAGTTTCCAGCATAGTAGATTTACGTTGCTTATTGGTGAGTCTGCTGCTGTAAAATTCTGTCTTGTCTTCAACTATAGTACCGACAGAGAATCTGTCGGGAACCTTCCAACGGTCTTTCTTATAGTGTCTCTTCGGATCCAAAGCTGCACGATGCTTTATCAGCAGCAAGTCACGCTGTATCTCACGCTTGGCCTTGTCGTCAGGCTTAGGTAAAGTGAACCACTCCTCGCTTGTCTTCTTCTTTTGAGCATCCTTGATCATCTTCTCTCTCTTCCTCCTTTCTTCTTCGGTGAGTCCCATCTCATGCTTTTTAACTTCACCCTTCTTAGTCTGAGCGAGTGAATCAAACCCAGTCTCTAACTTCGGTAGTCGCCTTAGCTCTTTTTCTATCCTTAGAAACTCCTTCTCTTTGCTGTCCTCATCATCAAATATAACTTTGTCCTCATTCAACTCATCTACTTTCGTCTTCGAAGTACCGTTCTCCTTTGAAGAAACCTCTTTTAATTGCTCAAAAAGAGCATCTATCTCATCCATAATTACTAATAGCGACTATTTGCTTTTGCCGATGCTTAAGACACTGAATATCTCTCCAGCAATAGCCATATATAGTGCTATATAGTATAGCTCATCGCACCATTTAAGCTCATCGCATTTTTTCAAAATTTGTGAAATTTTTCAGAATTTTGCAACTTCGCAGTGATTTCCAAATTAATCAAATTGTACTGAACAACAAAGTTGACAATAGTGACCTTAAATTAGATGGTGCATTCATATTTGAGCAACCCATAACAAGGTGTACGTACTGTATATCAATTAGTGTATGATTGAAAGTTGAGCAAGACTAACTCTGGCGATGTCATATGAAGAGCTGATCAAGAACGATTTACAGTTGCAATATGCAAGGAATGCTGTGCGGTATTACAAGTCTAATACAGTCCCTGAGTTTCTCGAGAAAGATCCACACAAGAAATCGGTAATACAGCGTCTAAGCGATACAGTGAACTCTCAGGCTAGCAGTGTCAATGTGTCAAGAAATTCCACTCCTGCACCATCATTGGGACCCATGAGTACTGCTGGCAGTGCCTCAGCCAATACTACTAGCAACGGACCTGGTGGCAATGTTAGAAGACATATCATCAGTGTAGATGATTCGTTGAAGATAAATTATGAAATGGTTAAGAATGTTCCCGGAAATTTCCCGTCCCGCATCGGCATAAGGACACCTGATGAAATGGATATGCATGAAGAAGAGTTACAGGATAAACTGGCGTTGGAGAACGAGGCTAATACCGTCAAGACGAAAATATATAAACAGAAACTATTTGATGATAATGACACTGTGCTGGAATTGGTGGGAACCCAGTTGAGCCACTTCCAGGATCCTCACACACCTTCTGATCAAAGCAAACCAAGACTGTCTCTACGAGAGCAGTTAGAGTGCCTTCAGAAAATTCAAGATAATTTACTGCAGGACTATAAAGACAGTCAAAAGGAAGAAAAGAAATGGTTTGTGCTAAAAGAGCTGTTGCTGGAGGCCAACACAGAGCTTGATCTCTTCAGCTCGCAAGATTACCCAAATAAGGTAATTAACCTTGGAGATGGCGCCTCTACATCACAACATTCGGATACAGCTTTGGTATTTAACAGAAATAAAAGACAAAAGTTGTCAAACGGGAGTTACAGCAGCATATTTTGAACCTCAGAGAATATCTCGCATGTTCTGTAGCAAATACTGGCTCTTAGTCAGCATTTTAAACATAAACTATTAGTTTAGTTGTAATAATAGGAAGAAATTACATAAACGCTAAGTAACATATAACCTCAGATCAATGACGGATGAAAAGTATGCTCACTAATGGTAGGCGACATTTATAGAATTATAGATTTTTAAAGACAATCATTTATTGGACTATAATATTTATAGACATAGAGACTCAAATTATTTATTTAGAGATGATTGTTGATAAGGTATTGTGTAACTGATGCACAACTGTTCCGGACTAGGTTATGATGAGCCTGCATCAATAACCAATGGTGCAAACTAAAATAGAATGAGCATTATTTTGCTCTTATTGTTCATTATTGATCTCAGTCAAAAAACAGGAAAACTGGCATACATGAAAACAGTGAAAAAACGAACAAGCTAACGGAATAAAGGCCTCAGACTATAAATTTAGCTTCTTCTAAGTCATTCAATTTCAATTCAAGATATTACGATTCCGTTATATGCGTAAGCTTGCATGATGTATCCATATTTTGATTATTTCTCGGACTCCTGTGAGACTTGCTGTTTCTTTTTCTCCTTTTCTATTAGTTTCAACACCTTTCCAGAAGGAGAGTAAAACGGATTTCTCTTCACCTTAGTTGCACTATAGTTCATGGAAGAAGAAGAAGATGGTGGAGTTTGTAAGGTCGAGGGGCCATAGCTACGACTTCTAGATCTTTGTAGTACCGACTGGGCAGACTTACTTCTCTTCATTTGTAGATTCTTGGATCGAAGGCTTAAAAATGTCGACAGATCAATATTTTCCTCGCTGTTCTCATTAATTTTACCTGCATGTTTCTGTTCTATCTGATAGTTTTTTAGGGCATTCCCTCTGGGCTCGCTGTTGTCACCAGTGACACTATGCTCTTTCGAATTGGTAACCACATCTGGAGGTGTCATGAGCTGTAACCCATCACCAATGTTCAAAAATTCATCAAAATCCACTAACTCGGTGTCCCCACTCGAGTTCCCGTGAAACTCCGTCTCAAGAACAGAAAGGTCCTCCATAGAGAACGAATAATCCAGCAAATCTTTCATTATAATCCTTTTATGAATTGTGTCTCCGCCAAGCGTCTGTTATTATCTCAGGAGAAATGCTAGTTGAACCGCAAACCAACCGTTTTCCTTCAAAATTGGCAGCCAAGAGCAGCTATTGTTGAAATTCTTATACTGCAGATATACCCAGGTCAACCTAACAGTGGTAGATCAATCAGATTGTGAAAGTGAACTTTGTTAATTATATATGTTTTCATGATTTCAAAGCACTCAATGGAAGGGATTTTCGCTTTTTTTTCTACGTTGACGCGTCGCTGAGGACACGAGCGAGTCGTCATGATACCGTTGACTCAAATAGGCTAAAATAAGTTAAAGTTTACTATATTTGCCATTGGTTGGTCGGATGAAAGTATGGTAAAATATGTAAATCTTATATCATCATAGATCTATATGTTTCACTTCGTTGTCCTTCAAAGTTTTAAACCTGTAGTGGGCATCCTTGAGGATGTGAGCTAGGTTTTTCCTCTGCTTCAAGAAGTTGAAGTAAGTATCCACTTCTCCGTATCTCGTAGTTGTGAAGTTGAGGATGCCGCCTGCATTGGCGCGATTGAGAAGCTCTAGATGTTCAAGCATGTTATCGTAAGGCGTAGCTCGAGGTATCGTCACTGAGCCTCTGTAGATATTGTAGTGTCGTTTCAGTTTCCAGAACTGCTGGCCTTGCTCCAAGTGATGCTGCCTTGACAAATCTTTATCTAAAGTTATGGTGTTTGGAGCATCTTTACCTATAGCTTCATAATGTGTAAGAAAGAAGCTGTCTCTCTGTCTGATCTGTAATTCAAGATTCATTGTGGTTGCCTTGTCAAAGGATAGCCCTTGATATCTTTTCTTCTTCTCTGAAGTATTAGGCGTGAACCTTTTAAAGAAATGGGGCAGCGAGATTGTTCCAATAGATTCTAATGTAGTAAGCTGATCCCTTGATTTTTCGAATTTAGTGCGATCATTAAATATTGATAAGGAGTCGTCTTCGATCTCGTTATTAACCGATACAACGTCATCATAGCCACATGCTCTTACTCTATTACTACTATTTTGATTTAGTTGGACACCACAATCTCTACAAAGCATATCCTGAGCCTCTTCATATTCATCAGAACTAGTTGTTACTGAACTCGAATCGGAACTTGTCGTAGATATACTCCCTGATCTAGTAGATTTAACTTCGGTACCGCTGGCAATCTGGTTCTTACCATCAAGGTCGATTTGACTACCATTATTAGCTTTTACCTCATTGGTCGTTATTTTTGTACCTTGCTGTTGAAATTTATTAAAAGTGGGTGGTAATCCAGGAGATTTAGGAGAAATCAGATTAAACCGCTGAGAATCAAGGTATAGATTTTCTAAATCAGGAGGTAATATGCCGGAACCTTCTTCCAATGCCGAACTAATTATCGGAAGGCTGTGAGTCGAGGTGACGGCATTACTGTTCTTGGAATCATGTTTATCTTTTTGGTGATCCTTCTTTTTGAGTTTTCTCTTCTTTTTATTGTTCTTTTTATTGTTCTTTTTCGAATTCCCCTTTGTGGATGTATCATTTATAACAGATTTCACTTTTGAATCCTCAATTTTGGATGGCGAGATACCAACCTTAGTATCAAAAAAAGATATATGACTTTTATCAGCTCTTCCACCTTTTATAGATAGACCACACATACTAAGTAATCGTGAGTAAACACTGAACAGAAAATTCAAATTTGAATAACCGACATCATACCGTTTAGCTAAGTTGATTGGTTGTGTTAGCAATATTTCTGCAGGATACTCTAATCTGTGATAGAAACAGTATGCTTCAAAGGGTAGAGATAAATACTCGGGATATTCAGATGATGTTGTATCATTTAGTGCTTTTGTCTGTTTCATGCAGTATTGTAAAATTAAATTGTTATCAATGATACCACTGTTTGAATTATAAAAACAAGTCGACTTCTCATTACACTGTAATTGACATACCTTAAATAATTCCTGACTTACGTTCTCAAAAATAGTTCTTACAGAGTCATTAAGCAACATTTTTTCATAGTCCAATTCTTCATGAACAATCGATAAAATTACCAGAGATATTTTCGGTATTACTACTTCCCAAATTTTCAAAGCTAATTGTTCTTCTGGTTTGTAAACCTTAATTTCTACCCAATTTATATCCTTGAGTTGATCAATTATGATTGAAGTTACTGATCCTTTTCCTTTCGAAAGTTCAGCTTCAGCACTAATTGAATTCCTCAGTAAAACTTCATTTTTGCTACTCAATGCTGGAGTATACGATAATCCAATACTTACCAAACAATGCTCATCGTTCACTAGAGCATATGATCCTAACGATAATTGCCGGCATTCCATTTCACATACTATTGATATGACACATTTACATTTATTCTCAAAATATCTTAACACAAATTCTTCCAACTCTACCCCATAGCTCCCATTCACAAATATAGTAGTATTTTCGTTTGAGAATTGTGAGAGCACAGTGCACGTTTTCGCAAGATCTTCAAAGGAAATCGCAGATATTATCATAGCATGAATTTCTCCTAGTGTATGATATTTCCTATAGTTTTCTAGTTTGTATGGAAGCTCATCAATATTTCTTGTAAACACTTTAGGCGTATAAAAATTAGCGCCAAGCTTTGTCGTCTTCCATGCAATCAGACCGTCGCTCGAAACATACGGTCCAATCAATATAGTAGTTGAACCAGCAGAGTTCAGTCGCCATGCAAGGAATTGGGTTGCAGGTGTGTCACCTACAACAAGACAAACATTTTCCTTGGACATTTCATTTATGAACTTTGTGACCTTCTATATTATACTTTGGATCTCTATTTGCGCTCGATATTACAGTAATTCATTAGAAAATTATTCTTTTACAAGTGTACTATTAATGTTACATTAGATCCATGGTTGGAATACTCCTTTTTGTATTACATATTACCATTGCCATACACTTTCATGCTTGACACTCATCGATCACAAAAGAACTCTATATGGTGACGTAATGAGTGATGAACTCTATAGCGGGTAATAGTGATTAGTTTTACAGATATATGAGTAGATATATTCTTTCATAGTATCGTGATATGCAATTTCAAATCCATTTCATATGCAGATAAGTTTTGAATTTTTTTGTTTTTTTAGTATAACTTTCGCCAAAGCAAAAGCAATTCGAAGCATCAAACGGTTCATTCAAGATCAATTTCATAAATGAATGTGGTGTCAGTTGCTGTACCTTGCCACCCTCTGTTACCACTAGTACTGATCATAAATCTACAAGTTGGATCAACATATATGTTAGATATAGCACCACCATGGTGGCCTGGAACAATAAGGAATGGTGACTTTGATTTCTGTTCAGCCTGTCTTATATCAAATAATCTTATGTTATCTCTTGAGGCACACAATATATGAGAGTTATTTGGCATTGACTGGATACATGTCACCGGGCCAGATATGCTTGGTAGTTTTAGAGTACTTTTTGGTTCGGATGGCATTCTTAAACTGAATTCTTCGACGCACGCGTTTCTTCTTCCTGCATAGACTGTGTCACCATCTGTACCCCAACATGCAGATTGACACCAAGGTGGAGTTGTCGAACTCTTCATCATGTTTAGCACAGGTGCGGTGTTTATTCTACGGTCCCATATTTGTACAGAACCATTTAAGCCTGAGGTCATGAACACGGATTCATCGTATTCGATTTTGAGTGAGGATTTCGAGATTTCCTCGAGTTCCGATTTGGACAGATTAGTGGGGCTTTTACTATCTTGTTTTTCTGTCTTTGGAGAATTACTATTGGCCTGTTGATCTTCTTGTTCGGCTACTTTACTCTCTTGGCGCTCATTTAAATCCTCTATGTTTTCCACCGCGTCTTTCATTTCTTCGTCCTCCTCTTCATCATCTCCGAATAAAGAGTTCATCTCGTCATCCTCCTCAGCCTCTGCATCGCCATTACCAATTGTGCTCTTATTATCTCCTTCTGCGCTCGGCATTGGGTATTGTTCCTCGGGCTTTCCAAAATCTTCTACCACCACAGACGAGAACAACGGTCTGAACTCTAGTGATGACAGTTCAGAGTTTGCACCTTTGAATTCGTTGGATATCGAGCCCGTACCGTTCAAATCCCATTCTAGTATTTTCTTGTCCCAAGAGCCACTCAAGAACTTAGTCTGGTCTGCGCCTAGCTGTAGTAAATTGACCACGTTTGAGTGGCCGTTTCTCTTTGGTCCACCAGGGTAGAAGTAATGGCCTATCTTTCCTTCCATGTAACGTACACCTTGCAACGTGATGCCACCATTTTCCAAGCCGCTCAGCAGGAAGAGACACTCGTCGTGCACCGCCAGGGAGTTCACTGGGCTCACTTTCGGTATATATTCCTTCCCGTTCGCTGTGGGTGTGATCTGGGACTTCTTCTGAGGGATCTCGTTCTCCCAGTAAGACTGCAGGATACCTGCATACTCTATAGATTCTGCAAGGGAGTGTTTCTGTATGATGGTCAGGGTAGTTTTCCCCTCCAGAGTTCCCAAAAGGTCGAATTTCCGTATGTACCCGTCGGCACCTCCGAGGAATAAGTTGCGAAGACCCTTTGACACCGCGAGAGCGTTGACGTCTGTCTGGATCGGTATAGCCGCAAACGGGGAGATGGTGTAGCTCTGCGCCAGCTTTGAGTTCAGACGCATCTGCTTGTAGTAGTTGTAGATCTTGTCGTTGTCATGCACCACATGGTTGTCGCTATCGTCCGTCTGTTCTTTCTTACCATTGCCATTGCCATTGCCATCTGCCTCGTCCTCACCGTCACCATCATCTCCATCGGCATCCTCATCTCCATCGGCATCCTCATCTTCACCTTCTTCACCTTCCTCACCTTCCTCACCTTCCTCGCCGTCCTCATCGCTGTCGTCCTGCTCCGCATCCGCATCCACGTCCACGTCCACGTCGTCCTCCTCTTCCTCCAGGTTCTGGTCCAATATATCGTCCACCTCGTCCATGTTGTACTGTTGTGGCCCTGGATTGAGCCAGTAGCAAGGCTGATAGCCCTTTGCCGCTGTTATACAGTGCGGTGTGGGCTGCCCCCGACGAAGGCCCTTACTGGCACCTTGCGTAGAAAGTATTATTACACGTAAACATCATGTGATAAGTACAAAGCGATATTAATATTATCCACATACACGAAGCAGAACATGATCAACCGTCCATCACTACAATTACGACACCATTACCTAAAAGACGAAAGGGGCGCCCACTGAGAGCACTAGGAGATAGGGGAGTTTAGTAAGGGGGGAGGGAGTGTCTACGGGCGTTTGTGAGTGTGCTGGGTGGTTGTGGACTAGTGAATTACGTTATTCTCTCACTGAGCGTGCTGGTGTGCTGTTCTGTAGGAGCTGTTCTGTGTGTTATTAGAGTCTTGGGTAAGGCAACACAGATTTACGTAAATATTAGAGTAATATTCGGCAGAGTGGTGCGGGTGTTTCTCTGCAAAGGTTCCCACTAACAAAAAATTTATCATCCGGCCCAGAGAGCCCATCAATAGAAGCTCATCGAAAGTAGCATTACGCTATTATTATACCATTAGTTGAGTGGTAGCGTGGATTAACGGGAGATGTGCACTTCGGAAAAGGTATAAATAGGGTCCATGGTTGCTTGGAATGTGGTTATGGTTTCTTTTCGGGGAGTTAGAGAAGAGGGAGAATACCAAGAGACACAACACTCTAACACAGAATACCAAAACTGAAGACTACAATTAGAAGAGCGATGACTACATACAGATCCATCCAGAAGCATTTCATGACCTTCGAGCAAGAGGAAGGTGTTGGTGCGCGTGTGAGGCGGTCCGTTGGTACCATGAAGCAGCGCATGTTCTCGCCATTCCTGATGCTGGACGACTTCTACGTGAAGCACCCTGCCGGGTTCCCAGACCACCCTCACCACGGGCAAGAGACCATCACCTATGTGTTGAACGGTATGGTTGCACACGAGGACTTCACCGGTGCCAAAGGTGTGTTGGGCAAAGGTGACTTGCAGTTCATGACTGCTGGTAAAGGTATAGTGCACAGTGAGATTCCTGTGCAGATGGAGAGCGGCGAGGCGTGCCACGGTTTGCAATTCTGGGTCGACTTGCCAAAGGATTTGAAGTGGTGTGAGCCACGTTACAGAAACCTGCGTGGTGACAAGATCCCAGTGGTGAGACCTAACGAGAACTTGACCGTGAAGGTCATCAGTGGTAAGAGTTACGGTGTCGACAGTGTCAGAGACCTGGCCTACACTCCTATCCACATGTACCACTACTTGACCAACAAGGCCGGCACACAGTGGGAGCAAGAGTTCCCAAAGAACTTCAACGTGTTCATGTATGTGATGAAGGGTAAAGTCAGTGTTGGCGACCAAGTGTTCCCAGAGCACACTGCCGTGTTCTTCAACACCGACGGTGATGCTGTCAAGGGTGAGTTCGCTACGGACGATGCGCAGTTTGCCATCATGGGTGGCCAGATCCTCGACCAACAGACCATCCAGCACGGCCCATTCGTGGAGACCGACAGAGAGAGTCTAATGAAGGTGTTTATGAACTACCAGTACGGTATCAACGGTTTCGAGCGTGCCAAGGGCTGGCAATCCTCGATCATCCACGGTATCACCGAAAAACAGGTCAGAGAGAACGAGGCCAAGGGCTTGTACAAGCTAGATCACGAAAGAGATTGATTTTATATATAGAAAGAGCAGGTATCTCATATAGTTATATAACAAGTTACAATATTTATTATTAATGCAAAAAACATAGTGTAATCCAAGAAAAAGTGTATGCAGTGTGAGTGTATGCAGTGTGAGTGTATGCAGTGTGAGTATATGCAGTGCGAGTGTATGTAAAGAATGCAAGTACCATAAGAATGCAAGTGTACAAGCATATGTATGTGTAGTACAACTACAAGTAGTACAAGTAGTACAAGTATAGATGTTATGTATATCATGTGACAGCGTCTGCAACGATATACTATACGACTTCGTATAGTATTGAACGGAGATAAGGTATACGACCGTATAGAGACTATACGAGTGTGCTCTTTGCGGATCCCCCCCCCAGCGAGAGCTGCTAGAGCTGAGAAAAGTCTCTCGAGAGCTGCGAGAGCCTTGAGGAGAGATGAGGCCTGGAAGAAGAGCTGATCTCTCTAGAAGTGAAAAATTTCATCCCATTGTCTGGGCCCATACGACCGTTACATAATTGCCCAGTGCAGCCATCGGTTTTTACCTATACGTGGGAACTACGAGAACAAGAGCTAAGAGTATAAATATTGGGTACATTTGTCTTGCATTTCAGATAACCTACAGCCAGTAGAAGAAAAAAAAAAAAAAACAGCACTAAGCTTTTATACAAAAACAAATAATGGATTTGGTGTTGGAAACTTTGGACCATTACATCTTCGACGATGTGTATGCCAAGATTGCGCCTGTTGAGTTGCAACGTGGTATCGACGACTCGTTGGTCAATGCTTTGTCTCTGAATAAGATCGTCTCTAACTCTACGCTGCTGCATGAGACCTTGTCTATCACTAACTCCTTGAAGCGTGTGAACAAGGACGTCTACGGGTTGACTCCCTTCTTGTTTGACTTCACAGAGAAGACCTACGCGTCTTTGCTGCCAAGAAACAACCTGATCAGAGAGTTCTTCTCCCTGTGGGCTGTCGTCACCGTCTTCGGTCTGCTATTGTACCTGATCACCGCCTCTTTGTCCTACGTTTTCGTCTTCGACAGAACTATCTTCAACCATCCAAAATACTTGAAGAACCAGATGTACCTGGAGATCAAGTTGGCTGTCTCTGCCATCCCTACTATGTCCCTCTTGACTGTCCCTTGGTTTATGCTAGAGCTGAACGGATACTCTAAGCTGTACTACGATGTCGACTGGGAGCACCACGGTCTAAGGAAACTGCTGATCGAGTACGCCACTTTCATCTTCTTCACCGACTGTGGTATCTACTTGGCTCACAGATGGCTGCACTGGCCTCGTGTCTACAAGGCCTTGCACAAGCCTCACCACAAGTGGTTGGTCTGCACTCCATTCGCCTCCCACGCCTTCCACCCAGTCGACGGTTACTTCCAATCCTTGTCCTACCACATCTACCCAATGATCCTGCCTCTACACAAGATCTCCTACTTGATCCTGTTCACCTTCGTCAACTTCTGGTCCGTTATGATCCACGACGGTCAACACATGTCCAACAACCCAGTTGTCAACGGTACCGCCTGCCACACCGTCCACCACTTGTACTTCAACTACAACTACGGTCAGTTCACCACCTTGTGGGACAGATTGGGTGGCTCCTACAGAAGACCAGAGGACTCCCTGTTCGACCCTAAGCTAAAGATGGACAAGAAGGTCCTAGAAAAGCAAGCTAGAGAAACCGCCGCTTACATCCAAGAGGTGGAAGGTGACGACACAGACAGAGTCTACAACACCGACAAGAAGAAGACCAACTAGACAGGAAACACCGGTGTCTCGCGCACACATTACTTTTCCTACATCATAACTCTTTCATGACCCATTTATTTTTGATTTTTCACCTACTAAATGAACAATTACTATTTTTTTTTATCATGGTTTACCTTTGCAAAACTATCAAAAAGGAAAAAGAAATACAACCACTATAGACTCTTTTTTTTTTCAACTTATCTTTTTGTTAATTTATTCATTCATTTCCAGAATTACTTTTCTTTATGTCCATTATTCTGATGAGTTATTTTTTTCCTCAGAGAAAACTCAAGTGCTGACCTGGGTTCTCATTATTTTTTATGGCAACAAATTAACGCTTATATATGAAAGTCTCTTACGTATCAAGAACTATACACAATTTTTTATATACCAATATGAAATAGAAGTTCACTCAAGAACTATTTACTCAAATAACGGTCCTCTTTATCATGTACTGACCCTCCTACACCAATCATCGTATGCAGCTATGGCTTACCAACCTTTGATCTGCGATGCGCATTACTTCTCAAAATGTGGTAAGCTAAATTGAGTCAGGAACTTAGCTTGCATATAGAAGGTCACCCGTGTAGTCCCGGCCGCACTATACCCAGTTCACACGCTACTTGAAACACGGGATCAGCCTTGTGCCTCAAGCGACTCGCACTTTCTACTCCTCGCCTCCACAGAGGCATATAAAGACCGCAACAAATAGAAGCACACGATATATTCAAAGGGAGATGGCACTGCACAAGTCGCTGTTCCGACGGCTGAAGAACGTGCTGCCGCTGTCCATAACCATTGTGCTGCTGTTCTACTACACGTTCCGCAACGAGATAGACATCCTGAACTCCTTCGCCGAGACAAACCACGTCCCTACCACAGTCGAGACTTTGCAAACAAGCGCGAAGGGAACTCACGAAGAACTGTCAGTCGATGACCTGCTGGACAAGAACAGGTTCTACCCGCTACTAGTCTCGAACAAGGACATCGATCCGTTTCAGGACCCACGGCTGCTGACTAGCAAAGGCAGGATGGGCGCAAGGATATACCCAGTGCTTAATAAGGTCGAAGTGCCAGTACACATGATAAGCTCAGAGAAGGTCGCACCTATTCAATCAGACAAGCTTGTACAAGAAGGTGCCGCGCATGATATGCTGGATAGAGTACGAAACCTCTTCTTGAAATCGTATAGCCAATTGAAGAATCAGAAAAACTTGTATGAAAACCCATTGAACTGGCCAATTGACCTCATCGACACCCTAGACACACTGCACATTATGAATTTGACGAATGAATTTGATGATCTGGTTGATAACGTGATAGCTAAGATTAATTTTAAAAACCCTACTATATCGATGAAAGAAGACGAAATAACATTTATTGACGTAGCAGACATTTCTCAACGTGTGCTTTCGAGTATGATCTCCGCGTTTGATCTTTCCAAAAACCAAGTCTTACTGAACAAAGCACGAGACCTTGCTGACTACCTTCTGACAATTTTTGACACACCAAATGGGTTGCCGCTAATAGATTACCCTGTTAACTCGAAATTGGTAAATAGATTTCCTTACAGAGAAATTAATCCAGCAAGGCTGACATCCATGACCGTTGAGTTTGTAAGACTGACGCACCTTTTAAAGGAGGATAAATACTTCAACGCTGCATACCATATTTATAAGACAATTGCCGAATCTACAGATCAATTTGCTATTAACTATCTCTTCCCAAATATTGTGGATCCTTCTGGATGTGAACTTTTGACAGATGATGAAATCAAACAAGGCAAGCACCTAAAATCCAATATTTTGAAAACCATTGATGAAAATTATAAGTTTGCATTCTGTAAGCAAACGAATGGTCTTGCAAGATCGGAGGTAAAAGTTGTGAGGGATGTTGACAAAGTAATCAAAACGCAAAAAAGAAAACAGGTTATTACACTTGATGGAACCACTATACCTCTATATCAAAATTTAATAAAGATTATGCCGATGTTGAAAAATCATGATATATTAAGGTTACACGAGATTACCTTTGAGGAAGAAGATGGTGTCATTGGAAAAAGAGATAAGATAGTAGCTTCAAAGGAGGACAATTCTTTGCTGCAGGAAAAAAACGATGTTCGGTTATTATCTTCCAAAGGATTATTTTTTGGCTTGATGCAGCACGTCCGCGACTTAATGATTTACAGACCCATTACTCCATTGAAATTGGATAATGGTGAAGCACCTTTATTTTTAAGTTCAATCGAAACATATACGAGATATATCCCGACTTCTAATGAATTGGAGATTGAAATGTTAAGGCAGTTTGACCATAAATCAGATGCATGTTCTTTTGCTAGTATGATGATTTATGGTGCAAAGCTGTTTGAGAAAGAAAAGGACTTCGATTTCCAATTATTGGGGAAGGAAGTGAATCATATAGCAGCTGAGCTTGCCGAGAGTTGTTATAAACTATCTAAGGAATTTAAGGGCTATTCTCCTAGTCATATTCTATTTGATCCGTGTCTAATGAAGGAGAAAGAAGGGCGGTGTATATTCGATGAGAATGAAAAGATACAGAAAATAGTAGGTGGATACTACAAAAGTGACATAGCATCAAGTAGTGATGAGGAAGATGTGGACACAGATAAAGACCATCATTTAGCTGTTAAAGTTAAAAACGACAAAAATTCAAATACGAAAGCCAATAGCAAAGATCCTCAAAAAGAGTATTCAAGAAGGGTTATGTTATTTTCAAAGAAGGAATCCCCAGGTCATTTACTGAAAGATGTAAATAAAAATTCTATTGATGTGGGATCTAAAAAGTGGAAAAATCATCCAGATTGGCCTTTATGGCTAAATAAAATGGATCAAAAACACCTGTTGGCCTCGGATACAATTCTTTCAATTTTGCATATGTATCGAATCACTGGTGATTCGATTTGGAGGGACAGGGGTTTTGATTTATTTGAAGAGCTAGAACGATCGATAGATTTAAAAGCAGCTGGTCCTAAAGGTTTATGGAAATTGACAGAGGAAGGTCATACTCAAGGTGAATACCCAAGCACATGGTTATCTCAGACCCTAAAGTTCTATTACCTGCTCGGCAGTAAACCAGATGATATCTCTCTTGACAACTACGTAATATCAATGGGTGGACATTTAATAGGAATTAACTAGTACAGTTTTCCTTTGCATTATTATTTAGCATGAGTTAAATAACTTAAGTATTTTGTAGATAGCTAAGATTTAATTTGTATTGCATACACTAACCCAGTTAGTTATTTGAATCCAAAGAATGTAATTTATGGAAGTCCAGCATTTGACGACATATTTTTAATATACGTTCTAAATTAATTGATTACAGTTTTGAGGTAGTGTTAAAAGATAATGAAATCTTTGTCTATTATACACAGTGCTTTAATCTATTTGTATTTATTTTTACATTAGTTTAAGATTGTATGTGTTGTCATGAATAAAGGAAATTTATTGTCTTAGACAGCTAGAGGGTATTCAGCAGTCCAGTCGTAAATTTCTTTCTTCAATGGAGCCAGTTGGTCGGCAATTTCGTCGACCTTGGCCTTGAAGTCCTTCAATTTGTTGGCTTCCTTTGGCAAAGAGCTCTGGGTCTGTTCAGCAAACTTCACAGCTTGGTCAATGTAACGTACAATTCTGTGGAAGTCTTCTTCGCCCATACCTCTGGTAGTCATAGCTGGGGCACCAATACGTACACCACCTGGGACCAAAGCTGACTTATCACCTGGAATAGAGTTCTTGTTCAAGGCAATGTTAATCTTTTCACAGACATATTCAACACGAGCACCATCGACACCCTTTTCTCTCAAGGAGACCAAAACCATGTGTGAGTCGGTACCGTTTGAGACTAGTCTGTAACCTAGAGTTTGGAACTCATTTTCTAGAGCCTTAGCGTTCTTTAGAACTTGAGTTTGGTATTCCTTGAACTCTGGAGTAGCAGCTTGTTTTAGTGCGGTGGCCAAAGCAGCAATGGTATGGTTGTGTGGACCACCTTGGTGACCTGGGAAGACAGAGAAGTTAATTGGGTTCTCCAAGTCATATGGAATTTCCTTACCAGTCTTTTGGTTAACTGATCTGATACCTCTTCTGAAGAAGATCATTGCACCACGAGGACCTCTTAGAGACTTGTGAGTGGTAGTGGTAACGATGTCAGCGTATTCGAATGGAGATGGAATGACACCAGCGGCGACCAAACCGGAAATGTGGGCCATGTCGACCATTAAGTAAGCACCACATTTGTCAGCGATCTCTCTCATTCTCTTGTAGTCGATCAGACGACAGTAAGCAGAAGTACCAGCAACTAGAATCTTTGGTCTGTATAGGATAGCATTCTTCTCCAAGGTGTCATAGTCGATGATACCAGTTTCTGGGTTGACTCTGTATGGGAAGGATTCGAAGTAGGTGGAGACAGCACTGATCTTTCTGTTCTCAGTAGCGTAACCATGGGACAAATGGCCACCATCTGGCAAGTATAGACCCATTAATCTTTCGTGGGGCTTCATCAAAGCTTGATATACCTGCAAGTTAGCTGGAGAACCAGACAAAGTCTGAACATTGACACCCCATCTGTCTGGAGTTACATGGAAAGCCTCCAAGGCTCTCTGTTGACACAGTCTTTCAATGCGGTCAATGTGTTCGTTACCACCGTAGTAACGAGCACCTGGGTAACCCTCAGAGTACTTGTTACATAGTGGAGTTCCCAAAGCATCGAACACAGAGGTGGTGGTGAAGTTCTCAGAGGCGATCAAGTCAATGGAGTGCTTTTGTCTGTCGACTTCATCCTTGATAATCTGTTCAACTTCAGGGTCAGTTTCACTTAGATGGCCACTGACCATCTTCAAGTGCTTATCAGATAACGCATAAGGCATGATTGGTTATATTAAGAGCTTGTGGGGTTGTTAGATTGTTCCGGGAACGATAATAAATCTATGGTCGATTCTTTCTACAATTAAGGCTAGAGTAGTTTCAGACTTGTTTCACAAATTTAAAACACTAACCTTTATATATAATTTTTTTTTTTTTAATTCAATAAAACTAATTTATTAATCGAAATTAATACTAATTCTGCCAATCCAAAGCTAATTACACAATTAATGAGAGAAACACAGTCAAGTTATTACACTTTACACATACACAGTATCACTTAAATTTTTCTGCAAAGCAGGGCAAATAATAAAAGGGAGACCTATATGGCCCACAGTTAAACTACAGCAAAATGACTCCATCACACAGCCATTTTTCTTTTAATTCTTTTCGTGAACTCACTTATGATGATAACAAGTGACTGATTCTCTCGAAGTCCTTGAGACAGAGACAATTTATCACTTCCATTGGATCATCTCTCGAAGACAATCACAATCAGTTCACAATTTTTTTTTCACTTGCAAATAATGTGAATGAAGAATGAGTTTGACTCTTTGCAATTTATTCCCTTCGAGACTTCGCTTGTACACATTTCACGTGGAAGGTGTGTTGTCCTTTTAACACACCCCACCATTATATTATGCACCATAATGTCATACCCAAATACACAATGGTGGGCGATACCATCGATGGGTTCATCTTGAAACTAATGTTGGTCATATTTTAGCTTTATTTAATTATAATTTGCTCTTGGTTTTAGTGCTTATATTGTCGAAAAGGGTTATTGACTTCTCTATAATATGAAAAAGGGCAAGCAATTACACTATTAGAACTATAAAATATATGTAGCAGTAGCATTTTATTGACATTGTTTCTTCTGTGGTTGATCTATAGGCTCCTCAGAAGGTCTTTTCTCATTTTGTGACTCCACGAATTCTTTGGTCTCTTCTTCGCTCTTCAAATAATGATCCATGTACCATTGTAACTGGGAGATGGACTCTAGGATGTCGGACTTGGCGGTGTGGGCGGCCTCTTTCTTTGGAACCACTGCTGTTAGTGATGGATTGTGTCTCCTGGCCACTTCCATGATCGAACTGACGTCGACAATTCTGTAATGTAAGTATTGTACAACTCTTGGGAAGTCCTTCAACATGAACAATCTGTCCATGTGAACACTGTTACCAGCAAGTATCCCAACACGCTTCTCAGGGATCCATTTTTGCAAGTAATTTAACAGCTCTTCTTCAACTTGCTCTTTGGTCTTTTTACTAGCTAGGACCTTGTCCATTAAACCGCTGGATCCATGGTGATCCAAGCACCATTGGTCCATGGCATCTAGCTTCTCCTTGGGGCAATGCACAACACTTTCATAGCATTGTTCTTTGGTCTCAGTGTCAAGATTCTTGAGTTCACCATCTGTAACTATACAGCATATCTCGATAATCTCGTCGTTGACATGATCAAGACCAGTCATCTCACAATCGATCCAGACAAGTGGTTTCGTGTTGCTAGTCTCCATCTTCCTTAACTTGGGCTTTAGCAAATATGGCTGTGACTTAGCTTGTGTTCTGCTTAGATAAGATAAGGCACGACCTATACCGCTTCTAAACATTAACTGTAATACTACTTCTTGACAATGCAAGTTTCAACACTCTTCACTCATTTAAGTTCATAATTTCCCTCACGAGCTCTTTCCCTTATCTTTTAACTTCCTTTGCACCCCTCTCTGACCTGATGCCTATCGGCACATTATTGATGCTGATACTATCTACATAAAACTATACATATATTCAATCTTTACCGTTAAGTTGTCCATGATACAATTGATACTGATGCATTTTACTCAGTGAAATCTTTTTGTGGTCTAATCTAATCTTCAACTAGAATCGCCTACACAGCTTCAACAAGATGGGCAAAAAGAAGTATGCCGAAGGGCGTTGGTCGCACAGACGTTATTCGATGTGATATATTTTATTCAAGCATCTTCATGTAGCTAATCCATTATTACTCACTTGTAGCTTTACCTCAATTATGTCTATAGCTCATCGCGTTCTTGAAATTTTTTTTTTCAACCGTCGAGGATTTTTGAAAAATTTTCATTCAAAATGAAGTATATAGTAATAGCAACGGTATTACTGAGCGATTGCTATTCGAGGATCGGCTGTCTAGAGACCATAGATATATTATAATTAAGGATGCCTACCGTTTCTGTGAATAAGCAGCAGTTGTTTGATCTGCTGGGCAAGAACTACACCAATGATGAGTTTGATGAGTTGTGTTTCGAGTTCGGTATTGAACTGGATGAAGATACCACTGAGGAAGCATTGAAAACCGGTGAAGAACCAGAGCTAAAGATTGAAATTGGTGCCAACCGTTATGATCTGTTGTGTATTGAAGGTATTGCCCAATCTTTGAACGAGTACCTTGGTAGAAGCTCCACTCCTACTTACAAGTTGACTGCGCCAACCACAAAGCTATACATAGAAAAGTCCACTGAGCAAGTTAGACCATACGCAACTGCTGCGATCCTAAGAAACTTCAAGTTCACAGAGAAGAACTACGCTTCTTTCATCGCCCTGCAGGATAAATTGCACTCCAACTTGTGTAGAAACAGATCGTTGGTTGCCATCGGTACCCACAATTTAGATTCTATTCAAGGACCATTTTACTACAAGGGTCTAGCACCAAAGGAGATTAACTTCATTCCTCTAAACCAAACTAAGAAGTTCAATGGTGAAGAATTGATTGAATTTTACAAAACCCCAGAACAAAAGAACAACATTGGTAGATTTGTGCATATCATTGAGAACTCACCAGTCTACCCAGTTATCCTAGACTCCAACGATGTCGTCTGCTCTTTGCCTCCATTGATCAACTCTGAACATTCTAAGATCAACTTGGAGACCAAGAACATTTTCATTGAAATTACCGCCAATGATAAGACCAAGGCTGAGATCGTTCTAAACCAAATGGTAGCCATGTTTTCTCGCTACTGTGACGAACCATTTACCGTGGAACCAGTTGAAATTGTCTCTGAACACAACGGTGAGTCCCGTATGGCTCCTGATTTCTCTGAGAGAAAGATGGATGTTTCCATTCCATACATAAACTCAGCTCTAGGTCTGCAACAAACACCAGAAGAAATCATTCAATGCATAAAGAAGATGTCTCTACATGGTGAAGCATCCAAGACAGACGAGGCTGTTTTACACGTCACTATCCCAATCACAAGACCAGATGTCCTGCATCCATGTGACATCATGGAAGATGCTGCCATTGGTTATGGTTACAACAACTTGCCAAAGGGTGAAAAGCTATCAAATGCTAACTTCATTGCTTCTCCACTACCTATTAACAAGATTTCAGATATTTTCCGTGTGGCTTCTTCCCAAGCTTCATGGTTAGAAGTTCTTCCACTAACTCTATGTTCTCATGACGAAAACTTCAAGTTTTTGAGACTAGAAGACGACGGTAAGCAAGTGGTAAAACTAGAGAACCCTAAGACACTTGAGTACCAGGTCGTTAGAACAACTTTACTACCAGGTATACTGAAAACAGTTAAAGAAAACAGAAAGCACTCTTTACCTATCAAGGTCTTCGAGACTGGTGATGTAGTTTTCAAGAATGAGGCTCTAGAGAGAAAGTCATACAACGAGCGTCACTGGGGTGCTATTTACGCCGGTAAGAACTCCGGTTTCGAAATCATTCAAGGTCTTCTAGGTAAGATCATGCAAACTTTCCGCACCCAGTGGGTTGCCGACTACGGTAAGGCTTCCACCGGCAGAGGTTACTGGATTGAGCAAGATGATACCTTGGCTACATACTTCCCAGGCAGAGGTGCCAAGATCATGTTCCGCAGCAAAGAAGGTGAGCAAGCTAAACAAATCGGTCACTTGGGTGTCCTACATCCAGAGGTCATGAGCAACTTTGAGGTCCCATACGCTGCATCCTACGTTGAATTGAACGCTGAAGTTTTCTTGTAATACAAATCAATTTAGTTATTGGACCTTCTATCCCATTATATACAATCATAACTATAGAAAGTTTTTTTTTTAAATCATTGACATTTTATATGTAACTCTAAAAAGAATATAAACTTTATAAAGACATAGAACTCAACAATTAGTATAACGAATGCACATGAAAAGATATCTAAAAGCGGCGCCTATTGATTATACTATATGCCATAAATACTGTTTAGTGCTACTAGCTGCGGCTTAATGCGAAACGCTCATATTTAACAGAAAGATTTGTGACTGCATTATTAACTCCCTACACCACATATAAACATAAATCTCCTAATTGAGTAATTTTTTGGCATGTTATCTTTTTGTGGAAGAAATTTTTCAAAATTTCTGGGAAACGCACAAACGGCCCATTTCAACCTTTTTTCATGAAAAACTTCCAGGAAGTTAAAGTATAAAAGACTCGATGACTTTGACACCAATTTTAGTTCGTATTTTCGAGTTGATTTTATACTTCTCTCTCAGGAAAAACCACAACACAATAACTAAATAATAAGTAACAATGGCTCCAAACGTATGTGCAGTTTAAATACTGTGAAACTACTTTATGGAGGGTTTATTTTCATTTAATACTGCTTTGACAAACTCATGTGGATATGAAATAAAAAACTATACTCGGACGGATTTACAAATCCCATTTAACTATGGAGATAAAAAAAGCCTAATTTTCCAACGAATATATTCATATAATCGGATATGGATAGATGTTCTTGGACTGTGTACTTTAGTAATGTTGGAACAATTAGTTTTGCTTCTAATATGCTTGTACTAACTATGCGTTTTTTTGCTGTATTTTAGAAATTCACAATATGATGTGATTGTTAATAGCAGTAGAAAATGCGATACTTCCCTTTTATGGAATAACGAGATTATCGTTACTAACAATTAATTTTTTTTTATTATTTCATGTTATGCTATTATCTAAGTTTGGTTCACGCTGTAAGTTGTAAAAGTTGTACGGATACTTTTTTAACTTGGTAGAATAAGCCAGAACGAAGATACTAGTTATATGTTAATGAGATAAGTGAAAGAAATATCTTTATTACAGACCGCTAGAAAGCAAAAGGTTGTTAAGACCTTCACTGTTGACGTCTCCGCTCCAACTGAAAACGGTGTCTTCGACCCAGCTTCTTACGCCAAGTACTTGATCGACCACATCAAGGTTGAAAACGTTGTCGGTAACTTGGGTAACGCCATCACTGTCGAAGAAGATGGTTCCGTTGTTACCATTGTTTCCACCACCAAGTTCTCTGGTAAGTACTTGAAGTACTTGACCAAGAAGTACTTGAAGAAGAACCAATTGAGAGACTGGATCAGATTCGTCTCCACCAAGACTAACTCTTACAGATTGGCCTTCTACCAAGTCACTCCAGAGGAGGAAGAAGAAGATGAGGAATAAATTAATTAATAGAATCATAACAATTTAATTTGTACATTTTATCTTTAATTAATCTTTCTGCATTTTTTTTCAACACCTTTTTTAGCATATATATTCAGCATTAATCTTTTTTTATCAAATTAATAATAATAGTTTCTCAAAGTTCTAAATTGAATAAATAAAGTATTAATCGATATCATATTTTAAAAACTTACGAAGCTGAAAATTTTATGTTAGAGTAAGTAACTCCCCCATATTTTATCTGCCAAAAAATTAATCATATATAAACAAGGCATCGCAAATCGAGTGTGGGAAGGCAATATTAACAAGGACAAAATAGGTATACAGGATAATACACTAACTATGTCAAAACAACTCCCCATTACATTTGATGGTGAAAATCTTCCCCCTCAAGAGACAGTTGATCTATATGCCACTACTTTTGAAAATGAATTATCTCCACTTAATGAAGAAACTTTAAAAAGCCAGATACAGGCTGTGAAAGGTCTTCTATACAACAGAGACTACCTTAATGCCTTCGATGATCAGATCAATAGAGCAGCCTATGTAAGCAGATGGTCACCTTCCAGGTCACTGTGTTACACGACGCTATTCACACATTTGAAGCCCGTATATGAACTGCTGTCACAAGGCAGTTCACATGTACTATGTGTAGGTGGTGGAGCAGGAGGTGAACTGGTTAGTTTGGCCAACATTTTCACCATGGCCAATGTCTCCGATAATGCATTTGATGGAACCATGAAGGTTGATCTCATCGACATAGCCAACTGGGATGATATCATTCAGAGGTTAGTGACTTCAATTAACACTAAATGGTTATACCAGGCAGATAGAAGTCAAAGATTCATGGTAAATTTCCAAAATAAAGATGCCTTGATGATGAATGATATTGAGTTACTTGGTGACTTGGATTTAATCACCATTCTATTTACTGCAAACGAATTATTTACAGAACAAAGAGCTCCCACATTACAATTCCTACAAAGACTAAGTAAGCATTGTAAGCCTGGATGCAAGTTGTTGATTGTAGAGAGTGCCGGAAGTTACTCTCATATCACCATGCCAAGCGGTAAGAAGTTTCCCATACAATTCTTGCTAGATACTGTTCTTGTTGGTACTTCGTCATCTCAAAAATCAAAGAAGCAGGATAGAGAAGGTGATTGGGATTTACTAGAACAAGACGACAGTACCTGGTACCGTGGTGATACAAAGGTTATGTACTCTCTAAAGCTGGAAAACATGAGATTCTTCTATAGATTGTACCAGCATAAGTAATTCTTAATGTGCCAAAAATTGGAGAGCATTCAAAATATTAGCATAAAATCACTCTTGCATTGTTATCTTACATATTTCTGCATTATATTTCTAAATTAATTTGCATTTCTTCTCTGTTAGCTCTATTTTGAAGCAATACTGTTATCGAGACTATTAAATTTTTTGAGAGGCTGATATTAATTACTTGGGTCTTCAGTTCCTATTACTAGCAATAAAAATTTACTATGGACTGCAAAGACTATTGAGCAAAACAAGGTGAGTTATACTACATTAATTATGGACAATGGGTTCTCTTGCCCAGTACACTATTATCTTGATCGTCATGTGACCTATATGTCCGAAAAGGGAAATATCTCAAATTTTAACCCAAATAGAGCAAAACAAAGTGAAGAAAGACAATAGTCTTCTCATAACAGGTATGAATGAGATAGATAGTGGCATATTAGCTTATTCAAATTTGGCAGGAAGTATAGAATATATTGGTGGCTACATATAGAAGAAAACAGCATAGCTAAACTTTGAAGATCAGGCCGAACTGACTCGCAAATTAAATTTAACTTATAGGGCAAAGCTTAATAAACATGGCTCGACAAAGATCGGTAGCACCTTTCCTAACTGTGTTGCAATCAAGGATAAGACAACCTCAGTTTTTCTGGTTTCTTGGGCATTTTATGGTTCTTTACCATGGTCTAAAGATTCATCTGCGGTTGTTTGGTGTTAAAAACACCCAGTACCACTACAGGTGCTGCCTGGCGTATCTAACCGTCACATATGGTATAGTGTTATACCAGTTTGTAAAAAGTGGACAACTCGATTTTCAGTTTGCAACCATACGAAGAAGGCTACTAGAACTTGATACATTACAATATTTTGTGCTTCTCACATCGTTGTACATTTTGTCATATGGGGGTTTTATAGACTTGAACATCCTCAACTCTTTGCATATTTATTCATTTTTCCACTGCCTTAACTATTTCAAGGAGAACTTACTGCCATTTATCTCGTTGATACCGGTACAGACTAGAACAACTCTGAATCAAAGTATTACATTCTTCATTGAAAGCAGCAATAGACTATGTCTTCGTATTGCCCATGATTTCGAGATGTCATGTGTGTTCATGCTAAGTGTACGTGCTATATTCTATGCGTTATCTGCACCTCTATACCCAACAAAGTGTCGGTTAATCGGTGCCTTAATCTATATTTGGTTTTTCAAATTGAGATATATCCAAAATGAACAACTGAGGAAAGATGTGGATGACAAGATCGCAATGGTGGAAAAGGCTCCATTTATGATCCAGAATCCCCAATTGCAACATTTGTGGTTTTCAGTGAAGAATACATATTTGTATGTTCTAAAGGCAATGCCTGTTTAAAGTAGATGGGTCTTATCAAGCATATGGGAATGAAGAATTTTAAGGAATTTCCCCCTACATACAAATTGATTTGATATTGCTTTACCTCATGAGCCATAGAAAAGATTATCGAACTACGGATAATGGTATAGATGTTGGTGTTCTACCGAGATAGATCTTTGGCTTGCGTACTGGTGTCGTTATAAATGTATTAGAAAGTTGGTTTTGTATATATTGTTCCAATTGTTTTTCCTTTCGTATTATTTCTTTTTATATGTAATTTTTGAAATAGCTGGAAAGTTGGAAAGTTGTTTCATAAATTCTATTACCTGTATTTGTACTTAACTTTATCGTCACCACGCTTCTCTCTTTTCATTTGTCTCTTGGACTTAGTTTCTTCAGGCATCTTGTCTGGGATGACTGGTCCTGGGGTAGATCCAAAGTATTGCTGCTTCAAGGAGTATAGCTTGTAGCCGACGTAGATTGGGCACAAGAGCAGCAAGTACCACCATTTGTTGGTATTGAAGATAATTCTACCAACATTGGCAATGATACTCAGATAGATCAAATCAAACATGTACTCAGTCATACCACCAGCTTGGCTCAAGTCCATACCTTCACGCACAACTTTCCCCTTGCTGTCATATTGCGGCCTACCAGTCTTCTCCAAAATGTAAAGGCATGCACACATTGGCAAATTGAACATCACAAACTTGATATATGTGTTGTTAGAGCCCAGTACTGTCCTCAAGAACGCTAAGACCAGCACGGGTCCAGCAACTTTGTGCAGAGTGTTCAAAGTATTGCTATTGGAAGCAGCTTGTTTCTTAGTAGCTTTGCCCGCCATGTTCCTTGCTACTCTTTATGTAATATGTTGTAGTTGTAGTCCTCAATGGGAAGCTGCAAAGTCTCAACTTCAATGTTTCTTGTGCTAAAAGTCATCCTTTTGTCTTCAAATTAGCGATTCCTTGAAATTTTGACAAAAATTTGGCGAAGACTGGCATTTTAAGAGCTGAAACTGTAGTTATAGGACAGTGTTGGGACGTCAAGAACTTGTTAAAAGCCATAGAGGGCAGTGTGTCAATTGATAAATGTATTCCTTGTCGCAGCGTATTAACCAGGTGTTCAACGTTGCCGTGCTTTATGGTGGTGTGATTGTTGTTTTGGTAGCGCTGGTATCGCAATGGCAACTGATCCATGACAATGCGTTTGGGTTGAGTTCCAGCATTGGTGGTGTTTCTCCTAGTTTTAATGTTAGAACCAGTAGGTACTATGGTTCTGTGAAAGGTCAACCAAAGGAGAACATGAGGATTGAATTTGACTTAGATGCTGACTTGTCTCCGCTATTCAATTGGAACACGAAACAAGTATTTGTATACCTAACAGCTAGTTATAACGGTACTGAGAAGGCTAGGGGCCATACAGTTAACACTGTTACCCTTTGGGATAAGATTATTAAAACTCCAAAGGAGGCAGAATTGCATTTGGAGCACGCTAAGGGTAAGTACCCGGTGTGGGATTTGGAAGACAAATTTTCAGGTAAAGACCTTACTTTTGAATTGCAATGGAACATTCAACCATGGGTAGGTATATTGACCTTTGGTCAAACTACTGGAAGCGAGGTAGTAAAAGTTGAGCCAAAAAAGAAACCTTCCCCAACTCCTAACGCTGACGCTAGTCAACAAGAACAGCAACAACAGCATCAGCAACCAAAGAAGAAGAAGAGGGTGCCAAAGAATGCCAACGCATGAAGGATAGCGAAGTAAAGAGTATGCTTTTTACTCATTAATTAGAACAATCTATTACTATCAAGTAACCGCTATTGATTCTTCTTTTGATAGAGATTGAATATCAAAGTATGTTAATGCATATGTTAAATATAAATTATATAGAACAGGAATGTTTTTCTAATTACAAGATAGTGTAGCAGATCTATATGCATATTGCTACGCCCTCAATTTGGAGGTGAGGATACCTATAACGTGAATTATGGTACTGTTTGGATGGAAAAATTACTCTAACACTAATCAGTTAGTGCCGATGAGTAACACCATCATTAGTGCTGTACCATAAATATGCATTTATATAGGAAGTATTGTGTATGCGGTATGGTAATAACAGCAACGTTTACACCTTATCTATCTTCATAAAACATCATTATAGTTAATTTCAAATAAGTTCCTTTATTATTTGTCCGTCTCAGAAATAATCTTGACATCTGTAAGGCTTAAAATTCCGAAACAAATACAGTTCTTTTTGTGTCTCTTAATTTCTTGAAATAATTGGCGTGGTTGGATTCAATTTGCTTCCAGTCCTTTACCAATTCTCTTTCTTTCATCAAATAACTTTTCATAAAATACGGATACTTTTCTATGAAATTGCGAAGAATATTATCTTTTTTCTCAAGGGAAAACTTATTCAGATACCTGTCGATGGCACAGGTAGCATCAGTGAATGTAGCCCACGTCATGTGCATATCAGTTGAAAATTTACCGGGGTTTTTCTTAACTTGTGCCAGCAGCCAAGAGGTATCGTGACGATTATACCTATATTCATTGGCCTGTAAGTGTTTTTTCTTGTTCAATAAGTTGAAACCGTGTATCAACTTATCATTACTTATTCTCAAGGCTTCTTCTATAGTCCTAGAATCTAGGAACATGTATGAGACTGCCTCATTGAGAAATTGATTTGTAATAGTAAACTCATGCTTGTGTAAATATTCGATCAGTTTTGGTATTTCTTCAAATTTTTTTCTGGCTACCAAATTTCTCAATCTATAGGTTAATATACCGTTAAAAATAGATTTCATTCGAAGATTTTTCACAGTTCTGGATGGCCGGTTTTCCAAATATTCTATTCGATTTAAAAAGTCTTCAAATATATCCTCAAAGTTATCCCACTGCTCGCATTCACCGTAGTAAACTAATTTTGACCTCATAGTAGTGAATTGATTATCAAATCTCAGTTTATCTGGAGATTTGTCATCAAATAGTATGTTAGTGTATTTATTCAGCAATTCGATCGCTCTATCAGTTAGATGTGACTTTGATAAGGACCGCACAAACCAATTTATTATGGATGGATGGATGCTGTTAGTAGTAATATTAAGTGTTCCACTAGACACACTTGTAAGAGTTTGTTCAAATAACTCCAGGAACTTGTTTAAGTTTTCTTCTTGAATAACATGAACTCTATATGATGCTTTCATCAGATACAGTAAAATCTTAGAATTTATTGGCATGTCAATTTCATTCGTAAGTCTGTATAGTTCAATTATCATTTGATCATTCTCTAGTTCATCATATTTTTCCATTACTCTTTCAAAAAGGGTTTCATCCACCAAAGATCTATTGCTCTTGATAAGTGAAAATAATAGGTCCTTTGCGGCATCAACGTCCTTTTTCGCATCAATGAAATACTTTATGAAATTCCTCATATACTCGGCATCTAACCTCTCACAATGTATTGACATTTCTTTGAAAAGAGATTCACATTCTTGTATTTGATGAGTTTTGATAAAATACGGTAAAATTGCATTGAAGACTTCAATATACTTGAAAGGGTTTTCAGTTTCTTTTCTGAACTTTTTAAACAAAGAGAGTGCCTTCATATCTTGCTCAGAATCCAGGTAGACTTTTATTAACACCGCGACAGAAGAAGCTGAAGGTGTTATATCATAATTTGTTTGCATGATATTAAATAATTCTTCAGCAATTAGGTGATTAGTAAATTTTGAGCAGAGTTGCATAAGAACTAAAAAGTGCTTTTCACGTATCATAGATTTATTTGTGTTTGTTATCTTCCTTAAGAATCTCAGAGCACCATCGATATCATTTATTTTTTTGTAAACATTGAACATAACAGTGTAAGTTCCCATTGATGGAGAAATTCCGTACTTATCGAACAGTTCAAAATGCTCGAAGCATCCTCGATAGTCGCCAGATCTGAAGTGTACTTCGAGTAAAGCTCTAATGACCATAAAATTTGGAATCAGTCCACGTCTCAATAATTGCTGGTACAGTTGGTCAACACTCTCAAGTTCACCCTGAGTTGCAAGAGCAGCCATAACTATCCCGTACTGTTCAATGCTTGGTAATTTCCCAATTCCAAATAGTGCATTGAACTGGTCTTGTAATGCAGACCAATCATAGGTTTTAGACAACGCGATCAATAGATAGTCAAATTGTTTCACATCAAGATGGGCCGACGGGTTATTTATATAAACATTCACAGCACCTTTGTAGTCCCTTTCCACAATTTTCGTTTGCATAATCCTTGTCAGATCATATGATGATAACGGGAGTTGATGTGCATGTTTGTACTCCCATATTAGCTGAATCATTTTAGTATCCTTGTCTCTGTTAAGAATTGACATTAGCGTTGATCCGAATTCAGAGCATAGAGTTGGGCCATGGGTGTCTTTCAAATAATCAAATACCTTGTATATTTGCCCATCTAACTTTTTTACCACGTTGATAGTAGAAATAATTGTTCCTATGTTGTATCTATTTTCCTTTTTCTGTGAAAAATCAGCATGACCAGTTAAGAGCTTCATCCATGCAGGCCAACGCTTGTAGAATTCTATAACATCAGAAGAGTTCTTTCCTAGTGCTGGTGAGCAACATTCATGGCATACTGTTCCTATCAGTAATAACATATCTCTCGTCTTGGTTAAAGCATACTTTTTTATCAAACTTGACATTAGATGATCTAATTCGTCATACCTCCTCAGTCGAGCCAATGCCTTCAGATATAATCTTATCTCTTGCAAAGTTGCCTGAGGACTTTCTCTTTCGTCCTTTAGAAGCTTGCTTGCACTATAAAGATAATCTGTCTCGAGCTTTGCCAGTACTTCATATGCGTTCCGCTTCGCGAGCCATTTCATTACAAGTTGTCTGTTTCCAGCGGAAAGTTGCTGTATAGGGAAGGTGTCTGTGAAATAGGATGTAAGCGTAGCCATTTCGGTCTGTGACATATTTTTCTCTTGCTTACAGATCATGCTCCTTATGGACTGATCCATAGCTGCGGGCAACACTTTCGGGACGCATGTTTTAGCTATCTTAGGGACCACCAGAGGTAACTTCATCTGCTAAGTGATTGTAACGATGTGATAAACCTAAAGAAAAAAAGAAGTCTGTTTTTCAGATCGTATGTTTGATGGATAGTCTTATTGTCGTAATCTAAATGTCATATGGCTAATGAATGATTCGCCTCGCCTCGCTTTGTATCGTCTCGTCTCTAGAAAGAGAAAATGATGGTAGTTATATTGCAACAATACTACAAAAAAAATCAAAATGTAAGTGCAATTCTGTTGTCAGTTGACTGGTTCATATACCTGTTTATGAATTAGCGGATTCATGCCTTGATTTTATGTCAAAGGCCTTTATTTCTCCAGCACTGGGCCTGCCAATGGGAAGGTTCTCTACCCGAAAAAATGGGAAAACGTGAAAAATTTCAGTGTGGCAGTTCAAATGAAATTTAGCGATGAGCTAACGATTCAGCAAAATAGTAGTTTGCACTTTGTGCATAGTCATCGATATTACTGGGATTTCTGAATTATTAACATCAAGAATAGGTGTATCCAATATTGTATTTTGGGAGAAAGAAACGAAGATAACGGACAGTTTTATTTGAGCCATGGCGGAATTTGGTAGAAATAAGAAGAGTAATGGTAAAAAGTTTACCAAAGAGTACAAAGTCAAGGCTATTCAGCAGAATATTACTAGGAAAGCCAGATTAAAGAAAGAGTATCTGAAAGCCTTAAAAGAGGAAGGTTATGCAGTGCCTGAGAAGGAAACCTCCCGCAGAGAGGTTAATGTTAAGAAGCTAAAAGAGGATAAGAGATTAGAAGGTAAGAAGAAGATAGATGAGAAGAAAGAACTTAAGAAGCAAAGGAAGAGGGAACAAAGAGAGAAGCTAGAAGAGCGTAGGAGGAAAGAGGAAGAAAAGGTCAAGATAATAAGACAAAAGGAGCAAGAGAGAGAGCAGAAGAGGCGAAAGATGACTAAGAGAACGAGATCCGGTCAACCTTTGATGGCTCCAAAAATTGAGGATCTTCTATCAAAGATTAAGAACGATGATACATATACCTTGTAATTCATAATTCGGAATGGCATCTGACTTTACTCCAACACAAAATGATAAAATATAATCAACATAAATTTGTTTTCCGCATATTGCATACATTTAAAATATACATACAATTTGTTTCTTCTTTTATATTTCCATATTTATTTACAGAAGTGAATACTAATACTATTATCAAGTTTCGTTAAAAGCTGTTGTTTGTTTATGAGATATTCTGGAAAGTTAGCAATGTGTGGTTGTTCCAGGTCAGCGCTGCCGTCACATAAATTATAATATCTACATGGTAGGACTAGCTGCGCTCAAAAGTTTTGGAATAATCTGTTGTAAGACTTTCTAAATATCGTTCAGCTTGTGGTCATAAGACTTCTATTTCTTTTGTTTCTTTTGGAATTCAGCTATCAACTCTTTCTGAACATGAGGAGCTGTAGGAGCGTAATGGCTGAATTCTAGAGAGAATTCACCCTTACCTTGTGTAGAAGCTCTTAATGAACTTGCAAAGCCAAACATAGTACTCAATGAGCATTCGGCCCTCAAGGTAAATTCGTCGTGGCCATTGTCAGTTTCTTGTATAACGGCTTGTAGCTTATTTAGCAAGCCAATGACATTACCTTGGAATTCATTTGGTGAAGTTACTGAAACTATCATAATAGGTTCCATAATAACCGGTTGAGCTTTTAGGAATGCGTCACGGAAAGCAGTTAAAGTAGCAACCTTGAAAGCAAGTTCGTTAGAGTCGACTGAGTGAATGGCACCATCATTGATCAACATCTTGACATTCAAGACTTTATGACCAATTAAAGGACCCCTTTCGCAAGCTTCATCAAATCCCTTGGCACAGGCAGATAGATATTTGTCAGGGATACGACCACCAACAACATGGGTCTCAAATACATTAGATTTATTACCTCCTTCAACTGGAGATAAATCACCAATGATTCTGGCGTATTGACCTGCACCACCAGACTGTTTCTTGTGAGTGTAGTCAAATTCGCTAGGAATAGTTATAGATTCTCTATAGGACACTTGAGGTTTACCAGTAATACATTCCACGTTATATTCACGCTTCATTCTTTCAACATAAATTTCTAAGTGCAATTCACCCATACCAGAAATGACGGTCTCCTTAGATTCAGGGTCAAATCTAACTCTAAATGTTGGATCTTCTTTTTGGAATCTATTCAGAGCTTTTGAAAAATTGGTGGAGTCCTTACTCTTTGGTGTGATAGATAGGGAAACCACAGCATCAGGGACAAACATTGAAGACATAGAATATTGTAAGGTACCGTCACTGAAAGTATCACCAGAAGAACAGTCGATACCAAATGTGGCACAAATTTCACCAGAGCCAACCTCATCAACATCTTCCATCTCATTGGAGTGCATTCTCACTAGTCTGGAAACCTTCACCTTCTTACCAGTTTTAACGTTAGTGATATAACTACCCTTCTTCAAACGACCCTGGTAGACACGAATATAGGTTAACTGACCATATTTACCTTCTTCAAGCTTGAATGCTAAGCCGACAAATGGTTGTTGAACAGAGGGGATCAAGTTGACTTTCGCTTCTTCATGTGCGATATCTAAACCAGTATTCAAAACTTCAGATGGATTTGGTAAGTAGTCCACAATGGCATCCAAAACGTGTTGTACACCAGTGTTAGCTAGAGCAGAACCCATCAATACAGGAGTGAATTTTCTGGCAATGGTTGCTCTACGGATAGCATCTTTCATTTCTTGGATGGTTGGTTCCTTCTCTTCTAAGAAGATCTCTGCCATATGTTCGTCAACATCGGCCAATGTTTCGATCAAAACTTGTCTCTTTTCTTCTGCAAGTGATTTCAACTCTTCAGGAATTGGACCACTCTCGATTATTTCACCGTTATCCCCCTTGTTATAGTAAGCCTTCATATCCAGTAAATCGACAACACCTTTCAGCTCTGATTCAGCTCCGATAGGAACCTGAACAGCGGCAGCCGGTAGTTTTAATTTAGAATTCAGTTGTTCAATAGCTTTGAAAGGATTAGCACCCATACGGTCCATCTTGTTAATGAAAGTGACTCTTGGGACATTGTATCTACGCATTTGACGGTCCACAGTCACAGTTTGGGACTGGACACCTGACACAGCACAGACAACAAGGACAGCACCATCCAGTACTCTCAAAGCTCTTTCGACTTCGATAGTGAAATCAATGTGACCTGGAGTGTCGATCAAGTTGAAATGGTAGCTATTCTTGTCCTTGTCCCAGGAACAGTAAGTGGCAGCGGACTGAATGGTAATACCTTTTTCTCTTTCTAAGTCCATGAAGTCCATAGTAGCACCGACGTTATCACGGCCTCTCACTTCATGAATCTCCTTGATCCTCTTGGTATAGTATAGCACTCTTTCAGTAAAAGTGGTCTTACCCGAATCAATATGTGCGGAAATACCAATGTTACGCAGCTTTTGCTGGTTTTGTATATCAACGGGGGTCAGCTTCTTATTTATTTCATCTATAACCACTTTCTCCTCGTCGTACTCACTTCTGTGAGCTCTGGAGAAGTGGAACCCTCTGGACAAGCTCCCTTGCAAAGGTCTGCTTATCTTCAGAAGGCCACACTTGCCCTGCATCACCACGGGAACCCTAGGTACCAGAAGCATAGTTGTATTTATTCAGTTGGTTATGGGCTTGGATTTGTCACAGGAGGTTATAGTCTTGAATTTTTATGTCAAGTCTTGTATAGTTTGTCGATGGTCCCTTGGGTTTGAAGGAAATTCCTCGAGGCGAAAAGATCGACGCTAAGTGGAAAAAATGTTGTTTGTGTGATAAACAAGTAGAACTGTAGTCATGATGTGTGGGGGGGAAGATAAATACTTATGAGCTCGTTAAAGTACTAAGATTACTATTACTACCAGTGCTCTGATGAGTAGGATAATGTAATTTCAGTTTTTTGGATTTCTAAGTGGGAGCTAAGCAACATGTATATGCGTGTAGTGGTTTCCGATAAAACCGCGCGCTCGGTCTGCTTGTATAGGATATAAATGCTATTGTGGATATGGTTATTATAGGGCATATGTAAATGTGTAAACTTGTACAATCTTAGTAACTGTATAGGGTTTATAAAGAAATAAGATGGTTCATTAAAAAAAAGGGCATTTAGTAAAAAAAAAACTATAAACGATGGATATACCATTTCTCTTATGATGGAGAATAAATAGCAGCTCCACCATTCCTGGGGTGAAACATATATGATTGAAAAGAACTAGTGGGAAGAAGAAAAAATGAAGAAATGTAAATAACTAAAACACAAAATAGATGTTTGGATGTTTTTGTTTCTAGAAATGAATAAGATCATATGGCAAAAAGGTGGTAAAAACTTTATAATGAAGAAAAAAAAATATGATATGAAATGGTAATTCTTGTGAGAAAGAATTAGTTAAAAACTATGCGGATATTGTTCTGGGTATTGAATATTGAACGTCAGAAAAAAACAGTAGGCGTTCAATATACTAGTCAAATGTTTGATATAAGTTTGAACTCTATGCCTGATATTGTGATTGTTTTCGTTTCTTATTTATTCATGCAGCAAAGCCAGATATTAGGTACAAAGAAAAACAAAGTTTTCTTCATGGTTGGTTTGTGGTTGGATTAAGCAACAATGTTGTAGACAGTTATGGAATATGAAAAAAAATTCTTTGTTGGGAGATTAATTCTTGTTCTCGAACCTTCTTAGTGTTTTAGTGAGAGAATAACAAGAATAATGTTTGGCGTTACGTGTGGGAAAAACTGGTAATTGGGTAACCGACGTCAGCGATATGTGACTCTGTAACTCAATGTAATCAATCGGTTTCGTCTGGATTTACCACAGTCAAAACATTATTGTTGCCCAGAGGTGGGGAACCCGGTACCAATGAACCGTTACTTATTCTTCTCGAGTCATCGAATGGGTTCGCTACCGCGAGGTGGTTGTTTGTGCTTGGTTTCCTATCCGGCATAGCCATCAAATCATTATTTTCGTAAGGGTCAGTGCCTGTTGCGGGTGGGTACATTGCCTTGTTTCGCAGCTCTTCGTCGAAGCTTCCCGATGAGGGGTCTCTATTAGAGGAGTATGGGGATGGGAACAGTTCGTTGTTCTCTGGGTATTCCACAGGTTTTATAGCTTCCTGGTATTCTTTCTCCATTCTCTCCTGCTCGCGTTTCAGGTTTATGTGTCTCAGTATTAGCAATGCAGCTACAGCGACCACACACGCGCCCACCACACCGCCGACCACACCACCTACGATTGCTCCCACGTTGGCTTTCTTCTTGTGCTTCCCGGAGTTGTTCTTGCCGCTGGAGTCGTCGTCGGAGCTGGTCGAGTTGCCGGCGTCCGTTGGCGCGGCGCTCTGCACAATGGTGCTGGTCCTGTAGATCACGGACCCGCTTATCGTCTTCAGGGAAGTGGAGTACACTATGGACGTGACGCCATTGTTCACCGTGCTGGAGGCGATCGTCGTGGCCTGCGTGGTGGGCTCCACGCTCGAGGAGGGCTCGATGGAGAGGCCTGTGCCCAGCGCCACCAGCCTAGAACTCGACAGCGTAGACGTAGGTCTTGTGTTGGTATTGGAGTTCGAGTTCGAGTTCGTATTGGTATTGGTATTAGTGTTTGAGTTTGTATTCGTGTTTGTATTCGTGTTTGTATTGGTATTGGAGTTGGAGTTGGAGTTGGAGTTGGAATTTGTATTTGTGTTTGTATTTGTGTTTGTATTAGAGTTTGAGTTTGTGTTGGAAGAGCTCTGGCTGGGGTTCCCGTTTCCTATCTGGAAGACTGAGTATGCTGAGTTCCCACCGCACATCTCCTGGGCGTATCCGAAGCAGTACGTGTTGCAACTTGAGCTGGTCTGGGAGGAAGGACTTGTGTTCCCGCAGAAGCACTGGTTGTGATTGAACAGCGCGAAGTACGCGGCACCCTTCTGCTGGCACCTGCTGTAGCAGTATGAGCTCGTCTGGTACGCATAGGTGTTATCCGATGAGAAGTCGCTGGGAAGCGACACGTAGCAGTTCATGTACGTATAGTCCGACTGGGCCCGCGTCACGGCCGCCAGCACCGCCAGTATAAGTAGCATCATCATATTAGTGGTCTGTTGTTTTGTGTATTATGGTATAATGTGTTATCTAGTTTAGAAATAGGATTCCTTTATAAATCTCTTGTTCAAACTTCGATTGGTAAATTTTTTGCTTGATAGGTTTTCCTGGTTTTCCTCCCCCCCCCCCCCGGGATGGAAGTACTGGTCTGCAAGTCTCCCTCCTCCCCCATCGACCATCGACCATCGACCATCGGCCACCAGTGCATTGAACAACTAAAAATATCTCTATGTACGTACCTCTCTATGCCAAGTTTCTCTACGTAGTTTTCTACGTTGTTTTCTACGTCTACTACAAGTGCTAGCTTGGGGGGAGGCTTCTCTCTCTCCTTTTCGCGTTTTCTCGGCTTCTGGACTTTGACACCAGTGCTTTTTCGCGTTTGTATCTCTGTATACGTGGTGGTGTGATGGGTACGTGACGTGTGAGTGGTAGTGGTCCTGGTGAACGGTGGACATCACGTTTATATCACTGGTTTTGTTATATCTTCACGTGTCTTCACGTGTCTCTCGTGTATTGTGTATTGTGTCTCGTGTCTCGTGTGTCTCTCTCGTGTGTCACTACCACCACCCCACGTATTTATACGTTCACTCTGTGCGGGGGGGAGGGATGCACGGTGGGGGTGGGAGCCATCTGTGCTCTGTGCTCTGTGCTCTGTGCTCTGTGCTCTGTGCTCTGTGGTGTGTGGTGTGTGATCTGTGCTCTGTGCTCTGTGATCTGGTCTTGTATATGCGAGATCTCGTTTGACATTTCGCGAGGCAGATCTATACGACTTGTAGTACGGTACCTCTTACCATTCTTGGAGTGGTGAATACAATGGTGCATACAATGGTAAATACAATGGTTAATTCAATAGTGGTACAATGGTGGTACAACTCATACTCATGCATCTGCTCTACTGTTTACATCTTCTTACTTCTTACTTCTTACTTCTCGCATCTTACTTCTTCTCACATCTCTACGATCCCATTGTTCTTTCGTTAAAATGCGTGTGTGCGGTTAGCGAAATGTAGCTGCACCTTAACGATCTCGTAAATACTTTCATAGAAAGAAAAGAAAAATATAGTAATGGGCACTTGCAATTGTTGATAGAGTATTTCAAAATGAAAAGGATTAAAAAAAATTTTCACTATATAAATTCAATTGGTTTTGACTTATATTCAAAAAATTTCCTTTTCCAACTCTACTCTCTATCCCTACCCAAAAAACATCCAACTCTTACTCTCGCTAACATAAAGAAAAACAACAATGAAGTTCTCCACTGTCGCTCCTCTAGCTTTCGCTGCCGCTGTCGCTCATGCCAGCAACCCAACCCCAATGCAATTGGCTGAATTGAACGCCGTCATGGAAGACTTGAAGACTAACCTACAGGACTACATGAACTTGGCCATGGACCCTAACTCTGGTTTCTCCTTGGCTGACATGCCTTCCGGTTTGATCCAATTGGGTATGGCCGTCGGTACCGCCACCGATGACTCCTACACCAGCATGTACTCCGACGTCGACTTCGCCGGTGTCGACAAGATGGTCACCATGGTCCCATGGTACTCTTCCAGATTAAAGCCATTGATCGACTCCCTATATGCCGCTGAAAACCCAGCCCCATCCACCTCCTCCGCTTCTCAAGCCACCCCAGCTCCAGCTGCTTCCTCCTCCGCCGCCCCAGCCGCCGGCTCTTCCACCCCAGCTCCAGCTCCAGTCTCCTCCGCCGCTCCATCCTCTTACGCCCCAGCCCCAATGGTCAACTCCACCATGCCAATGGCTAACGGTACCACCACCCAAACCACCACCCACTTGAGCACCAAGACCTCCACCATCTGCGACGAGGAATGCCACAAGTCCATGTCCACCGCTACCGCCTTCAAGAACGTCACCGACACCCAAACCACCACCTACTGCCCAGAGTCCTCTCTATTCAAGAACGGTACCTCCACCGTCACCAACATGCACACCACCACCTCCACTGTCTGCGAGACCTGTATCTCCAAGCCAGCTACTTCTTCCGCTAAGCCAGCTACTTCCGCTAAGCCAGCTTCTTCCGCTAAGCCAGCTGTCTCTTCCGCTAAGCCAGCTGTCACCTCCGCCAAGTCCTCTGCTGGTAAGACCACCGTCACCACTTCCACCATCAAGGTCTCCTTGACTTCCTCCAAGGCCGCTGCCCCATCCTCCGTCGTCATCCAACACCAAACCGTCAACGGTGCCGCTAAGGTCGCTGCCGGTATGGGTGCCGGTGTCCTAGCTGCCGCTGCTTTGTTGTTGTAAGTGTGAAGGAAACTCATTTTGCTTTTCCCCTCACCCAATTAGTTTTATTTTACAACCACAACCTTGGAAACCTCCTGCCGCCAGCTGGGCACCCTGTGACATGCGTGGGATCCCTTTAATTCCATTCCACTCTCTTGTAATACCGCCCGGCAGCGTGCATGAGCTCCCAAACCAACCCCTAGATGTTTCTTTGTAATTATAGAAGCGGGAGCACTCCCATTTGATCTGAAGTACAGGGCGTGCTCCTTAGAAGAGGATACAACATTTTATAACTAGTGTTCTTTTTTTTTCCATTAACGAAAAACAAATTATTAATACAATTTTCTCTACTTTCATAAAACAGTCTCATGTATTTTAAATATAATACCCTTTAATTATACACAAGTTGCGTTACTTAGCCAGGCAATCTGCGGTGCCTAGGTATTTTTGATTGTAATTATGATTTTGATTTACGGTTTCCCGTTTTCCCGTTCTCCTCAATTAAAACTGCGTACAGAAGAAAAAATTAAGGGCGCGATGAGCTAATAAAAGTATAAATTTATTAAGAACTTCAAGTATAAAGCCAATTGGGTATGTGATAGACCGCCCAGCTGGATACGTATTTTAGAAATGGTATTTCATAGGTTACAAAAAAATGGAGAAAGGAAAGCATTAAAAAATATGTCATTGAAATAAAAGGATTAGATTAAAATTATCTTATAAGGTGGAGGTAAGTCTTTAATTTAAAAAAAAGGCATTAAAATAAAACACTTACAACAACATAGCAGCGGCAGCTAGGACACCGGCACCCATACCGGCAGCGACCTTACCAGCACCGTTAGTGGTTTGGTGAGCTTGGATTTGACCGTCACCGATTTGAGAGATAGCCTTGGTGGTGGTTGGAGCAGCAGAGGATGGAGCAGCAGAAGAAGATGGCTTAGCGGAAGAGGATGGAGCAGCAGAAGAGGATGGTCTAGCGGAAGAGGATGGAGCAGCAGAGGAAGATGGAGCAGCAGAAGAGGAAGATGGAGCAGCAGAAGAAGATGGAGCGGCAGAAGAAGATGGAGCGGCAGAGGAGGAGGATGGGGCTGGGGTAGCAGAGGACAAAGCGGCGTTAATAGCTGGCAACAATCTGGAAGAGTACCATGGCAACTTTGGCAACAAAGCTTCGATACCCTTGAAGTCGACGCTTGGGTACAAAGAAGTGTAGGACTTGTCGGTAGCGGTTTGGATGGCTAGACCCAATTGTAGGACACCGGCTGGCAAGTCAGCGGCGGTGATACCAGAGTTAGGGTTGGCCAACAAGCCGGTGTAGTCGGACAAGTGGGAGGAGAAGTCCTGTAGGATAGCGTTCAATTCAGCCAATTGAGTAGCGTCTTGAGCAACGGCGAAAGCAGCCAAAGCGGAAACTAGAAGAGCAGTCTTAGTGTAAGCCATTTTTAAAATTTTTTTGGAAATAACGAGTGTAAGTTTTTTGTTATGTTGTTGTTGTTTTTTATATTAACAAGAAGGTACAAGAAATGGGATCTAATGCAAGTAAAAACGTCCTCTTTATATATGTCAAGAAAAAGAGAATTGGAGAATTGGGTTTTTTTGTTGATGTGATGAATGTAATATTGTTATTTACAATGAGCGAAGCTATCTTTAGCTAAAAGCTAGCTTCTAGCTAAATGGTAGCTAAATGCTAGCTAAAGACTGCAAAGCAGCCACCACAATTAACAACTAGCAAGTCCACTAGCTATTGACAGTAGTCGGTAATAATTACATTCGAGAAAGAGCATTTGATGGAGTCGAGATCTTGACTGCATCGCTCGCAGTATTGTTGAACCTCAAAGTGTTGAGTTAGCTTGTTTTCAGGTTGGAGGTCATAGTGGCTATCAATTATGAAGGTTGTATCCTGGAAGAGTGTAGTCCACTTCCCTCCCCCCACTGCGGTACTACGACACTGCGGTACTACGACACTACGACACTACCTCTCAAAGGTGTCGAGAAGTTGTGCTTTTTCCCGAATGGGGGATGTTCCGATGGGCTCTAGATGGTGTAATCCCGCCTTCGGTGCTGTGCTGGATGTAGTAAAAAGGGGCAGAAGGGGGAGGGGTATGGAATATATTGTGGATTATGGAACTGGGTGTGCGGTTTGTTGTGTGCGTTGTCTACGTTGTCTACGTTGTCTACGTTGTCTACGTTGTCTACGTTGTCTACGTTGTCTACGTTGTCTACGTTCCTTACTCTCGGAGTGGGATTACCTCAACTTAGAAAATGAGGCAGGGAAGGGGAAGGGGAAGGTGTATAACATTTTCCGGTCCGGTAGTATGTGATGTAGGGGTTAATGAATTAGTATATCCTAATTGGGATATAATACAAGGTGGATACCCCGATTGGGGAACTGACGTTGACATGACATGATAAAGACCCCAACAAAAAATTCCAAATAGAGTTCTAGATAGGCAGCCCAGGAAGTGGAGACAAGGCCTTCCCCCCCCCTCAGTCGATCTCTCCTAGGGGAGGGGAGGAGAGGGACCGGGTGAAAGGCGTTAGCATTTCATACCCATGAAGTGCTCATGTGATTGCTATATTAGCCCGATTGGGTGCGACTTGAAAGCCAATTTGGCTAAGTGTATACTGTATAAAACTACCTCGTAAAGAATTTGTATTAATAAGCTCAAGAAACAATGGGTGCCATCCGCGGGTATCAACGATAACTCAACAATATCCCACACAGATCCCTCTTGCACTTTATTTTTATAAAACCTGTAGATCCATTTTTGTTGAGTTATCCCACATAATTAAACTCTTATCGGAACGCACGGAAAATCTCTCATCAGTTTTCTTCGCTTTCGGAAACGTTATAGTATAACTTAGATTTGCTCAACATAAAAAAAAAGGAATTTCGTACATAGCTATTTGGATTTGCTAGTGGATAATGATATTTACACATGGTGTTACCGTTGCCAGTTATTGTTGTTTGAAATGTTTTCCTCCAGTCTGTTTTTATGTTTTGGTTGTGGATTGGTGGTGTTACTTGCATGAGGGAGGGTGCCAGGTTGTACCCAAATGTATAGTACCAAGTGATATAGCCTTTTTGTGTGGCACCCTGGGGATGCTCTTTTTCAAAAAATGGAAAGCAGGACGCTAATGAGATATTGTATGCGTGAAGATGGGCATGTTCATTGTGTTGATGTATATGAAGGTAGATATGATATATACTAGCCGCTGAATAGTCAATATACTGCACGTGTAAATCGTCACTCTTGTGATATCTCTACCTTTCCAGTAATTCTTCCCCACCAGGTTCCTCCCCCCCCAGTGATTACTATAACATATCATTTGAGTCGTATACTTTAGTGTGGAGGGAGCTATATTTGGACTGCACACCAATTATACGGGGAAAGTGGAGATGGCTGCATTTCAGTATTATACCGTCTCGCTCACATACTCTCGTACCCTGTACCTCTCTCTCTCTGAATTCTGGACGAAAGCATAGAATCCCCAGTAGTGGCATCCTTCTTTTTTTTCTTCACATGAGATCTGAGATGCGCATCAGAAAGACATTTCCATTCCTACGGGGAATATTTAGGGACTTCTTTTTTTGCCACGTTCGTTTAGTTTCTCCGAGAATTAAGGGTCCTACTCACTATGGGGGGTGTATTCCACTGCAGTTACTTGCATGTTGCCTCTCTCTCTCTCTGTCTGTTAAATCTCCCCCCTCCATTGTTCCATTGTTTGATTTCTTTCTTTTTCCCCTTCTGACACTTTAACGATTGCGTGCCCTGCAGGTAATGTGCCGGTAGGAATGCAAACGAATCCCGTTTCACCATCCCATTCATTAGCCACTACGAGATTCTTCCGCCCCGTACAAGTGTCCTGCCATTCGTAATGATGATCGTAATCGTTGTTGTAATGGTAATGGTAATCGTACTTGTAATCGTACTTGTAATCGTACTTGTAATGATGTCTTGGTGCCATAAGGATTGACTTATACGTAAGGTATGGGGCTAAAGTATAAAACAAATAAAGTAAAACACGCTTTTGTGTTTTTAATATACTCGTACTGGTGCTTATACCATTCGATGTTATTTATTCTTTTTGGCGATTGCAAACAATAATAATCATAACTGCGGAGAGCAACTCGCTATATTCGTTCATCCTTTTCTTTGGAAGAATTATTCAAAGAATTACAAAGAGAGAGAAGAGATATATCTGATTTCAATAGCTTTTCATATATTAAGAGAGTACTTATTCTTTTGATCCAGGAAGAACAAAAAAAGAGAAGCTTCCTTTTTAGAATAAAATTTTTTTAAACTTAACTTGTTGCCGCGCTATAGCCATATACAAGTTCTCCTTATCTTTCCGCATCCCCACATCCCCCCAACTATCAATTTTCTTTAAATCAAGGAAAATCTATTACATTCGCTATTAATCTCTACTATCTTTATCTTAGTTTTTTGAAATTCTCGGAAAGAAACATCAAATCAAAAAATTTTAACCTTCTAAAACTTGTTCTTTTTTTGGGAAATATAAGATGTCTTTGGCAGATTATTTCACACCGGTGCCTAACGCATCGGTGACATTCGAAGGAACTACCGTGAATTTGAATGAAACCGCTACTGGTTCCGCTCATTCCCACGCTGAGGACCCAGAGTTCGGAGAAAAATTGCCGCTACCTTCAGTGTCCCCTTGCGAAAATGGCCAAGTGGTAGACCTGACTTTCCAAGCCACTGCAGGTGAAATGGTGCTAGTGCTCGGTGCCCCAACGTCGGGTATCTTCAAGTCCCTGTTTCACGCCCACAAGCACCTGAGTTATTCCCCTCAGGGTTCCATCAGGTTCAAGGACAACGAGTTCAAGGCATACTCGTCGAAATCCCCACACCAGATCATTTACAATAACGAACAAGACGTGCACTTCCCTTTCTTGACCGTCAACCAGACTGTCGATTTCGCACTCTCGTGTAAATTCGATATCCCAAAGGAAGAGCGTGAAAACATGCGTAATGAACTGTTAAGAGAGTTCGGTCTGTCCCACGTCGGTGACACCATTGTCGGTAACGACTACTTCCGTGGTGTCTCAGGTGGTGAAAGAAAACGTATCTCCATTATCGAGACTTTCATCGCCAATGGTTCCGTATACCTGTGGGATAACTCCACAAAAGGTCTGGATTCCTCAACCGCTTTGGATTTCTTGACCATTCTACAAAAAATGGCAAGAACTACTCGTTCCGTTAACCTGGTCAGAATCTCTCAAGCTTCCGACAAGATCGTCGAGAAATTCGATAAGATCCTGATGCTTTCGGACTCTTACCAAGTATTCTACGGTACCGTCGACGAATGTTTGCATCATTTCCGCGATAACCTTGGCATCAAGAAGGATCCAAATGACTGTATCATCGAATACTTGACTTCTATTTTAAATTTTCAATTCAGAACTAAGTCTCTAGACATAACAGGTTCTTCCGAGGACCTAGATCTAAAGGATACAGACCACAATGAACAAACTTTCTCGGGCATTGCTTCTTCTCTATGCTCAGAAGTTGATTTATACACCCAATGGAAAAAATCCTCTTACTACCAAGATATCAAGGAGCAAATCGGAGCCTTCAACGTCGAAAACAAAGCTGATGGTAATCACATCAACCCAGAGGATGTCACAAAGACATTTGACATTCCATTAAAGAAGCAAATTCTATACTGTACTAAGAGAGCTTTCCAAAGAAGTTTGGGTGACAAAGCCTATATGATTTCTCAAGTGATCTCGGTTATTATCCAGTCATTGGTTATTGGTTCGCTTTTCTACGACATTCCAATGACTACCATTGGTTCTTTCTCTAGAGGTTCTTTGACCTTTTTCTCCATTCTGTTCTTCACTTTCTTGTCGCTAGCTGATATGCCAATTGCTTTTCAAAGACAAGCTGTTGTTAAGAAACAAACATTGCTGCATTTCTACTTTAACAGTGTCGAAACTTTGGCAACTACATTGTTTGATTATTGTTTCAAGTTCTGCTTAGTGGTCATTTTCACCATTATTCTTTACTTCTTAGCTCATCTGCAATACAATGCCGCTAGATTCTTTATCTTCCTGCTGTTCCTTTCTGTCTACAATTTCTGTATGGTCTCATTGTTCTCCCTAACAACAATGTTTACACCAACTATCTCTTTGGCTAACTTGTTCGCTGGTATTCTATTACTTGCCATTGCTATGTACGCCTCTTATGTTATTTACATGAAGGATATGCATCCATGGTTTGTATGGATTGCCTACTTGAACCCTGCAATGTACGCTATGGAATCAATCCTAGCCAATGAAATGTTCAACTTGAAACTTGACTGTACTGAATCTGTCGTTCCTCGTGGTCCTACTTATCAAAATGTTCCTGTCACCAACAAAGCCTGTGCTTGGCAAGGTGCTACTTTGGGTAATGATTATGTTAGAGGTAAGGATTACTTGAAGAACGGTTTGAGTTATAAGTACAGCCATGTCTGGAGAAACTTTGGTATCTTGATTGGTTTCCTTTGTTTCTTCATAGCCATGAACTTGTTTGCTTCCGAATACATCAAGCCATTGTTCTACAATGATGGTCCAGAAGCTGTTCAACATTTCATTAACAGATGGTTCCGCAGATCAGCCACTCATTCTACTACCTCATCTTCTTCTCCTGAAAACATTAAGTTGAAGGAAGATGTTGTTGTTAAGTCTGCTTCCCTATCTTCCACCTCTTCTCTATCATCCTCTGAAACAGCTAAGTCTAATCCATTTGCTGACAAGACTGTGCAAGCGCAAAAGCATGTTATCTCATGGAAGAATATCAACTACACTGTTGGTGGTGATAAGAGACTGATTAACAATGTCTCTGGTTACATTGGTTCTGGTTTGACTGCCTTGATGGGTGAATCTGGTGCAGGTAAGACTACTTTGTTGAACGTTTTGTCTCAAAGAACAGAATCAGGTGTGGTTAGTGGTGAAATTTTGATTGATGGTAAACCATTGACCAACGAAAACGCTTTCAGAAGAAGTATTGGTTTTGTGCAACAACAAGATATTCATTTGGAACTATTGACTGTTAAGGAGTCGTTGGAAATCTCCAGTGAATTAAGAGGTGATGGTGATATGGAATATGTCGAAAGTATTTCTGAACTATTGAAGTTGCCTCTTGACTCTCTTGTACGTGAGTTGAACCCAACTCAAAGGAAACTGCTATCTATTGGTGTCGAATTGGTCACTAAACCATCTTTGCTATTGTTTTTGGATGAACCTACCTCTGGTTTGGATGCTGAAGCCGCTTTGACTATTGTTCAGTTTTTGAAAAAACTTTCTCTACAAGGTCAAGCTATTTTCTGTACTATTCATCAACCTAGTAAGAGTGTTATTAGCTACTTTGACAACATCTATTTGTTGAAACGTGGTGGTGAATGTGTATACTTCGGCCCAACTAGTGAAGCTTGTGGTTACTTTATGTCTTATGATAAATCTTTGACCTACGATCCTGAAAGCGACAATCCTGCTGATTTTGTTATTGATGTTGTTGGTAACAATGAATCAATGGAAGAAATGGATGACAAGGCTGACTTTGCTATCAGAGAGGAAAACCCATGGTCCACCCGTTGGGAAAACTCACATGAAAGAAAGAATATTGATGAGACTGTTGTTAGACTTGAACAAGAGGCTGCTGCTTCAGGCGTTGATTTCACTACAGCTGTTTGGGAGCAACCTTCTTACATGAAACAATTGATTATGATTACTAAGAGACAATACACTTGTACTAGAAGAGATAGATCTTACATTGCCGCTAAATACTTGTTAAATGGTGGTGCTGGTTTGTTTATCGGTTTCTCTTTCTGGAAGATCAAACATACTATTTCCGGTCTTCAAGACACTATCTTCTTCTGTTTCATGGCTCTTTGTGTTTCTTCACCATTGATTAACCAAGTGCAAGATAAGGCTTTACAATCAAAGGAAGTCTTTATTGCCAGAGAATCGAGATCTAACACCTACCACTGGACCTGTCTACTGCTAGCTCAATTTATCATTGAACTACCTCTGGCTATGTCCAGTTCGACATTGTTCTTTGTCTGTGCATTCTTCTGTTGTGGTTTCGATAACAGCGGTAAAGTTGCTGGTGTCTTCTACTTGAACTACATCTTATTCAGTGCTTATTATTTAACATTGGGTCTATGGTTAATTTACACAGCTCCAAATCTTCAAACTGCCGCTGTGTTTGTTGCCTTTATTTACAGTTTCACAGCTTCTTTCTGTGGTGTCATGCAACCTTATGCTTTATTCCCAGGTTTCTGGAAGTTTATGTACAGAGTGTCACCATACACTTACTTCGTTGATACTTTTGTCAGTACACTGCTTCACAACCGTAAGGTTATCTGTAACACCGGTGAAATGGTTCCAGGTCAGCCAACTGGTGGTAAGACTTGTGGCCAATTCTTCAAGGCTTATATTGACGAATATGGTGGATGGTTGAAGAATCCAAACACTTTCACTGTTTGTGCATACTGTACCTATGATACTGGTGATGATTTCTTAAAGCAACAAAATATGTCCCATAGCCACATCTGGAGAAACTACGGTATCGAGTGGGCTTTCGTTGCATTTAACTTCTTCGCCATGTTTGCTGGTTACTACTTAACCTACGTTGCCAAGGTATGGCCAAAGGTTTTTAAGTTCATCATGAAATTGATCCCAACTGGTATCAAGTCTAGAGCATCCAAGGACTAAGAGTGACTCCTACAAGCTTTTAATGAAATAACAATTCCATTTTATTCTTAAATTTAACACTTTTCTTTAATCTACTAATACTAATGCTCAAAATTCCCGGTTTTTTCACCTTTACAGCAAAAAAGCTATACAACAAAATTTAAAATATAATTTAAAAAAAAAGCATTTTCACTTCACTGACACACATACCCACCTCCAACGGTACTATAACACCCTTTGAACCTGTTTAATTCAAAGAGTAGTAGTTCCGTTCTTATTTTTGTTACAACTTCCTTTATTTTTTTTTTTTTCGTTATATTGTTTTTTTAGACTTTTTAATTTATTTCTAACATATATAGAGTAATCAATGTAAACTATCTCGTTTTTTAGTTATGGCAAATATCTTCTTCAGAGGTTCAATTATCAATATAGTAGTAACAATCGCAAGAAAATACCTCAGGTTCGCCTCGTATAAGCAATATTTCCGACCAAGTAAAAACACTGACGTTACGCAGTTCTTACACAAACAGATTCATCTCCTATTCTGACCAAGAAAACAGTCAGTTTAAAAAACAGACCAACTGGCCAGATAATGTAAATAGATATTCGGGCCCCACCCACACCTTTATACTCTATATGAACTCACATGACCCATTACGTACAACAGCATTGTGTACGTTTTTTGGGAATCCACGTAGAGCAAGAGGAGAGCAACGAGCTCAAGGGGAAACGATTTGTCCACTGAACTGTCAAAAAGGCTTTGATTTGAGCAATTGCAAGTGGAATTGGCAAGAAGTCTAAGCGCTGTTGGTATAAGTTTCAGCGCAGGAGTAGCACCGATATTGGAACAATAAGAGTCTTGTTGACAAATTAGAAGTTGCTCAGCCAAAGGACAATTATTTGCGGTTTTACTGAAATAGGATCTTTTGAAGATGATGCGAGGTTTCAAGCAGCGGTTGATCAAGAAGACGACTGGATCTTCTAGTTCAAAGAAGAAGGACAAAGAGAAGGAGAAGGAGAAGGAGTCGAAGCATGCTACTCCTACTAGGAAGTCCTCGTCTTCTAGTATTAAGTCAGGCAGTGAGAAGAGTAACAAAGCTACGGGGAATTCTGGTGTCTCCAGCAGCCACGGGTCAAAAAGTCACACTAGTTCAGGTCTTACATCCAGATCTCCTACCGTTTCAGCGACTACGTCCAGCTCTTCAATCTCTAGCAAGACTGGGAACAGTCAGGGTGCCGATGACACGCAGACGGAGACTCCTAATCAACATCAGAAGGTATCCCACGAGACTCCAAGCATAACCATTTCTGATGACAATACGGCCAAATCTACACCAAAGGCACATCCAACTTTACTTGGAGCTGCCACGGCGATCAGCCCATCGTCCCCACAATCACCAGGGTCAGCCAGTTTTGGTCACGGAGTATCCTCTGGAATTAACGATGACAATAACTCACCTTCTTATGGCGGATCTTCACCAGGAATTGATATCCCAAGGAGCTCGCACTCATTTGAAAAGCTACCAACACCTACTAAACTCAATCCCGACTCTGATGTGGACTTGATAAGAACTCCTCAACGTCACTATTCATCAAGATTTGAACCATCCAGATACACACAATTGACCAAGTTACCTAACTTCGATGAAGTCTCCCCTGAAGAGAGAATACCTTTATTCTTAGCAAAAGTGGATCAATGTAATACCTTGTTTGATTTCAATGATCCAAGTTTTGATATTCAAGGTAAGGAAATAAAGAGAATAACCCTGCAAGAGTTGATAGAATTTATTGTCACCAATAGATTCACCTACACACACGAAATGTATGCTCACATTGTCAACATGTTCAGCATTAATTTATTTAGGCCAATACCACCACCTGTAAACCCAATCGGTGATATATACGACCCAGACGAGGATGAACCAGTCAATGAACTGGCATGGCCTCATATGCAGTTGGTGTATGAATTTTTCTTGAGATTTGTCGAAAGTCCAGATTTCAACCACCAAATAGCGAAGCAGTATATCGATCAAGAATTTATCCTAAAATTGCTAGAACTATTTGACAGTGAAGATATTAGAGAAAGAGATTGTCTAAAGACTACTCTTCATAGAATATATGGTAAATTCTTAAGTTTAAGAAGTTTTATCCGCCGGTCGATCAATAATATATTTTTGCAATTCGTCTATGAGACTGAACGTTTCAATGGTATTGCTGAACTCCTAGAAATATTGGGATCCATCATTAATGGGTTTGCACTACCATTAAAGGAAGAGCATAAGATCTTTTTAGTAAGGATACTCATCCCATTACATAAAGTACGCTGCCTCTCGTTGTATCATCCTCAACTTGCATACTGTATTGTTCAATTTCTAGAGAAAGAACCACTTTTAACAGAAGAAGTGGTAATGGGCTTACTGCGTTACTGGCCTAAGATAAATTCTACTAAGGAGATTATGTTTTTGAATGAGATAGAGGATATATTCGAAGTCATAGAGCCGTTAGAGTTTATCAAGATCGAGGTACCTTTGTTTGTTCAACTGGCAAAATGTATCTCGTCACCACACTTTCAAGTAGCTGAAAAAGTACTCAGTTACTGGAATAACGAATATTTTTTGAATCTGTGTATAGAAAACGCTGAGGTGATACTGCCAATTATCTTCCCTGCCCTATATGAACTAACCTCCCAATTGGAATTAGATGGTACAAACGGTGAGGAAAGTATATCAGACCCATATATGCTTGTTGAACAAGCAATTAATTCTGGTTCATGGAACAGGGCCATCCATGCAATGGCTTTCAAGGCACTGAAAATATTTTTGGAAACAAATCCTATTTTATATGAGAACTGTAACTCCCTGTATCTATCAAGTGTGAAAGAAACTCAACAAAGAAAAGTAGAAAGAGAAGAAAACTGGAGCAAGCTGGAAGAATATGTCAAAAACTTGAAGATAAGCGAATCAGCTAGTGGACAGAATCTTGATTCGGCTAGCAACGAGGGCTCCACTGAACAAATGACTATCGATGTTGAACAGAAAGATACACACATGTCTAGTTTGCAGAGTGATGATGACTATCACGAAACAAATGCTGTTCTAGCAAATGATGCTGCTGAAAAATAATCAGCAATCCTTTATTAATAGCATTATTAAAATAAATATCTTAGTTATGAGACGTTTCTAGAATATAGAGCTTTTCTTTAGGGACAAACAAGTTATATTAAAGTTAATACCTTATTTCATTGGTAATTACCATAGTTGTAAAATGAAATCTTCATTCATTTAAACTGATCATAATCTCCTATTGTAAAACAGAAAATATAACGTATTACTTGAGCGGGTATCAGATCAAAATTTAACTGAGGATATTTGTTACACCTTTATGAAAAGTCATCCAATTGATTAGGGCGTGTGGTCTAGTGGTATGATTCTCGCTTTGGGCGAACATGGATAAAATCCGTGTGAACAATCACAAGCATGCGAGAGGCCCTGGGTTCAATTCCCAGCTCGCCCCATTTAATTTTTTTGGATATTATGTATATTCTATGTTTCCTATTTGTAGTTACAATTTATTAGATGTAACTACCAGGATAAAGTCTCCTTTATTTTTTTATTATAGAATCTACCGAAGCAACAGACACCGTTGCTTGAATCCATCTGTTGGTTTTACTCTTTTGCGTGTAAGTGAAAAAGTTCCGCAGCCTAAAAATAACTTGGTGTCGGGACTTGTGAAAGTACTCAGTACCTCGGTTATCTATGCAGCTCAATGATGGGATATCATGGTCTAAGGAACTCATTGCCAAATGGAAGAGCACTAATATTGAAGGGATACCAATTTTCAAATTTCCAAATTAAAATAGAGCTGATAAGCAAAATCAGAGTGCGAAATTATAGCCCAAGCAAATATGTCCGACGGTCTAATAACAAAAGGACAACTACTGTATCCGAAATATCAGCTAAAGATTCAAGCCAACAAGGTATATTACCATCTCAAACACAATCTATAAACACATGGAATAAAAAACATGATCAACGCATTGATTTTAGACTAAATATATCCGATATAAACCATGAGACTGTGAGAACGGATGAGTTTAAGGATAGCAAGCTCCCATTTAAGAGGCCTCCTTCACTTGGACACGGGTTAAAATCGGTTCTGCATCAACCAGTAAGTTTACATTCTCTACGTGATTCTCGAACAGGTATATATAACTACTCCAAGATATTGAACGATATCAAACCTGAACACTTAGAAAGGCAAATAGAGAATGAAAGTGAGCCATTATTCATTACGCCGCATAAAGATACTCGGTTGTTGGTATTGGCAAAGGAATGTGGGAAAAAATACGCTTCATCTACTAGTTCTATGACCTCTATATTGTCGCAATTACATTTTCTATTATCCAGCAACAGGAAGTTAAATATAACAAACTCATCAATTTCAAGCAATTTTCCACAGAAAGGTACTGATTACAGCCAGAGTGCACATTACCCTGCTTCAGTAATATTGAGGAAAGTATCTGTACCTAATAAAGGAGATATAATTTCAATTGACTCTGATAAGAGCTTGGATAGAGAAATAATACTTTCGATTTTGGGTCATAGTCTAGAAAACTTTCTTACCGATAACAAAACAAATAAATTTACAGACAGTTATATTTATTCTATGGTTGACAAATTTTTGTTAAGATCACAGTTAGATGCCCACGACGATTCTCTACCTAATTATGGTACCTTTGACTTGAAAACAAGGGCTGCAAGCGCTATCCGTCATGACTTAGCATTCATAGAGAAAGGTAAGAACAAAACAAATTACCAGATGAATAAAGTTTGGGGAGAGTTCGAATCATTAGAAAGAGAGTACTATGACTTAATTCGCACTACTTTATTGAAGTACTCACTTCAAGCGAGAATCGGTAAAATGGACGGAATATTCGTAGCTTACCATAACATTTCTAATATATTTGGGTTCCAGTATTTACCACAAGAAGAACTGGATTGTATTATACACTCTTATCTTGATAAGGACTTCGAAAAGCTGGTAAAACTAAGAAAATCAAAATTCATGTCCATATATGGAGTTGAAGAATATTTGCTGAACTATGAAAGAAATGAACAAGCTATCGCTTCCGCAGTAGCATCCGCAGAATTCAAGTTTTCGATGACTCTGCTAAGAAAGCTTCTAGGAATCATAGAACATGAACTTGAACGTACTATAGGTCCAGATTGGGCGTGCTGCAAATTGTTTTTCAAAACGGAATTTGAAAGCAAAAGAGGCTCGACCTGGAAGAAGCCCTCACTGACCGTTATCGCCATACCGCTAGATAAATCGTATGAGGACAAACCACTACATATAAAAGGATTGTCAGATTTTGAGATCAAAAGGAAACTGCTTGACATTGAAAATGAGATGTCAAAAACGCTTGCGAAAAGCGATGGCAAACTTATTGGACTCAAGTGTCAAGTTGTTCACGATTACAAATTAAATCCAGAATCGGTTGTAATACCTGATTTTGCAAAGGACAATAGCCAGGTTTTACCTAGGAATTTGAGGAAATTTGTCAAAGACGAATTGAGAGCTGATAGATACTCATCATATTGCAAGACTGGATTGGAGACACCCAATTTCTTTCATGAGATGGATGTTAAAACATGGAAAGTTCATGCGATCACTGAACCTATTACCAGCCAAGCTGAGATAAGTGATGTATACAAGAAGTTCACACGAGAGAAACTAGATGCACTGGAATCCCAGAGCATTGTAAAATTAACGCGTGATCACAACGATAAAAAGGAAATATATGACAGGATAGAGAAGGCGTGGGCTCAAAGTGTGAATGGTAAAATATCCAAGAAGCCTAGAAAGGCCACTGACACTGGTGAGTATGCCAGCGACTTCCAACATATACTGCGATCCTACGGTAATAGGACAACCTAGGATAAGATGATTTCATTGTAAATAGTTAGTAGATAACGAGTTAACGAGTGCATTAGTGTAAATATTAGCGAGAGTTATGATAATAGACAAAATAAAAAACAAAATATCGATAAAAACTTAATTTTTAGTTCATGGCGGAGAATTTTATATTTCTAATCAACGAATTCAATAAGCTTCTATGGCCAAGTTGGTAAGGCGCCACACTAGTAATGTGGAGATCATCAGTTCAAATCTGGTTGGAAGCATTTATTTTTTTCTCGGTGTTTATATGCTTCAAATAAAAGCACAAGCTGCCCTGCAGTACCAAGATACGATATTTTTCTGAGCAATAATTACTATTTTTTTTTCAGCTGTCAAATAGGCCAGAACTTGTCAGCCACGGACATGCTTGTTGCAAGAAATTGACATCGCGTACCCATTGTTTTTATTTTGCCTCTTTGACATAGAAACCCAGTCTCTGCACTAGCCATGTTTTCTAACGTGTGGTGAGAGTTTCCATGAGGAGGGGGGAGGCAAAGCCTAAATGGTAATTGTAAATCGTGAGGCAATATTCAAACGGCTTAATAGGCCCTCTCCAACCCATCGGTTTATGAGAAGGGGGCCAAAGCTAGCAAATGACTCTGTTGTCCAACAGCCAGAACTTTTTTTTAGTCAACCTGTTTGGCTACAATCTAAACTACATTGACTTGATAGTATGTACTATTCGAAATAGAATAATACACGTGACCTATATCTATATAATGCTTAAAATCCAACACTGAAACTGCCGTAGCACAGGCCCCCTCGAAACCTGCAAGCGAACTCGCAAGCGAACCCGCCCTGGCTGGGCACTTCCCTGCGTCTCTTTCTCAGGATCTAAGTTTATGAAGAATAAAATGCCTTGCCACGGGCGTGTCTGTGCAGCAACACAGAGTGATTTTCCAAATTTATTGTTTTGGTAATACATTCCATGCTTCTTGGGTCTCTTTCTCGTTTCTTTTTCTTGATCCCAGGCAATATTGACATTTCTCGAGACTTCCCATTCGAATAAATTTTTTTTCAATGGCAGGGACGTGGCTAGTCTCCTAGTGCCAAATTGCCAAACCCAAATCAAAACAAAACCATGAGCTGGAATATTTACTTTCTAAGCTCATCTTATATATAAGCTTGCTAAACTGTACCTCTGCTTAATACCAACTTCTAGCTTAAGCACTTGAATTCAAAAAAAAAAATATAACAAGACTACTAGAAAATGGTTTCTGTAAAACAATTATTTGCAGTTGCTCTTGCATCCACTGTTTTTGCTGCTGACAGCAAAAACGGTTCTACTCCAGTGATAGAGATCAAAGGTAATGCTTTCTTTGACTCTTCAAGCAATGAAAGATTCTACATCCGTGGTGTTGACTACCAACCGGGTGGATCTTCCAATTTGACGGATCCTTTGGCTGACAAAGAGATTTGCTCCAGAGATATCCCAGTGTTCAAGGATCTGGGTATCAACACTATTAGAGTTTACACTGTGGACAACTCCCAGGACCACTCTGAGTGTATGCAGATGTTGCAAGATGCCGGGATTTACTTGATCCTGGACGTCAACACCCCAGACAGTTCCATCTCCCGTCACAACCCCAGCTGCTCCTACAACGCCGACTACTTGCAAAACATCTTCGCCACTGTCGATGAATTTGCCAAGTACGACAATGTGCTGGGCTTCTTCGCCGGTAACGAGGTCATCAACATGGTCAACAACACTGCGACTGCTACTTACGTCAAGGCTGTTGTCAGAGACATGAAGAAGTACCTAAAGGCCCGTAACTACAGACAAATCCCAGTTGGTTACTCTGCCGCTGACATCGCCTCTAACAGACAGTTGACCGCCGAGTACTTCAACTGTGGTGACGACGCTGATGCTAGAATCGATATGTTCGGTGTCAACGACTACTCCTGGTGTGGTGACTCTTCCTTCGTTGTCTCTGGTTACAAGACCAAGGTCGACTTGTACAAAGGCTACTCCGTCCCAATCTTCTTGAGTGAATTCGGTTGTAACCAAGTCCCAGGCGCAAGACCATTCACCGAAATCAAGTCCATCTACTCCACTCAAATGTCATCTGTCTTCTCCGGTGGTTTGGTCTACGAGTACTCTAACGAAACCAACAACTACGGTCTAGTTCAAATCGATAGCCCAACTAACGTCACTAAACTACAGGACTTTGCGAACTTGAAGTCTGAGTACGCTAGTGTCTCAAACCCACAGGGTGACGGTGGCTACTCCGAGTCTAACCAACACTCTACCTGTCCACCATACCAAGAAGGTATCTGGGAAGCCAACAACACTTTGCCAGAAATGCCAAGCGCTGCCTCTGTCTACTTCGAATCTGGTGCTGGTCAACCATTCGGTACAGGTATCAGAACACAGGACAGCTGTGGTAAGGATGATGATGACATTGAAAACCAAAGCGATGACGATAACTCTAACGCTAACTCCACCGACACTTCTTCTTCTTCCTCTATGGCTAACTCATCTTCCTCCTCCACACAATCCTCCTCTTCCGCCACTACTTTGAGCACCAGCGCTTCCTCCACTTCTGCTTCCTCTTCTTCCTCAAAGGCCAAGAAGGCCAAGAATGGTGCAGCTGCTTTGGAAATCCCAGCTGTCTTCCGTGCTCTATTCGAAGTTGCCAACTTCGTTCTATGATAGGTACTTCACGCTGTCATAACTTTACCTGCTTCGTTGCAGTTTCAATTTTCTATTTAACGTTTTGTAAATTATTTAATATTAGTTCTCTTATCATATAGATGTTTATACAAAAAGATACTCCCTTTAATGTTTGAATGACCTGGTCAGAAGCTAAATTACAGGACGATATGTAACAACAGTAAGAAGTGTTTTGATATGCCTGTAAGTAGAATTATTCTCTAAAAAACAGTTAACAAAAAATAATATATTAATTAGGGCAAAAAATGAATATAAATCATGATAATAATTACAATTTCAAAAATAAAACAAAAATAAAAAATCCGAGCCTTGCAATATGAAGAGTCCATATTAGTGTACAGTTTAATAAAAAAGAGGCTAGAAAATCAAAAACAAACGCCTAACAAATCAAACTGAAGTCGTTAATGTGAAGCAGTTATACAGGCTTTGCCAGTATATTATCCAGGTTGCTGGGTGAGTTTCCTGAGTTAGTTGGGAAATTTCTCTTGTATTCCATATGCTTCTTGATTCTATCGAATGTAGAACGGGTAGGTTGATCCTGTGCAGATGTGGCACTACCATCACTATTTGAACGATTTTCCCAATTGGAAACATCTCTCTCTGATGTTACTTCCAGTTTCTCTATACTTTGTTTACGCTCCTTAGTGGTTGCTGATGCTGTGTCAGCAACACTAGGTGGACTGATAGGTGTGACTGCGTTGCCTCGTCCTGCTGCATTGTCATTAACGTTGGATGCATTAGCTGACTGTCTTTCAACATTTGCCTTAACATTGTCCTCAGCTGGAGTCCCGGCATAAATGTTTTGATCAGTAGGGGTTTCACTAGCAGCATTCATCATATCGCTCCTCAATTTCTGCACCTCATCGGGGGTAAGGTTAGGTTCACGGCCTTGGTTAAGTTTCCGACGTTCAGCAAACATTGATTGACAGAAAGCTTTACTGTATGGGTCAGAAGAACATGTACCACAGCTACCAGGCTTCCAGTTACTATTTTTAGGATCAACACCAGCTTCCTGTCTCTTCTTACTGCAACAGTCAGAAGAACCAGAACATTTACCTTCCTTAACAGTTTTTGCCTTCTTTGCCATGTAATTCATATCAATCTCATTCTCTTCAACATTAACAGTTTCGTTATTTGCCAGCAGTAAAGAGTTGACATCTGGCGAAACAGGTGTACTCAACTGTTTCTGGAACTTCGGATTGAGCTGTAAAAAGGCTTTATCTGCCGATCTCTTTTGTGACTCATTATCCTCGGTAATTTTATTGACCTGGTCCTCTCTCTTTAATGTAACAGCAGTCATTGGCTTGAACTCGTTTATCGATTCCATCAAATTTCTGTTTGGTTGATCAGCTTGCACTACATGCTGATAACCCACATGTTGAATATGTGTGCTTGGAGGAGGGTTACCTTGAGTAGACTGTGCTTGCATCTGTTGTTGTAGTTGTTGCAGCTGTTCTTGGGGTATCGATTGAGAGCCTTTGTTGGTAATCAACTCTTGGTTGATCTTTTCTAAAATGTCATTCTTTTCCTGTAAAGTTTGCAGTCGCATATGGATTGTGTTCATCTGCAGTTCATATTCCTTTATGGTGTCCTGTAGTAGTGAAACAGTCTTTTCGAGTTCGTTAATTCTCGTAGCCTTCCTCTCTCTGTATGCTCTTTGAGCCTCTCTGTTTTGTCTTCTCCTTCTGGCGGCGGTATCGCTCATATCCAGTGTATACTCGTTCTTCTCAACGTCTCCGTCTTTCATAACCGAGGACTTGAACTTCAGCTTAGAGACCTTTTTGGATCCCATGTCATCAGACATGGTGCTTGTCGCAGCATTACCATTCATTGAAACATTTGTAGTGGGTCCCGACATCGACGTCCCTGTGCTTGTGACCGAGTGCATCGTACCTTCGGAAGCACTCCCCACAGCGTGAGGCAAAGACGCTATCGACCCTGTGGAGCCACGCTGGTCCTTGGAGAGAAGCATCGGCCTCGAGTTTATGTAATTTGGCACATTAGAGTACGAGTACAAGTAGTCGCCCGTGCTCTGCGTACGCACACCACTGGAAGCACCATTAGCATTTGATACACCGGATAACGCACCAGAGACGTTAGGCACAGCACCAGAGACACTGGAGACAGATGTGCCAGGCACATTTGCACCGTTGGGACTAGCACCTGATGGAGACCCCTGGGAGTCGTAAATCACTCGTGGGTAAACGTAATATGGGGCCTGTACTACCTGATACATCCTCGCAGAATCGTCATATGGGGTCTGGTAATACCAGTTGCGATCACTCATAGCTTTCACGTCTAGTCTATTATATATGGATTCGAGATGCCGATGGCCTCGATGACTTCTTCGTTTAGGCTAAAATCCGACAAATTTCAGCAATTTTTCTTCAGCTTCAGAAAATCGCTCGCTTCAGGTTAGATGGGTGGGGATACAGAGGGATTCACGAACGAAACGAAGTTCTTTTGAGTTAAAATTTTCTTGATGCGGTCCGTGCGCCAATCCTTTATTAAAAGCCTTCAAAAACCTTTAAAGTTACCGATGTTGGCCTTTAAATAAATTTTCTATAAAACTTGGATAAAAGCTTGTAGATAAAACGGATCCCAGAATGAGGTGAAGGATGAGCCTTTTCTATAAAAAAAGTGTTATAGAGGGGGGAGGAGTGGAGTGACGATATACCATTCCGACTGACACAGATCAGAGCTATATAATAATTCTATTTATATATATCAAATAAGGAAGAGTAAACGGAGAGATTTTCCCTCAGTGGAGGGGATACAGATGTTGAGTAATAATCATAATAAATTAGAGTAGAAAGAAAAGGATTATCGTTGAGATGTCTGTGTGCAGTGGTGGGGCATTATCTAGCTAGTAGGAGGCGGAGAGCCAATTTTTTTTCCTTGACAAATGTCAGCGTCTTGTTTTCCCTATCTGTTTCTAATAGAGTAAACATAGAGTCTACGGAAGAATTCTTTCCCAGGAAGAAGTAAATAAACTTGTAATTAGCAAGTTATCTCATTTCCACAGCGAAAAAGAAAGAAATTCTCTATGTTATCCGGCGATATATTGGCCTTGTGCAGAAATAACCCACAGTGTGGTTATAGCGGAATTACATATTTTGGGCAATAAAAGAACCGAATAATGAAGTTAAAGTGAGGGGTGAATAGCCATTCAATTTGCTTATCTTTTTTTTTTTATGTTTTTCCAGTTTTTAGATGCAATTTCTGGATGTTGTGCCCACTGTGGGTACGCACACATCTAAGAATTTTAAGTATTACTTGTTGGGAGTTATCATGATGTGGTTTTAACCAGTTCTACAGAGAATGGGGCCTCTCATTTGTAAAAAGTAATGCAAGTCCAGGGAGAAAGTCCTGTAGACCACGTCATAAACGTGAATTCAAGTAATCTCAGGAGATTATTACTAATTTTTTTTCCGAAACAATAGCACATAAAACTGCTATCAAGAGAAGTACATTTTGTCATGGCTGAGTTTACTGACTTGCACGATCTCTTCTGACCACTACTAAGACTAGTTTTAGAGTTTTGTACATGTATACAGAGCTCTTCTCACAACCAAAACACACGAAAGCACAAGGACTGGATAGTGCTCCCTTGACTACAACAATACGCACAAAGCAACTAAACCACACATATGGGTAACGAAGTGGTAAAAATAAAGGTGAAGTATTGTTTTAGGCTTTTTTCCCAACAAATATGTATTGTGGAAAGTCTAGAAAGAGCAAGCTACATTACGCAAAGATTTGATAAACAGCATTTTTCTTTTTCCTGCTTCTCTATCGCATATTAGAGGGATGATCCCCAGAGGACCCACTATGAAACCTCATCGACGTCCTGTTGACGTAGTCACAATCCGGCTCCTTGCCAGTTTTGATAGTGGGCCACACTTCTCCGTTTGAGAGCTTTTTTATCACTAGCTGGGAGACAAGGCATTCTTCAAAACTCAAGTTCAAAACTCATTGCTCTACCAGCTAACACAAAGGCACTATGGGAAACTTTAAAAGGTCTTAGAAACCAGAAAAATGACGGGTGCTGTTGATCTTTCGTTTCTCTTTTGTTTCTTACTATATTTGAGATAACCCACAAACCTTAGCAGGAACGGATGTGTCAAGGATAACTACACATATACTCAGACCCAAGTGAGACAACACGAAATGTAGTGAGATTGAGTGCTCATTTTTTTGCTATTTTATTATACCTTAATCCTTCGCTATTTCTATACAAACAGTCCAACCCACAGCATTTCATTTCTTTTATTTTTATATTGCCTTTCCTCTAGGGAGTTGTTTATTTATTTTGACAGTAGTTCTTTCTGCTGTAGGATTTTATATTGTCCCAGCAATACCGGAAAACTAACATACGTTAGGCATGTACCTTGCTCTTCGAACACGTTAACCTGGGATAAACTGCGGGGTTCCTCCTTAACACTAGCACCCTAGTGCCTGAGATTTTGTGGTTCAATTAGCATGTCTTTGTATTAACAATTACGCAGCTGCAAATCGCATATCGCCAAAGGGAATAAAAAATTGGAATCCCATGTAGCAGAAGATAAATATAACATTTGATCACAAGAACTATGCACAACATTACTGTATTGCTAAACCAGACTTCTTTTGGAAATCTTATAATAATGTAACCCAGCTGGTTCTTTTACAACAACTACAAGAGAATAAAGTGTATTCACCGAAAGAGCATAGACTAACTATGACGTATTGATCTATTTTAGTTTTGAATGGTTACGATAAGGATCTTCAGAACGGATACTAATCTTACACTTTCGATATTCAATATTTGCGTTCGAGGTAATACAAGCTTTTTCCTCCTGTCTTGTGCTTGAATGCCTTGGGACATGGGTGTTTGTCTTGATGTTTTGCTTGGAACCCTCCGATATTACCAAACCCAAACCTTTTAATATTATACTGGTATTGGTAATACAATAGCATAAATACACTCTTCACCAATTTAATATTCTCTGAGGACCCTAGCTCTCTAACACTGCAACTCCTAAAGAGACCCTGCCTTCCACTCCAGTTTTTTCATTAAATAGTAATTCCGTTATCAGAATTTCCTATACAGAGATAGAGAAAAGATGAGCAAGATAGACCAAAAACAACAAGCAAAAAATAGATATACAATTTTCAGTCACACTTTTGACATTTGCCTTCAAATAACGCTCATCAAATTTGTCCTAGCTTGACACATTTGTAAGTACATATATTTATAAACTTGCACTGATTCCAAGAATAATAATATTTCGAATTTAATATATAGTCTTGTACTGATAGAACTGTATGCGCTCTAAATAAAAGGCAACTAACAATCGCAATCGTTACCTTTGTTAATAAATATATGAGGATAAAGCGGATAAGTGCCCATTTTTTTCGTTAAATAATAATTTCGCAGAAAACACTGATGCTTTTAAGAATAAATAAGACGTATTTCCAATTTGTTTTTTTTTGTTTGTGGGTATTTTTACTATGCATGCATTTTTTTAATCTCGAGTTTGGTGTATTTGTGCAAAAATATAGGTCGTTGACATATGATAGGTTCTGCCTCTCTTATTTCCAACACCTGCTTTATCAGTATCATGTGTACTGGTCACAGATGGAAGATTGCTATAAGTCTTTTCTTTTTTGTATCGTTTCTTTTTGTTTTGGGTTTCCAAAAAGTATATTCTCCGTAAGGACACCAAAATAATAGAGACTCTTAACTGAATTATTTTTCTTTTCCTAGAATAAATAATTTGAGATAATTTATCAATTTAGCAAGGGTTCCGATAACAGATATGTTCCCCTAGCTACCATTACTGTTGTAGAAGTGCAACAGGAAACAGAAGCTATAAGTAAATACCGATTAGAGTTTGTGTTCTTATCAAATTAGTAATTTGGTCATTATATAGACCACTTGTAATAAATATAAGTTCCGGGAACCATTAGGTAAGACATCTTTTCGGGATTTTCAAGTTTATGGAGACCATTGACAGTTCAAAATTCTCTCCCCGGAGTAGGACATAATGAAAAAAATCGACTCATATATCTTGGTATGATATAGCAATGATGTCACCTATCAGATAGAATGTAACATCTTTCTATTATGTTCTCCAGGGGTTAGATTTGAGATGATAAATCGCATTTAATATAAAATGATGAGAAATGAAGGGACAAATGAGTGAAACTGCACATGCTAATCTCACAAAAAAGCCAATAAAAGGACAGATACTCTGCCCCGCTAGTTTTTCTTAGTTATTGAAGTCTTTGCAGCTTGATCTAAAGGCACTGGTGGTTGGCTGACCTCTTCTTCTTCATCTAACGTTATGTCATCACTCACTGATTCCCTAGTTGCCCTTGCTTCCGCTTCTTCTTGTTCCTTTTTGATCAACTCTTCTTGCTCCTTCAAAACGTTTAGTTTGAACTCATTATCATCCTTTTTCGAAGACCCCTCAGCCAAACCGGCTTCTTCACTAGCTTTGTTCTCCATATCAACTTCAACTTCTCTAGTTTCCTTTGCGGAATTAGATAAAGTTGGCTCTTCGGCAACTTCTTTTGCAATTTCTCTAAGTTCCTTAGCAATTGACTCTTCTTGCTTTGAGGGCCCTTCTTCAGCGACACTCTCAACCTCACTAATCGTTTCAACAGGTTTTACGACCTCATTTAGGTCTAATTTAGCGACGTTATAAACAGGATCAGGGATACTGCTCAACACTTGCAAAATACCATCATAGTATAAATCCAATAGCTTTTCATAGTTGCTCTTCTCACCTTCAAAGATCAGGCATTTACCATCCTCTGAGACTTCAGGTTCGGTAGCGGTTAGGTGAAGACTGCAACTAGAATCCTCCGATCTGCTCTGTTGCGGACCACCAAAAGTGAATGTTGATGATAAAACCATTAAGACCGAAGGAATCTTCTTCCTTAATCTCAAGTCCAACCAAACTTTTAGATTGTCGATTTGATCTTCTTTGGAGACACCATAGGCCTTCATACCTCTAGAGACACAAGCTTGGTATAGCTCTTCTGGTGTTAAGCTTTTCACACCCTCATAATCGATGGTTTTATCATCCTCCATGATACTCTTCAACTTATAACGAATCTGGTAGCGCAGCATTGGATCGTTACCGAAAGGTCTAATAGACATAAACTTACACATGGCGGCAAGTTGAGGCCTGGACAAGTTATCCAGCACAGTGTCATTCTTAAACATTTTGGCAATTGTCACAATCTCCTGGTGAGTAAAGATAATAGGGCCTGTGCTCTTGTTGCTCTCTTTCAAAGCGTACAATTTCTGGAAGAAGTTCAAGAAGGTCTTCTTCTTCTCCTCGTTTTCTATGTTTTTATAACTAATGAACTGAGACTCTTCCAAGGTCTTATGTAGAAACTCGGAAGTGTTCTGCCTGATCTCAATTAGCTTCTTCCTCTTTGACTGCTTGTCTGAAGTGCTCTCATAGGTGGAAGGCAGCAAGTTTGGGAACAACTTCAGCGCCACAGGCAGCAGCAACTCAGCAAATGGGATAATCACAAATGCCGAAAAGGGCACTAGCCTAAATATATCGCCCACTGTCCGTTTCAGCTGATTCCTCTCACGTCTCGTAAGCTCGTAGCCCTGCATGGACTTGGCAAGAAGTTTCGTAGATATCTTCAGCTCGTAACCTAGCAGCTTCGTACCATTAACGTAGTGCTTCACCTCATGCTTCACCCTATCCCACAGCGGCTCTTTCTCCTTCACCTTGGTCTCTGGAGCCTTTTTCACAGCGTCCAACTTCTTGTCAGAGTAAAACCTTCTGTACCCAATTGCAATCGTCCGAGGCGCACAAACTGACGCATACACAGGTGCACGCACCCTCAGCACCGTACTTATCATCATCCTTGCTTTCAACACCAGTGGGGGAGTAAATCGATGGCCAAGGATCAGGATGGGCCAAGCTTTTATGTTCCCATTGAACTCACTCTTAAACAAATTGTCAAAATGCAGGAAGTGTAAGTCATTTTGCAAAATTGTGGAAGAGCAGAAAAAAAGGTCTTCAAGTGTGTGACAAAGTCACACACCCAATGGTGAGTCACTAATGACAAATTGCTATGTATTATTGCGATCTATAAAGTATATACTCACAGGAACTTGCTCTTCATGGAGGTCCATCTTTCCCGCAGACGTGCGTACCCATGCTGTGCCTTGCTTATGTGCTCTTGATCTTGCTCGTGGGTTTGAGCCGGAGCTTGCAATTTCCGCGACACAGGGAATATCTTGTGCGCGCTGTCCCGGCCGTGGTAGAACCACTTGTACTGCCAGCACAGCTCGTGCGCCACCAGCTCACCGAACCCGAGCATCAGACCGTTCAGGAACGGAAGCACCAGGTTGATCGAGCTGCCCACCAGGTACCGCAGCACCCAGCGCACCCCGCGCACATCAGACGCCTCCACTTCCTCGAGCTCCCGCAGATCGCTCGAAGATGTAGAAGTAGACAACACACTGTTCTCACGTATCATGTCGGCCGTGTCTATCCCCTTCCCAACAAATATACAAACCAAATACCCGCATATAAGTATAACACAATCAAATCCTCTTCAAACTTCCCCTTTGCGGCCTTGAAAAGTCGCTCATCGCCCTTTTCAACGGAAAGGACCATGTGACCCGTCGCAAGGTATGTATGTTTATACGGATTATACATGTGATATAACACTATATACGTCTATCATGTGATATATACATCTGAACGGGTGGCAAATATCACTTTGTACAGATTACATCATGTGATCGATGGCGTCCCCCTCTCGCCTCTCCGTCAGCCGGTTTGGGCAAGTTCCCTCTCTCCCCCCCAAATTGTGAAGAAACATAAGCGTGAATACAAGATACTTCTGCAGTGCCAATTGAAATACCTTGACGTGCTTGGAATAAGTAACACATACGACATTGAGTAGCTGTATAAGAAAGCGATGAGTGGTTACGATAGGGCGTTGTCTATATTCTCGCCGGACGGGCACATTTTCCAAGTGGAGTATGCGCTGGAGGCCGTGAAGCGTGGTACCTGTGCTGTTGGTTTGAAAGGGAAGGACTGTGTAGTGCTGGGGTGTGAGCGTCGGTCGACGCTGAAGCTGCAAGACACCAGGGTTATTGCGTCGAAGGTGTTGCCCATCGACTCGCACCTGGTGCTCTCGTTCGCGGGCCTGAATGCGGACTCCCGTATCCTTGTGAACATGGCGCGTGTGGAGGCACAGAGCCACAGATTGACGCTGGAGGACCCCGTGACAGTCGAGTACATGGCCCGCTACGTCGCCGGCGTGCAGCAGAAATACACCCAGTCCGGAGGTGTGAGGCCCTTCGGTGTCTCGACGCTGATCGCAGGGTTCGACCCAAGGGACACAGAGAACCCAAGACTGTACCAGACAGAGCCCAGCGGTATCTACTCCTCCTGGTGCGCACAGGCCATCGGCAGAAACAGCAAGACAGTGAGGGAGTTCTTGGAGAAAAACTACAACAGAGAAGAGCCACCAAGCAATAAAGAAGAGTGCATAAGGCTCACAGTTAAAGCACTGCTGGAAGTCGTGCAGACCGGTGCCAAGAACATCGAAATCACAGTGGTCGAGCCAAACAACCAAGTGAGAGCACTAACTAACGAAGAAATTGCCAAGTACGTCGAAACCATAGAACAAGAGAAACAGCAAGAACAAGAACGGAGAAAGGCCAAATCCCAGGAATAGATTTTCAAAACCCTTCATGTATTCGCTTTAGAGAAGAGTAATATATATACCTTATTCACTCACCTTGGAAACGTATTTGACATCCACCACAAAATAGATATTTACATTTTCATCTCCATAATAAATATTTACATTTTCATCTCACATAATAAATATTTACTAAATCATAGCACCATAGATATGGATATAATATAAACCCCATTGAGAAGCTACATATATCACTTTTCCAAGGAAATAACTGCTGACGCATCAATAGACAAGGTAATCTCAGTAGAGGTAGGGACTCAGTTCCCAAAAAGTCGTCATTGATCCATCTGATACCTGTTTTGACATCTATCTGGGATGGCCAATATTTCGAGTAATTACTCCCTTTGTGCGGGATTCCTTAGAGCAAATTTCTGAAAAACTGGAAAAAAGTGAAAAAAAAAAAAATTCCAAAAAAATCGATGAGCTTGGCATAAATTAACTGGACTTTTAAATAATTAGTAGACATATTGCTGTATTTGGTGTTGTTGAAACGCGGTAAGCAACCCAATGTATAGTGGACTACTTGCTTAAGACGATTAGAAGTACGCTATTAACTTTGAACCAAGGTTTTTTTAATTGATACTTTGGCCGCTTTGAGAAGAAACACAGAGCCATTCCTGATTACACCTGGATTAACAACCTGACGACAGCAAACCCAACTCAGATATAGATATAATTTGTGGATGAATTTAAATCACATATAGCACAGAGTTTCAAAAGAAAAAGGCCAAACGACGACTTATAGATATATAGAGAGAGGTTACAGGAGGAAAAAGAGAGTGGAGAATAGTTGGAATTTCACAAAATGACTAATCCTATGAGTAACGAGGTACCTGCCGCCACCAGCAGTCCGACTTCCGGACTGACAGCAGTAAACTCACATCTTCATGACATAAAAGAGGAGAAAGAGGATCACGAAAACACTGTAATACACCATTCTCCTGTTGATTATATACCCGAGATCGAGGAAGAAACAAGGCTCGACGATACAGGAGATGTTTCAATAGAGAGCCAAGACATGATAAATGACACCGCAGAAGGTGACGCTGAAGAAGAAGAAAAAAAGCTGACGAACAGTTTTGATGAATTATCATTGTTACCACCGTTGCCACATAACGATTTATCATTTGACGTGATAAGAGCACAACAACTGGAGAACATGGAGAATGCAGCAGCTCTACAAGAACTGGATCAACGTGGCATGCTATTACCGGAACATACTCGCAACGGATTAGATGCACTAGCTGAAAGTCCTGAATCTATTTTGAGAGCACATTCTTCGAATTCACCAGATCGTTCAGCATCTCCTCCCCATAGAATGCCATCCTTGAGATCATCTACTCCACTGTCACCAATCGTTGTACCTAGTGCTGTTAAAGATAGTAGAACTTCCAAAATGATCTTGGATGATCTCGTCTCGAACAATGACGAACTGATAAATATACAGTCCTCGTTAGATTATAATTTGAAGAATAGCCAGGAATTAAACGTTGAAGAGATACAGTATCCATTGGAAAATCCTAATACATCATTTGATTTATCAAAAGCATTAGAAATACCAAATTCGTCTTCATCTCTCGGGAATAAGGGCTCATCTCCATTGAATACTACTCAGGAAAGCAATATAAGTGTTCCACCTTCACCAAAGATCACAAGTCCAAAGGCTTCTTTGAAGAAAAAGTTTTCAAATACTCTATTAACAACTGGTGGCGAGCTACCTAATATTAACACAAACACAAACGGCAACATTAATGGAATACTCACGTCTCAAAAACATTCCCCGACAGAATTTCCACAACTAAGTAAAGTTGCCACGGCGACGTCGAACACATCACTGGCTTCGCACTCAGCAACACCTGTTCAAGCAAGAACATCAATTTCTAGCAGACCAAGAAGAAGCACTTCAATAACGAATTCAGTACAGAGGCTTGTCCTTGAGACAGCTAACAACGATACAAAAAAACCATTGACAGAGAGAAAGCCATCGCTTAAGCGGTATACTAGTAGTATAAACACACCGAATACGGATCTAGATAATGTGTCCAGACTAGAAGCTCAACTATACAATCTACCAGCCGTAACAGGAACAATATCTAGGGCACCTTCGGTAAATTCTGGGAGAGCAAGGTCACAATCTCAATCAGTCCAACAAAAACTAGGCAGTACTGATATGCAGCCATTAGGCTTGGCAATAAGTACAACAGACCTGAATAGTATAGATTCTAAGACTAAACGACCTCCATTTCTCCGAAGGGCTTCAAGTGCTTTAATGAGGAAAGCCTCCATGAAAATGGGCAACGAAAATGCCAGTTCACCAATGTCACCCGTCACACCTTTACCTACACCAGTGACTGCCATTGATAAAAAGCCATATATCAGATCAACCTTGGGACGACAATTGAGCAGTACAAGCATAGCAACCGATGCGAATATTGATTACTCTGGGAAAACTGGTAGAAATGTTTCAACACCATTAATGCGCACATCCTCATTCAGTCATAAGATGAAGCGTGGATTAACTAGAATTATGAGCACTAATGGATCTAGTGCTAGAATTTCTAACAAACCACCTGCTGAAGTTGTACCATCTAGACACAGTCAAGATTTTCTAAGACATACAGTACCTGATAATAACAGCACCATAGACAACTACACTTTAAGAAATGGAAGTAATGGAGATAATTCAGATAACTCTGTTTTGTATATGGCCGTTGATAAGAGATACAATGGTGCGGTACCAAAGTCGAATTCCGCTGACTCTGCGAACATGGACTATTTCAATTTCCCCAAGACTGAGATAATCGATCCAAATTTCAAGACTATGGCCATAGATATGGATGCTTGGAAATCGCAAGTGCCTGTTATCAACGTTACAGATGGCACTTCGATCAACATGCCAGCTCGTCCGAGGTTTGACACAGAATGTTCAAAAGTGTTCTGTTTAGAGAATGTTAATGTACCGAGACATAACAGCAACAACAGTACGCCATTATCAGTCTCAACAAATAGCTCTCAGGCTAAATCAAATACTAAGGAAGAGAACCAGCCAGATAGTATCAAAGTGATGGATCTGAAAGATTACATCAAGTTCCTTTTCAAACAGAAGACACTTGAAGATAGTACCTATGAAAAGATAGAGAAGCAATTCATGGAAAGTGGTTGGTGCTCTAACTCCGATTTGGTGAATATCAGACATAAGAGATACTCTGTGAACAAAAAATGGGACGATGTGATCAATTTCTATCAAAGCAAAGTTGGCTAAATAACTCGATACTTCGGGCATTAGTAGTTCCGCAATTTTTTGTTAATGCTACATTCGTTATCGCTAGCATTAACCGGCATATAACATTTTAATATTCACTCTCAAATAGAATACCATATATCAAATGATAGACATTTTTACTAGCTGCATTCACCGATTGATTGCATATTTAATAACTTGAATCATACGTACAGTTGGAATGCCCTAATAATATACAAATAATATATTACGGGTCTGCCATAATTTTTCATAATTTGCAAACTATAAAAAGACAGTTTCTACAACAATTTATGTATTTTATAACATAGTTATCGGTCATATCTGTAGAAGTCATTCAACTTCAATTGAATGAGGACTCTCTGTGAATAACTGATTCCTGAGACAATAATTGGTGGAAAGACTTCACTCCAGGCGGAGTTTGGTCCGAACTCTTCTATTCGGATCTTATCAGAAGCTTTCGCACGAGTATGTGACAGTTTGGCCTCTATATATCTTGCCATAAAACCGATTCTAAATGATGAAAGAGGTAGCCTAGCATCGTCAGTCTTTATGGCTGTCGATGTCAGACTTTTTTTTGTGTAAAACAAAAAGAATGTGATTGATACATTTAGATTATACCTTTCAGAACCGCTACACTGATTTGAATCGCAAAACGTAAACTTATCTTAGCTAAAATCCTTATAATATGCGTAGAAAGTAATAATATAGTTTACAAAAACCAGTTACTGGATCCGTGTTACATACAGTACTCTGTTTACATCGGGATCACCATCGGTCTTGCTGAAAAACTGCCTTTGGGCTCAAATACAGTTTTGAAAAGTGTAAAAGACATAAAAGCTGAGTGTAGTACCACAGCATAGAGACAATCAAATCGAATTGGCCTTGGCAAAGGTTTATATAACTGCCAGTTGTACTATAATAAAGAAAAGACGTGCATGCCTACCATTAATCTAGCGTCTTATGTGGATGATGTGGACGATTTAACGCCCTCTAGGAAAAGACTGAAGATCAAGCCTGTCGACTACGATGTATTTAAGCCCGGCAGCATTGTCAAGATACGGCTTGAGAACTTTGTGACTTACAATTATACCGAGTTCAACCTTTCGCCATCACTGAATATGATCATCGGACCCAATGGCTCTGGTAAATCGACCTATGTATGTGCCGTGTGCTTGGGACTTGCCGGTAAACCTGAGTATATCGGAAGGAGTAAGCAAGTAGAAGACTTCATTAAAAATGGACAAGACACTTCAAAGATTGAAATTGTTTTGAAAGATGATCCCAATATCGATATTGAATTCCTGGGCTCTTCATTCCATAGAATACGAAATAATGGCAACTACAAGGGCTTATTAACCATCACCAGGAATTTAGAAAAAAGAACTAAGATAGGTAGAAACCTTGAAAAGCGTAGAACGCAAGAATACAGCATTAATGGATTACCGACAACTGAAAGTAACGTACGAAACTTAGTTAGCAAGTTCCATATCCAATTGGACAACCTATGCCAGTTTTTATCACAGGAACGAGTAGAGGAATTTGCTAAGCTTCGACCTGAAAAGCTACTGGATGAAACCATACGTGCCATTGATTCTGAACTATTATCAATGTTTGAAGTGCTAAAAAAGCTACAATTACAGGAAATAGAAATGTCAAATGAAATACAAACCAATACAGACAGCTTGAAAAAGCTCAAGACAGATGAGGAGAACTTTCAACAAGAAGTTCAACTATTAAATGAGTACCAAGAGACACTGGATACATTAGATAAGCATAAGAAATTATTGCCTTACCTTAAGATTCAAGACCATCGAGAAAAACTGTTAACATATAAAAGGCAAGTAGAAGGTGCAAAGAAGCAGTTACAAGAGTTTCAGAAGGAGAGAGAACCCTATATGCAGGTACTAGCAAGTCTAAATGAGTCTGATGCTCAACTTAATATAGAAAAAGAAAATATCGAAGAAAAGAAAGTATCGACAAAAAGGAAACTAGAAAAGACAGTGTCAAAATTGAATGCTTTACGAGAAGAGATTGAAAAGAAAAACTTACAAATCGAATACTATAAAGGAAGATCAAATAAGCTGAAAATAAAGATCGAAACAAAGAAGGAAGATATAGATAATATCAAACGTAAAATTTCTGATATCGAAACTCCTGAGGAATCTGAAGTTACAGAACTTGAAAGAAAGAGGAATGATTTGATAGAACGCGAAAGTCAGGTAAACTCTGAAATTGATGAAGTAGATACCCAAATGTCAACGCAAAATCATAACTTGGCCATCCTTGAGAGAAAAATGGTGGACAAAAAGTCATCTCTAACCAGCACAGATAATATTCACTTACTTGACCAATTGAATGACAGGGACCTAAAAAGAGCTGTTTTGTTCTTGAGGAAAAATAACGAAGCCAGAAAAGTAGTACTTGAACCACCTGTATTAACAGTTTCAGTTACACATAAAGATTTTGCTCCTTATCTAGCGCAATGCATTGATTATAACACAAGCAAGGCGTTCACACTAATTAATGAACAAGCTTACAATACGTATGGGAAAGAAATTCTCAAGCACTTCACAGCCAATACCAGACAATTGACAGGAAGAACTAATTCTCCACCTGTTTCAAGGGAGAGATTAAGACAATTAGGTTTTGAAGGATATCTTTCAGATTTTGTTAAAGGTGACAGTAATGTTATCAAAATGCTGTGTGAATTTCAAGGAATTGATCAAATACCAGTTTCAAGAAAGAAATTTAGCGCTGAACAATTAGAAGCACTGATTAAACCACAATCTAACAACCAACCGTTATTCAGAAAATTCATTCATGGAACAAACATGTTAAATGTTCGTTATTCAAACATGACTAAGCAAATGTATTCGGTTGAAATAGTGGTGAAACCGACCAATCTTTATCAGGGTTACGTTTTGAGTAGTGATGAGAAACAGAGGATCAATAATGAAATGAATGACTTAAAAAAACAGATAGAGGGAATAAAAAATACCATGAATCAATCAGCGGGTAAAAAGGCCCAATTAAAGATGCAACTGAATGAAATTTCGACAGCAATGAATGATATCAATAAAAAGTCGAGGTATATTTCTAATCTTAAAAGACAGAGATCTCAATATGAAGAGCAATTGCGATTTGAGAAAGAGAAATTAGAAGAATATAAAAAAGACATCCGAAAAGATACTGCACCCAAAATCCAGCAAATAGAGAAGTTGATAGGAGAGTCTTTAAAGTCTGAAATCGATTGTACCATCGAACTTGAAAATATTGGAAGATCATTGAGACACATACAAATAAAAAACTTGCAAGCAGATATAGCAATTTTTGAACATAACAATAAAAAAACTGTCGTAAAGAGCTTTTTACAATCTTTTGAGGAAAAGAAAAATGAACTGAGGGCAAAGTATGATGAGCTCAAGAACAAATATAAAGAATTGAGAGATACAGAGGAATACCGACAATGGAGACGGGATATCGATGCATATAACCAGGAAACAAAACAAGTTTTGAATGATTTAGCAGAAAAATATAGGGATGAAGATAAATTTAATCTAATTTATGTTGAGCAAATTGTAAATAAACTAGAATCCAAGATTCAGTTATCCAATCATGATAGATCGGCAGTGGCACTTTTAGAACAAACGAAAGCAAAAATAGCTGACTTAGAAGATAAGTTACCAACCCAAGTAAGAAAATGTAATACAATCAGGAAAGAAATGAGTGATAAGCAGAAGGTTCTAGAACCGAGACTTGAGTCAATAGTCAGTGGAATAGGCAGAAAATTCTCTGAATTATTCAAAGATGTTGGAACAGCCGGTGGTGTAACATTGAACAGGAAATCTAAACTGTTTAGTGACTGGAAGTTAGAGATAATGGTTCAATTTCGAGATGAGGGTAAACTAAGTGGTTTAGATAGCCACACACAGTCAGGTGGTGAAAGAGCTGTATCGACAGTGCTTTATATGATTGCATTACAAAAATTTACACAGGCTCCGTTCAGAGTAGTGGATGAAATCAATCAGGGTATGGACACCAATTTTGAGAGACTAGTTCACAAAGCCATGGTCCAAAATGCTTGTGAAGAAGGAACATCTCAGTATTTTTTAATTACACCAAAATTGTTGACTGGATTGAACTACCATGAAAAGATGAGGATCCATTGTGTCATGGCAGGTTCTCACATTCCTAATCCTTCTGAGGATATTCACATGGCACATCTCGGTGAGGTGTCTAACTATGATATATAAATCAGCTCTGTCCAGTTTCCATTTGGCTAATAAATATACTACGTTTTGCATATATAGACTTTTAAATTTTATGTTTTTGATTTAATTATTAAATATGTCTGGATTTACTGACAATTTCTGACAGCGAATGAAGCGATGCGTGAAAAAATGTCAAAGTATGGATGATTCAAAGGGTAAAAATAAGCTAGTGTTATAAATTTATAGTATATAATTCAGTTGGATCAAACTGTATAAGAACACTATAGCTACTGATCAATGCTCATATAAAATAAGGGATGCTATTAATTAAAAGGATAGAGTCATGCAGGCAATACTCGAGTACCGTGTTATCCAGTATACTCAAGTCAAAGAAGACCAGTATATTACCAAAACACCCTAGTAAAGGTCATGCCAATCATGTATGCGAACCTGCAGTGACTAGGTTTGCTCCATCACCAACAGGTATGCTGCATTTAGGTTCATTGAGGACTGCACTTTATAATTACCTGCTAGCGAAGAAGACTGGTGGTAAATTCATTCTGCGAATTGAAGACACTGACAGATCGAGACTTAAAGATGGTGCAATGGATAATATTTATAACTCACTAAAATGGTGCAATCTAAAATGGGATGAAGGCCCTTATTTACAAAGTGAAAGAACAGATATATATAGGAAACACATCAACCATTTAATTGAGACAGGAAGAGCATATCGATGTTTTTGTACCAAAGAGAGATTAGATGATTTAAGACAGTCCGCACTGCGGTTAGTGCCACCAACGAATGTGAGCTATGATAGACATTGTGCACATTTAAGTGAGGGGGAAATCAAGTCCAAGCTTGATCAAGGAATACCATTTACAGTGCGATTTAAAGCTCCTGAGAAGTATCCCCCATTCGAAGACTTGCTGCACGGCAAGATTGATTTACAACCACAGCAAAACCCATCCGATATTCGTTATGATGACCCAATACTTATGAAGTCAGACAATTACCCCACATATCATTTGGCAAATGTAATAGATGACCATGACATGAAAATATCTCACGTAATCAGAGGAGAGGAGTGGTTGCCATCTACACCAAAACATATAGCACTTTATGAGGCATTCGGATGGGAGCCTCCCAAGTTTACTCATTTGCCATTATTAACAACCACAGAGGATAAGAAGTTAAGTAAGCGCAGGAATGACATGTCAGTTATGAGTCTTAAAGAGCAAGGCATACTCCCGGAAGCTCTTGTAAATTTTAGTGTCTTATTTGGCTGGTCACCTCCCAGAGAACTAGCCTCAAAAAACCACGAATGCTTTACACTACAAGAATTTGAGAATCTCTTTGATCTTGACAGCTTGACCAAAGGAAATGCAAAAGTGGACATGAAAAAGTTATGGTTCTTCAATAAACAATTTTTAGGAAAGAAACTAGAGGATCCAACATTCATCGATGCAGTACTTCCGACAATTGTAAAGACAATAAAGGATAAATATGGAAACGTTACAGAGTTAGAGGAAAAAGTGAAAACAATTCTTATAGAGAACGGTAAAGTATTATCGAATATTAATGAGTTCGATACTGTGTTTTACTATTTCTTTGAGAAACCAAACTTTGAGAGCAATGAACAATCACAAGAATTTCTAAGCAAATACGATAATAAAGTGGCTAGTACTATACTTCAGTACACCCGTTCCATACTGTCTGAAGGTTCACTTACCAAAGATTTGGTAAATGATCTGTCATCGAAATTCAATGTGCCAAAGAAAACCATTTTCCAAACATTAAGGTTCGCCCTAGCCGGATCCCACCCTGGTGCAGCAGTTCCAGTACTTTTCAAAGTCTTGGGCGTCAGCGAGGCTCAGGAAAGAATTGCTAATGCAATCCAAATACTAGAGCAATAGTCTATGAAATTGTTGTAAGCTTCCTCGTGAGCTCCCTGTGAGCTTCCCGCTTACTCCACGTAAAGTGAAGTTAATGGGAATGCATTGCTATTCCATGGGGTTAGCTGTACTAATCACGTGAATGTTCTAAACTTCGATTTTCCGTTCTCAGAAAGTATTCGGTAGATTTGGAAACTGAAGTCGTACGGAACTGTCTGAGTTATATGAACTTCGAGAAGCATGGAAGGTCCCACTCCCTGCCCTCTCAGGGTGCCCCTTCCTGCACAGAAGGCGTTGTACCGTTTCCAACTAGAAATTTCTCGAACCTGCAAGATATCAGCTTGGGGGAGTAAGGAGGGGCAATTCGTACGGGTGTTTCTCAGTCTCCCCATTCTTCCCTTTTTTTTCCATTGCAAATGACGTATGGGGGACAACAGCAATTTCTCGAGGATAATAGCCAAAACTCATCAATTGTTTGAAAGTCATCGCCAATAGCACACTAATCACAATTGTTGAAACTGTATAAAAGTTTAATACAAATAATCCTGTACATACACATCACAAGCTGTACTTGCAGCGTCAATTACAACTACTTCAGTAGCGCAACCATATTCGAACCGCAGATATTTGTAACAATACAATAAGATAACCACAAAGGATGTTTGCTGCAATTGCTTCTGGTAACCCATTGCAGATGAGCGAGGAAGTTCCAAACTCCAATGGAATGCAACATACTATTGTACTGAGCTCTACAAAACCCAAGAATTACTCTCACATATCATTGTTTATATTACCCAATGTGACCTTCCCTGCGGAGTACATAGCAACCGTTTACTTCAAGTTGACCCCAACAGAGGATTTCAAACTGTTTGGCTACTTGAGCACCGAGAAGCCTAGTGCTATCTTCAAGGTCAAACTCCCCCAGAGCCAAACTACGCCCACTCCCAATGATGGCCTAGGGGAGATCGACATGGGGGATGACGATGACATCAGCATGCCAGCTAACGGACCTACAACTAATCATAACATATCTCAGTTGATCATAGGTATATCTATAGAGAACAGAAATGAAGGAATGACGAAGATAATGGAATGGAAGCAGCAACAACAGTTGGCCAGTAGTACCGGTACGAACTCTCTAGTGCTAGCCCGCGGGAACAACAATCTGGGTATAAATACAGTAGGCCAACTGGCAAAAGTGTACCCTTTACTTACTCAAGAATTGGCAGGCAAAATTGTACAGCATGCCTATAATTACTTGACCGGTTTTCTAGATGACAATGGAAACGTATCCATAAAAAGATTTGATGGCTGGTGGGACAAGTTTAAGAATAGGCTAGCTAACGATGGGTCGTTCCTGGACGAGGTTACTGCAACATGATTTTTATTCAGCGTTTTCCTATACTGCGCTAGAATTTATTATCAAGTTTATTATTGTGCATGCATAATAAGAAAACAGTAGGACTTTGGCAAGCCAAAAATATGACAATAATTTCTCTATAACTATATCATTAAATACACAGCATTGTACTATAATATCACATATTCTTAACTTATTGTAATGCTATTCTCAGTTAAATAGTTTGCTGTCATTGGGCAAAGACTACAGTTCATCAACAATATATGGATCCTTCATACGGGCCGCCATTGGGTTGCCAAACACAGAGTGCCTGCTATCTACCAATCTCTGATCAAATTCTTCTTGTTCGAGATCTCTTACTTTCAGGTCATTATCGTCTGCCTGTGCTTGAGCTAATTTGAGATTATGAGCTCTTTCCTTAGTCTCCTGGGCTAACCAGTTCAAAAAGTTAGTAGGCAATTTTAGCTTTGGATCCTCTGACTTCAGGGCGTGCATTGCATTGAAAAATGTCCTCTTGTGTAGCTCATCAAGTCCCATCTCTGAATCCGTCAGAACATTAGTGATTCTGTCAATCCAACCGGACGCACCCTTTATGTTGGAATAATCCAGTGTTATAAGCTCCAGAACCTTGATCTTTATATCCGAAGGAACATCAGACTCTGTATAGAGCTTATCAAGAATATCTTTATAGTCTTCTTCAAAGCGGAAGTCACGGTTGAACGGTATGAGCTCCAGCAATATCGACAAATAGCGCTTCAATAACGGATATTTCAGGGGATTACCCGAGCCTTGCTTCAATGCGTTTCCTATATACAAATCAAACACCTGAGAGACAAAAAGTGGGTGCTGATCCCAAATCAACCGCTTTACAGGAGGATTATTCCTTAGCGTTCCTAAGATAAGTCTGCTTGCCAGTTCTCGTACTTTGAAAGACGCATCTGCGTTGTTACCTACAAGCAACTTGTTGAAGTGCTGTTCCACAAGGTCGTACCCTTTCTCGTAGTCATGCGAATCCTCCAGGTGCTCTTCCAGCCAGTCAATATCGACTTCTGCATTGGGCAGCTGAACGCCATCACCAGTCACGGAACCAGCCGCACTCACATGATTACTCCCGCCAGCAACCACGCTAGCGTACGCTATACCGTTAGCTCCCGGCGGACTAGCTGTGTTCACCTTGTTGGCGTCTCCCTGCTGTGAACTGGCAAAAACCATAACAGTAGCAATAAATATAAGTATCACACGTGACCAAACCTTTGCCACCATTAGCTGTTGATACTGATAGAATGAGGTGTGTGTGTGTGTGTGTGTATGTGAAGGTCTTTAGCCTGTATCTGCTCCGGCTATTCTAACTCTTGCTCAGCTTAACAATATTGCTGCAAAATAAAAAGTTGTGTACTCAATATCCCTCGCACAACGGTGTATTATTATTGCATAGTAAGGGAACAACTCAAAGCATCGAGAGACACCAGAGCGTGTAGAAAGGCACGATGTTCACTTTTTCAGTAAAGCAGCTGGACAAGTGCCGTCGCAAAACTTTACCCGGACCACTTTACATCTCACGATATACTAGATAAGGCACGTGAACAAGGGAGAGGAAGTATACGTACAACAATACAACAGTCACAAAAGTGAGTGCAACCTCTAACACCCAGACACCTGCTGTCCTTGCGTGAAGATGAACGCGATCGGCCAAAGGGTTCTTGCCGCACTTCGCACTTCGCACTTCGCACTTCGCACTTCGCACTCCGCGCGCCCTGGCCACCCGGTACAGAGGTACGTGGTGGCAGATTCTTGGCAAAGTGGAAAACGTAGTGGACGTGGTGGACGCGGCGGACGTCGGGGTGGGCGGAAGACCACATCGATGTTGGAGTGGAATTACCAGCAGGGGGGGCTCCTTGTGGGGGTACTACCACCACTCTGCCACCCTCCACCTAGCTCAGCCCAGACTACCAGCCCAGCTCAGCCTAGACTACCAGCCCAGCTCAGCCCAGAATACCAGCCCAGCTCTGCCTAGACTACCAGCCCAGTCCTTAGGCTCAGCAAAATGAGACCAGCGGGGGCCAGCGGACAGATGCCTCTATCTCCCCCCCCTCCTTCTCCCCCCACCACCACATCCTCACTAGCCGGGTAATCCGTACTACAGCACTCTTCCGGCCAGCGATCCACGCAACTGCCTGAGCGACTCGCAACTCGAAGACCTTGCTACGTGCATCTCTGTGTGGTCCTCAGGTGAAGGACTGAAACTTCCATCCTACTCAGAGGTACCCGCACAAACAGTGCCCTTTCCTGCTTTCTCTCACCGCAAAGGGCCTGAAACTTTTTCCAAATTTTCCAAAATTTTCAAATTTTTTTTCTTTCTGAAAATTCCAAAACTTTTTTTCACTTTCGTTGTGCTATCGATTGAGGACACAGACACACAACATACACTGGGAAGACACTGACCAGGCATAGGAACACACTGGTATGACCTATCCTGGGCGTTCCTATTGGTGTAATAATAGGCTTCCTATGTTATATTTGATATATAAGAAATAAACCATTTTCTTTTGTAGTACTTCTTGATACAAGACCAACAGAAACTAACGCTACTATCACACAATGTCTCAAGCCACTGGTGCCAAGTCCAAGAGAGTTTTCAAGACCCACTCCTACAGAGGTGTTGACCTAGAGAAGTTGTTGGAGATGTCCACTGAGGACTTCATCAAGATGACCCCAGCTAGAGTTAGAAGAAAGTTCTCTCGTGGTGTCTCCGGTAAGCCAAACGGTTTCATGAAGAAGTTGAGAGCCGCCAAGTTGGCCTGCCCAGAAAACGAGAAGCCAGCTGTTGTCAAGACCCACTTGAGAAACATGATCATCGTCCCAGAAATGATCGGTTCTGTTGTCGGTATCTACAACGGTAAGGTTTTCAACCAAGTTGAAATCAGACCAGAAATGTTGGGCCACTACTTGGGTGAATTCTCCATCACATACACTCCAGTTAGACACGGTAGAGCTGGTGCCACCACCTCCCGTTTCATCCCATTGAGATAAGTTACCTGATTTTAATCAAAAAAATCTAATACTACATTAAAATATAACCAACTGAAGAACCTTTTTTCTATGATATTGCAAAACATACTGGGATCTGTATTTTGAGCTCTTTGTCTGTAGAGCAAATGGAATAACTTGAAATATTCACGCATAGAGAGCATCTCCTATTTTCCGATTTGCGAGACCTCGATTTTTGACCCTATAATATCAATGGTTTTGATCAATCTTTTTTCCTTATTTGAAATTGAACAGGGTAAGCAAATACCAATCCTTCAAAACAATTGGTATTAATTCGACAGACGGAAATTATTCAAGAAAGACATCGCTTAAATTTAACCAGTAAGCATCTAATCCTTCCGCTTCTATTTTATGATATTTTATGAGAATTCACTATTTGTGAGATATTACGCAATTGAGAACACTCAGAAAATTCATATGAAAATGGGAGGGGTTTTTCTTATTTCTTTTACGTCCCTTATCTCTGGGTATCTTAATCGTTGGCCACTTTCGAGGTTCTTGACTATGAAGTCTCTGTGTCTATGTTTCATTTTACTCCACATTTCAAAAAGCCCAATTTACTTCCCAAAATTTTGTACCATCGCCAAGGTTTCTACAACTGGTTTATTTTTTTTTTAAAATCTTTTTCTATCTCATGTCTCTTAACATTTACAAAAACCAAAATACATCAATACAATAAAAATAGTCCTTACATTATCTTTTACAACCCCCATATATTAGATATATATACTCACATATTATATCGATATTATAATATTAAGAAGTTCTAATCATTAAGATCACTCGCGCAATATTGTGCAGCACAGCTAACAGTTACACCTGCACATGTAGCCCGGATGATTATATCCTTTAGATTTGTCTTATACCACCCGCTCACAGAAATTGTCGTAGAGCATCATCTTCTGTATGCCCATATTTTGCAAAAATCTGAAAATTTTTTGGAAAACCGCGATGCTCATCGCAAAATCCAAAAGCTTCACAATAGCTACAGAGCACTGATCCTCCTGTACAAATGCTATATCATTTCTGGCTATTATTATAATTGCTTAACCTCATAAATTTCAGATTGTATTCTATCTGATCGTAAGTTTATACTGGACGTTACAAAGAGCAAGCAGCCAGCCTTAATACATATTTGGAACCAGTACAAACAATATGAACTTATTCCCAGAAACAGTGGCTACTGACGACAAAGTCAGTCAGTTGTTCAAGACTTCGAATGCGCTAGATAAGAAGGCCACTCCCTTGATCAAAGTTCAAAAGATTGAAGTCATCAAGAAGACTGACAAAGACGCTGATGGCGACGAAAAGATGGAGGATGCCGCAAGTGATGATGCGAAAGTTAAGAAACCATCTAAGAAGAAGTTAGCCAAGAAGAACAAAGAAACAAAGACTCCTGAACAAGTACCTGAAGAGCCAGAAAAACTTGTTGAAGAAGGCAAAGAATCAAAGAAATCTACAAAGGAAGATGAGATCGAGAAGGCCTCTAGAACTATCTTTGTCGGTAACTTGTCCAACGAAGTTATTATTTCAAAGAGCACCTACAAGTTGTTCCAAAAACTATTTAACAATATAGATGATGATGACGAAAACAAGAAACTACCAATTCAAAGTATAAGATTCAGATCTGTCTCTTTTGAAGACGCTTTACCTAGAAAGGTTGCCTTTGTTCAACAAAAATTGCACAAATCAAGAGCATCTGTGAATGCTTACATCGTCTATAAAGAACAATCACCGCTATTGAATAAGTTGATTAAAAGGCTAAACGGTCAGGTTTTTAGTAATCGTCACTTAAGAGTGGATTCAATTACACACCCAGCACCACATGACAAGCAAAGATCTGTCTTTGTTGGTAACCTTGACTTTGAAGAAGATGAGGAGAGTCTGTGGAAACATTTTGGTGCTTGTGGCTCTATAGAGTATGTTAGAATTGTTAGAGACCCAAAGACGAACATGGGTAAAGGTTTTGCTTATGTGCAGTTCAATGAGTTACAAAGTGTTAGTAAAGCACTACTTCTAAATGAGAAGCCGATGATTTCTCAAAACGAGCATTTAAAGAAGAGAAAGCTACGTGTAACGAGGTGTAAGAATATTAGGAAGGTAGAACCAACATTGAAATCTGGTAAATACATGACTGATGGCCAAAAGACTAAATTAGGTAGAGCAAAGAAGATATTGAACAAAGCCGAAAGATCAAAACTATTGAAGGAACTTACCGTTGAAGGTATCAGAGCCACAAAAGATGATAGCAAACCAGTTTTGAAGAAAGGTAAGAAGGAAAGATCAAAAACTGGCAGAGTTACTAAGAGATCACAGGCATTTAAGAAGTCACAACAAAAAAAATAATACTGTTCGATATAACAAAACGGGATTATGGATTTCATTTCAGGCAAATACGCTCATAACTAAGTTCTTTAAAATGATCTATAATAGAATTTTAGTATTCTCTAATTGTAAATTATAAAATAAAATCGTAAGGCATTTTCAGAGCATAAAAATACTGTTTACTTTAATTAATTCACATAATAAAAGTTCATGATAATATAGCTTTTTTAAAGGAATATGCATAACAAAATAATACTAGCAACTAAGGTGGATTAACAGATTACTAATAACCAACCAGTATCACAGAATCTCAAATTCTGTAAACAAAGGAATATGATCACTTGGGTGATTCTCGTTTGGTAGACCAAATTGATTCAAAGCTGCAAGCTCATGAGATACTTCTCTACCAGATAGTATACGTCTCAATTTGAAGTCTGTGTCGTGGTACCATATGTAATCAAAAATACCCTTCAGTTTTCCTGAATAACATGTGTGAGTAAATAACTCTTCTGGTACATCATCATAGACACAATGTTCTAAATAAGGCTTCATAGGATTTATAACATTCAGATTATCATGACTAACAATTTGACCCTTTAAGAAATTTATAACTAATGAGTCTGATGTTGAGTTTAAATCTCCAGTGAATAAAATTTTAATCTTGTCATCAGTTACATTCTCTAAACCGACTAAATGTTTTTCAATTATTCTAGCCAGTTCTCTCATAATGATCATACATTGAGTTAACTTCACATCATCGTATTTCCAATACAGATGTGTATTTATAACGACAAAAACATTACCGGTTTCTTTATGTTTTAATGATACGAATAAAGCCACTTGATTTTTTGATTTTAGGATTTGGAGCAAACTTTGCTCACCGACTTGATTACCGGCCCCATCAGTCAATGTAACTGGCTTTTTTTCGAGATACTCTAATTCATTATTACTGAAAACACCAAGTAATTGATTAAGATATATTCCAGACCTGGAAATGAACTCAAATTTGTCCAGATTGTAAAATATGCCAACACCGTCCATTTGCTCAACTGGTCTCTTCCAATATTGCGGCGGGGTTTTGGCAATATAGTTTGACCCGTAGTTCATGTTAGTTTGAAGAGCTTTCTTCCAAAAGTTACTATAATCTTCTGATGTAAGCTCCTGGAGACACATAATGTCAGCTCTATACTTATCTAGCAACTCCTGTTCGAGGAGTTTATGTCTATAGTTCCAATCCTTATATTTCTCAGGCACATACGTATACACCTGAGGCCACATGTATGAGGGTGACAAAAGGTTGTAACTTAGTAACGTAAACAATGGTTTTGCACTGTTCTTTAAAACGTTTGCACCAATTGGTATAAATTGTCTTGCGAGCATGTCGAAGCTTTAATTAGACCTCTCTTCTATCGCTTATTTTAAGCGTTTATCACACAGTGCTTCCTCTACAGCTGTATTCCACTGTGAATATGATCTTTTTCTAATACCTCTACCAGGAAGATATGCTTCAGCTAGCAGTATTTGTGGTATAGCAAGCGATATCAAATCCCTAGGTGCTGGGACTTCTACCAACGTTCTTGGAAAAACCCTCCGGTCAAATAGACTAGGTAGTGTTACTCAACGTATGAGCGTTAAAACAGTTAAGCTATTTCTCAGGGTGAGCAGCTGATAAATACGTTGTCGATCAACGCAATTAAAACCGCAAATAGTTGGATCGAGAGTACTCTTTTGTTATTATGGTAGAACCGTAAATCAATCTGAAATTTTTTGGCATACCGTTATCTGTGAGTCTGTCTGGGCATCGGATGATGCTGATTTAAAATGCGATGAGCTAATAGTCAAGATGAATCATAACAGTGAATACCATGAATCTTAACGGTTCCTTAGCTTCAGCAGATTATAAAAAGCATTCGAATACTCATTGAAGGCTGTCATGGTACCAAGAAAGCGTACTAGAAGGTACTTGGAAGTAGATGTGGAAGGAAATCCAGCAGAAGGTGTTGTCCAATCAAAGTATTTCAAAAAGGAAGAAACTGTTACAGTCAAGCATGAGCCTGTAAGTGACTACAAAGACTTTGTTGATGAAGTGGATATTGAATGGATCAAGAGCTTGGATACGCAGGCGTTTTTTGATTATATTGATGATCGAACAAGTGAGGATCCACAACGATGGTTAAAACCCCTTGATGAAGATTCTCTTGGGCTAAAACCTCTGGAAATAGCTAAGCTACCCAAGAGTTTTATTCCAATTTATAATCGCGTTAGACTAATGAGGGCACAGCTGAAGACACCAGTTGATAAAGTTGGTTGTGCATTAATGCCTATATTCATTGCGGAGAACTGTGGGCTGCATAAAGAACAAATACTTCCGAAAAACTATAGATTTCAACTGCTAATCGCAGTGATGTTATCATCACAGACCAAGGATGAGATCACGGCAGAAGCCATGCTTAATATCATGAGATACTGCCTCAATGAGCTCCATGATCCCAATGGGATGACGTTGGAATCTGTCTTAATGATGGATGAATCAATAATTGATGAGAAAATAAAATCTGTTGGTTTTCATAGAAGGAAGGCAACTTATATATATAAAAGTGTTCGCATGCTGCGCGATAATTTTGATTCTGATGTACCGACAAATGTCAATGATATGCTAAGTCTGCCTGGTGTCGGGCCTAAGATGACATACCTTGCCTTACAGCGAGCTTGGGGTAAGATGGATGGGATTTGTGTAGATGTACATGTTGATAGACTTTGCAAGATGTGGAGATGGGTGGATGCAAAAAAATGCAAGACACCTGACCATACCAGAAAGGCATTGCAAACATGGCTCCCTAAATGTTTATGGTACGAAATTAATACTGTGCTAGTTGGTTTCGGTCAAGTAATATGCATGGCTCGCGGCAAAAGATGTGATATTTGTTTAGCCAATGATATTTGTAATGCTAGAGATAGAAAGCTTCTCTCGAAACTTCAATTTGAAGAGGATATAGACGAAGCTTTTTGGAAACTAAGCAAAACCACAAGAGGGAATTTTGATGAATATATTCTGTACTTGAAAAAGAAACTCAAAAGCGACAAGTACCCCATCAAAGCCGAAGGTCCTTGAACTATGAATACATAAACATGTAAGTAACCACTCCCTTCTATCTTGTTCAGCATACGCAACTGGTGCTCTTGCACACTGACCTTTAGTAGCATATGGAGTAGCTCAAGGTGCAATAGAAATTAAATCCATTAATATTTAAATATATCCTCTTTTCGATATAAATTAATTAAATACCGTTCATTAATATGTACGAAGCTCTGTTAGAGCCCCAAAGTTATATTTCCATGAATACGATCTATCATGTTAATTTGAAACTCCGATGTTCTGAGTGCCTAATTGATCAGCAACTGACACTTTTCCAAATTTTCATTGGCAAAGTATTTTACATCTACATCGCTATCGCCTTGTAATTTCTTGAAAGAAGGTAACATTTTTTCTTCGAAAATTTCTTTCAAATTCTTTGTTTTATTATTTTTCAAATTTTCACAGATAACCGTGTAGGCTTTAGCCACATTGAATCTTATATTAGGCACCTTATCATCAGAAAGCTTAACAATATATGGAAGAATATGCTCCAAGGTAATATCACTACTTACAGCTGAAGTTAGCTCCCTCAACGCCGATAAAACAGTAAACCTGTAAATAAAATTTTCTAATGTCTCTGCGTCAACTGTTAACAACTTAGTTAGAATTTCATCTCTGCACCAGTCGGATCCGAAAAACTCAGTTAATTTAGTTAAAATTTTAACAGTGGCGTTTCTGATGGCATAAACAGGATCCCATAACAAAGTCATGCACAGGTCTATTAACTGCTCATCAAAGAAAGATTTGCCAAGTTGTTCACCAATTACTGGTAAGTAGTCAATTATAGCCATTCTTACTCTCCAATTGATATCTTTGGCTAGCTCATTTATTGCAGGTATCAGTGATTCAGAAAGTATTTTAGTATCCACAACCTTATTTATATTTTTCAAACTAGCAATTATATTCAACCTTACGTCAGGGAACTCATCTTTTAACATGTTGAGAACAATTGGAAGCAAGTTTTCAGTAACACTCTCCTTTGGAAGTAATGAGGACATACCAGTTATACTTTGCGCCAAGGAAGCTCTCACAGTCTCATTTTCATCGATACTCAGAGTGTATATAGCTGGAATAATTTTTGCTTCAATTATTGAGGCATCTTTAATGTGCTTGGAAAATCCACTAACATGGCCAGCAATAGCTTTCCTAACATCACCTTCATTGTCCTCGCACAAACTTAGGAAAGGTTCAAGAAGATGATCAACAACTTTGTCTAGTTGAGAAATCTCATCTGCCAAATCCTCGAATTTCTCAGCTACCATGTATCTTACTCTCCATGCCTCATCCTTTGCAAGCTTCAAGGCATATGCCAACAACGCCTCAGTATGACTAGAGTCCCCTTTTGCGTTGAAAAATTTAAGAATGGCAATTAATGATTCGACAGCAAGAAACTTAACTGAGTCTTGATTATCAGTAATAACTTTCTTGAACATCTCGGATACGTATTCCCAATCGTCTTCACATGAAAGACCGGGATTTTCTCGTAGTTGGTCAATAATGGATGGTAAGTTTCTTGCTGCAGCTCTCCTGACCATAGGTGTGTCATCTTGTATCAATTGTGAGTATAAAGCCAGTAAATTTTTTCTCAATGTATCATCCTTGACCCTACTTATCACAACTTTGAAAAGACCACATGCAGAAACTTTTGATGAGAACCAGTCAGCGTTGGCCAACCTGTCCAGTAAAGGAACATAGTCATGTAGTAATTGCTCAATTGTCATGTCTTTGACAACTTTATTCAAAGATGCTAGGGCTTTTTCTCTTACCAATGTCTCCTCTGTAGCTGCAAGTATTTCCAATGTAGGAAATAAGACATTAATATATTGACTACCGCCTACTAAAGGAACGAATTTCCCTAATTCCTCAGCCAAGACGGCGAAGACCTCATCCTCGTCATCTTGGGCCACTTCAGTAAGAAAAGGAATCAATTCCTCCCTAGTTCTTTCTGGACCTAGAGCAATGGCTATGGTATCCAACTTTTTCATGGCCTCAACCCTATTAGCAATATCATCGTGCTTCAACTCATCCATCAACAAGGCTAGTGGGTGCAGATCCCCTTCATTTCCGTTCTGATTATCGGCCATCCTTTCTGATCAAAAATGCAGTTTCCTAACTAACAGTTGGTATAATTTCCTCTAAGCAACTGAATCCTGTCAGCTTATCTCTTTCTTGTACCAAATAAGAGGTCTATAGCAAATCAAAGTCTTCCAGCACACCTGTCGAATAGGGTTACAAACGTCACGCTTTCTTTCGGGTATGTGTCTACTTGACTTCCTTCACGCGTGGTATATACAGAAAATGTCACCTTTTATTACTTTCAGTACTTGACCCTGTCCCTATTAAATCCAACAATGCAAGAAACATCCTCAGTTTATGTAGATGTGGTTCAATTGTTTGTTCGAGATTAGAGAACTGGTGTTCGAACTGAAACCTGGCAAAAGGTGCCTTTGCGGATTTCACAACTAACAAAACTTCTTGAGAAAAATAACAAGCAAAATATACTTCGTTATATATGATATATATGATGTAGAATATAAAGTTTACCTACTTCTGTAGAGTCATGTACATGGAGTTGCATTTAACCATCCAATATATTTGCCAATCCATTGTCAAAGGTAATTACAGTGATTAATATTTTTATTTGAAGCTAATAAAGGGTACTGTGACATGGTTATTATAGTCGATCTATAGGCTGGATAGCAAGCGTAGGATTTCAACTATGGCAGGTTTTAATTGAGATAATGTTGAAGGGATCTCTCCAAACCATTTTGTAATCATTCTATACCTTTTAACCAGTAAGATAACCGCTACAACTAGCACCAATGAGAGCTGTTTCATGTTTTTATAAATCCATTTTTGGGTGGTTAAAGCTTTTAACCATTTTTGGGGAATGTGACTCGTAATAGAGCTGAATGCTCCCTTAGATAATGCCAAGTTATCCATCTTTATTTGATCTCGAACCTCGTCAGACGGCGTGGGTATTGCTTGTAACACTTTTGTACTCTCTCTAAGACTCTTTCGAGAAGATGACTTCTTTTTCTCTACCGAATCCTTCTTTTGTTCCAACTTAGCCAATATAATCTGACTAAGTGGCTTTTCGTCAAGCACTGTCTCATCAAAGACACTCTTTAATTGCAATACTTTGTCACAAAGATCCTCATATAATTTTGGTGATTTTTTCTTGCCCTCTAGCTGTATCTGGACATCAAATAGATATAATTCTGCAAGCATCAACATTTCCACATTATATTGCCTCCTACTCTCGTTTGTCCGTTTCTTGACATGAAATCCAATATCATGGATCAATGCATCTTTCTCATCAGCTATTATTTGATAACGTTCATCTCTACTTCCTCTCATTAGCCCGATAGCTCTAATTATATTACCATGGAGTTTTGTAATTAACGCCAAGGCAGATGCAGCTGGGGAATTGCGTCGTACAAATTCTAGAATCTCACTATAAATAAACAGCTGTATGATCTTGTTTTGCAAAGATATACCTAGAGTTGCCAAGTCTGATACCCTAGAGCATGCATTAATGAATAACTCCACGCTGTCCATGTTCTGAAAAATCTGGGATTCATTTAGCAAGCCACAGCTCAGCATAGCTTCCAAACACTGCTTAGGCTCTCCCTTGATAAATAAATCTAAACAATTGTAGTACTCATCGCTGGTATTATCATCATTTTGATAGGGACTCATAGCAGGCTCATCACTAAAATCATCATCATCCAGCAGATTCTGAACTGTGGTCATGGTAGATTCTGGCAAAACGTTAGACATGTTCACCGTATCTTCCTTTAACTGCATCTGTAATTCTGGTAACTAACTGATTATATCCTTACCGATATCAAATTGAGTCATTGCATATACACATTGTATGACATTTAAAGCTGTATTTAACCTTATTTTTTAAAGGCCAGTAACCCCGATGTTCGGAAAACCCAACTTTAAACCGACGAGCAGTTGGTAAGGAAGAACCTGATAAAAAACCTCGAGGATATGCTACTACTTCAAATTAGTATTTGTGGTAACAACTGTTGTTGCGTTACTTCTCATAACAAATTAGTTAGTCATTAGTATTAAAATCATGCAATATAAACGGTATTATGTAAAAAATTATGTGAATAAAAAAACTAAAATTCAATAACAAAAGCAATTCAACTAAATGCAAATTTAAAGTTGTTAAACAAGGTCAATACAGCAAAAAAAAAAAAAATTGAATGAAAACTTCAATTAAATATATCCAAACCTCGAAAATGAAATCAAAAAAATTTATAACCCAATGTAGAGTATCTGTTTTCTATCCTTGATACAAACACATTGCTCCACCACTACTAAGGAACGTAGTTACAAATTCAACAGCACACAGAATAATGTACCAGACATTTTTTTTTTAAATTTGAAGCCATACATCTTGGCAAATCTCGTCAATTGTTGGCCTTTTACGAACACAGCGATTTAATATCTTTGTAATCAATGCTTTACATTCCTGACTAACATCCGCGCTATCATTGAATCTAAGTTCTCCTTCTAATATCTCATCTATATTGTAAAATGGATTTTCCTTGTAGATCAAAGTATACAATAAGATACCGATGGCCCATATGTCTTGCGATTTGCCCTCATATGGATTACCACCAAGAACCTCCGGAGCAGCATAGTCAATAGTACCAACGAAAACATCGAAGGGACCACTTTTCACGTAGGCAGCAGAACCAAAATCAATCAACTTTACAAAACCCTTGGAGTCAACAATAACATTTTCATCCTTTATATCTCTATGAACAATCCCTTGGTCGTGCAAATGCTTGATACCGCTAACAATTTGCTTAAAGATCAATTTTGCTTCAAATTCAGTCATGTTTGACTTGAACTCAATGATGTCAAATAAATCTACACTACCAGTTTGACCGTGAGGAGGAGTTTCTAAGTAGTAGTAATCGTCATCTTCAAAGAAGTCCAACAAACCAAGAATGTTCTCGTGAGGTCTCTTATTAATTGTCGCTAATATTTGAATTTCTGATGGAATGGTACCTAGTTTTCTATCTCTAACCCAGGTGTCCACCAAAATTCTTTCCTTGAAAATCATCTTAATCACAACAATATATTTCTTTTCTTTGTGAATACATAAGTTAACTTTTCCATATGCCCCTTCTCCCATCTTTTGTAGGACAACAAAATCGGAGTACTTTTTCTTCCTTTTTTGGGCCCCAATCACAATTGGTTCTTTTATGTTCAACACCTTCAAGAGTTCTTCCGGCGCTAAGTTAGAGTCAGCATTAGCCACCTCTGGAATCTCCGTGTTTACAATTTTCTTTATCATTTCTTCATCAAGTTTAAAATTATCTTCCTTGACAAAATCTGATTTGTTATTTGTATATCTTCTAGCCAATTCGATATTTGCTCTGATTGTAGGATCAGAAATCAGATCATTATCAATAATATCGACAGTATTTTTTAGTTCACTATTTTTTGGTGGATGTGCTTCTTTATTACTATTAGAAATAGCCACGGACTGTTTTTCGATAGAATTACATCTGTTTTCATTATGCTCACAAGTTTCATCTTCTATACCTTGATCAGCAATAGCCAAGCTATCAATTCTCTTTAGCGCAGATAACGCTAAACATTCAGTTGGCCTCTTTGAGGACGACGAACTACTTCTACTGCTAACTAGTGAAAGTTCACTCTCTTTCAACATGCTTAGCTGAGAAGGATTCGAATCATAATTTTCAAATAACAGGTCTCTTGTTTGAGAAATCCATAATAGAAAGATATTTTCATCCAATACTCTAATTTGAAAATCAACCTTAATGTTATTTCCGTCTTTATGAAGCCCATCCAACCCAACAGAAGAGTAAAAGCTTCCAGGATCAGAATGCATTTCAGAAACAATCTTTCTGAAAAAATGCTCAGTAAGAACCAATCCTCTGTTCTCTTCAGCACTGAAGTCTAAAATCGGATACTGATATTGAATAAAGGCAAGAATTTTGGCGAGATCAGGAATCAAGGTAGTAATATCAGAGTTGATAATTTCAGAAGTATGATAACCAAACATATTCTTGCAGATTGATTTGTTACAAGAAACAAGCTTCAAAGTTTCTCTTTCAATAATGAACAAACCAACTTGATAAGCGGCACTATGAATCTTCAGTTTTAGCTCATTTTCCAACACAGACGAGGATACAGCACATGATATGTTATAATTTGAATGATTTAATGTAAAGTATCTTCTTCTATTAATCTCATTCGATACCCGAATTGACAGTGGTACTAACTTATCATCCTCATCCATATCATAATTTCCTGTACATACGTCTTTAATTAGTTTCGATAAGGACTTACTCACTTTTTTGATATCATGTACTTCGTTTGCAAATTTCACAGTCTTCTTTTTTTCTAATTCATCACTTTCGGTTACTGTAATATCATTTTCTGTATTTTGGTCAAGGTTGGAAAGCAAACCGGTAGAATCGTTAATGTTTTCAACGGAAAAGTCATCTAAATTTAACATAATATCTGCGTAATCACATGGAATCTTCTCAAAAACACAAACCAAGGAACCTTTTATTCTTCTTGCCCAAATGGTTGCCCATATCAATCCAGCCTTATTTTCTGAATTAGGTTGTACTATGGCTATAATTTCCCCACTAAAAACAATATCTTGATCATCTTGAATACTAATGAGTTTATTCAGAGCAAAATTTCTACAATCTGTGTGAATAAGATCAAGGAGAGTTAAAGCTTTCAGGACATTTTTGTTAATACCAAAAGTCAAACACGCCAAATCGTTTGCAGCTTTAAAGTTCCAGGGATGTTGATCAGAACAGGTAAAAATTGCTTGTGGTGCAGAGTTCTTTCCTGAAGTAAAAGGATGCAACACTTTATTATAGCGATATTGCCGTACCACTTCAGACATGTTGATATTCAGATCTTGTTCATTTAATTTTTTATATTGATCGTCCTGCATATTATCGTTTTCACGACCAAATTCAATGAAGGGTTCGGCTAAACTGTCTAGTAAAGCCCGTTTTAACTTGTTCCCTTTTTCTTCCACATCATTGATTGTATCATCATTGCCATCTGTTGGTACCGAAGTCAGGTCCAACTTGTCAATATTTAAGAGTGATAATTTATGCAACTTTGATGCGTTGCTCATTGATTTTTTTTCTAATGTATCATCCAAAAGTTTTCGTAAACCTTCCAATATGTCTTTATTATGTCTGAATTTAGTGCCAGATTGGGTCCCACGAAAATTAAAATCCTTTTTGAACGGTGAATTATTGCTATGATTAGATATACTCTGCGGTAAAACTGCCAATGATACCGCTCTTTGCATTTGCACTGGCCTTTCTGGGATTTGTGAATCTTCATTTGTGAGATCCCCATATTTGCTATTAGGTTGAGCACTTTTATCCATGCTATTCGATACAAATGCCTCTAAAGTAGCTGCATGAGAGTTCCATTTGGTAACACTCCCTCTCTTTGGCAAAGTTACCATGTCCTCTTCATTATTTTTCTCATTAATCATTTCCTGCAAGTGTGCTACATGGGTAACATCTGCTGTATTAGATGCCTTCATTCTCTTTAAAGGCTCTACCGCTTTACTCTCTTCTAGCATATCGGGGTCATTAGCCATGATATCTAAAGCTCTCTTTAGGATAGATAGTCTAACGTACAGCGAAATCGGAGACAAAGGATTACATGAGTATGCATGTGTAGACTCATTAGGAAGTGATATAAGCTCTTTGTAGTCAAATTTTTCTGAGCTACTTTTAACTGATTCCGAAGATCCATTCTCATGCCTATAAAAAGGACTAGGCCTTTGAAGATCCACATAGGAGTTACCTCGGCTTATATTCTTGAAACTCAAAGATGTATCGGACGCAGATGCAGATGACGGTATCGACGCAAGATCAAACTTCTTATTAAATATGGTATCCTTGGTGATATGCTTCTCTTGAAACGCCTTGAAAGCAGCTCTAGACGAGTCTGAAGTCCCTGCGTATGGCATAGCTAATAATATCTCAGCGCCTTTCTGTAAAATAAATATAACGCAAGAAACTTTCTCAAAAGGGTGTGTCAATAAAAATAACAATCAAAGTCTAGTAATATATTTCTTTATCAGATGGTAAGTCAAGTTCTTATCTTCTATCAAGTATTTCACAAAAAAGATATAACCCTCTCTAGTACTATATGCCTCGTGCTCAAGTCCTGTTGTATTTGAAAAAATATCCGTGATTATTTGCTGTACAAAAGAGAATTTATAACTATATATATCAGCTATTAAACCTCATAATATGTGGAAGACTTCTAAGAGAGCTTATTCATCGGAAGAAATTGTCATTTCTGGTTAGCTCATCTCGATATTTCCACGTTTTCAGCTCTTTCTTTTTTTTTTCAGCATTTTTTCAGCAGCAACATTTCTTTTACACAATGGAAACAATGGTGCTCTTGAAGTACAAAAACTGGAGTTAGCAATAGTGCAAGTGCACTTGGTTACAAACGTTGCAGGTGCATATACATCCCTGTCATTTACTCTTAGAGCATGCATTAAGTAACCATGGACTACGGATAAGCATCGTTACCCATGTTAGGTGACATCGGAGAGCGTGCTCATGGATAAGAAAATAACTGTTAGCTTTAGTGATTGATTAATTACTTAATAATTTTATAAATATAACGTAGATTTTGGCCAGAGCAAAAACGAGTTTTCTTCTGTTTTGGACTTCAAGTAGAGAGCTGAACCGCTCATTGTTTTTTTGGGTTACGGGTAGTAGTTTTAATATTTTGTGTCACTCGACATAATACATTAAGAAGAATTACTGCGGATGACAACTAAAACCAACTATTCTTATATTATAATGTAGCAGTACTTAGCATAATCATAAATATTCTATCCTAACAGGGTTTCCAAAGTACTGATTCAATCTACCAAGCGATTTAGAAATATTAAGAAACCATGAATTTAAATGTCGATCCGCCCTATAAGTTTGATTTTATCACTGAGCCTTGTGAAATACATGGCCCAGAATATACTCATCTGAATAACCCCGAATATGTGAATCCAAAACCTATGAAAGGGCTGAAGCTACAGCCACTACCTGGAGATGATGTGATCGAGAGGGAAAAGAATAAGCTCAAGGTTCGAGAACTATGGCAAAAGAAACAATCCAACAAAGAGATGAATATATTCCAGAGAAAATTCAATGCCTATAAAGATAGATTTGACGAGTACCAGGGAAACATGACACTCTTGAAGAAAAGTATAACAGAAGACTTTCAAACCAAAAAGGAAATTTTCTTTTATCCTTTTAAGGGCATAACATTTGACTATAAAAACGGTACTTCTGAGAACGGTCCATCTACGATGACGTTAAAATATTTAATGTGCATGGTTGCAGATGGCTCTACTTTTGCTTTAGTATTTGGGCCTGCAATGACTATGGTTTATTCTTTGTTTTTGGGTCCCATTGCAATTGCGCTAGTGATTGTACAAGTTATTCTTGTAAGCAATTACTTGGCCCTTATGGACACCAGAAGAGACACTGATAAATTAGGTGCCCTAGTTTTGGGAAATGTTTTCACCACTTTAAACTTAAATCAATTTGTTGTTTTCACACAGACCATAAACATTTTCCAAGGCGACACCAATATCAGACTGTGGAGAAGAATTACAAGCGCAGAGTTCCTTGTAGATACACTTCCCAATTTCTTGATAGATAGATCAATTGAAATTCTGGACTATATATTTATAGTTGCATGCTTCTTTATACCATTTTTTGGAATCACAATAGTTCAATTAATCTTTGCAGGACAAAATGGGTTCGCATATTTCCAGCCTTATTTCAAAGAACTACGAAAGATGGATGAGAAAGAACTAAGAAAAGTATACTACCAGAACTATAGTAAATGGTATCTATATGGAGTAGCTTGCGCAGTCATAGAGTCCCTTCCATTTCTCTCAGGATACCTCCAACCAAGCTTGTTTGTGGGCGCATCGCTTTGGAGCGCAAGAGAGTTAAAAGAAGAAGTAAAATTAAGGACAAAGAAATTCGGCCCTATACAACCACAGGAGTCTACATAGCACCTAAAACTTGAAACCTTTACATAGATAGCTAAAGATTCGTTAATGTATTTCCTATACCATAACCTTAAAACAGATCAACAAATGCTACATTGCAAATACCCGCTAGTGGATGTTCTAAACTCCGAGAGCTCTATCTAGTCAAGTACCCTTTCTATGCCCTTTTAGTCTTATGTATGAGGAGATGTGTCTTGACTACGGCAATTTCTGCGTGTGACTACTTTTTACAGATTTAAAAAACTAATTTAATTATCATCAATTTGCGATGGCCTTTGATCATCAAGGGTCCCCTTGGGCATATGGCAATAATATTAGCTGTAATACATCGGGGGGTTCATTTACTTTTAGTCCTCTAGCATTGTTTGACCAAATTTTCGATAATTAGCATTTTTACTTGTTAACGCAATACAACCCCACCCCCTCATTTGCAAAAATTATATCGATTCATCTATTTTCTATTAATATTATTCTTATAAATTAATTCATATTTAAAATGGGTATTGCTGGCTATTTACAACAGTATCTCTTCACTCCAGTATTAGATCACGCAAAATTGAGACAAAAGAGGTATCTATTCAAGATGGATTTGATAAAACAAGGGTTCAACAAAGATTTGTTCCTATCGAGTACATACAAGTACCCACTAAAGGTATGTTTTAGTTAAAGTGAGCAACAACCTAAAAACACAAAACAACTTTACTAACATTCAGATTTGCTTGTTTTATCTATCAAATTCTCAATCATCTCTGAGAGTTCGCTGGATGAGATGGCATCTTTTACTCATTCTAGGGTCTATTTAATGTTATCACAAGGCCTTACTATTGGAAACCGCTAGGTATATTTGCCGGATCATATCTAGTAATATTTGCTGTGGTAGCAGGTGCATATTATGTCACAATTATGCCCTTTATTCTGGGAGGTGCCTTGTTAACTATGGGTCCTATTGGTCTCGTTCTAGCTCACATACAATGGCTAGTTCAGTCTAATTCTATCGCTGCTTATATATGTAGGAACTTGATGCTCGAAAAACTGAACACTGAGGTCTTCGACCTTACTTTGGCCAAGAACGGCCAACAAAAGTTAGTCTCTGATGCAAAATATCTCAGCAGAAAGACTACTAAGTCACGGAGATCTATTTGGTCTGCACACACAATAATATATTCATTCCTTTCGGCAAAAGTTACTAGCTTGGGACAATCTATCGTTTTGTCATTAGTATCCCTCATTCCAGTATTAGGCCCTTTGATAGTTAACCAAATAACAGCACCGGATAGGGCACTAAGCTATCTAAGTCGTTATCTATTCTTGAAGCAATATACAAGCCCAGACATCAAAAAGTTCAAATACAAAAATCTGGGTCAGTTAGCTTGCTTTGGTGTATCTGCGGGCCTATTTGAATTAATTCCTTTGGCCTCTATGGTAACAATTATGAGTAACACAGTCGGAGCAGCGATTTGGTCTGCGGATCTGGTTAAAAAAGAACAGAAAGTTCTATAGTTTAATATATGTATCCATATCTATCATGAATTGAAAAAGAAAATTGTGCTAGAAAATATGTATGCTGTGTTACAAAAATAGTATACTGTTATGCCCATAATATAAGAGCCACCATTATCGTTTATCTAGGTATACCAATTATCCAAAAAATAGTAATTAGTTTCAGAGGTTAATACATCACGACACTATCTAAACAGCCAAAACCGGCTGCAACCCCACCTTCATTAGAAGTAGTGAACTTGGATCTCAAAAGCCATCCGCTGTTTCTGTTGAAGTGTATTTTCTCATCATCGAAGAGAATGGAACCATATATACCAAGCTCACTAATTATTGATTCTTTGAAAATTTCATTTCCTCGAATAATGACGTTATTTTCATATGGTAATGGGTCAATAATCTCCATCAATATGTATGCATCCCACTTAGATTCACCAATTGTACTCAAGAATGATGGAATGTCTTCCTTGTAGACGTTATTACCACCACCTTCACGTTGGGGTTTCAGCACAAAACGATGAGGTTCATCAAAAGCTAGTTTCTTACCAATATTCCCCAACTCTGAATCATCTAAGGGATATATCTTTACGAAAGTCTTTTGTAGAGCTCTTCTAGAGTTTTCAGACTTCACAAATTGAGATAGAATATTATCATCGGTCAATAATTGTTGTATCTTTTTAGCACCTGATAATTGAGTTAGTAAATCTGGAGCTTTAATAGCGTAGCTTTTTTCTAAGAATTTTCTTGCTTCCCAATCTTGCTCATTCTGATAGTCAGTTGTTGTGTAGCCGGTCCTGTAGTAGACAATAGCAATTTCATCACCAGTCTCTTTGAAAAATAGTCGGTTTTTGTCAGCATTATCTGAGGTTAATCTAGATATAATATCATCAAATGTCATTCTAATGACACGGATACCATAGTCCTTTTGAAGGGAATATTCAATTATTCTTTGATCAAAAACATTTCTTTCTCCTCTTTGAACCACCATTAGTATGATCTTCTTTTCATCATTCAATGCATCGTACTTCTGGAAAGCATCAGCAAAAGATTTAGTCATTTCCTGAACAGAGGTTGGAACTGGAATATCTTTGTCAGCATAGGATGATTTACCGTAAGCACCTGAGTCATTCAGATATTTATGAACTTCTCCTACTCTAGTGGAAAATCCAACAAATGATACAGACACTGTGTTAAATTCAACTTGCTTGATTTGATCAATATTTTTGTCAATGAGGTAATCTGATCTGAAAATTCCTAATCTGAGTTTTTGTGCAATACCTTCATTCCTCACTGACTTATACAAATCCCATAATTTGCCAGTAAAGCCCTCATCCGAATGAGCTAGCTTCTCTGTTTCTTGAGATAGCCAATGCTCTCCCTGATCTCTTGAAATTTCAGCGTATAATTCATTAAAGCTCTGCTGGACTTCAATGGCTTCTTCGAAGTTTTTTCTGGCAATTGGTGTTGGGTAAAGGGTGAATGGAGCAATTTGAGCCTGGGTCAATTGAAAATCAGGTGGGTACATTAATAAACCATTTGACAGAGCCCATTGGTATGTTTCTGGTAAAATTTGTTTCTCCAATTCCTCATTTGTTAATGCCTGTGGTACAATTGGTTCGGTCATGGCGTCAAATAAGCCAACGATAGAAATGTACTAGTTTAAAGCTAGTAAACGATGGTATCTTCGGTAAAGACAAGCAACGATATACTCAATTCCTTAAGAAAGTGATTCTTATAATAGAAATAGAGCTCAAGTTCAGACGGAAGTCATGGCATTAATATTGCTAATTTATCTGATGGCATTGGAAAACTGTGGCCCACAGATTATCACGTACCCAACGATTATTACCTAATGATCGAATGCTAATGCATTGATAACTCTACTGGAATGTAACATTAAAGATTATTAAGCATGCATAATGATAACTATCATCATATCATTATAATGAACTACAACACATTAATTTTAAATAATTAAAATAGTCTATTTTTCTTGCATAGCACAAAACATTGAAGTTTAGAAGACAGCATCATACTAGTCATCCTTGTATTAAAGGTGGAAGTCATACTTCTCCGATTTTGTATAAAATTATAAGAAACTGATAAATTAAATTATAGAATGTGGTCGTAAATAGGTTGAAAATAAGATGAAAATAGGCTGATTATGAAAACAAAAGAATAAAAAAAAAAAATTTGGTACTAATTGAATATTGTTGATTTAAGAAATAATAATTTGGGGTCTCTACATCATGGCAGATTCCCAATAATTCCAGTCCCATACATTGTTATCATTTGGATTTGCTGTATTAATTTTCTGTTTTGGATTGATATTACCATGATTAGCTGATATAAGAGGTTCTTCAGGTGTCTCAATTCGGAGTTTTTTTGACTCACCCATAGTTGTGGAATCAGTACTTGTAGTTACATTAGAATTCGCCGGGCTTATTTCGGATTGATCAAGCCGCCTTTTTTTCTGATTATTATTTCATGCATTTTCCTCAGTAACGGGAGATAAAGAAGAAGAACTGAATAATTGTAGTGTATTCATATTAGTTGTACCTTGTACCCCCTTGAATACAGCCGAAAGAGCGGCTGGATCTATACCATACGTTCTTTTGTCACCCCCAGTTTTACTCTGCATCAGAAGTTTATTATCCACAACAGATGTGACAACGGTATCTTGCGTTCGAATTCTTTGTTCAGTCTTGCTTATCTTGACACCGTTAATAAAATCTGCCATGTTTTTTGGAATTTTGTAGCTTGTTTCAATTTCTTCACATTTCAAACCTAGACAGTCACCAAGAGTTGACAAAAACAGATCAGCAGGAGATGTAATAAAGAGCTTTTGTCTATGCTTAAAGCGAGATAAAATTTCACTCTTTCTTACATTTGCTTCATGTATCTTAGCCGCTTCCTCCTTTGAAACAGCCTCAGTTGTCTGGGGTTGTTTGGTTGAGTCAGATGAAACTTCATTTATTGAATTTGACCTCGAATTTTGTCTATTACTCCTGGATTTTGGTTTGGCTTTACCAGAAGTCGTTCCTGGAGTGGAGGCATTGGATGCTGAGACCGACGGTTTCCTCGATTCCTTTTTGACTGCATTAGTGATATTATTTGGTGTAGCAATAGGTACCTGGAAAGGAGTTGAGAAGTTTGTAATTATGTTAGAGTTATTGAGGTTGGGCATTTGTGGGTTATTGTTGGTATTGTTGTTAGTGCTATTATTATTATTATTATTATTATAATTGTTATTGTTGTTGTTGTTTTGTGCCTCTACTCTTTGCATTTGCTGCAGAGCACCCTGTATTTCTTGTTGTTTTGTTTGAGATTGTCTCCGCAGTAGTTGCACTCTCATACTATCCCAATACCTTTGATATTTCATTATCAGTTTGTCAACAGTTTCCAGCTTCACCACAAATATTCCATTAGCACATTTTTCAAGTATTTCCTTTACAAATATTCTAAGTTGAAAGACTTCTTTTAGAAAGTTCTTCGATTTAGTCATCATGTATACCTGTGGTGCAAAATTGCTAACCTGAACAAACAACTTTTGATTTGTCTTTAATCTGCTCCTAATGGCATCTTTCTCCTCGTTAGTTAAAGTGTTGGTCAAGTCAGTCAGTTGTAACTGCAATTTAGCTGCTTTCATTGAGATGTTCCGTATCTCTTCGATATCCAATTTAGTTGCAGCAAGATTTTGCATTAGCAACTGCTGCTGCTGCTGTTGTTGTTGTTGTTGCTGCTGTTGCTGTTGCTGCTGCTGTTGTTGTTGCTGTTGAGCTTGAATTTGTGCTTGCTGCTGCTGTTGCTGCTGCTGCTGCTGTTGTTGTTGTTGTTGTTGTAACTGCTGCTGGAACAAGTTTTGCTGTTGCTGTAGAGTTAGTTGAGGCATCTGCTGCTGGAACGGTTGTTGAGGCATTTGATTATTATTCATGTTCATGTTGAAATTATTCACTGGCATCTGATTATTTGAAATCACCTGATCTGTGTTAAACTGCTGAGGTACAGTCGACTCCTGCCCAGTTCCCATCTGAGTGTGATTGTCGGTTAGATTCATCATTGTAGCGTCGGTCTTGTTGCTTCCTTTGGTCTCTTCCATCTTCTTCAAGATAACGTGATTCAGAAACTTTTTAAAGAAAACAACTCTTTCCTCATTGGTCAGCATGTGTCCCAACTGGTACCGCTGTGTTGCATACTTCTTCCCTACTTCTATTGCCTGCTGTATAATATGTTTTATCTCCTCCATCTTGAACAGCTTACTTAATTGCTCTTGGTACTTTGACGACAGAAACTCGTCCTGAAATAAGCGCAGCAAGATGTGGAAAAGGTTACCATTTGTTACATTCTGTGGGGACTGTTGCTGCTGTTGCTGTTGCTGCTGTTGCTGTTGCTGCTGTTGCTGTTGCTGTTGCTGCTGTTGTGGCTGTTGTGGCTGTTGTTGTTGAGGTGGCTGTCTTTTCCGCTGCTGCTCAAACGACGCTTTCAGAAGCAGCTGCTGGTGCACTTTGTACACACCTCTGACTATCTCCATGGTACGTTGGTCGAGCATGTTTTTCGACGCCAGTTCAGTGACGTCCTTCCAAGTGCTGACCCCCGCCGGCAGGTTCGGTATCTTAGAGAGCAACTGCTGCGGGATAACCGCAAGCTGCATCTTCGAGAGCAGCAGCTGCTGTTGCTGCGGAGTCAGTGTAATCCTCGGCTGTGATCCTTGTTGTTGTTGTTGTTGTTGTGGCGGAGGTACTTGTTGTGATGGCGTAGCGGGCGTGTGCTTCTTCTGCTGCAGCGTCTGCTGCATGCCCTCGATCTTCTCCCGCATGCTCGCCATGTACTCCTGCTTCGTCGAGCTCTTCTCATATATGGCACTCTCGAAGTTCCGCGCCGACAGCCGCAACTTCTCCAGCACACCAGAATCACCCCCGTTCAAGTGGTTGATATCCATCAGTATCCGCATAAGCTGGTTCATGTTCCGTGTGCGCTCCCGCACCGACACATCCAACGACATTATTACCCTTGGCTCCGTCTATATCCCCCCCATGTTCACACTACGAGAAGCCCGCCAAACTGCTCTTATATAGGACGGAGCTTCCATCAGTGCGCCCGTTGCGCCCGTTGCGGTTGCGACCTGCGATGTTGTGGGTGACTTTGCAATGTAGCCCACCACGATGCGTCCGGCGCGACACACCCGCACTTCGCAAAGACGTAAGCCACACAAAGGACAATCGGGGGGCGGCCTGCTGGTTCTTCTGTGCTTTTGCGGGTGTTTGATCCTACATGGGACGCTGCGCGTCCTCTGAGGGGTTTTCGTGGGAAGCTCGATTGCTTTTTGACAGGGATGCGGGTTTTTGCGGTAGCTTGCTGCGGGGGGTTCTGTGGCACTGGGGAGATAAGTCTCAGAGAGGCGTGTGGGGAGCGGTGAAAAGCGCAGATCACCGCCGATCACTTCCATTGTTCGATGGCCCGCCTGTGCATGGTGTAGTAGTTGGAGCTGTAACTGTAGAAGTTAATAGTGTGGAACAGAGCAAGTGGTTGTGGGAAGTTTGGATGATGGTGCGGATGGTGCGGATAGTGAGGAAGGTGAGGATGTGGGAAGTGTATAAGTTGTGTTTGGGTAATGCTCTTTATCCACATACACAACAACGAAAACGTGATGGATGCGGTGCACGGTGGGATTGGCATCCGAGAGGTCGAGCTCTTGCTTATAATTGACGCAAAAATATGCAGCATATGTAAAACAGTCTTGAAATTGTAATATGTGTCTAGCAGAGTGAAACACCGACAACTACGACAAAACAGACAATCATGGATTCGGAATTGAGGGCGAGAAAGGCTCCTTCTGTCTCCGAGGTCAAGGTCGAGCACGACCACGGCCACGACCTTGCCAACGACAACAAAGAGCAGAAGGCGTCGAACAAGCAATTCTGGCTCAGACTCGAGCGCGTAGCCATGCCTATTGTGTTCACCTTGCTGGCGCTGCTGGTGAGACTGTACAGGCTCGACGTGGTTAAGAAAGTGACCTGGGATGAAGCGCACTTCGGGAAGTTCGGCTCTTACTACCTGCGTCACACTTTCTACCACGACGTGCATCCACCATTGGGTAAGATGCTGGTGGGCTTCTCCGGCTACTTGGCCGGCTACAATGGCTCCTGGGACTTCCCCTCCGGCCAGCCTTACCCAGACTACGTGCCTTTCGTCAAAATGAGAATCTTCCAAGGTGCCGTCTCAGCGCTGTGTGTGCCTATGACGTACTTCGCAGCCAAGGCCATCGGTTTCTCCTTGCCAACAGTGTGGCTGACCACCATACTGGTGTTGTGCGAAAACTCCTACACAACCTTAGGAAAACTGATCTTGCTGGACTCCTTGCTGTTGTTCTTCACCGTCGCTACCTTCATGTGCTTCCAGAAATTCCACAGCTACCACAGAAAGCCATTCTCATTCCAGTGGTGCTTGTGGCTGTTCCTAACCGGTGCTTCCATGGGCTGCGCCATTTCCGTGAAAATGGTGGGCCTGTTCGTGATCACTTTAGTCGGCATCCACACCATCGTAGAGCTGTGGACACTCCTCGGCGACAAGAACATCACCTGGAAGCGCTACGCTAACCACTGGATCGCTCGCATCATCTGCCTCATCGTCACCCCATTCCTCATCTTCGCCCTGTGCTTCAAAATACACTTTGCTTTGCTGTGGGGCTCAGGCCCAGGCGACCATGAAATGCCCCCAAGATTCCAAGCAGCGCTAAACGGCACTAACATCGGTCAGGGCCCTCGTGACGTGTCCATCGGCTCCACTATCACTTTGCAGAACATGAAGCCCCGCGGTGCCTACTTGCACTCCCACCACCAGACCTACCCAGAGGGCTCCAAACAGAGACAAGTTACCTGCTACAACTACGTCGACGGAAACAACGACTGGATTGTCTATAGACCACACGGAAAGCCAATCTGGCACGTCAACGACACAGAGCATGAAGCCATCCGCAACGGTGACACAATCCGTCTGGTTCACAAAGGTACTGGTTCTAACTTGCACTCACACCAAGTGGAAGCACCTTTGAACAAACTGGATTACGAAGTGTCAGGTTACGGTAACTTGACCATCGGGGACTTGAAGGATCACTGGGTCGTTGAAATCATTAAGGATGACGGTAACGAGGACAAAAACTTGATCCATCCAATCACTACTCATGTTCGTTTCAGACACGCGGTCTTGAACTGTTACTTGGCTCAAAGTAATGAGCATCTACCAGAATGGGGTTTTAGCCAAGCTGAAGTCAGATGTATCAGGGAACCTGAGAAGAATGATATCAAGACTATGTGGATCGTTGACACTCACACTCACCCTAACCTAGAGGCCCCAGAAAACTTCATTTACCCAAGAAGATCATTCTGGAGCGATTTCTTTGAATTGAATAAGAGAATGATGGCTACAAACAACGCCTTAACTGTTTCCAAGGATAAACATGACTACTTAAGATCTGAGTCCTGGGAATGGCCAACTTTGTACCGTTCTCTAAGAATTAACTCCTGGAATGAGAATGACACCAGATATTTGTTATTAGGTTCTCCTGCTTCTACCTGGCCATCTACAGTTGCTGTATTGTTCTTGGTATTTGCACTACTTTACAAAGTTTTGAAATGGAATAGACAAATGCAAATCTTCCAAAATGAACATGATGAAGAACTATTTATTTATGGTGGTGTTTATCCATTGCTTGGTTGGTTTTTGCATTTCTTCCCATTTGTCATTATGGGTAGAGTTAAGTATGTTCACCATTACTTACCTGCTTTGTACTTCGCACTCTTTGTCTTGGCATATATCTTCGACGCTGGATTAAGATACTACAACAAGACAAAGACTCAAAGGATCATTAAATTCTGTATTTATGCCGGTTACATGTCTGTTGTCATTGGTGGCTTCATACTATTTGCTCCATTCTCTTATGGTATGACCGGTAAACTTGAAAACTATAAGCACTTGAACTGGATGAAGAACTGGGATGTCGTGTAATTATAACTATGTGTTCAATTCAGTAAATAGATCTTAACGATAGTACGAAAAAACATTATTGTGCTTTAATATTAGAATCACCGACGTTGCAATTGGACGTTAATGTAATGAACAACGACTGTATAGCTGTTGAATTATACTATATAACATATAATTTATTATATGCGTAATTGTTTTATTAAGAAAGTTTAATGCAAAAGAAACTTCAGTGTGTAACATATTTAAAGCATCTTAACGGTCCAGTGTCGGTTGTTTTATGTAAAAATAATGCAAAATATATATGTTCTCGTTTTATTGGGTGATACGGTCAGTATCAAGGACCTCAGAAAGATTTCTAATACCCATTTCAATGGTATTGTTTGGTGTTAATGGCGACCCTCTACCATATGGAACAGCACCTTGTATACTGATTATGTTTTCAAGTTGAGGAGATTGTACTGTCGTTAAGTTGTTTCTTATATTGGAGTTATTGTGGTGTGCCATAGGTGGAAATGCAATAATAGGAGTTTGATGTTCAGGTTCCTCTCCCAGGTCTTCGGAGTTATCAACAATCTGGACACCACCAGAATCTTTCAATGCTGCCTCATATGAAGGAGGCGCATTTGTTTGGATTTCATGGTACATGGGTGGAACTTCTTCATCCCATGATATGCCAAGTCCAGATCTCTCAGTAACATTAATTCTGAACTGCATTCTAAGAACCCTAGCTGCGCCTGTTGGAACACTCACTATCCTTGGCGTAGAAGACATATGTGGTGTAATCCTTCCAGTATTGTTTCCAGACCTCGTACTAGAGCGAGAATTCACAGGAGAGAGGTCGTTGTATTCAACCGGTTTGGCCCTTTGAGCGTTTCTATTGGCAAACATAGGTGACAGTTCCAATAGCCTTTGATCCATCTCACGGCTGTCATCATCATCATCATTCATATTTTCCGTAGTACCCTCAGGTTTCGAACCTTCGGGAATCACAGATGATCTTCTGCTGCCTCCATTTCGAATTGGCTGACCATTAGCATATTGCAATGCTTCTTCGGCCACAACAATTTCGATGGCCAATGTATGATTGACATAAATACCAAGATTAGGATCCTGAATATCACAAGCAATGGTAACAGGTGGTAGATCAGGTTTCTTCTTATATGGATGCGTTGTTGATGTATGCATTATTGGATTAGAAACACCAGAATTAGAATGAAGCAAATCTATATCGGTTACAAGTTCAACTTTTCCGTTATCACTATCAAAGTCTGTCTTCCATCCACTTTTCATCTCGCCTTTCGATATTATACGTACCTCTTCTGAAAATAAGGCACTACTATTTTTTAGTTCCTGCTTTAATTGCTGTTCACGTTGCCGTTGTTGTTGCTGAAGTAATTCTTGTCTCATGGCATCATCGCTTGGATGAACAAATTGATCAGTAGTCTCATTTTCATCAGTATCTATGTTACCAGCTTCACCTTCTCTAGATGACAAAGTGGCAGAATTTGGAGCTTCCTCACTAGACGTCAAAGTCGGTTGTGGTCCTGATCTTCCACCAGACAACGGCATATTGGAAGGTGAACTCAGGGCGATTCTTATTTGAGGCCCGATATCACCATAACGTTTTATAGGAACAGGAGGTTTTTTGCTACGCTCTTCTTCTTTCAGTTTCACCTGATCCTCCAACTTCTTCAAATCGGGTTTATGCTGGGTACAAACATTGGTCTTGACTCTTGTAGTTTCTTCTACTCTCCACGCCAATTTTCTCATCCTCCATCTTTTGTCTGAGCCTTTCCCGGTTGAAGGCGAAGATATACCATTGAGTTTCATTTCTAATGGAAATGTTGATTTTGGATAAACGACATTTGGCAAGACAGCCGCCGCAGTCAATTGTGTAGGTGGGAAAACACGCAGCGAGTTCTTATCTGGACCACGATGGATGCTTCTTGTTACTGGTATGGGCATTTTAATGTTCAACATATATTCCTTGTCCTTATGCACTGGATCATAATATGAAACATTACCAACGAGTTCGTATTGTATCTTTGTGTTGGCCGATAAACCAAGAGCTGATGTTGAAGGTACAGATCCCGGTACTAAATACGAAAATGGGTATGCATGCTTGCCAATTGTGATAAGTTTCTTTGTTGATTGTATGTTCCACGATTTCAAAGATGTGTACTTGACTTTACAATTCTTACAGTTTATGATGTTACCAGTAGCATTTGCTGGAAGTTGTAATGCTGTGGATGATGCGGATATACTTGAATCAGGAATGAAAGGCTTATTATAAGTAACTTTTTGAACAAATTTTAAGTGAACGGAGGTTATTGTGATGTTATTATAGCCGGTTTCGTGCTGCGTTGCGTTTCTACCACCATGTTCTTGGTTATCAACAGAGTATATGAAATTCTCACTTTGGGGATCCTTAACTCTCAGAACAAACTGACCGCAAAGCACAGCCCCAGCTGAGTCTGTAGCAGAACCATAAAGAACACATGGAGGGGACTCGAGGTTCAACTCCAGATCAATGGGTAGTTTACAAGGAGGTCTTCCGCTCACATCCTCTGGTTTACCAGGTGTGTGAACTTCAGATCCTCGCCTCAGCTTCACAGGAGACCCAAACTTCGATTGTGATTGTGCCGTGCTGTTGCTATTGTCATTAGACTGGATTCGTCCTAGCCTCTGAAAATTTAGCATCGGTGGGGGCGTATAGCTTTCACTGTTTTCAAAACCTAGCACCACTGCTGTTCTTTTTCTTATATAGTATCTTAATATATGCTTATTTTATGCAACACTATATTAATGCATTTTCAAGCTGGCATTTGACCCACATATTAAATGTGATCACTATGATCAGAATTCACAACATGTCTAAGTCAGAAGAAATTTCAAGAGAAAAATCAGTCGATACGTAGTGATCTCACATACTACAGATGATCTTGTCAAATCTAATTCTCCATCACAGTAACCAAGTGGGTAGTGGGTTGTTACTTAACAGGAGTCAGACCAAGCTACTTGTAAGATGATGAATAGCGAGGGAACTGAATAGAGAAATCTGCTACTAATGAGGATGATCAACTAGTGGAAAGAACTAGAAACTGCCTGATTATTGTAAGTTTGATATGCGCTATCTTTGGAGCAGGAGGCAGTGAAGTAAACTCTGATCAGACACCCCCAAACTTATAATAAACTTGTACAGGACATACAGCATTCAAACTCATCGCAAAGGCCATTATTTGAAATAGGGTGCCTTGATTGTGAAAAAAAGAATATCTTAGAGCAAGCCGTAGGAGTCCCGATAACAAAGTGAAAAAATATTGAAAAATTCTGAAAATTTTGGCAAAATGCTGAAAAGAAATGAAAGTTGCGATGAGCTCACTGATAATGGGTGCATTAGAAAAGGCAAACAGATAGCTGGGCCATAGATTAATGTGTTATACAACTTACATGGTATATATACGGATAGTTGAAGATCAGTGAACCCGAATAACTTGCGGAATATGTATCATATCTTTTGTAAAACGCCAGCGTAAAAGTAGAAAAATACTAGCCTAATTTATTATATTTGTAAAATAAGCTCTTTCAACTCCAGGCATTGAATTGAAAGTTATTTAGCTGTGTGAAAATAGAAATTGGCTGTGTTTTCTTCATTGTAAATATTGGATTTGAGAAGATGAATGTTTCCGATGATTTAATTTGGGATATTATTAATCATGGCTTTTGTGCTACTAAGATTAAGACTAAAGTGGGACAAACGTTTGACAGGGATCCCTATAATGTTACTGGGCTATTTACTAGGCAATCATGCCCGTTGGCCAACTCCAAGTATGCCACTGTAAGGGAATATGGCGATAAAGGTAGGTTATACCTATGCATAAAAACTCCGGAAAGGGCACATACCCCGGCTAAAATGTGGCAAAGAATACGTCTCTCCAACAACTACTCAAAAGCCCTTAAACAGATCGATGAGCATTTAATGTATTGGAATAAGTTCTTCTTACATCGTTGTAAACAGAGATATGTGAAATTATCTCAAATTAAACTGGTAGAGAGAAGACAGTTGAAGTTACAGATGAATGGAGAACAGAAGAGACTAGTTGGCATTGCGCCAAAGGTCAAAAGACGTGAGATGAATAGGGAAAGAAAGGCATTAGTGGCAGCTAAGATTGAGGAAAGTATCTCTAAAGAGCTTTTGAACCGTTTAAAAAGTGGCGCTTATTCTAATGCTGATAAAACTCTGACACCTCTTAATGTTGATGAAAATATATGGAATAAGATCATGGGTAAACTTGGGGAGGAAGACATGGAAGGCGTCTCTGCAGATGAAGAAGAGGAAGAAAGTGATGTTGAAAGAGAGATCGAATACATTGAAGATACTGAAGAAGAGGAAGAAGTTGATTTGGATAACTTAGAAAAATGGTTGGAAGACAAATCCGATCACTCAGACAAAGACGAAGATGACTCAGATTTCTCGTCAACTGACGATGAAGGAGATGATGATGAGAGCTACCAAAGGAAATTGAAGGATATCAAAAAGAAAAGTATTGAAGTTGAGCTTGAATTCGAAAATGAGAATGAACAACAGCAATCAACTGTCTCCAACTAATCTCAAAATATATATATTCCAAGGCGTCTATCCATATGCTGTGCCACAGACACCTTGTTCAATATCTTCAAATAATCAATAAGCACATTTGCTTTTGTTATATTTTTCTTTATAGAATTTTAAAAGCTATATTAGTTACACCTATAGTTGTAGGATATGTTTTTTATCGTAATCATAATTTGATGTTGGTCACATCAATGTCTTTATGAACAAAGGCCTTGTTACCACCAGCACCCAAATAATCGGAAGCAACTTGACCGTCACCTCTAATTTGGTATTGGTAAGTTACTAATCCATCAAGACCCACAGGACCACGAGCATGAATCTTTGAAGTAGAAATACCAACTTCCGTACCAAAACCGTATCTGAAACCGTCTGCAAATCTTGTAGAAGCGTTCCAGTATACACCTGATGAGTCAATACCTTTCAAAAATTTTTCCGCATCTTCCTTACTTTCTGTGATAATAGCATCTGTATGTTTTGAAGAGTGTTCATTGATGTGATTTATAGCATCAACTGTGTTTGGGATAAATTTAACAGCGCAGTCTAGAGACAAAAATTCCTTGTCAAAGTCACCATCCTTGGCATCTACAATTTTAGCCTTAATATCATCATTTAGTTTACCTGAATCCTGTAGTTTCTTCAAAAATGCTTCCTTGACATCAGTAGTTGCATGAATTGTGACACCACCTTCGGTTATCAAATGGTGCAGGACATCATCCCATTGTGAGAAGTCTGGGTTCAAAAGTAGACCTTCCATAGCATTACAACCAGCTGGGTAATTAGTCTTTGCATCTAGTACAATACGTTTAGCCTTCTCCAGATCAGCGTCTCTATCCACGTAAATGGAGCAGATACCATCAGCATGGCCCAAGACAGGGATCTTTGTGCTATCTTTGATTTGTCTGACCAAACTGTTGGATCCACGAGGGACAACTAGATCGATGTACTCGTCTTGGCCCAGCAAATCGGACACGTCTTGTCTGGTCTCGATCAGTTGGACAGCGCCCACTGGAACACCGGTTTCGTCCTTGTACTGCTCGATAGTTTGGTTGACAACTTTAGCCATTGCCTTGAATGTATTGACGGACTCTTTGCCACCTTTCAAGATACCCGCGTTACCGGACTTGATACACAACGCGGTGATGTTGGCGATAACTTCTGGACGGGACTCGAAGATGACAAGGATGACACCCACTGGTGCGGTCACTTGGTATAGCATCAAACCGTTGTCGATCTCTCTAGCCATCTTAACCTTCCCTACTGGGTCCTCTAAGTCAGCGACATCGCTTATCCCTTGCAACATCACATCGAACTTGTCACCTTTGAAAAGGTCTAGCCTCTTCACTAGAGAGTCAGCCAAACCACCAGCCCTGGCCTGCTCCAAATCCTCCTTGTTCGCGCTCTCTATCTCATCCTTCGCATTGGCCAACGCATCACGGATCCTGTACAATATCTTCGACCTGTTCTCATCCGAGATAGTCTTCAACACATTACCAGCCACACGAGCCTGTTTAGCAATCTTCTCAGCAGACGACATTCTTACCTTATTATTACTACAATTACACACTGCTTGAGAATCAATGTCGAATTACATTACAATTACAATATACTAGTCTTTTATGCAATGAGTCTATATACTTTTTTTTTTCAACTTGCCCAGAGCAGTTTTTGTCATTTACAAGATACCTCCCTTCAGAAACCCCCGCACCCCACCTTCATATACAAATTGCGTCATTGCTACCCCCCCTTCCAACCCGCAACTGCCTCGACGTAACAATGAAACGGCACACACACATACACATACATATATGCATACATAGACACACACCACACACACACATACACATACACATACACATACACACATACTATTCAGCTATACAAGTATTGCCTTGCAGCACCTAGGCATGTATGGTTTGCAGCTGAATGGCAGACTCTCGCCGGATTGAGAAGGTAAAAAACCCTAATGAAGCCCTGAAGAAGCCCTGAAGAAGCCCTGAAGAAGCCCTAAATGTCAATCTTATAATTAGCTACGGGATATGGATCTACATATCATGTGACAGGTGACACCAAAATAAATCGATTTCGCACTTTGAAGTTCACGAAACACTTGTTCTCTGAGGCTTTCTTCTCTCATCCTTCGAGAAAGCACACGTATTTTGATTTGATCTATGCCCAATGCCCTTGTATATATTATATATGTGCGTAACATTATACCATATTCCTTATCCCAACCTCAAGGCGGCACATTGACACTTTCCTACAAGATGTCCTTTGAAGTTGGTACCCGTTGTTGGTATCCCAGCAAAGAGCTTGGGTGGATCGGTGCTGAAGTCACTAAGAATGATCTGAAAGACGGCACGTACCACATGGAATTGGCCTTGGAAGACGGTAAATCGGTTAACATCGAGACCAAGGACCTCACGGATGAGAGCGACGAGAGCTTGCCCTTGTTGAGGAATCCACCTATCCTGGAGGCCACTGAGGACCTGACCTCGCTGTCGTACTTGAACGAGCCAGCAGTGCTGCACGCCATCAAGCAGCGGTACTCGCAACTGAACATCTACACGTACTCCGGTATCGTGCTGATCGCCACAAACCCGTTCGACCGCGTCGACCAGCTGTACTCACAGGACATGATCCAGGCCTACGCGGGCAAACAGAGAGGTGAAATGGAACCCCACTTGTTTGCCATTGCAGAAGAAGCCTATAGGCTCATGAAGGACAACAAAGAGAACCAAACAATTGTGGTCAGTGGTGAATCCGGTGCTGGTAAGACCGTCTCCGCTAAGTATATCATGCGTTACTTCGCATCCGTAGAGGAAGAAAACTCCATGACTGTACAGCACCAGGTGGAGATGTCGGAGACTGAACAGAAAATTCTGGCCACGAACCCGATTATGGAAGCCTTCGGTAACGCCAAGACGACTAGAAACGACAACTCGTCCAGATTCGGTAAGTACTTGGAAATTTTGTTCGATAAGGACACATCCATCATTGGTGCAAAAATAAGGACTTACCTGTTGGAGAGATCGAGACTGGTATATCAGCCAGAAACAGAAAGAAACTACCACATCTTTTACCAGATGATGGCCGGTTTGTCCCCGAAGGAGAAAGCTGAACTTCATTTGAAGGGAGCAGAAGACTACTATTATATGAACCAAGGTGGAGACGTCAAGATTGAAGGTGTAGACGACAAACAGGAATATAATACCACGGTTGATGCATTGACTTTGGTGGGCATTTCTAACGAAACACAACAGCATATATTTAAGATCCTGGCGGCCTTGCTTCACATAGGTAATATTGAAATCAAGAAAACTAGAAACGATGCCTCATTATCTTCTGATGAAGAAAACTTGAAAATAGCGTGCGAACTGCTTGGTATTGACTCCTTCAACTTTGCAAAATGGATCACAAAGAAACAAATTATTACCCGTTCTGAAAAGATTGTCTCTAATTTAAATTACTCTCAAGCTTTGGTTGCCAGAGACTCTGTAGCAAAATTCATTTACTCGGCTCTGTTTGACTGGTTAGTCGAAAATATCAACACTGTTTTATGTAACCCTGCTGTTGTCGATAAAGTTGCGTCTTTCATCGGTGTCCTAGATATTTACGGTTTCGAACATTTTGAGAAAAACTCTTTCGAACAATTCTGTATTAATTACGCTAATGAAAAACTACAACAAGAGTTCAATCAACATGTATTCAAACTAGAACAGGAAGAATATGTGAAAGAACAGATCGAATGGTCTTTTATTGAATTTAATGATAATCAACCATGCATTGATTTGATTGAAAACAAATTAGGTATCTTGTCTCTTTTAGATGAAGAAAGTAGACTGCCGGCTGGTTCTGATGAATCATGGACGCAGAAATTGTATCAGACACTTGACAAACCTCCAACCAATAAAGTTTTTTCAAAACCAAGATTTGGTCAGACTAAGTTCGTTGTTAGTCATTATGCTCTTGATGTTGCTTATGATGTTGAAGGTTTTATCGAAAAGAACAGAGATACGGTTTCAGATGGTCATCTGGAAGTTCTAAAGGCATCCACGAATGAAACTCTAATTAATATCCTTGACACTCTGGAAAGAAATGCCAATAAATTGGAAGATGCAAAAAAGGCCGAACAAGAAAGCAAACCAGCAAAGCCTGGTCCAATGAGAACAGTACAACGTAAACCCACGTTAGGTTCTATGTTTAAACAATCGCTAATAGAATTGATGACTACTATCAGATCTACAAATGCGCATTACATTAGATGTATTAAGCCTAATAATGACAAAGAAGCCTGGAAGTTTGATAATTTGATGGTTTTATCTCAATTAAGAGCGTGTGGTGTCCTGGAAACTATTCGTATATCTTGTGCTGGTTTCCCTTCGAGATGGACCTTTAATGAGTTTATTTTGAGATACTATATTCTTCTACCAGCATCCGAATGGTCTTTCATCTTTACCAAGAAGGATATGACTGAAGATGATGTCATTGGTCTATGTAATAAAATTCTTGCTGTCACAGTTAAAGAGAAGGAAAAATATCAAATAGGTAATACTAAGATATTTTTCAAAGCTGGTATGTTAGCTTTCCTAGAGAAGTTGAGGAGTGACAAAATGCATATTTCAAGTGTTCTTATACAAAAGAATATCAGAGCTAAATACTACAGAAGAGAATTCTTACGTATTATGTCTGCAATTACTAGTCTTCAACAACGTGTTAAAGGTGAAGTCAGGAGGTCTATTATTGATAGAGAATTTAAGAATAAGGCTGCTACTGAAATTCAGTCATTGCTAAGAGGTTACCGCCGCCGGAGCCAAATTCTATCAATAATAAGCAGTATCAGATGTATACAGCTGAAGGTTAGAAAGGAGCTCAACCGAAAGCACGCTCAAGTTCAGCACGAGACTGATGCTGCAGTTGCTATTCAAAGCAAAGTTAGATCATTCAAGCCTAGAAAGGCCTTCCTTGAGGATAGACGCAAAACTGTTGTTGTTCAATCTTTGATTAGAAGAAGATTTGCTCAGAAAAAATTAAAACAACTAAAGGCGGATGCAAAATCCGTTAACCACCTAAAGGAAGTCAGTTATAAACTAGAAAACAAGGTTGTTGAATTAACTCAAAATCTTGCAGCTAAGGTGAAGGAGAATAAATCATTAAGTGCCCGTGTTGTTGAACTTCAAACTAGTTTGGAAGAAAGCGCGCTATTGCAGGAAGAATTAAAACAGATAAAGAGTAAACACGATGCAGAACTACTAGAACAAAAAGACGTATTTGCAGAAAAAGGCAAGCAAATTGAAGAAGAGCTAAATGCCGCTAATTTACAAGTTGAAGAATACAAATCTAAATTACTAGATTTAACTCAAGAATATGAGGAGCACAAAGCCACTACCAAGTCATATTTGGAAGAACTAGAGAAGACCAAAGCAGAATTAATTGAAGTTCAAACTTTTAACTCAGATCTTCAAAACGAGGTGAACTCTTTGAAGGAAGAACTATCTCGTCTACAAACACAAATATCCTTAGGTACAGTTACAGCAAATGTGTTGCCACAGACACCATCAAAAGATATCCATATGCAACGCAATGTTACCAACGGTACAGATATTGGTCCTGGCTCGGAATTGAATGTCAGACCTGTTAACAGTAAGGATGCTGGAAGCGTATCTAATATGGGTATGGATAGCTATGCGTCTGATTCAAATGCTTTGACACAAATAAATGAAGAATTGTTCAGGTTGTTAGAAGACATCGAAGTGCTGAATAACGAAATAACAGATGGTTTATTAAAGGACTTCGAAGTCCCAGCTGCCGGTGTTGGTATGCAACTAAGTAGAAGAGATGTTGTCTATCCAGCTAGAATTCTGATTATTATCCTAAGTGAGATGTGGAGATTTGGTTTAACCAAACAGAGTGAAGGATTCCTAGCACAAGTTCTAACTACTATTCAAAAAGTTGTTACAACATTAAAAGGTAATGATCTAATTCCTGCTGGTGCATTCTGGTTGGCAAATGTTAGAGAATTGTACTCCTTTGTTGTTTTTGCACAGCATTCTATCTTAACAGAAGAGTCATTCAAGAGTGGAATGACTGACGACGAATATAAGGAATATGTCTCTTTGGTAACAGAATTGAAAGAAGATTTTGAATCCTTGAGTTACAACATCTACAATATTTGGTTAAAGAAACTTCAGAGAGAGTTACAAAAGAAAGCGGTTAATGCTGTTGTGTTGTCTGAAGCTCTTCCTGGTTTCAGTGCAGGACAATCTGGTGGTTTGTTGAATAAAATTTTTAGTTCTGGGGAGGAATATACTATGGATGACATTTTAACATTCTTTAATAGTATTTATTGGTCCATGAAGTCATTCCAGATTGAAAATGAAGTATTCCATAAAGTAGTTACCACCTTATTGAACTACGTAGATGCTATTTGTTTCAACGATCTCATCATGAAGAGAAACTTCTTATCATGGAAGAGAGGTTTGCAGTTAAACTATAATGTAACAAGGCTGGAGGAATGGTGTAAGACACATGGCGTTCCGGACGGAACTGATTGTTTACAACATTTGATCCAAACATCTAAACTATTACAAGTTCGGAAATACAGCATTGAAGACATTGATATACTACGTGGTATATGTTCTTCCTTAACACCAGCCCAGTTGCAAAAGTTGATTACCCAGTATCAAGTGGCCGACTACGAATCTCCTATCCCTCAAGAGATTTTGAAATATGTTGCTGACATCGTGAAATCTGAAGCATCACTTTCAGCAAGTTCTAAAGCTCCTACTCACAGCAATGACATATTTATTACTCCCGAAACCGGGCCATTCAATGATCCATTTGCTGATATAGAGACGCATAAATTTGATCAAGTTGAAGCATATATTCCGGCTTGGTTGGTTTTACCAACAACCAAAAGAATTGTTGAACTAGTTGCTCAGCAGGTCAGTGTTCAAGAGTCACAGTAATTAAGTACCCAATCCTAATTATATACGATCCTAATTATATATATATAAACTTGTATTATCCACTTTGTTTAGTAAAATCCTATAAAATTCACAGGAGTGTTTGCATGACTGTATTATTAAAGATTTATTAATATGATAATTACTATGCTAATTGGTCTATATGTATGAAATGCCAAATAATTGAGAATTATAGGTTAATTTATTTTGATTATAACCCGGTATGATTAAATTAGTGTTTGTACAATGCGTTATAATTGCTTTTTGTTGAGTGGTAAAAGAAATGCAAAATACTGAAAATTAATGAGCAATATAATTATTGCAATATATTCAATGATATCATTAATATGATGGAGTCTATAGTATAAGCGGATGCTTTTTAGTTAATGCCTAATCGGTTTGCAGCTTCATCTTCTTTCTTCTATTGATAATTGTAGCTGAGCTTAATTTTAGTTTAAAGTGGTTTTTAAAGAAATTTGACTTGTTACATGTAGCCTTTTCTGTTTCTACCTTAAAGTTTTCCTGCTGTATTCCAGTGGCTGTATTGAAAAAGTTCCGTATTTGTTCTTTTTGAGTGGAATGTAGGTTCAAACCGTTAGAGGAATCGAATGGGGATGATTGTGTGCTATAGTCGCTCACATCATCGAGATCAAACAGTAGGATGTCTTTGTCTTGGTGTGCATTTGTCTTTCTGTCAGCTTGAGAAGTAAGGACATAGTTTAGGTGAGTCTTGTCCAGTAACTCTGCTTCATAGAATGACTCTGGACGCGAAGTTTCACAGTCGTAATGATTTAGCCATGGATGAGCAAGCAATTGATCAATGTCATATCTTTTAGCAGGGTCTACTTGAAGCAGATTTCTAATCAAATCTTGAGCTTCGATACTAATTTCATCCCACCATGGAGCAAGAAATTTGTAATTACCTCTTGAGATCTTGTCACCTAGAGATTCTTTACTGAATTCATCCTCGTAAAATGGGGGGAATCCACAAAGCATTGTGTATAAAATGCAACCAATTGCCCATATGTCAACCTTGTAAGAATAACTAGTATTTGATGTACGTGGATCAACCTTATATTGGTTTAGTACTTCTGGGGCCAGATATCCAAATGTTCCGCATGGTGTCCTTGCCCCACTTTCGGCAGGATCCATTAATCTTGATAGTCCAAAATCAACTAACCTGACTTTACCAATTCCACCACCACCAATTCCTGGTATGAATTTACCTTCATCCAATTTTGTCTTTGGGTCGTCAGATTTTCTTAGTTTTTGGTATCTGTGGATGGTTTGTTCTTTTATTATTGGTTCGAAGATCAAGTTCTCTGGTTTGATATCCCTATGAATAATGTTGTTTTCGTGTAGACCTTTAACCGCTGTGGCAACTTGTCTGATGACATGTCTCGTTAGGTCTTCACTAAAGTACGTATATTTGACAATTTGGTTGAAGATTTCACCGCCTTCTATGTACTCTTGAATGAAGTAGTAGTACTTCTTTGACACCTGGAACTCCAATAACTTGACTACATTGGGCACATTAGCCTTTGTTAATTTCAAATGGATGTTCAATTCATTCAAGGTTTGTAATTTGCTGGTTTTCTTCAAGTTGTGGTCGTGGAAGTCTTCCTTTGGCACCACTTTAATAGCGACAAACTTCGGAAGCGCTAAGTTGTTATGCAATGGGACGGCCTTGAAGACTCTGGAGAAGGCGCCTTCACCTATTTTGCTGATTATCCTGTAGTTGTTCAAGTCCTCTTGTTCTTCGAACTGGATTTCGTTTCCGAAGTGAGGGCTGCGGAGATCAAGTTGTTCCTTGAACAAGTCTCCATCCCTGAATATGGTTGTTTGGTCGGAGTATAGCGGGTTGTTAAATGACAAGTCGTCGGTATCATTCCCGAATGATGATGACGACATCGAGTTATATGAGTATAGCGACATTAAGATTTTTCTTTTGTTCAGAAGATTAAAATTGAGAAATCTTTGTTAGTTGTTAATAGCGTGTATTGTAGATTGTTGTGTAGCTTTGGGTTCTTTGCAGTCTTTCAGGTTATTTTTTTTTATAATATCCTTAGTAGCGTTTAATAAGTATGGGTTTATTGTTCAAGTTAAGAATTATGGAGAAGGAATTATATAAGTTACAAGTTGGGATGCATGCTAAAAAAATGAATATGGAGTAAAACGTTAAGTCAGAATATATCTCAACTTCATGAAATATTTATATGCTTTCCATTTCCTTATGATGATTGTAATTATGTTAAAAAATGCGATGAGTATAGGAAAGCTACGTAATGTGATGTGGAGAAGACACTCAGTCGATCCATAAGAAAACCATCTCTTACAATAAAAATAAGTACATTTGATGAGGGTTGGTTTAGATGTATTACCATAATCAAGAAGTAAGGTCAACTTCATACAAAGTCTAAAAGAAAAATAATAATTTAAAAAAAATATATGAGAAGTCATAGGGAAGATTCAGTTTTCTATGTCCAACAATAATTTAAAAATAGATTTCCTAATTTGCCATTGAGGATGCCATTGAAGAAGAAAAATTAAGTGGGGATCGACACTAAAGAGGGTAGCTTAACCCACTAAAACGTTGTGGAAAAGCGGAAGTCTAAAGTCCCACTTCCTCCAGCATTTCGAAAGCATCGAAGGTTCCTTCGGTGCTTTGAATTCCCCATTTAAAGAATAATCGTTCGAGAAGGAAGCCATAAATTGCCGAGTTTGTACATTAGTTTGTTAGCCGAATGGGCAAAAAAAATTTTTTTTTTTTGGGAACAATACGATGACTACTAGTTGTTCCAGATATGGCACTTTTTTTTTGGGTTGGGTCCAAGGGCTAGGGATCCGTAACTGCAATGCCGCAGTGCCCGGTAGACATTTTCAACGTTCTCGAAGGACTGGATCGGAAAAACTCAGCATGAAGAGGTTAGTCGGTGTAGTGATGCGTAGTAATCATTAGAAGAAAAAAGGGTGATGTACAACAGGCGAAGAAGCGTACAAATCTCTGCCCGCCCTCGACAACTCAAACGTGCTTGGCCACTAAGAGTGTGTCGTAGAGAAGACACTTAATCGAAGAAAAACGTAGAAAAATCGAAGCTTTCCCTTTCGAGGGGCAGGTTAGCCAACAGTGAGGGTTTCCCAAAAATCCAGTAAACACCCGTAGAGCAATACGGGCTTCGATGCCAGCAAGTCTAATACGTTACTTGGTGGGTGAAAAGGAAAGATAGATCAAGCCCTTTTCTTCCCGTTTAGAATGCATTGGAGGGGGATGAAGCTCTACCGTACTTTCTTCGGGTATCCCTCGAGGACTGTAGGACACTACTAGTATCTCCCATTTCGGAAAATGGAAGAGACGCAGGGATCGCTGTACCAAATCCTGGATGGAATCTCAGTGAGGGTTGCATGCAAGTAAGTGGAATGTAGTTGCAGGGAGGTGGGGGGGGCATAGGGAGGAGAGAGCATTATTGCTGTCAAAGAGAAAATGTGTCGTAACAAAGAAAATTAAGTAGGAACAGAAAAAAATAACTGGAATAAGAAATGTCGTCATTCTAACTAATGCGGAGGGTATCCTCAAAGGGCAATAACGTAGATGAGATGGTCGTGCAAATGACAATACTCTGGACACTCTTGTAGCGATGATCGTTGTTGGCCAATTATCTTTTGAAGAGTAATAGACTGAGTGGGATGCAAGACCTTTTTTTTGGGTTAGAACGCAAATTTGTGTGTATTGCAGTAATTGTAGCAAGACAGTCTATGCACATAGAATATGGGGAGGTCCACAGGCGGGGGGGACATTAACGTACGGTGATTTTCCATTACACTCGCACAATCCTCTTGGAAGATATACACTCAATTGTATGGTTTACAAGATTTCTCTTTTACGGTATTTTCAACTCTATTTCATTATTCCAAGGCCTTAATAATGTTTTGTCTACAGCCAAATCTAGAGGCCAGAGACCCTTTTTGATCCAAAAATAGCTATTCCGGATTTTGTGCACATTCATCTGGGTACTGGTGATCATTCATTGAGGAGACGACACATAGTTGGTGGGGCACATAACTCAGCGTAGGAGCACTTCTTTTTCATTATTGCTTTTCATCGTTAATACAATACGACTACCAGTCAGGTGATACTGTGGAATGGTAAGTACATCTCCGAGTGCAGTAACATTTAGCGCTCATGTTTCTGATAGTTGTTTTTCTTCGAGGATTCAAGGTATAATTTTATTAATTCTGTAGCTAAACGGTATTGTGATGGTAGTGTAGGTTGTGTATACATTATTATTGGGGATTTCTTATCAGTACCTTATTGTAGAAATGCCAATAATGCGTACTTTTGTAGTTTCTATGTTGATAAAATATGTGTACATGCAATGCAAGATCAGTTGAGAGACGCATGTATATACCGGTGGTCCGAGATTTCTCGCTATCAGCAAAAATAATGGCCTGTACCGGTTGTCTCCAACTCGGTATCGGTTGAAGGGATGTCAGAGACGTACAGGACATTAGTGGCCTTAAAATTAAAAACATTTAATCTTAAATGGTAGGGGATACGAAATACATGTGTCATTGAAATTAATTAGCTTTGTATCGTATACAAATTAATTGCTTAATTAGTACTGGAATATGAAAAAATGTATTAATTACTGGTATACGACTTCTGGAATCACATTCCGACGGGGCCGTAAGGAGACTCTTGTTTTGTGACCCGTATTGTGGAGGGAAGATAAGAGCAATCTCCGAGTTCTACTATGAAGGGGTCAACCCCCGCCCTGTCCTCCCATAGCCTAGAGAACTCACAAGAGACGCATTTAGTATCTAAAGTTCTCATACCCAGTTATGCTATGCTAGATTTGTGACCCCCTCCCCTTCTCCCACCTACTGCAGTGACTGTTACTGGACACTAGTTACACCTGGCTGTCTATTGCTCTATCCCATTCTCTCAGAAGTCCCAGCCCGCATCACCATACCCTCCCTTGCATCACACTATATGACAAACAACGTTCCGTGGAAGTCACATATCCCACTCTGTCAGCGTGGGAGTACCAAGATGGCAAGCGAGACAGTGATTATTGCCGTTTGCTGCGAGCATTGCTACAACTTGGGAAGTCACTTGCATCCTCGCCGTATGCAGAGTGCTCCTTGCCAATACTTTTCTTTTGCATAAGGAGGCGATGCCCATCGGCGTTATGTCTTTGAAATGTCATGAGGTTGCATCGTAGTATTTGTTTATGTAAAAAGAGATGGCTATAGGGCAATGTCCATATGGCACATGTCTACAAGCGATAACTCCATACTCACTATGTGTGCATGTTATTGCCACACAGCATGGTATATCTTTTTCTTTTCACCTCGGCAACCGAGGTGAAAGTAGTTCCTGGTATGACATGCAAGACATCTTATAAATTGTGCCATGGGTGCATATAGTGTTTTTATGTAAGGCGAAGCAAGTGATGGTATAATCTCCACCACGTGTGTATTGGTAATTGAGTCATGTCCAAAAAACTTGCAGGACCAAGCAATTAATTGGACGGATGGCGTGTTTTCAGTGCCTTAGTCTTACATATAGATAGCATCACAACACTGCAAGACAAGCTCTATTAGAGTTGCGATGTATATCAATCTATAACTTGCAAGAAACTATTTTTAGCAACAGATTGTGTGATACTCCTCGACACAGATGAAGCAAGTTGTATATTTAACATATTACTGCAGATAAGTACGGATGCCGCTATTTACAAAAAAAATGAGCCACATACAGAGTACGAGTACTTGGAATACTAGCACTGCAAATGCACAGGCTGTTACTAATCAGTTAACAGTACCAAAGGGCCCAGTGTCACATGAAATACTCGTATTATCTGATAGTTGACCCAAACCTAGCACCTTACCTACTGATGCAATGCAATCTCCATTGGGCACACTCTTCCTCATCGGTACAGACGTAGGCAACATACTTAGGGTAAGTAAAAAAACCCTGGGCTATAGTGTACTGTTCGAAGTCACAGATCAGCTCACAGCTGGTGAAACACAAAGACAGGTGGCACAAACCTCCATCGATACGTGCCCGTCCATGGTCTCACATTCCCACTGCAGTCGTGAATCAAAAAACTGAAAAAAAAAATTATTTGTTTCGACGAGCAATTTTTCATCGATTTGTATTGGCTCAACTAGATGCTTCGAGGACTAGACACTAAAAAGTGGAAAAAAAGTTTCAGAAGTCTTGTGCCCACTACTGTAGAGTCTGTGTATTACTGGTGGACTGGTTGGGAAGCTTTCTTTGGAAAGCTTACTGGAAAAAAAAATTTTGTGTGTGCTTTTGCTTCACACTTCTTATCACTCTCTTGCGCACACAGCTCGATAATCTTCCAGGTATAGTACCACATCGTTACTATAAGTTTGTGGATGCACATATACTTGTAGCTTGGTAATATTTTAAACAGAAGAGTAAAATACTTGACATACACCAACCCACCTGCAAGCGATAGTATATTCTTTAGCCATGTCACAAGAGGAGAACGTTGAGACCGTACCAGTGACTGTCACTGGAAAAGCTGATTCTGCTTCTCAAGCTGCTCCAGAAAGCACTACCGATGTTGATATCAAGAAGAGTAAAAAGGCCGACGCTAAGGAACCAGGTGTGGATGCCAGTAAACTTGTGCCCGCACCAATTCCAACGAGCTCACCATGGAAGGCGGTCTCCCAAACTGGAGAATCTGTTAATGCAAGTGAAGTTTCATTGGAAGAAGAGATTGAGAACACTAGGAAACAGAAAGAGAGGAAAAATGGGGGTTCTGCTAACACAATGAAGCCTACCGGGTCAAATGTTAAATGGGTTCCGATGAAGGCATCAATTACTGTCTCTTCCGGAAACGGCGGATCAAAGAGATCTGGAAGAAGGTCAGGTAACAAAGGAAAAGACACTAAGAAAACAGGTAACAGTAATTCCACAAGTGACTCTCAAGGAACTAATGCTACATCTTCCAGCTCTCAGAGCAAGAAGAAAAATACAAAACAGGCTAAAAGTAATAATGTTAAGAATAACAATAAAAAGAAAGATGATGAGAATAACACGTCAAGCACTGACACCGATAAGGATAATACCAAAAGCTCTGAAGTGAAGACAAAATCTGATGTAAAATCCTCTTCTGAAACTGTGAACGGTGGAAGTTCGCATGCTCATCACCATCACCATGGTAATAATCATAATCATAACCATAGTCACAGCCAACATAACCATCAGCATCATCATGGTCATAAACATGAGCAAAATAAGCAGAAGGATGTCAACACTAAAGATATTAATGAAGAAAAAGAAACCGCTTCAGTACAAGAAACTGAATCAAAGACTCCTACTGGGCAAAGAGCTTCCTCAGGATCTGGGCAGAAAGAAAATTATAGCACTGAAAATACTAATGAACAAAATGTGGGTGAACCCTCAAGCAAGCATGTGAGAAGACATTCTTATCACCATCAGCAAGGAGGAAGTTACGGGCATACTGGTAGACAATTTAACAACCATCACAGCACCAACTATTCATACAATACCAGCAACACCAACTTCCATGACAAGACTCAGCGTAATGGTTACTATCCAAGACAAAATCAGAAACCGTACGTTCCACACAACCGCAACTTCAACAACAATATGCATTATGTTCCATATGTGCAGAATTCATATAATGCTCAGTATTATAATACAATGCATGCCCTAATAACGGCTGTTCAAAATGTATCCAAACAGATTGAATACTACTTCAGTGAGGAAAATTTATCCAGGGATTCCTTTTTAAAATCTAAATTCTCAGATGCTGGTTTTGTGCCAATTGATCTTATCGCCAAGTTCTTTAGAGTTGTAAATATGTCTTTTGGTGGGGATCCAACCATCATTTTGGCTGCACTAAGAGAAATTGCTGCGAACGAAGATTCCGTTGTTGAAGTTGTTAGAGGAAAATCAAATGCTGAAGAACACGAAGCAAAGGGTCAAGATAACTTTTACGGTCCTGAATATAATATAAACAATTATTTTGTGCGTGCTAAAAACTGGGAAAAATGGTTGAATGAAACTAACCAGGATAGCTTTGCAGTGGCCATTGAAAAGACATTGGCTGGTACTGATTTGGATCAATTCACAATAAATTCCAGTCTTCTTCCAGCACAACCTTATATGTATGGTCGTAGCTACAGACCAAATGGTTACAAGAGGGGTCAATCTTACAGCCGTGGCGGAAAGCAAAGATATAACTCAAACAGCTCCCCTGATAATCATAGAAGTCAGGTTGGTGATGGTGCAAACGAAGAAAATGATGATCCTGTAAATGATAATAGTACTCCAGTTGACACTAAGTCTGCCGAAAAATCTGAAAATGATGAGCAATAAAATATTTAAGACTTTTTATGATTTTTTTTTTTTTTAAATTTTACGATATGTTCTGATCAAGTGTCAAGCGAATAACTACATCACGCTAATATCGTCTTATATTTCTTTTATCTTAAACTTAAGAATTGATAAGCTTGTAAAATGCTTGACCTTGATTTCTAATTGTAAAGTAAACCTGATATTCAACGTTGTAAATTGATGTCAAGAGGTATCATGCATAAAAGATATTTATATTTATAGCATTATTGTATATTTTTAAAAAATTCACGAACATATTATCCTACAATATGGAGAATTTGTAAATATTAATGTTTATGTTCTAAAGCTTAAAAAAAACGTAAGTTGACCTTGGTTTTGAAATTTTTTTGTTCTGTGAAATACATTATAAACATAAAAAAATAATTTTACACAAACTTCAAATATCCAGAACTATTTGGAGAAAAGAATAATAATTAAAATCACATAAAAGATACATAGAGGATTATGTACAATATCCCAATTGTATAAAAAAATTCGTGAACACATAATAAGTTAATTGATTTCAGTGAACATTAGAAGCCAACTAACCCGTTTATCAGTTGTATAATTACTCTAAAAGTGACAAAAATACGGCAAAAATATATAGCCTCTTAAAACAGTCTTTTCACTGTATCATAATTAGTACATCAAAACGTTTAGGCAACCAATGCACACAATGCTGCACCGACACCAGAACCATCCTTGGCAATTCTAATGTGGATCTTACGCTCACCATCAGCTCCGATTGGAGACAAGGATAGGGCATGTCTCAACATTGATCTGAAACCTGGGTAATATTCGATAACAGAACCATCACAACCAACTTCAACTTCACCATGGTATCTCTTGTTCAAAGCGTTAGTCTTGATTAGGATAGCAGCAATTGGAACAGAGGCCAAATAAGCGGATCTACGAGAAATGGCACGAACCAACTTTTGAATAGCTTCACGTTCAGATGGCGTCGTTGGAAGTCTCAATGATTGCAAGAAAGACAATTCAGTTTCACGCAAACCAGTGGAGTCATCAATTTCAATACGGGATAGGACTTCACTAGATAGCTCAAATGGAGTCTTTAAACGATGAGGTAATTGGTCGTAGTCGCGGTATTGAGTTAGCATTAAACCACGGCTGTGTAAGTCCACCAAAACATTTCTCAAGACTTCACCCAAGTACATACCAGAAACTCTCTTTTCAAACAAGTGGAAACCAGGGTTAGCGGAGTACTTTTGGTCGATGTCGACGTCGTACTTGGTAGTTGGCAGATATCTGCATTCATTATCAAAAGAACCCCATTCAGTGTTAACACACATATGGGTCTTACCTTCATTGGCCAATTGGTGTCTCATATCTTCTGGAAGTTTCTTTATGTTCTCAATTTCTTCCATGTAACAACCATTGGTACCAGTACCAAAAATACAGCCGATAACAGGTTCAGAAATTTCACCACCAGATGATGAATGGGAACCAGAAGCATAGCAATGAGATAAGAATGTACCGACTGTGTCGTTAGTCATAGCGACAATCTTAATCATCCCCAAACCTTGAGCATCCAATTGTTGTTGGTATAATTGAACAACATCCTTACCGACAGTATCCTCAATCTTGAAACCCTTGGTCCATCTGATCAAAGTACCACTGTTCAAGGAAGTCTGATCGACTGGGTAAGAAAAGGTGAAACCCAAACGAATTGGTGGGATATCATCACCCTTGTTCAAGAATTCAGGATGGTACTTCTTTACAAATGCAACAGTTCTACGACCTAGATAGCCGAACAATTGCTCAGAAGTAACACCTTCGTCGTCTAACAATTCATCTGGAATCTTAGACTTCATTTGTTCCATCTTGAAAGTGTTATCACCATTCAAAGTAACGGAACAGACACGGAAGTTAGTACCACCTAAGTCAGCAGCCAACAAAACACCATTTTCGGTACCATTTGGCATACCAGTAACAAAAGATGGGATCATTGGCAAACCCTTGTTCTCAGAGTCAGCCTCAGCAGCCAAACCTTTTTCCATGGATTCAATGAAGTAAGCAGTTAATTCATCCAACATCTTTGGAGTGACTTCGAACTCTTTACATAGTTCATCAACGGCTTTAGTCAATTGCTCGCTGGTAGCTTTGTGGAAGTTCTCGAAAGACATTTTTGATGGTTTTTCTCTTAATTGGTTTTGTATGATATTATAAATTGTAACTTCAGTATCTTGAATTTAAAAGGAAACAATAATATTCTTTTTTATAGCAAAACTACAGATACGTTAGATTTCCGTAGTGCTTATTATCCTTTTCCTAAAGAATTGCAAAATTGATACTTTGATGTAGTATTAGTAGGGAATGTTTAAATACAAATAGCAATAAGAAATAAAGAAGTTAAAGGGTCAATGAAGCAAGAGAATCGGTACCTATTTTCACTATTTTCACCACCTTTATATATCAATTTTTTCCAAGTAACTATATTTTAAAAGCATGCTAAAAAGATTACTCAAAATGCCATTTTTTCACTATTACGAACCCTTGAAAGTACATGGTTCCTGGGTCTTTACATGCTCTTCTTAACCCCTCGTTGTTACGACATATGTTATCCTACGTCTAGTTTCCAAAAGTAGGAGGCAGAAATTGGCCACGGTAATTGCTTAGAAAAGTTGTTATTGTTTACAGCACCCTGGCATCCAACTTCAACCCCCCCCTCCCCCCTTGGTCTCCCTATTTCTCTGTACTACGATCACAATGGTGGAAGAAGATAAACATTCGTTAATTTACAGGGCTCCTGTTCATCAGAGACGTTGCACAGGTATCCATTTAGCAAGAGGTAATGGATAAAGCAATGTTAAACTACTGGGTAAAACTACTGGATGAGGGACTTGTGGGTGGAAAAAAGCCAACAATTCCAACTGCTATCCATGGCCCGCCCCTTAGACAAACCTCCCCTCTAAAGAATGCTCCTACCCCACATTTAAATAAACAACTAAGCACTACGTCCAATGAAAAGGACTAACAGAAAAGAAAAGTGATCTTAATTAACAAGTGTACAGAATATTGCGTAGCTATATTTTACTCAAATGAAGAAGAGGAACATACATTCCAAGAGACACACGTTCAGATAATAGTTCTTGCATGACACTACAGAGAAGAATCCCAAACTGGGACCAGGGCGAGTGTAGTACGCTCTCAGCAAATTGACGGTATCCAGAATCCCTTCCCTTGGTTCAACAATCAAGAGCAGGATATAGCAATTGAGAACAACCTATTTTTATGTGTCTTCTTTCTGTACTCAATGAAATGGCAGCAAACTTGCCATTTACACTATAATGGGACTTTCTCTCATTTCTTTTTTTCAAGTATTGTATTCCTGTTTGGTGGAAAGTACGTCCGTCACTACTTGTACGAGAAACACTTTCCACTGGCCCCAGCTAGGTATTTTTTATTTTCGTCTTACCAGTTTGCTGGTGTCTGTACTCTTTTACAGAGTATTCGCCATAAGGACGATTTGGTGAGGCAATTCTTTCAGAATAGAAGATTTAATTTGCGGTAATGAAGAAATGTTGATCAATTACTAAGGTATACCCCTCACCTCGATACCGTCCTTCCCCCCCCCCCTCGTGGCTCTTGGTGTCTACAATACCGTATTGTCAATTGATAGTGGTTGTATGTTTGCCTCACCACCATATGACCTATAGATACACCCTTCCCATCTTCTCACGCCTGAGCATGGGCAACAAAAGAAGGCTACCCTAAATTTAGATTGGGTTGCCATCCCTTGGATCCCCCTCCCCCCTACCCTTGAATATTATCTCATAGTAGCTTTCTGCGTACATTCAACACGGAAGATCTCAATCTCTTGTGTGTGTGTGTATGTCCACTAAACACTATGCAGAACCGGAAAATTCAAGTTTTCATGCAACAAGGAAAAACTTTCGCGCATCAGATTTTTGATAGAAAAATAAAAGGTGGGGGCGGGGCAAGGGGAGAGAAAATATCAACACTGTGAATTAAACGCAGAAACGTATTTACAGTTTGGGCGGGATCCACTAATTTTCAAGTTTTTGCTTTTTAAAGTATCTTGTGGAACAATGCCCCACTTACCTAGATCCTCTGCATCGGGAAAACTAATCCTGCCCCACCCCCGCAATATTTCTTGAAATCTACGTACGCAAATTTTACCCGCTTCACCAAAACCCATCGGTGAAGTGGGAGGGAGTGAGGGAAAAGTAGTGCAAAACAGCGAGACTTGATCGAATCCACCCCGCAATCTTTTGACACTTAATGCTTGAAGATGAGGCGCATATTTGCAGGAAATGGGAATACCAGGTAGCAGAGGGATGCTATTTGATGTATACAGGACTATCACCTGTTCAGGTATCTTCCTCAAACGTTGTACTTTAGTACAAGTTGAAGAAAACACTTGTTAGGACGAAACTGAAGAAGCAATTTTACAATTGTGATAATGTGCCTCAAGAAGATCACAACTGTTTACTGGGATGCTACTAACACTCATGGTACAACATTTCACAGACGTAAAGCAACAAATAAACCAACCAATTCATTTGCTCGATTGTAGTCTCATATGTGGGTTTTGGCAATGAAACAGCCCCCCGAATGTATATCATACATAGCAATAGTAATTATAATACAAATTACTTAGTACAGACTGCGTTTGTATGCTTGTTTACGCACGTGACCAGTTATCGTACATAGTTATCCAATAAATATCCGGAGGGAGCACCAACAATCGCACGATGATACACCTAAGCAGAGCAGTTAAGAGTAGTATCAAATTTACCAGCACTATTGTAAGTCCAAACTTATCTCTACACATCAATTGCCAAGATCTTATAGTGAGATTAACCACAAGTACTTCAGGATGTTTAAGATAGCGAAAAACCTTGTGAAGACGTTCGAACAAACTTTATCTCTATCCGATCAGGACAGACTAGATGGGTTTTTCCAGTCAATTCCACCAAATTTGCTGGAATCACAGATACATTCCAACACAGATATGTCTACTCTTTCAGACGTGTTAAGTGGATTACGTGTTGTTTACGTGGATGAGCTACAACTTCAGTTGGAATCATATTTTGATTTTATTGTTGGTATTGACGACGACCCACTTCCATTGATGAACAACCAACACGGCTATTTGTACCCTGATTATAACGAAATTATCCGTTTACTCAATATACACGCTGAACAAGCCTCTCCAGTGAAACTGAATGTGTGGTCAGCTAAAGGTGGCACTTTTAGAGATGAATATATGTCATTGTCAGCTATTCCAAGCGATGAAAACCAGATGGAGGATATAAATTTGAGTAACGATACACCTCATCATCAATTGTCTTCTAAAATATTTAGTCCTTTAGGTTTTAAAGTCCAATGGACCCCACTGATAGCCGCTACATATACTTATCATGTTCTACAGTTGAACATCGAAGGTGGCCCAGCACACGCAGCTGGCTTAATTCCCGATGAAGATTATATTATCGGTTCTCAAGATGGTTTGCTAGCAACTGGTGGAGAAACACTGCTTCAAGACTTGATAAGAAGCCGAGCTAATCATGACTTGATCCTTTACGTGTATAACAAAGTCGTGGATTGTGTGAGACCTGTGACTGTGAACATTGGACCAGATGGAAGACTCGGTTGTGGTGTGGGATATGGTTTCCTGCACCGTATCCCTACTGTTAGAAAACAAGAAGATGGAAACACTAGCATGCATAGCAACAAAGGTATCACCAATGCTCCTACTGCTGCTATTCCAGTACCTACATTTGACCAGCCAATGTCCTCGGAAACTTTTGTTCCAGGCATTGCGAAACCCCCACCAACAAGCAAATCATCCAAAAAACATGCAGTTAATATATCCACCATGGGTGACTACTTCAGCGAAGGTAAAGATCAATCTCCAACGCCCAAACCCTCTACTGGCGACAAAGATGCAAGTATACCCCCACCACCAAGTAAAAACACTGAAGAAACTCAATAGAGTTGACGGGAAGGTTGATGATAATATTTATATGATTGCATGTAGATGTTCACACAGAAGAATAGTAGTGTACACAGACTGATCTTTGTTCAATTATAATACATCTTTTAATAGATAAATTCAAATTAGCAGTAATATTTTAAGGAGTATTTTTAGTACATAGCAACTTGTACATACAGCCCCTTGGTTTATCGATTACATGAGTAAAGAGAGTGAGAGAGTGTGTGTAGTAGCAATATCCATATGTTTTAACATTTGTCCGATGGAATCATCACTGTTAAGAGTGGGAAAACTGAAAAAAAAAAAATTGAAATTTTGAAAAAAAAAAAACTAAAAATTTTTCGATGAGCTCACATACTAAACCATATAATAAATCTACAATAGTCGGCATCTATCTGATAGGTTTATAATTTAAGGTAATAACCTTTAGCCACCATTTTCTCTAATATCAGGTTTGATAAGAAAGCTAAAAATAAAAATATATTGGTGTGAAACATTTGGATTGAATTGGAAATCAATTTTTGACTTAAAGAATACGAATATAATATGTCTGCTGTCGGTTCCCTTATATTCTGTGATGATTGTGGTAATCTTCTAGATAACCCAGAGGATAAGATTAACAACAGCAATGTTATCGAATGCTCACAGTGTCAAGCAGAGTACGCAAAGTCCCAGTTTACCAACTTGAAAGTTGTCACATCCACAAGTGAGGATGCATTCCCATCATCATTGAGACTGAAAAGATCGGTAGTGAAGACGCATTTGAAGAGAGATGAACTAAAAGACGATGGTGCTACTATCAAAGAAAAATGTCCAAAGTGTGGCCACGATGAGATGCGTTACCAAACGTTGCAGTTACGTTCGGCAGATGAAGGTGCTACAGTTTTCTACACCTGTATCAAATGTAACTACAAGTACAGAACCAATAACTGATTCTGTGTGGTACTACCACATTCACTTTTTTATGCCCTATTATGACAGAGTAACCATTTACCGACAAAAATGAACAACTAGAAAAAACTCCAAGTAACAATACGAGCATTGCATGGATTGCTTGATCCATTTCTGAGAAGCAATATTTTTTGGATTCAATTCAAATCCCTCCCAAACTAAAATCTGTATACTAGAATTGTCACGTTTAGAATGAACATATCCATAAGGGGCATATCTAAATATGATATAATCCATATATTTAATAGACATAAAGGATAACGGCCTCAGGAAATACTTGAAACTCTATGAAGTATTCTATAAAAGCATATAACATAGCTTATATATATCATTAAAAACGACATACATAAGCAATTTTTTTCACTTTCGCACTGAAGAACCAAAAAATTGCTTCGATGAGTTTTTGGTGCCAAGTTGCTCTAATAGCGTTACTGGTGGCAATGAATGGATGTAACATAATCTCACGGTGTTTCTATTCTAACAATTAGAATTTTAAAAGCAGTTTGTCAATATTCTTGCAATTGGAAGCTTCAGACCAAAAGCCAACAAAGCCCCAAAACCAGAATAAAGTAAAGAATGGCTCAACCACAACAGCAAATGATGGAGATGCCAGACCTCTCCAATGCAATTGTTGCACAGGATGAAATGGGCAGACCATTTATTATTGTCAAGGATCAATCTAATAAGAAGAGACAGCATGGGTTAGAAGCTAAGAAATCTCACATCTTGGCAGCTAGATCTGTTGCCTCAATTATTAAGACTTCTTTAGGTCCCCGTGGTCTAGATAAAATCCTAATATCCCCAGATGGTGAAATTACAATTACAAATGATGGTGCCACAATTTTATCCCAAATGGAGCTAGATAACCAAATTGCTAAACTTTTAGTTCAATTGTCAAAGTCTCAAGATGATGAAATTGGTGATGGTACAACTGGTGTTGTCGTCATAGCAAGTGCACTATTAGATCAGGCCTTGGAATTGATAGATAAAGGTATTCACCCAATTAAAATCGCTAACGGTTTTGACGAGGCTGCTAAACTGGCTGTTTCCCATCTTGAATCAGTCACTGAGGATATCACAGCAATTGAGTTCGAAAAGGATTCGAAATTATTGAACGACTACCTGTTCAAAGCGGCTAAGACATCTTTGGGCTCTAAGATTGTCTCAAAGGTTCATGATAAGTTTGCTCAAATGGCCGTTGATTCTATTTTAAGTGTAATGGATAAAGAAAGAAAAGATGTTGACTTCGACTTGATCAAACTACAGACTCGTGTTGGTGGTTCTCTAGAAGATTCATCTTTAATTAAGGGTGTTCTTTTAGACAAAGAATTCTCACACCCACAGATGCCTAGTAAGGTCTTGCCTAGAGAAGGCCAAAAGTCTGTAAAATTGGCTATCCTAACCTGTCCGTTTGAACCACCAAAGCCAAAGACAAAGCATAAGCTAGATATCTCCAGTGTCGAAGAATACAAAAAATTACAAACATACGAACAAGACAAATTCAAGGAAATGATACAATATGTTAAAGATTCTGGTGCTGACGTTGTGATATGTCAATGGGGTTTTGATGATGAAGCCAATCATTTACTATTACAAAATGAACTTCCAGCCGTAAGATGGGTTGGCGGACAAGAGCTAGAGCATATTGCGATTTCGACTAACGGTAGAATTGTGCCCAGATTCCAAGATTTGTCTCCAGATAAACTAGGTGAATGTTCTAGCATCTACGAATTAGAATTTGGTACAACTAAGGATCGTATGCTGGTTATTGAACAACCAGAAGAATCTAAAACAGTAACTTGCTTTATCAGGGGTTCAAATAAAATGATAATTGATGAGGCTCAACGTGCCTTGCATGATTCTCTATGTGTTGTTCGTAATCTAATAAAGGACTCTCGTATTGTGTATGGTGGTGGTGCTGCAGAAGTAACAATGTCTTTGGCTGTATCTGAAGAGGCAGATAAACAACGTGGTATTCATCAATACGCTTTCAAGGCCTTTGCTAATGCCCTAGATACCGTCCCAATGACATTGGCAGAGAACTCTGGTTTAGATCCAATCGAAACGCTATCTACGCTGAAGAGCAAGCAATTGAAGGAAAACATACCAGTTTTCGGTGTTGACTGTCTAGGCAAAGGTAGTAATGACATGAAGGAATTATTTGTCGTCGATCCTTTCATCAGTAAGAAACAACAGATAATGCTAGCCACTCAGTTATGTAGAATGATTTTGAAGATTGATAATGTCATCATCAGTGGCAAAGATGAATATTAAATAGAACCTATAAACCTATTTACTACCGCATTGCATCTAATATGAAAATTTCTGCTGTTTAATAAAACTGATACTTTATATATACACCTCTTGAAATTCAAATAGTTCTCTTACTATTGTATACTATAGTTTACATGTATTTATTTATATTGTTTACGTTCTTTCTTGTTATTTGGTTGGCAAAATCATACCATGTTGAACAAACTAAAGTTTCTAACAATTTCAGGTCCATATTCATCATAGTCCTTCTTCGTGTGGCAATAACTCTTGAATTCTGCTGTTTGAGCCAAAAGGGAACCACCAAACCACACAGCATTTCTCTGCTTTCTATGTGAAATAACTTGAACATCCACACCTGTAGATTTAGTGCCACTTAGAGCTTCGCTTTGCGCTATTCTATTATTCACAATTGATTTCATATCCCTTTGTAGACGACGTCCAAAATCTTTGAACATAGTAGAACCACCCGAAAGAACAATGTTATTATATAAACCTTTACGGACATCTATTGGACAAGCTTGAATAGTCTCATCAACAACAGTTGGTAATGGGGTGAGGAAATCAGAAGAAGCAATTTCAGGGTTGAAAAATATTTCTGGAGCCAAAAATCTTTCGTAACCAACATCAACAATCTTCTTCCTAGTTTTCTCTTGGCTCTCCACCACAAATTGGGCAAACTTAGAAGCATCTCTATCAAATTTGTTGAACTCCTTTACTATGTCTGGACAAACATAACAGTATTCCTGTTTGATACGTTCTGCGGTTTTTAGTGATGTATCTTGTTCACCACGCTCTCTTAATAGTTGTTGAATGAATAGAGTAATATCTCTACCAGCGATTGGGATATTCTTAATAGCAGATCCAATAACATAACCCTCGGCAACAGGAATAACGTGCGTTACACCATCACCAGAGTCAATAACTGTACCGGTCAAAGAACGGTCAGTGACTTTTGGGGAGGTCCATGAGGCTGCCAGAGCCAAAACTGCTTGAACAGCAATATATAAACCAGCACAATTAAAAGATTCGAAGAAAATTTCAGCAACTTGCTCTCTATTTTCAGGTGGATTTAGAGGTGGTTCTGTCAATAAGAAGAAATGATCTTCTGGTTCAGTTCTCAAATATTTGAAGATGGAATTTTCCCAAAATCTTTCCATATGATCCCAATTTTCAACTTGACCATGCCTAATTGGATAACTCAAAGAGTATGACTGACCTTGTGCTGCTGCTAAAGCTTCATTACCTATGTAGAAGTCCAAATCTTCAGTGCCTCTCTTACCAGCCAGGTTGTTGGACAACAGCAATGATGACATATCGCCGCTGTTGAACGAAGTAGCAGAGGTAGAATTTCCAAAATACCCACTACCTGAAGAATCAGCACCACCGGCACTACTCTTATTTACAACAGTAGATTTCTTGGTGTTGGATGCTTGTGCAGTAGCAATTGCTGTTGGAAAAACCCACGATGGAGAGTCATTACCGGCAAAACCAAGTTTGGTTAAACCGGTACCATTGTCCATAACGACAGCAGGATTGTTTAAGTAGGACATTTTTTATAGTTTCTAGTGCGTTTACTGCCTTCTAAAACAATTGAGTAAAAATGAACTGTTTTAAAGTATTGCCAAAGTTTCGTTATTGGAATATTGCTCCTTACAACCGCAATAGATGTTTTTATAATGCTTCAAATGTAATCTGTTTATTTGTTTCAACAGTTTTCAATCAAAAACACAGATTATTTGTCTAAATTGATTATTATTGATACTAACAAGTATGCTGTATCAACGCTTTTCTTATATTTTTGAGTTAGTTACAATTCGGTGATCCAATTGGCCAATCTTATACAATAAGGAATATCAAAGCCTTGCTTTATTCTAATTCTATTTAATTGAACACTAATCAATATAGCAACACCTATATTTGGTAATATGCGAAACAGATCTCTTAATCAGAAGAAGGCACTATTTCAAGAGGTCCCTATTTTAGGAGAAGAGGTTTAGCAAGTTTAAGTTTCCCTTCAAAGCGAAATGTTGGTCAAAGGAAGTGTGAACCCCCAAGAAATCATAGCAGACGTCACCGTTGACCATGAACAATCACATGTCGTCTATAGTATATTACATATACATTCGGTCTATTCGAGTCATAATCTTCGGTTCAAGTTGCGCCAGAGTGTAGTAAACGCTCCAGCATTTGAACTGTCAAACAATCATTACTACAGTACATAGCCCTGTTCTTTTTGAAATTGCTTATGAAATACAGTTGACACTGTCTAGGGTAGCACTATTAATTGATCCACACTTAGTACAACTCTTAGTATTTCACCACAAAAGTTACTACCTTAATCGAACTAGAACAAAACCATTCTATTGTTGGCTTCAACTATTTCATCAATGCCACTTCCTCAACTGGATATATGATGGAATAGCGACTGCTCGCTGTGCAGAAACTTGAGCAGAGCAAAAAGCAAATCTATCTATAATACCAACATACAATACCTCTTATTCCTAACTATACACAATGTAAATGTATTGGGATAAGCACAATTGACCAGTTTTGAAGACCCTTAACGGCCAATTTGGGCGGTATGGTCCATAAATTTGATTAGTAATGTTAAACGACATAGTTAAAGGGTCACTGGCCTTGCCAAAAATGACTTCTGAATTCTGCTCACTTAGAGGGCCATCATATTCCATATTTAAGAATTATAATGTTGTAGTGCTCCTTTTGCAATTGACTGGCTGTTATTCTCTGGACCTGCAGTGAATAGATTAAAATTTTGTCTTATTGGAGGGTGTGCTTTCTATCAGTCTTTTTATTTTGCAGGCCAAAAGGAAAACAGAACAGATTATCGTTTCAGAATCTGGTGAAATACAACTTTGAAACGTAAACGAATAATAAGCTATTGATCAAAAACTTGGCCTTACCTTCATTATTATATCCATTTCAATCATTCAAAGTACCACGTTCTTTTTATTGTGTGGTGAAGTCTCATAGTATATTCCATTTTGCATTATTTTCATTCATATTGAAGAGCAAATAATTGATCTGTAACAGCAATAATGAAAACGGTGGGTTTATTACATGACGGAGATGGGACAGCACATGCACTCACCAATGGAATGTCAAGTTTGAAACTAGAAGATAGGGATAGCAGTGAAAGTGCCGCGTTACTCCGATCTGCTGTAATTGGTACCCCGAATGAGCAGAGCATGTCACCGGTTCCTATACTCGACTATGACTCTGGTTCTGCTAGTAATTTTACAAAGGGGGAATCAACTATGTTGGAAAGTGATGTGCTTCCCGATTTGGAATCATTGCCCATGCTCATGGACTACATTTTAGAATTATTGAAAAGTCCGAACGTTAGACTAAGACTATCGGCTACAAATAAGCTAAAGACCGTCTTAATATCATTGGCTCATGAGATATCAATAGAGCAGTTTCAGAGCTTCAATCATAAGTTGGACAATAAGATTTACCAGATGGTTCACAGTAAGGATGTGAGAAGTCAAATTGCAGGTGTGCTATCCGTTGACTGTTTAATATGGTATTATTCACAAACCGAAGAACTTCCAAATTATACTACTAAACTTGCTGGATATTTAAAGGTACTTATACCTTCCAAAAACTTGGATTTAATGAAGCAAGCAATTGAGATACTAGGCAAGTTAGCTATTCCAACGAGCTCAATAACTTCTGAATTTTTACAGCACGAGGTTAAAAACTGTATAGAGTGGCTAACAACATCACCTGAAAGCAAATTCTCAACCCAAACCCAAGAACTAAGGAAGCACGCGTCATTACAAATAATTACTGTATTGAGTAAAAACTCTCCTACTGTGTTATACCCATACATCAATTCTATTCTTGACAATATATGGCGAGCACTACGAGATCCAGATAATTTGATGCGTTTTGATGCCGCTAAAGTAGTTGGCTGTTGTTTGAGAATCATTTCGAAGAGAGATGAAAGTGCATGTAAGGAATGGATAATACACCTTATGCAAGGTTGTGCGTTTGGACTGACTTTAAAAACAACAGATGCTATTCATGCAACTTTGTTGGTTTATCATGAGCTTCTCGAACTGGATAGCGAATGCTTAAATGACTTTTTTGATGATATCTACTACGTTACTATGTCATTTAAGGATCATAGGTCACCATTAATTCGGGAAGAAATATGTAGTATTGTATCACTGTTGGCATCACTTAATCCGGTAATGTTTTCTAATCTTTATTTGGACAAGGTCATGAACCATTTCCTAGATTTACTTCAAAATATTACAACTTACAACATTTCTAACAAAGAAAGATCGCATATCTTTATCTCTATTGGTGATATTGCTGATAATGTTGGTGAAATGATGTTTGAATTTTTAGAACCTACATTAATTACATTGAAGGAAAGCCTGAGAACAAGGTACAGGACAAGAAAAGATTACGAGGAGGGTGTATTCTATTGTATTGGAAAACTATCTTCTGCTATCAGAGAAGATCTACAAAAATATTTGGAGGGCGGTCTATTAAAATTAATTCTAGAATGTCCTTTATCAGATCATATGCAAAAAACACTTTCTATTTTGAGTGCTAACACACCTGACTATGCAAAGCATATTGATAAGGAATTGCTAGATCTGTTATGTATCCATCTTTCTGGTGATCATTTTATAGAACCTGGCACGCCCATAAAAGGTAAACCGTTTTCACCAAATGCGGCAAGAGTATGGAGAAATCAAAACGTTTATCATCAAATCGGAATAGCAAATGATGACCTAAATGACGCTCAAATTCTGATACAGACTTTGAAGATATTCCGCGAAACTAAATTTAAGGTAGTATTAACTGAGTTTGTTAAGAATGTGATAATATACTATATCGAACATGAAAACCAACTTGTGCGAAAACTAGCTGCTTTAACAAGTTGTGAAATTTTTATTAATGATAGCATATGTAAAGAAACTTCTCTCAATTCTTTGAATACTGTATCTGAAGTACTAGAGAAATTGTTAACAGTTGCGGTGACTGACTTGAATCCTGAAATTAGACTAGAAATATTAAAACATCTCTCATCCCCATTTGACTCACATTTGGCAAAACCAGAGAATCTTCAGCTGCTGTTCACAGCTCTAAATGACGAACTGATTGCTATCCAAATTGAGGCTATGAAAATAATTGGTAGACTAGTCACGGTTAATCCTGCATATGTTATTCCTTCCTTAAGAAACTACTTATTGTCTCTTATTACTGAATTGAAGTATCCAAATTTTTCAACTAGAAAAGATGAGGCAGCCACATTGCTATGTACTTTAATCCAATCAAGCAAAAATGTTACGAAACCTTATATTGAGCCCATTTTAAACGTTTTATTACCAAAGTTAGATGACAACTCCTCAACCGTAGCATCCATTGCACTTAAAGCAATTGGTGCACTAGCGGTGGTTGGGGGTGAAGATATGAAGCAGAATAACTCGACACTATTTCCGTTGATGATAAAAACACTCCAGGATCAATCAAACTCCTTCAAAAGAGATGCAGCATTGAAATCATTGGGACAATTGGCAGCCTCTTCAGGATATGTTATACGTCCATTTTTAGACTATCCTGATCTGTTAAGTGTGTTAATTGGTATCTTAAGGGCAGAAAGTGCACAAAATATTAGAAGGGAAACTGTTAGATTAATCGGTATTTTAGGTGCGCTTGACCCACACAAACAAAGAGATGTTGAAGTTAACCTAAAAACAAAGCTTGCAGTAGAACAGAATCAACCTCCAATTGATGTGGCATTATTAATGCAAGGTAATTCTCCATCTAATGATGACTATTATCCCACAGTCGTGATTGTTTCCCTCATGAAAATTCTGAAGGATCCGTCATTATCATCCTATCATACATCTGCAGTGCAGGCCATAATGCAGATATTCCAAATTATGGGATTGAAATGTATTTCATTCCTTGACAAGATTATACCTGGGATAATTTCAGTCATGCATATGTGTCCCAGTAATCTTTTGGATTTTTATTTCCAACAGCTATGTCAATTGACAGTTATAATGAAACAACATATACGGCCTTATGTTGACGAAATATATGATGCAATTATTGAGTTTTTTCGATTTGAGAACTTACAGGTCACAATATTATCTGTTATAAATTCTCTATGTTATGCACTAAAAGGTGAGTTTAAAAGATTTATCCCTTTAACTTTAAATTTATTGTTAGGAGTTCTAGAAAAAGATCGTTCAGCTGGAAGAGAAAACTCAATTAGAGTTCTTCAGTCTTTTGTGATATTTGACACAAATCTAGAGTTGTATGCTCATACTATATTACCATCAATATTAAAACTTACTGAATTTTCTACCGGCCATCTTAGAAAGGCTGCCATCATAACGGTTGGTAAACTTTCAAAATGTATTAATTTATCAGAGATGGCGTCACGAATAGTTCACTCATTGGCAAGGGTATTGTATGTTAATGATGACGAACTTAGGGAAGTGACTCTGAATACACTATCTTTGTTGTTACTACGTTTGAAAAGAAACTATATCATATTTGTCCCAGTAGTCAATAGAATTTTAGTTGATTGCTCTATAAAGCACGCCATATATGATGATTTGGTTACAAAATTACTTAATGGAGAGGCTCTTCCGAATACTATCATATTGGAAGATGATACTGAGCAGAAACAATTATCCTTGTCTAATATAGCTGAAACTACTGATAAAAAACTTCCGATAAACCAAAATGGTTTGAAATCTGTTTGGGACTGTTCTCAGCTTAGAACCAAAGAAGACTGGCAAGATTGGATAAGGCGTTTATCTATCCAGTTCTTAAAGGAGTCACCATCTCCAGCGCTACGCACATGTGCTAATTTGGCAAGCATTTATCACCCTCTAGCAAGGGAACTATTCAATGCCTCTTTCTCCAGCCTTTGGTCTGAATTATACACTCAATACCAAGAAAGTTTGATCGGATCTCTATGTAGTGCATTATCATCACCACAAAACCCCCCAGAAATACATCAAGTTTTATTGAACTTAATAGAATTCATGGAACATGATGATAAACCGTTGCCAATCCCAATAAACACTTTAGGACAATATGCTGAAAGATGTCACGCGTATGCTAAAGCACTACATTATAAAGAAGTAAAATTTATAAAGGAGCCGGTAAGCTCTACGATTGAGTCCTTGATTAGTATTAACAATCAATTACATCAAACTGATGCAGCTATAGGTATTCTAAAACATGCACAGCAACATCATTCTTATCAGTTGAAGGAAACATGGTATGAAAAGCTCCAAAGATGGGATGATGCACTAGACTCTTATACCAAAAGGGCGGAAGCAGGAGATAACTCAATTGAAGTTACTGTAGGTAGAATGAGGTCATTACATGCTTTGGGTGAATATGAAACCTTGTCTCAACTGGCAGAAAACAAATGGAAGACATCTAATTTGCAAGTACGAAAGAAAATTGCACCTCTAGCTGCTGGGGCGGCTTGGGGTTTAGGTGAATGGGATGAGATTGAAAAGTATATTAGCGTAATGAAAGAAAATTCGCCTGATAAGGAATTCTTTGATGCAGTTCTGTGTTTACACAGAAACAGATTTGATGAGGCTGAGAAACATATATTTGCTGCTCGCGACTTATTGGTTACAGAAATATCAGCACTAATTAATGAAAGTTATACTAGAGCTTATGGTGTTGTTGTTCGTACGCAAATCATAGCTGAACTCGAAGAAATAATTGACTATAAGAAGGCATCTCATAACTCGGCAAAAAGAACACATTACCGCAATTTATGGGATCAACGTCTACTGGGTTGTCAGAAAAATGTTGACATTTGGCAAAGAATTCTACGAGTGCGCTCTTTGGTCGTTAAGCCAAAACAGGATATGCATATTTGGATAAAGTTTGCTAATTTATGTCGTAAGTCTGGCAGAATGAGTTTGGCTCAAAAAGCTCTTTACTCATTACTAGAGGATGGTAGTGATCCAAATCAACCAAATACTGCGAAGGCACCACCACCAGTAGTTTACGCTCAATTAAAATATCTGTGGGCGACATCTTCCCATGAAGAGGTCTTGCATCATTTAATCGGATTCACTTCAAGAATGGCTCATGATTTGGGTTTGGACCCTAGTAATATGATAGCGCAGAGCGTACCGCAAAATGCGACGGTTGCTCCGCAGCACATTGAGACATACACAAAATTGCTAGCAAGGTGCTTTTTGAAACAGGGAGAATGGAGAGTTGCAATACAACCCAATTGGAGAGTGCAAAATCCTGATGCGATTTTGGGTTCTTACTTATTAGCAACACACTTTGATAAGAATTGGTATAAGGCATGGCACAACTGGGCTTTAGCCAATTTTGAGGTTATTAGTATGCTAACGTCAAAAAATAAAAATGAGGACACGAACGGCGCTCAAGTTAATGGGGATTGGAGGATCGAAAATAGTATAATGGGAACAGATTATTTTAGTAACGATGAAAGTAAGTTCTCCCCTGAAATTATACAGCGTCACGTTGTTCCTGCTATCAAAGGTTTCTTTCATTCAATATCCCTCCTTAAGGCAAGTTCACTTCAAGATAATTTACGTCTTCTGACATTATGGTTCACCTTCGGTGGAGTAGAAGAAGCTAATAAAGCGATGCATGATGGATTTGGTATGATTAAAATTGACAATTGGTTAGAAGTCCTACCACAATTGATATCTAGAATACATCAACCTAATCCTGTTGTGAGTAAAGCGTTGCTTTCACTTCTTTCTGATTTGGGGAAAGCGCATCCACAAGCACTAATTTATCCTTTAACTGTTGCAATTAAATCCGAGTCTGTTTCGAGGCAGAAAGCTGCTTTGTCCATAATTGAGAAGATGAGGATACATAGTCCTATCTTAGTTGACCAAGCGGAGTTAGTAAGTCATGAACTGATCAGGTTGGCTGTTCTATGGCACGAATTATGGTATGAAGGACTGGAGGATGCAAGTAGACAATTTTTCGGAGAGCATAATACCGAAAAAATGTTTGCAACGTTAGAACCTCTTCATGAGTTACTGAACTGCGAACCCGAGACTTTACGAGAGGCCACATTTAAGAAATCCTTCGGCAGAGATCTAAATGATGCTTATGAGTGGGTTCTCAACTACAAGCGCACAAAAGATGTAAGCAACTTAAATCAAGCTTGGGATATATATTATAACGTCTTTAGAAGGATTAGCAGGCAATTGCCACAATTGCAATCATTGGAACTTCAATACGTTTCTCCAAAACTATTAGCAGCACATGATTTGGAATTAGCTGTCCCTGGAACATACTCAGCCACTAAGAATGTGATCAAGATATCTTATTTTGAACCGACATTAACAGTCATATCGTCAAAACAGAGACCTAGAAAGATATGGATTCATGGTAGTGACGGTGTTGAATACCAGTATGTCTTAAAAGGTCACGAGGATATTCGACAAGACAACTTAGTAATGCAGTTATTTGGATTGGTAAATACCCTCCTAAGAAATGATTCTGAATGTTTCCAAAGACATTTGGACATACAGCAATATCCAGCTATTCCATTATCTCCTAAATCTGGTTTATTGGGCTGGGTTCCTAACAGTGACACTTTTCATGTACTTATTAGCGAACACCGTGATGCAAAGAAAATTCCTCTCAACATTGAGCATTGGGTTATGTTGCAGATGGCACCAGACTTTGACAATCTTACTCTGCTTCAAAAGATTGAAGTATTTACTTATGCTTTAGATAGTACAAAAGGTCAAGACCTGTATAAAATTTTGTGGCTGAAAAGTAGATCATCAGAGGCATGGCTGGATAGAAGAACAACATACACAAGATCACTAGCTGTTATGTCTATGGTTGGTTATATTCTTGGTCTAGGTGATCGTCACCCAAGTAATTTAATGTTAGACAGAACAACAGGTAAGGTAATTCATATCGACTTCGGTGATTGTTTTGAAGCTGCTATACTTAGGGAGAAATTCCCAGAGAAAGTACCATTCAGATTGACTAGAATGCTTACATTCGCAATGGAGGTTAGCGGCATAGAAGGAAGCTTCAGAATAACTTGTGAGCACGTAATGAGAGTTTTGAGGGCAAACAAAGAATCTTTAATGGCCATGTTAGAAGCATTTGCATTTGATCCATTAATCCATTGGGGCTTTGATTTACCACCGCAGAAAATAACAGAAATGACTGGCATTCAGTTGCAATTAAGTAACACCAACGAATTGCTACGTAGAGGAGCAATTACTTTAGAGCAAGCTAATAAAATGGAAAAAGAGCAGCAAGCGGAGATCAAGAATGCTAGAGCATTGTTGGTTCTTCGGAGAATCATCAACAAGTTAACTGGTAACGATTTTAAAAGGTGTAAGGACCTCGGAATTAATGAACAAGTTGATAAGTTAATCCAGCAAGCTACTTCTGTGGAAAATTTATGTCAACATTATATCGGTTGGTGTCCATTTTGGTAATCACAATATGAAGTATCATTTCATATACCGTAGAGTTTCAAAGATATTTGATAACTTTTTCTTCATATTTTAGCTTTAATTATACAGTCTTCAAACTTATAGCTCACGTTCATTATAGCATATTGCTTTAGGTAGTGAAATTATAGCAGGTCTTTATTCATCGAGATCTATTCCGTCTTAACATTGTACTTTTCACAATATTTAGTGACGATTTCTTCCCATTTAGAGACGACTGGATGTTTGCTGTCTTCCAAATTATAATCCTCCGTAAAAATGCGCTTAGTAAGAATATTTTTTATTTGCAGTTCTTGCTTTGCATTATTGAAATCTTTCTTTAGCTCTTCATCATCTTTGCCATATCTGTATTCTAAACCTTGCAATCGCCCTATTATTTTTCCGACACGCAAACCTAATTCGGCACCCAAAGGGAAAGACATGTCGAAACCATCTTGTAAATTTTCCTCCTTTGCGCTAACAATGCCATCCAGATACCCCCGTTTGCTATGGTTATCTTTAAGTTTCAGTAAATCGGGACTCAGTTCTCTCGTAGACTCATCTAGATCATCACCGGATCCCCATACATCATCCAATAAATCAGCCATCTCTAAAACAGTCACTCAATCAATAAAAAGTTCCTAAGATCAACTTGCTCCACTTACTTAATAATCGGCTTAGCGTATCATGTATTTGTCATCAAACATTGCTTACTTGGGTTAATGCTTTTATATGCATTTTTGCGATGAGCTCTACGTCACTTGAAATTATGAAAAATGGAATTTTTCATAATTTCAATCACTGCGGTGAACTAACTTCTCGACAACACCAAAATAGTAACTATATAGTGCTAGGCAACAAATAGGAAACCAGACCCAGGAATAATAAAGAATTCACTTTGGTTTTTTTTTACTCAATCCAAAACAATTGATTGTTCTCGAACATAATACTTAGATAAAAAGAAATTGGCAAATAGTTTTTGTTACTCAAAAGCAATTCAAAAATGTTTGAAGGATTTGGACAAAATAAGAGAAGGAAGATCAATACTGAGTCTGCTGCTGAAGCTGAGCATAATAAGCCATGGGTTGAGAAGTATAGACCAAAGAAATTGGATGATGTTGCCGCTCAGGATCATGTTGTTAATGTGTTGAAGAAAACGTTAAGCTCAGCTAATTTACCACATATGTTATTCTATGGACCACCTGGTACTGGTAAGACATCAACTATTTTGGCTCTAACCAAAGAATTATTTGGGCCGGAACTCATGAAAACAAGGGTGCTAGAACTAAATGCCTCTGATGAAAGAGGTATATCGATTGTTAGAGAAAAAGTGAAAAACTTTGCGCGTCTGACAGTCTCTAAACCATCGAAACATGACCTAGAAAACTATCTTTGTCCACCATATAAGATTATTATTCTTGATGAAGCTGATTCAATGACAGCAGACGCACAGAGTGCTTTGCGTAGAACCATGGAAACTTACTCCACAGTCACAAGATTCTGTTTGATCTGTAATTATGTCACCAGAATTATTGATCCTCTAGCTTCAAGATGTTCCAAATTCAGATTCAAATCTTTAGATTCTTCAAATGCATTGCAGAGATTGAAATATGTTGCAGAAGAAGAAGGTGTAAAGGTTAAAGCAGGTTCCCTCGAGACCATTCTGGATATATCAGCAGGTGATTTACGTAGAGCGATAACACTCTTACAATCAGCTTCCAAAAATATTGGTTATTCTGGAGAAGATGAAGTATCCAAAGAACTTGTCGAAGAACTCGCAGCGGTTGTACCGGAATCCTCAATAAAACAGATTGTAGAGTTGGTTGCTACAAGGGATTTCAATAAGATCAGTGAATATATACAAGAATTTACGAGGAATGGGTGGTCAGCAGCATCAGTCGTATCACAACTACATGATTATTATATCAAAAGCTCTGAATATGATACCGCCTTCAAAAATAAAGTATCGATTATCTTATTCGATACTGACTCCAAGTTAACAAATGGTACAAATGAGCACATCCAACTCCTGAATATGCTGATAAAAATATCTCAGGTATGACCTACAAATTGTCCTGCAAAACATATAAATCATATTTGACTTGTGTATCCTATAAATGCATGGTATATAATGAATGATTTTCGAGTTATGAATCAGTTCGAATTATTAAGCATATAAGAACTTCTTAAACTCGACAAAGGCCTTGCCTCTGTGAGACAATGTGTTCTTGAAATCTTTCTCCATTTCAGCGTATGTCATACCCTTACCTTCTAGAGGTTCAAATATGGAATCCCAGCCAAAATTCGTTGGGCCACGGCTGTCGACGATCTTACCTTTGGTGATTCCCTGGAAAATATGATATTCACCATTTTCGTCACAGTAGGCAATGGTTGTGATTGCCTCTGCACCTTTGTTGGAATATGGTTCTAGTAACTTTACTATTTTCTCAAGCGACATGCTCTTCAAAAACCATTTGATGTAGGCACCAGGTAGGCCATTGAACTCATCAAAAGTGAGTGCAGTGTCTTCCACAAATACTGGGGTACCGACACCTAGTTCTTTGACAGCTTGTTTACATTTTGTTAGTGCAATTGCCTTTAAGTCAACATCTTGCAGTTCATCCAAATCAAGTGGCTCATTCTTTAAGGTGATGGAGCCTTTTTTGTCTTCAGCTGCTAGCAGCATCTGTACCTCTTTCAATTTGTTGGCATTGCCAGTGACAAAAGTGATTTCAGTTGGCGCCATTTTCTCTGCTTTGAATGTTTTTTGAGTTTGTTTGTGAAATCCTATCTAAATTCTATTGACTAATAATAGTGTCTGGTAAGCGATTGAAATAAATAAAAGCAGCTCTGAGTTTTGCATATGTGATGGGCGGATCATCGCAAATTGTTTCAAATTTTTCATTTTTAGATAATAAAAAAAAGCATCACGTGACTGATAGGTTAATAACTGTATATGACTGCATTATCAGGTTATAGCTGATGCAAGCTTAAAGATTAGAATGACCAGACTTAATCCTTATAATATTCAAGCACGAAGATAAAGAGATATCTCCCTAATGACCAATGAAAGTGCTTAGTATATTAACAACGGCTATCTGTTTTCATGATTATTCTATCAAAAGCTATACATAAGAAAACATACAAGTATGAAATGAAATAAATAATTGATTCAGAAATAGGTGAACCAGCATTTGAAAATTAAATTGAGTATTTGGAATGGTATTAATTAAACCATTCAATAGAAACGTCTTTGTTTAAGAAAATGAAAGGGGAAGCATTAAAAGTGTGAGGGAGTGTTGAATTAGGCTGGAGCATATTCCAACTCGTTGCTGTTTTCGTATTCCCACATATCCAAAGCAACAATAGCAGACTCTCTGACAACATCGACTTCATCATTCAAATATTGCTTTAAGATAGGAAGAGCGTCTTCAGAAGCAATGGCACCCAAAGCTTCAGCGGCTTCGTGTCTAACCATTGGGGCCTCTTCTTTACGGCCCAAAACTTCAGTCAAAGATGGGACGGCGGCGGTAGAACCCATTTGGCCAAAAACGTAAGCAATTTCGTGCTTGAATAGAGCAGATGGGTCATTGAAACCACTGGCCAACGCTAGAACGGCCTCGTCAGTGCCGATATCTCTCAATCTGAACATAGCTCTGTATCTCAAGAATAGAGGTTTTTCTTGGTCGTTCAGGAGCTTCTTTAGTTCTTCCAAGTCGTACTCCTTCTCTAGAGCTAGAGGAGGAGCTGGGTCAATACTGGAATATAGAGACTGTTGTAGGCTTTCCTTGGTTGGAGCATCACTGTGTTGCCAGTTGATTCTAGCAATAGCCAACTCACAAGTTTCTCTAACAGCAACATGAGGATCGTTCTTCAGACATTTTTCAAGGTCTTCTAAAGAATCTTTGTCACCTAGGGCACCCAAAGCTTCAGCTGCTTCATGTCTGACCATTGGTTGTTGAGCTAGATCCAACATAGTCTTTCTAAGTAGTGGAGCAGCCTTTAGGTTCTTGGTTTGACCCAAGACGTAAGCAACTTCATGCTTCAACAATTCACTGTTGTCACCGAAAGTCTCACCCATGTATTGCACTGCCTTTTCAGCATCAGATGGGTTGGCTTCAAATTCGGAAGCAGCAGTCTTCAAGTTGAACAGAGCTCTAAATCTGTTGGCAAGAGCACTCTTACCTTCCTTGTTAACCAAGATGTCTCTTAGTTGCTCCAAGTTACAGTCATCGACGTTTTCTTCAAAGTGCTTTTCAAAATTGGTAGACATTTCTCGTTATGGTTATATAAATTATGCTCTTTTCTATACAGAAAGAATTCAGAATTATTAAAAAAATGCTAATGATAACTTCAAATCAATAAACTACAAACAGTTAGGCAGGTCATCAATGGTGAAATAGATAGAGATTATATATCACAACTAACTGGACTACTTGCCATGTCACCACTATCCATGTGTATTATACAATGAAAAAAAAATTTTGCGATGAGCTAGAATTTCAAATTTCTTCATCAGGACTGTGCCCATCTCCACAGAAAGTGCCGCATTGGGAGGCATAAAAACTACTTTCGTTGCTTTTTTTTGAGAGAGAAAGTTGAAAAAGATAATATAGCGAATTTAGACTATAGAGCAGGATACAAACGAACACATTAAATGATATTTCATGGGTACTAGTTTTTCATAGATGGCTTGCTAATCAGTACTATACTTTGCAGTTCTTGGGGGTGGGAGGAATAATATAAAAATGAACTCCACAGAGCAAATGTGCACTTGGTAAGCATAGCAATACTATAACACAGCTGTGAATAAATAACAGAGCATAATTACAAATCTGTATAGCTTCTTTCTTTTTAGAAATATGCGTATATATACTGTCAAACAATGCGAAAGCGGGTAGGAATATTTTTTTGGACCCTCACTTACTAGATCAGGAAGAACTAAGGTACGAGTTGAAGCGGACTAATACAACGCTACATGAAGTTTATAGAGTACAATGAATGATTTTTTATGCGGAGAATGGGCACTACTAATCTAGAGCAGAAGCGATCGTATAAGTACTTCGAACCATATGATCCTGAAATAGACGTTCCCATTGTTCTCTTCCTAGTCATATTTTAACATAGTTATAAAGTAAACATGCTACAGAATTGTTAAGTTTTGTACGCCAAGTAATCGCAGGTTATTGCTATTGTATGGAGTGGGGGGTGGTAAATAATTAATTGCGTAAGTAAATTCGTTATACGATGCTGTAGTGGTTGGAGATCAGTGTACTTGTTGTAACAAAATTTTCCTATTTTGGTGTACAATTCCAGGAATGGTGGATGCTCACTTTCATTTTTCAATGGGTTGTGTTCCAATTCCAGTTTTTTTTTACCTGTAGAGAAGTATAGAAAGTACTAAAGGTTTTTCAGCGTAGTTTTTTAAGATGACATAGCCTCCCAGCTAAGTATATTGAAAAGTGATGAGCTGTGCTACTGAATATTACTGTTATTTAGCCACTTTTCTCATTGCTACAATGTCAGATTAATATTGTACGATAATCTACGCATGGCTCCTGGTTTTTTTTCATGGTAAAACGATTTTTTCGAACCGTCTCATTACTCTGACCTCTCTCTGTCCTATAGGGTGATATGGCCATCTCATCGAATGGCTGATAGCTCTAATTTTTCCGTCAAAGGAACTCTTCTGTTTGGACGCAATGACCTTCTTTCTTTTTTCTCATGAAGGCATTACGTAGTCAGATCAAGAATTTTAGTTTTGCAGAAATATAAAAGGTTTGAGGAATAAATAAAAAAATTTTCTTGGGAAAGTTTATGGTTGAAAACTGGAACATTTGTTTCTGACCTTATTCACTACATTATAATAAGTTGAGTTAGTACTCTTTTTATTGGTTTTGGTCATATTTTGCTTGATTTCACTAAATGGTGCTATGCAGTTGTGCTGTGAAATATTGGCTTATGCATAACCTATTTGCAGGACTTTTTAGATAGTCGGTAAAATGCCACTTCATTATGTATTTTACTGCTATTGGTAAAACCTGCTATGCTATCTCGTTTGACTAAGTCAATTGGTCGATCGAATGAACTCTTTTGCCTATCTTCATCGCATTTACAGCTATAATTGAGGAGATTTAGAACAATGTGATTCTGGGAAGAGGGTAGGCATCGAGCATGTGATTTCATCGTGTAGTTGTATGTCACTATTTTTCTTGCATTGTACAAAGCAGGTGTTATTTCACGTAGTAAGTAACTAATCATAATTGCCTCTTTGGCCAAGTGGTAAGGCATCGCACTCGTAATGCGGGGATCGTGGGTTCAATTCCCACAGGAGGCATTCTGTTTATCCAATTGTGGGCACTCTTCAGTCCTGAAGATGCTAACATTTTTTTTAATCCAATAGCTCATGTTCAATTTTATGGTTACCAACATTAATACATAAACATTATAATACAAAAGTTATTGTTAGTGATGAACCGACTACCAACAGTGTCTAAAAAGTTTTCTGGTATGGATTGGGAAATGATGTATATGGAATAGTAGTTAGATAGCTATACAGGTCAAACTAATTATTGTTTCTTAGACTTTTTCTCCTCATCACGCTTTGCATAGATTTCAGCTGTAAATGGTTCCTCAAACTTTAGAGCCATGTAGTACATGGCATGTACAAAGAATGCCAAAATCAATCCTGCTGGTTTACCAGCAATTAGCGAAGTACCGATGAAAGAAAATGTAGAACCTTGGTACATTGGGTTATTGGAAACATTAAATGGAAAAGCTGTTACTCTGTCATTCATTAAAATACCGAAATAGTCACCCAAGTAAGTACCCGTGATACCCAACTGGTACATTGAGGAAATCACTAGTATTTGGCCCACAATTAAAAACGCGTACCCGATATTTGTGATTTTTGGGGTGTCTAACAATGGGGAGACTTCTTGATGTCTCAATGCCTTTTCAAATGTCAAATCTCTAGCAATACCTAGAGAAAATATGGTGGCTGCAAGGAAATAACAGCCTCTCTTTGGCGAACCAGCAATCTTGGTTAGGAAATGTGTGTGGTATTCCAGCCTTGCCACTATATTCCAAAACAATGGGTTAAATATAATGAAAAGTAACGCAGAGTAGAAGTATGGAGCATCGTAATCCACAGAGTACATTAGCCCTTCAACGAAATTCTCAAACTGGATAACTTTATCCTCTACAAAGTCAGCACCAAACATCTTACCTTGCCTAGTATTAAATCACTATCAATTGAGTCAGTAATATTAATGGTAGGCCGTTTTGACATATACCACAATTTAGTAAATAGGTTGGTGCTTCACTTATATATACTTTAGATTACTTATTCCCGAGTCAACCAAGTCCCCTTTGGCATTGAAATATTTCACATGCCACACGGCAACCCGCAGAGCCGTGTGCAGGTTCAATGCTTCGTGAAACCAGCAAACTGTGATAGTCTGTTGTAGTTGACATCAATTGGGATATCTTTCAGAATTCATTATACTTCATCTAGAATTCAGAGATGTTAGATATACTAGGTGGATTCAAACAAACCTGTATGCATGTGAATTTGGTGATCGCAGTGAGATTTTTAGTCATTGTGCAACCTTGACCATATGATTTAGGCTTAGACCTTACACTCTTTTTTGCAGTTAAACATTGTTTGTTTTCTATGGTATCTACTTGTAACATTGTAGTCAGTTTTTTGCTTTAGTTGTGTAGTGCACTAAGTATGTCTGCTGTTTCTTTAAACGCGTTAAGTTCCTGCTTGAATATCTCTTCTTCCCTTTCAAAATCAACTACACTAGATAATTCTTCGATTTTACCATCTTTGACTAATTGGCCATGATAGCCATCTAGATGTTGAATTAAGTCCTCACCATGCAGCTCCTTACCTCGAAGTTGAGCCACTTCTTCAAATTTGATCTCTTCCGGAACACCAGCGTTTCCCACAAGTTCAATCTTGGCTGGAACCAAGTAAACAGAGCTCATTTCTAAATAAACTACAGTTCTATTTTTCTATTGTACTTTTCCAAGTATATAAGAATAAGTTTCAACTAGTGTATGGCCAATATTTATAAGAATTACGTGTGTGTACTATATATTGAGATGCCATCCTCATCGCGCTCGCATCATTTTCCCAATGAAATCGCGTGGTGTGTGATCAGAGTGGTATCGCCGAATTTACATAATGAAGAGCGATGAGTTACTTGGCCTGTCATAGAAGAAACTCCAATTGTTGATTTACAATAGGCAGAAACTAACCAATAAGGCATCGATTATAGATTTCACTTATAATTCTAAAGCAAAATTACAGAAATGTCTACCTGTACAACCCAACTTTATGGTGGTGCAATTACTACCGTTTTGCCTTTAGGGTTCATGGATGTATCAATGCTAAGGGAAGTGCCGGATACTCAGGAGGTATTTGTTAATAGTCGCACTCCACAGGAATGTGCTCATGCAGAGGATGGCCTAGCAGAAAACGAAAGTATAATTATTGACTTATTACAAATGGTGGAGGCTCCTTCTGATGATGAAGCCTTGAATGTGCATATTGAAGATGTGACATCATTGAATGGTGGAGATGCCTGGGATACTGTAAAGAAAGAAACTCAGCCAGATGGTACCATTACTTGCATATTAACTGAATCTGTGCACAAATGGGGTAAACAGGATATGAGAGAAACGTTGGCAATCTGTCTTGCATTAAAACGAATGAAGGATGTTGAAACAGATGCGTTAATATCAATAAATGTACCTTTAAAAGCTGAAGAGGTAGAGCTCTTAAGCAAAACCGAAGAGGTCAAGAGACTTACAGCAAGTTACGATGTCCTAAAGAATATTGTAAAGGAATTCAAAGTTTTAGACAAGTCATTGTTCGCCTGATTCATGGATTTAACTAAAATGAATAGTCAATAATCCTTGTATTTGCACGAATCAATACTGTATGTTTTGATGATAGTCACCGTTTGTTTCTCTTATTAATACGATATATGAATATTTCTACTCATCGCAATCAATAGTTATATATAGGGCCATTAGTGTATAGTGATAAAACAACTTGATCAAAAATTTGTATACACTCTACTTTGAGAACAATAACAAAGTATAATTCTAATATTAGCTCAGTGATGTGATCTTTTTGACACTGTGCTAGACATCTACATCGGTTATAGGGATCATATTCTAAACTTGACTTTCAATTTAAGTTCATATTTCGAATAGGTTAATTCCTGCATTTGAAGCACATAGAATTGTTGCTCATTGCAGATATATGACAATGGCACGTAAGAGGTCTAATTTTAAGATTTTGAGAATTTTCTTCTTTCTCATAGCTGGTTTAGCCGGTATTGCATTGCTTTTAAAACTATCATCCAATGCGAGAGCATCTGATATTCAAAAGATATTGCAAAACTTACCAAAAGAGATAACTCAAAGTATAAATGTTGCAAACTCTAATCAGAAGGCCGATGCTGATGTAATGGCTAAGTTTGCAAAACTAGCAGAGGATATAAAACTAAAACAAGAAGAACAAAGCAAACAGTTTGAGAGACAAAGGAAAGTCCTTGAGAGAAAATTGAGAAACATGAAACAAATTTCGACCGATGCAACATTGCGTGAGAAATTGGCATATAATTTTGAATACGATGGTAAGAGCAGATTTCCGGCGTTCCTCTGGCAAACCTGGTCTGGATCACAAACACCTGAAGAAGTCCTGCACGTCAAAGCTACTTGGCAAGAAAAAAATCCTGGATTTGTCCACGAAATTTTAACCCCAGAAATGATGAATGCTCTGGTTCATCACTATTATTCAATTGTGCCGGAGGTAGTCGAAGCATATAAACTATTGCCTGATAATATCTTAAGAATCGATTTCTTCAAGTATCTGGTTTTGTTAGCAAGAGGAGGTACTTATGCTGATATTGATACTAGCCCATTACAGCCGATTCCAAACTGGATTCCGGAAACTGTTGAACCAAGTGATATTGGTTTAACTGTCGGAATTGAACATGATGCGCAAGCAGTCGATTGGAGAAGTCATTATGTGAGGAGATTACAATTCGGTACATGGGTTATACAAGCTAAACCTGGTCACCCAGTACTGAGAGAGGTTGTCGCACAAATAGTGGAGCATGTTTTAAACAACAAAGATGATTTAAGCACAGTTAATGTCAGAAATGATTTGAGTGTAATGAAATTCACCGGTTCTGCTCTGTTTACCGATGCAATAATGACATATTTAAATGATTTCATTAAGAGTGGTTTAGATAGGAAAGTCACTTGGAGGGACTTTACGAAGATTACTAGTCCTAAATTGGTTAGTGATATTTTAGTTTTTCCTGAGTTTTCATTCAATGTTCCGGAAAACTTTGACAAAGAAGACCCTCTAAGAGCTCAATTTTTTATCTCTCACAAAGGAGAAAAGTTCTGGAAAGCAGCACCAAAAGTAGCATCATAAATTACACTATATAGGTAAATAGCGTTAATATTTCACTGATTATCCTTGAAGTTTACATAATTATTTTGGTCTTTTTTATATTGTCTTTGTGTGGTTTATTACTTGACATTCAATTTTATGTTTTGGTTTCATATGGTTAGGAAAATAAATAAAATAACACAAATTTAAAAATAATAATGAAATAGTCAAATCCTATCTCAACAAGTAAACATCACTTATATTTATTCAAGTAATTATAATTTATAATAGTAATAATACTCCATTGAAAAGCATCAAGGAGTTCTGAATAAATTTACACCTATTTAGTATGCCTGTTCTTGCTTTTGTTTTGCTTCCCTTTCTAGACGCTCCTCAATTTCTCTAAGTTCTTGCTCTCTTTGAAGCAATTCCTTTCTCTTTAATATTAGTTCTTGTTGAACTCTTTCTTCAAATGCCTTTAGTCTTTCTTCCTCTAGTCGTATTTGTTCTTCACGTGCAGTGTATGTGTCGCTGGAGGATGCATCTTGTCCAGTGATACTTTGCGAAGAAGGTGGCATAGGCGATTGCGATCCATGAGGTAAATGTGATACATCACCTCTTGGAAGTGATTGCGGTGGAATATCATTTCTAAAATTGAAACTAGTTTCCCCTGATAGTGCTTCTGTTCTGTATCTTTCGTATAACACTTCATGTGTATAGTCCTTTAAGTCATGTAAATGTGAGATTAACAAAGCATTTCTTAGTACAACAAAGTCAGAAATGCTGGTGTCTTCCACGTCTAGCATACCCCATGGATATTTTCTACCTCTAATCATTGTAGAGTTACCGACATCGAAAACCTCATTAGAACCGATAACAGAGAAAGGAAGTAACGAGCGCAGATACGTGTTTGTTTCATAATCTTCCTCGCTTATATCTTCCTCATCAAATGGGAAGTTATAAATTGGTAGATTATGACGATCAATATCCTCCATTATTAATTTTTTATTCAATTTTAGCTCTTCTTGGGTCAAAGAATCGGCTTTACTAATCACAGGGATAATATTAACCAATGTACCTAATTGTCTCATAAACTCAATATCCATCTCTTTTAAACCATGGCCAGTAGGCACAATCATATACAGACAACAATGTGCTCTACCATCTTTGAATCTCGGATTTCTACGAACTCTACTCTCTTCCAACAATATTTCATCGTATTGGTGACGAATATAATCAGAAATAATATCAAATGACTTCCTATTGTCTAAGGAATCACCAAAACCGGGTGTATCAACGATATTAAGCTGAATTTTCACACCTTCATCATCTTCTAGTTCTACAGTCTCCTCTCTTAATTGCAGTTCAATTTCTGTAGAAGTATCAGTTGGCAACATAACTGTTGTTGAAACGTCAACGACTTGTTGACCACACAATGTGTTGATAAAAGTTGATCTACCACATCCTGATTGGCCTACTATCATCAACGTGAAGCTAATACCTCTTTTTAAATGCTTACGCTTCCTAAGGGTAGATGAAGCATCAATAATACCAGACATATTCTTACCTTATGATGTTGGTTATACCACTTCTCCTCAATTAACCTATTATAGAAGAGCTGATTTGTAAATTGATCTTACAAAAAACAACACGTCCTTTTTCTTTGCGTTCGCAATATTGATGAAGGATCAGAAAGCCTAACAATCAGCGAGAAAGATATGTATATATGTGAAGTACCAACTAGTTAGAGCTCACGGTTTGTAATTTGTCTGCCCTCTGTGAGACTTAACTATGTTTGCTACTCTTGCTTGCCTAACTGATAGTCCACTAGCCTAGGCTTTTGGTCTTCACAAAATATCGAACAGATCAGCAACAAAATCTTTGGGACGAGGGAATCAGATTGTACGACAATATTTGTGTATAAGCCATAATCTCTATTTATAAAATTTCCATATTAAGTTGGATAATCATTGTGCTATTTTAATACATAGATAGATGTATTCCACCTTATTATAAGCGTAATACTCTAGCTTCCCTACTTCTAAAACCTAACCTGCTTGCTAAAAATTTATAAAATCGTATTATTGCTAAGCGTTGCTTCTGCATTCTTTAATTTGTAATTAAATCCCAGAATAAGTAAACAAAATTCTAGCTGCTATATTCGATTTTACAATATATCAAGGAGGGCAAAATTTACATAACCCTTGTTCTAAATTATTTCGACTCTTAAGCTCAATATGATGAGTAAAAAAATGAATGCATTTTATACATGCAGACAAACCTATATGAACAACAAAGTTACAAAAATGTATTTTCTCGCACAAGTGAAATTGACCAAGGTTCTCGATACCGGTAAGCAGTTTACAGAACGCCAGATGCGCAAAATGTAACATCTACAGTGTACCTTAGAATTAGTGACAATAATAAGGTCATATTAGGTACTATCAAATTTGTGAGCTTCAGTTCAATGCGATGAGCTTGATGAACAGATTTTCTGAATATTTTTTTTCAACATGTATGAGATGGGATTTGTGCGACTGTTTCATAGAAGCTATCCAAGTTTTCACCTGAAAAATTTCAGTTTGGTCATCAACTGTGTGAGTCAATCAATAGGGCCAGCCTATTTTTTTTTAAGTATTATATAATGGCTTGATCTGTGGCAATCAAATATTGAAACTACCAGATTTCAAGTAAGTATAGCATTTCAGGAGTAGTCAGTCTCTTTTAAGTTAATTGTTATATTAGCCGTAATACAGCAAACATTGGGTGATTGACGGCAAAACCAAAAAAAAAACTATACGTTTAAAAAATTACCTAGAGATGAAAAGAGTTGTATTGATCGATAATTATGACTCCTTCACTTGGAATATCTACGAGTATCTGTGCCAGGAAGGTGCAGATGTCCAAGTTTTCCGTAATGATAAAGTTACTGTCGATGAGGTTGTGGCGTTAAAACCAGATGTTCTAGTTATTTCTCCTGGACCCGGTCATCCATCTACTGATTCTGGTATCTCTCGAGATGCTATTAGACAATTTGCTGGTAAACTACCTATCTTTGGTGTCTGTATGGGCCAGCAATGTATGTTTGAAGTTTTTGGCGGTGAGGTCGCCTATGCTGGTGAAATTGTCCATGGTAAGACATCCCCAATATTCCACGATAATAAAGGCTTCTTCAAAAATGTTCCTCAAGGTGTGGCAGTAACCAGATACCATTCATTGGCTGGTACTCCTGAATCGTTGCCAGATGTCTTAGAAGTCACAGCAAGAACTGAACAGGGTATTATCATGGGTGTAAGACATAAGAAGTATACTATAGAAGGTGTACAGTTCCATCCAGAGTCTATCCTAACCGAAGAAGGTCATTTGATGATTCAAAATATTCTAAAAGTTACAGGTGGTACTTGGGATGAATACGAAGCCAACGAAAAAAACACCTCAACTGGCAATAACCAAGAGAGTATCTTGGATAAGATATATGCCAAACGTAAATCTGACATAGCTTCTCAAAGCAAAGTTCCAGGGTTCACTATGAGAGACATGGAGTTCAACTACAAATTGGGTCTAGCACCAAGCCAAATTGATTTTTATTCCAAGATAAAGTCCGCTAAACAAAGAGCTGTGGTGCTATCCGAAATAAAGCGTGCATCTCCTTCAAAGGGTGATATATGCATAGATGCCCTTGCAACTGAACAAGGATTAAGATACGCTAGAGCAGGTGCTTCTGCGATCTCAGTCCTTACAGAACCACACTGGTTTAAAGGCTCTCTACAAGATCTAATTAACATTCGTAGAGCTCTTGACATTGAATTTAAAACCCACCCTGAAGACAGACCATGCCTACTGAGAAAAGAGTTCATATTTTCAGAGTACCAAATACTAGAGGCTAGATTAGCCGGCGCCGATACTGTTCTTTTAATCGTGAAAATGCTAGGTGAGGAAGAATTGAAAAGACTATACAATTACTCAAAAACATTGGGTATGGAACCGTTAGTGGAAGTTAATTGCGAGAAGGAATTAGAAAAAGCATTGAGCTTGGATGCAAAAGTTATTGGTGTAAACAATAGAGACTTACACTCTTTTAATGTCGATTTAAATACCACAAGCTCACTGATTAATAGTGTACCCGCTGAAACAATGCTAATTGCGTTGTCTGGTATCACCAGTCCTTCTGATGCTGATAAGTATAAGGAGGAAGGCGTTCGTGGATTCTTGGTGGGCGAAGCGTTGATGAGAACTTCTGAACCAGAATCATTCATCAAAGCTCTTTGCCAATGAGACTGTTTCAGTAATTTACGAGTTCTATTGAGCACTTCTAGACACTATGTTCTTTCACTATCTATTATTATAATTTTTTTATAGAACAAAAAAAAATGAGTAGAATAATATTTTAAACTAACTATTCCAAATTTATTTAGGCTTTAAATACAAGATTAAGGAGATGTATGCACTCTAAATGATAATAAAATGATATGTGATCAATGCACTACACCTTTTTTCAAAAATGTTCCTTGAATATGAAAACTATTCAAGATATCTAGTGATTAATAACAAAACCACCAATTATCCATCACATCATCATAGCTTGCTTAAAATATGTTTACGGGAATATTGCAATAAAAGGTATTAGGGTTTTGTGTTCAACGAATATAAACTAGTTTTCTGTGGAATGTTGAGTCTCCATAAAACACATTAAGAGTTGAAAAAACATCTCTTCAAGAGTTTCTGGATTTTCTTAAATACTTTGATCCTTATTCTGCTACTTAGTGACCACCACCAGCAATTTCAATGGTTGGAGCACATCCCAAGGATTTCTTTAATTGACCGTAGATACCGAATTGTAGAGAAGTCAAAGTACCAACCATAACCAAACGAGTTGGTAGACCAGCGAATGAGCCGACGAAACCCAACTGCTTGGCTAATTGGAACAATAGACCGACAGTGCTTTGACCTGGAGCCTTACTGGTCTTGTTAACCTTGGACAATAGAGTATCAGCAGGTTGGGAAACAATTGCTGCTGCCAAACCAGCAGTCAAACCAGAAAGCAAGTTAATGGCAGTTAGAGATGTCTGAGATAGAGTGTCTTTTGGTGGAGCCAAGGAGAAGTATAATTCAGAGGCACGTTCAAAGACCAAGAACTTAGCGATATTGTAAGGAATCTGTTTGAAAAGAATTGGCGTGAAACCACTGTAGAATGAGCCAACACCTTCCTCTTTCAAAATTCTAGAGAAACCACCAACAAGACCGTTAGCGAAGGTTGGTTGAGATACCAATCTGATTCTAGTGGCTTCCAATGGACATAAAGCAATATCAGCCAAGAATTCAGCAGCAGCAGCTGAACCAATGTAGACAGAGTTTTTGTATCTAGCAGCGGTGTCGTATCCCAAAGTGTCAATGAAGAATTTTTTGAAAACTTCATAACCACCAAATTTAAAGGCACCTTGGATGGAGTAGCCTAACAAAGTAGGGCCAAAACCGGTCAATAGAGCACCAGCACCTTCTTCAGCAATGATCTTACGGAAGGAACCAACCATACCTTTGTTATAGACAGTTGGTTCAAGTTGAATTCTAGTCTTGACAACATCAATAGGCACCATACTCGAGTGTGTAGAACCACAACCGATGGCACCGGCCAAAGCAAACTTGGCATAATCAGAATAGCTGTATTGAGGTAATTGGTTAGACATTTTTTCTTATGTTATAGTATCAAAAATAGGCACAGTAAAACAGGTATGAACAAGTTAGCAAATAATTATAGCTAACTGTAACAATATGAGTTTGAAGTATTTCGGTGTAGTCAAATAGAAGATGGAAACTAACGCTTGTTCTTAAATTTGAAAGGGGAAATAGTAAAAACCGTTTATTGAAAAGCTTCTCTTTATTCTTTTTTTTTGGTATCTAAAGTGTAGAACTCAAAAGTATTATTATTCTTTTTTAGAACCTCGAATAATAAAAATAACAACTTCTTTATAAAAAAGAACAGAAATAAAACAACACTGGTTACTCTATAGACAAGTGAACAAAAACACACTAATTTTTTAAATGCAGTTTAGAGGGATGTCCAATAAGAAAACGATAAAAAAATTAAGTATCCAAGTGCAAGAGTGAAGGAAAGTATAAAGAAAAGAAAACAATAGAAAATGCAAAAAAGTGTGATTTCTCAAGAGCATCTACCATCTCTTATTTAAGTAATATATATATTCGCAATAATAGTCCTCATCCTGTCTTCGGGATCATCATTAAACGTGTAGGGGGGAAAAGTAGCATATTGGGCCTTTGCAAAGTGTGCCACTAGTGCTAATACGATCTTCCTATGAAAGTTCGAGGCATTTTCAAGGCATTTTGGCAAGATTTGAAAACAAAAGCACAGGAGAACTTCCTCGCAGTACGTTTTGCTCACTTAGATTACTCGTCATAGATTGGTCAATATCCATTTCAACCTAGAAAACTTTCTTGTTTTTCTTCACAAGCTCTATACTTTGCTGTAGCTAATCTCCTAAGAGAGGAAAAAAGGATAAGAAAAAGGAAGTGCGTACTGGTATCTAAACAAGGAGCCACCAGAATTACGTGTTTTTGCAATCAAAATGGTGAAATGGAAGAATGACGGGGGAAAGAAAAAAGCACTAAATACAAAACTGAGCACTATTGACTTCTGATTTTCCCGCAAAATGCTTAGGTTTTTCTTTTCCTACTAAAGCATAATCTACCTATTGGCTGGTTTGCTAATAAAACTTGTGGACCGAAGCAAGTGGTCTTCCTTGCAAAGATCTAACGGATGAAAGAGTGTAATGTAATGTAGCTTCTAACTTTGAGTATTCCTTCAGATTATCCAAACTACATCTCCTTTCCTTCCCCCGTGAACTTCTGTTCAGAAATGAGTCCGGATTTTTCGCATTTTACAAAACTGGTCCGATGAGGACGGACCAATAAGGATTGCGTCTTTGGGAAGTTGAACTATTCTTGCCTGAGAGTGCTCCAAATATTGAAGTACGTCTAAGAAATGGATTAAATCTCCCAAGTAATTTGCTTCCTACAATGGAATGATGCTCTAACTAAATTTCAGTAAAGTTTGTAAAGTTTCACTGTTTTTCTAAGCTTTATATACTTTTTCTTTGAAGCATAAACATAATACGTTCCCACACATAGTACTGAATTTTGATCGGCTAAAAATTTATGATAATTTACATTAAAGATCGCATTAAAAAAGATGGAACAGCTCTAACACTAGTAAAATTGAATTTCAAAAATATATTTTCAAGAACTGAAACAACAGTATTCTCGGCAACACAACACAATCTAGTTAAGTATCAATAGCTCCAACCTGATAAGAATATAAAAAGACAAATATGACAGAGACTGTAGAAATAAGAAATAAATAAAAAGTCTTATTGTTTACAATGTCTAGAATCAATTAATAACTCTAGTAGACTTTTATTTGTATTAGCACGCTAGATAATCGCAGTCGCATTATACTGATAGAGTCTCATTCATAATATTGAGATTAGCTGTATGAAAATCTTGCCAATAAGTCGAGATAAGCTGTTTTCGATTTTCTCCTTTACTGTAAAGCTAACTTAGCAAGTACACCACTCTTCGATTTCAACATATTAGACATAAGATCAGCTATCACATCAAAATCCTGCCGACTCGCATAACTCTGCCTATATAAACTCCCATCGACAATGGACCAGTGTACGTAACTCACTTGATAGTAACTAGCAAATACTCTATTAAGATACTCTGACGAACGCTACACTCATATATTACAGTATTGGAACAGATACTTTAATACTAAATTGAAACCAATGTAAAAAGGAATACGATCTCCATCGATGGCACCAGTACCTAAAAGAGAGCACTCACGTTATATATTAGATTAGACCCCTAACAATTTCAATTGAATCACAAATATTGTACTTGCAACTAATCACCATATGGTCACGAAATAAATAGAAGTGTTATATACTTCAAGGAAGGCGGCACTTACTATAAACAGGCGTTTGGCCTGGAATGCTTTTGACTGACAAAAATAAACGATTAATTTTTATGAGTATAAGCGAGTTAAAAAAATATTATAGGCACTATAGCTAAGTTAACACCAAGAAATATGAGGGGTAAATTTACACTTCATACACACCTACCATGGAAAGATGAATAAGAATCTGTGAATCATCCACACTCTTGAAGCTCTAACTTAGTATATTCTTATAAAAAATATGAAACACGCATGCTTTCTAGATATTTCTTCCTAGTAATTGATTTACAATATTTGCGAATCTTTTTCAAATTCGATAATAGCCCATCTATCAAACATCCTCGAACAGCATCTTCATGTTACCCCAAATATGGTTAAATTCAAAAGGGCATGCTTTTTTTGCCAAACTTTTGGAACTTATTGACTTTCACATGGATTTTACACATATACAAAATTTAGCTATTGTAAAAAGGCCATATATTTTCCCACATTACAAATATATTGATAATGTGGAGAAATGACAAGAGAAAATCTTTACACATCAAGCATTCACACACGATAGATTTACATCTTCAAAAGTCTACAAAATAGTGCATGTGACGCGTTGGATATAACGAGTTGTAGGTAAGTTGTTGTCATATTTGTATGAAACACCAAATAACTATAGTGTCAATACATTTATTTCTGTCATTTTTTTTTGAGTATCCTAATGCTGTACAAGTTAAGGGTCAATACGAACAAATAACGTCTTGTTCGGAGAAATTCATCTCTCTCAACCATTACTTGTGTAATTTTCCGAACAAGTCTTTTCTATCCTCCACGGCGATATAGTTCAGTTATAAAAGGAGTCATACCCCGCATTTTATTTTCCAACAATCACGTAATTTAGCTTGTCTAGATGGAGTTATAATCAACACTGAGCAAAAGTCAATTGAATAATTGCATTGGTATTATCAGACAAACGTTACAACGAAAGTCTTTAAATTGTAAAATACAAGTTCATCAGAGAATACATGTAGCAGTTCTTACACTAGAAAAATAGCACTATGACTTTATAGGATAGATATTGTAGTCTCACTGTCGTTTGATCTCTGAATGTTACCCCATATAGATAACAGGCTTAACTAAATGTGAAATCATGAGCATTTGTTTGCCAATTCATATCGGGCTAGCTGGAATTCCATTAACTATGGCTGCTTTTACGCGTTGACTAAAATGTCCAAAAAGTTCAGCTACTACAATCAAGAGAAAATATTATCTTTAAAGGTTGTTCCTTCAATGTTCATTGGCTTTCGCTAAATATGGCTACAGCAGTACCCATAGGGGGTGTGCAAATTTATTATGATGCCCATTAACTGTGCAACAAATTTTGATCGATACTTGCAATTAGGTACCATTCCTACTACAACAATATCTAGAATAAGTCCCAACACCATACTGGTTCTACAGATTTAAAAACAAGGGGTAAATAATTTCAGATTAATCAGAGAGAAAGACCCCACTGTGAAAATACTAAGAGAATATTATGAAGTTTTAATTGGATATACTACTTACTATAGTTGCGAACGCTCTAATTTTGGATATGCTAGGGTCTAGTTCTATTTAGACCAAACTATGTTTATTTCATGTACCTAATACCAACTACATAAGATAGCGAACACTAAGTATGAACTAACTTTGGCAATTACATGTTGTATACTTTTTGTTTTATTTAGTGTAGAACACAAGAGCTGTATTGCTAACTAGCAGAAAAGTGTATTCACAGAAAAACAATAATAAACAGCCTCCCTTGAAAAATAGACAATACATCCATCATTTCCCCACATTATTTTCATGATCATCCGCTTTGGATTAGGATTTCTTTCGTCATTTGGCTCATTTGCCTATAATTATTCCGAGAACTCGGAAAAACCTGGCAAAAGACTGCGATCCTCTGGGCACACATTTATCTCATTGATGATGTTGGGGGTATTGTAAAAGGCACAATTTTGTGAAAAAATGGTAGTGATCTCCTAGATTCTGATCTGGAATATCTTGACCCAACAGAATAGGCCCTACGGAATATTAAATCCATCGGAAAAAATATTACCCCTTTGTATCGCTATTTTCCCCAGTTAAAAATTATTCTTGAGTTTTTCCACATAAGTCAATATCTCTATTTCATGCGGCCCCACCTCGGTAGCTACACCAAATTGTGTCGCCGCTGTACAACATGAGTTTACATAATTGATATATCCATACCCCGCATTTATGGATTGAGTCAAACTTAAATATGTAGAAAGCCTGGTAGAATCGAAGTGACAACACTTAACATTGCATGTTATCAAAAGTACTACCCCCTATGTATGGCCAAGATGTTCAAATTTCTTTACTAGTTTAGTTGTACTGGAGATTAAACTTCTGCTATAATCACACCCAACAAAAAGGACCCTACAAAACAATTTTTATGTATTCATAAGACAGGATTGTTAATATTTACCAAAAGTCTATCTGAATCAGTAACCTTTACTGGGGCTCTCACATCTCATTCACTATCACTGCGAAGTGCTACTAAAAAGGACAAACCACACAAACGTAGAGGTTCAGTTCCCCACCAATTTAACATGTAATCGTGAGTCTGTATTGCCCCACCAGCAAACCCGAATTATCGACTTACTATCGATATTTTATTAGTTGTAGGATACCATCTATGTGCAACCATATCTACCCATGGTCACAGTGATGCATTGCTACAGCCCTTCCGGACAATAATGTATGTGATATCACACACACTATTGTTCATAATAGTCATTGAACGGCGACAGTCTCCATAAGTAAGATCGATTTTTCTTGGGACATCAGTGACCAGCGTTGGATAGGAGTTTTTCCGAGCATTTGTTTTAGAATTCTCACTGCTAAATGATTCGCGACTGCTTGAGCGCCAGTTGTTTGAGCGTATCTTGTCTGGTAGATTTGCTCAATCAACTTTCTAAAATAAGTACACCTTGACTTCACGTTGACTCCAACAGGGGAAACTATGATCGGTACTATAGATTCACAAGAAAATACCAGGGTGTTTTCAATAACAAAATATCCATCAAGATTCTTTCGTAGTTCTTCTTTAACTTTAGCTTTGGAGAGTGTGGAAGTCAGGACTGAAGTAATGTGAAGACTGTCTAAATCTCATATCTTCTTTCACAATTACCGTTCATTTTCTAGAATTATGCAACGTATTGGTAATACTATTTCTCGAAACAGGACAGAAATCTAATAATGTCCAACAATTTATTAAAAAATAATGTGGGGTAGCATATCTAATTTTTTCAAAGCTAGCGGAAATAACAGCCTATGACCCTCGAGATTATAGTGTTTGCATCTTTGGCAGAGTAAAATTTAGTTGGGGGTGGGGTCTATAGTGCTAATCTAAACCCAGCCAATACTCTCTTTTCTAGGCTGAACATACATTTTCTTGCTAGATTGATTCTGATTATGAAAAACATATAAAAGCGTCACATTTTTTTCATGGATAAGTTTGATCTCCAGACCTTCAGTTTACTGTTAAGTAGAAAAAATAATCAATAAATAATTGAGCGTCAATTTCTTTCACACATTTGGGTAACAATTCTATTTAAACTCGAATAATCTCAGCGACATCAATTCCATTTAGCTTTTAATAAATTAAAGAAATCCATTTAAGATAATAACAATGATCGAATCATTTGATGATGATGATTCTAAAAAGAGAAATGAAATCAGTCACGTCGAGGACTCTTCAAAGTATGATTTAACTGTTCATTTGTCCTCTAAGGATGAAGATTCATCCCTACAAAATGTGGATGATATTAAAGGAGATTTTGAAGAAGAAGCAATCCCACTATTTGTTTCAAAGGATGAAATCCCAGAATCTTTAAAAGATTACACCACTGAAGAATTAGAAATCCTTGACAAAAAAACTAGAAGAAAAATGGATCTAAGAATCCTTATTATGTTATGTTGGATTTATATTTGTAACTACTTGGATAGATCCAACATTGCTTCCGCAAGATTGGGTGGTTTAGAAGAAGACCTGCACTTATCTTCACAACAATATCAAACTGCTATTTCTATTTTGTTTGTTGGTTACATTACGATGCAAATACCTTGTAACATTATCTTAAACAGATTAGGCAGACCTTCTGTGTTCTTATCCGTCATTATGACTGCGTGGGGTATAGTTTCTACTTGTACTGGTGCAGTCCAATCTTATGGTGGTCTCTTAGCTATAAGAGTTATTTTAGGTTTTGTTGAATCAGGTTTCTTTGGATGCAGTTTGTATTATTTATCTTGTTGGTACACCAAAAAGGAGCTTGGTCTTAGAAACTCCATCCTATACTCAGGCTCGCTAATCTCTGGTGCTTTCTCAGGGTTGATATCTGCTGGTATCATTGAACATATGGACGGTACTCGTGGCTTAAGAGCTTGGAGATGGTGCTTTATTATTGAGGGTGCTATCACAGTTGGAACAGTCCCATTAGCATATTTCATTTTACCAGACAACCCGGACAACTCCAAGTTCTTGACTGAAACCGAGCGTGATCTTGTTATGTGGAAGTTGAGAATGGAAGTTGGTGATTCAGACTCGGATAAGGAAATGCTGGGTGAATCCGGACACAATTCTTTCTGGTATGCGTTGAAGTTAGCTTTGACAGACACGAAGGTTTGGCTATTAACTGGCTGTTTGACATTCTTGGTTGCTGCAGCTGGTGTTACCAATTTCTTCCCTTCTGTTGTGAAGACTTTGAACTACGGCAGAATCAAAACTTTGTGTTTGACTGCACCACCTTATCTAATCGCTATTATCACCACATTTGGATGGTCATGGCACTCGGACAGGACTGGTGAAAGATTTTGGCACATTGTTTGCCCACTTTTTATTGCTCTGGCCGCATTTATTATTGCTGTATCAACACTAAATACTGGAGCCAGATATTTTGCTATGTGTTTGATGCCAACCGGTCTTTACTGTTCCTATACAATTATTATTTCATGGATGTCGTCGTCGGTCCCAAGACCCCCATTGAAGAGAGCTATCGCTTTGTCCGTCATGAACTGTGTATGTAACTCAACATCAATTTGGAATGCATACCTGTACCCACTATCTAATGCCCCAAGGTATGTTATTGCGTTCTCCAGTAACTGTGGATTTATCGCTGCCTCAATTTGTTGTGCTGTTCTTATGAGGTTATACTTATTGCACTTAAATAGAAAGATCAAAAACGGCACCATGGACTGGTTCAAGGAGTTCGGTAATGATGGCTCAAAGGTCAAAAATTTCCAATATCCTGTTTAATTTGAAGACAGATCACAACCTGTGGTTTTTAATTGTTATCTCATAGTGTTGACCGCTGTGATACTCTTTAACGTTTGAAATCTCAATTATTCAGTTGTCAAACTTTTGTTAATCTCGGTATCATCAATATTCCATTTCTGCTTTCTGACCTATCACCCGTTCATTGCTAGTCAGTGTATCTTAATCCAGAGCACTTATATTTGAAAACTGATACCATGGATACTCATTAATATTATGTAATCAAAAAGGAAAATAAGTGCACCATTGACTTTTCCTTTCCATTGCATTATTCCCCTATCAGCTTTCTTTAGCCTCACGGAGTTTTGGAACTCTTAGGAGTCAATAAACTTTCGTATCAAGTATTGACATCATAAATGACGCTATCGCTATTAACCTGTTATAATGAGTTTATTTCTAAATATCTACTATTTTATGTTTTGATGTATTTCCTTGTTTCTTATGAAAAGCTACATTTCAATTTTAAAGTTATTAATTTGTTGTCTATATGTGTGTCTGCCTCTATTGAGCTTATCGTATATAGCAATTCGTCTTTGTGAGAAGCTTAATAAGCAGCCTCTTTTACTGGATTTCCTTTCTGAATTTCCATTGTAATTACAAACATCTACCTGTTAGACTGAGCGATAAGTGAATTAACAATGAAGTAATTAAAGAATTGAACAGACTGTATTATTTCCTGTGTTTCTTTTATTAAAACTGTCCTTTAACTCTATAAACTATTAATAACGGAATATATATAACATAAAAGAAGAACTCATTCTGTGCCAGCATCAGTACACTTGTAAGCTACCAACGATTATGGCAGATTAGTGGGAAATACCTAACTCTTTTTTAACATAGTTTAGTAGTAACTTTCTTCGCATATATAAAGCTGTAACCTCCTTTCTTCTTTCAAGATCAGCTTCGTTGTGTGCCTGGATCAACACAATCAAAAAGAACTCCTCTATAATCATGGTGGGTGTATTAGCTATCAGTTGACCTGTGGTGCTCCATTTTAAGCCTGATGCTGCTCCAATCAAACCCAAAATAATTAGCACCGAACAAACTACACTCCATTGACTTGCGCAAAGATAATTTATATACGTAGAAATTTTCAAATTCCAATTCATTTTCACTGGGCCCTTGATTCCAAAGTATTCATCCTCACATGGTATGTTATACCTTTGGAATAAAGCCATATCTTCGTCAGCAAGCATTTGAAAGTTGTTTTCTTCATGCTGAATGATTTTGAAATAAACTTGTCTAATGATATAGCCATCTAAAAATCCCACTAAACCGGTGTAAGTACCAATGATTAACCACCAGTTATCATTCCAATGCAAAGGCTGACCAATTCCAATCCATACACCAAATACGATAATAGCTACCACAACACCGATACCAGTACCAATAACGTCAGCATACCAGTCGATAATAACCTCCAGTTTAGAGCGCTTAACTGGAGCAACCTCAATAATTGGATGTAACGTGTCATAGTCATTCAACGCTGTTCTCAGTTTTGTATCAATTTCATGCTCTAGGTCATATATTTGTAATAAAAATTTAGCAATGAATTTATCGTGACGAGCTCTAATGTTTTGGAGAAATGTCGAACAGATAAGAAGAGATACTGCAACTGCGGTGTTAATATACATCTGCCATGTATCACTAAACTTTTTCAATTTTGGATTACTACCAGTTGTTTCACCAGTGAATGGTGGAGAATTACCAGCATCCTTGGGAATAATACCACAAACTATCCAAACCATGACACCCAACCAAAATGCTATCATCATGGGTATACTTCCAATAATATATGAAGCTTTTGTACACAGATTATCATACCAATTCTCCACTGGTAATTCACCAGTTTTGATAAACTCTGTGGTCTCATTTTTATCTTCGCAGTCACAATTAATGTCGCTTTTGTTGGAGCTTTCGTCAACACCTTGAGCGGTCGTATCAACATCTGATTCTTTCGAGCCTTTTATACAAGCAAAACTCAACCTTTCAAAAAAACCAGAAAATGAAGCTAAACGGGATCTAATATCACTTATTATTAGGATTTGTTCATGTGTACTATTTAGTTGTTGTCTCATTAATAAAGTATCCCATACGTAACATTGAATGGATTGACCATCTTGCATTACAACTTGCCAATTGAAGGGACCATTATATATAATACCAGTGACGATCCAGATAATAAGAATAATCCAAATTAAAAAAAACATAAACTGTGACCCAGCAACCATTACCATCCAATCCAAAACTTTATCTGTACGACTTGTTGACAAACCAGTAAAATTATGTGTAGTTAAAATGTTACCATCATCTTGCAAGTGGACATCATTTAATGAGGAGTCAGAGCTAGAATTATTAAAGGAATCAACTCTGCAGATGGTCTCATCATTTTTTGGGTCATTCTTTTCATTGCATGACTCTTCGTACTCACAATCGCTCTTAATAACTGGGATATTTGCTCTATGACGAAACATAGGTCGTCTACCAGGGTGTCCAAAAAACTCACCAACCTTACCCATCCTAGTTTAATTCTAACGATGTGAAATAATACTCAATTCCAAACAATAAGTAATAGAGCAATATGTCAAGTGCTAGCTCAAAAGGTAGAAATCAAAATCGATACTCTTTTGTGATTCTCTCGACTAATATGTGTGTAAAGGTATTTGATATATTACCTGGACAGTATTTATAGATAGAGGATGAGTATCTATTAATTCAAAGTGGCTGTCTAAACTTGAATTTCGAACAGTTTATATAGTATTTTCGATTATTGAGTGCCACTAACTTCCTTCATAAAATATAATACTCAAAAGTAGATGAATTAGAATTGCGCTCTCTAAATTGTATTGCACCCTATAATTATTTATTGCTCAAACTTATAGCTACTCTCACCATATAGTAAAGCATTATTGCTCATTAGACTATTGATTCTCTTTTCTATAAGAAAAAAAGAAAATACTTCATCTGGTGAAAATCTGTTATGCGTATATCTGTTAATTGCTGCAGGAGTGCCAAAATTATTTCATGTGTAATTTTCATCCAGTTTTGAAGGAAAAGACTTCATTGCCGTTGTCGTTCAATCGTCGGCCAAATAATTTGGGCAGGCAGTGACTGCAGACAAATGAATAATCAACAGAATCATGAGAACAATGGGATGAGACAACATCAATATGCCCTTGAGGGGTAAGAAGTGGATAGTAATTTTGTTCCTGCCTTAAATCGGTACGCCCATTATTCACACTGCATTCTAAACTAATTCGGAATTCCATATTATTTGTTGCGGGCATTCAGTTGACCAAAATTTTTTCCAAAAGAACCTAAGGAGAAGTTATTGCTGATGCGAACACTAGTAATTACATCCCACATAATAGACATAGCAGATTTTTCTGTTAGCATTCCTTATCATTGGATTTTCTCGGAAGTTTCCCTACGGAGATTGAGTGCCGAGGCAATAAAAATTCAAGCAAAGTGATATTTCTCTAAGAAAAATAGAATAAAAAAAGAAAAAAAGGCAAAGAACACGGTAACAAGTGTTTTAATCGTGTGCCCTCTGTCCAACACTTCAACCTAGTTATTGGACTTCATTATGTCGTTGAATGAACAACGAACACACGGTATTTTGCTATTCCATCCTAATGTCATATTACTGCATATTTTGCTTGACCTTGAATGCAGCACTGGCGCATTTGTTTAGTAACGTATAAGTTATTGCACTACAAGGTAACATACACAGATCGCGATATCCGTAGTAGGAGTACGTATTAATTTCAAAAGCTACACTTGCCTGACTGATTGCTAAGTCGAAAGTCTGTAGGCTCTTGTCGATCCGTATCTAAAACACTATTTCGCTATGTCCAAAAGCCAAAACTTAGGCGCTTACATACCGGATATGTTGTAATCAGGCATTATGGATGACAAGTTTTCTAGTTTTCTCCCGAATAAAATTTGGAAAGCGAAGTAATGCCATCGCTGATACAAATTAGAACAGGGATGTTGTAATTATCTGTTCTTGTTCATCTCGAATGTCAAATTAATTACATGAGATATTTTCAAGAGTTCATCTATTACTAAACTTGAAACACAAAGAATAATAGTGATAAGTCCAGCACTACTTCTATAACGACTCAAATTGCAATTTGAGTCGTTATGTAACCGATTCTGAATGATCTTTGTAAAAAAACAACCACCATCGATATCGTAGTTGTTCATCAATTATAGTCTACCTCGGCAGTTAAAAACGAATGAGGAGTTATCATTCACCGGGAACGACATACCAATTAATCCATTTCTCAGATCTTTGCAGGCTATATTTAGAAGATAAGAGCAAGCCAACAACGAATATAGACAACAACCACCGGTCGCTTCTCACTTTACTTCTAGATATGACACAACAATATTAGTAGTAAGTTCGCCTACGGTATTGTTAGACCGTCATGGAAGAAAACCGTGTTCAAACTACAAGTACAACTAACAAACAAAAATTGAGCTGTTTGTAGAATGTCAAACAAAGAAAGCAGCAAAGTTCTAAGTATCTATTAGAATCCAATACCTTTTGTTAACTGCAATAGTATTCTCTAAAACTCACCCTCACACAATGGAATATCGAAGTTCATATATTATCTATCGAATATCCAGCATTTAGTTACAGTTTTTCTGTGATAAAGTCAGAATTGCAAATTTCTTCTTCTGCAAAATGCGCTGTTCTTCTGTGTCCACCTTTCTCGGTTCGTTTCATCTCAACGAACAAGTGGGAGTTGGTGACAGAGAAATGAATAGAAAGGCTTGCCAGTGCTAATGGAAACCAATTTTCCCGGCGGTACCTCTGCGGCCAGTGACTCAGGCCAATGTAGAAACAGAAATTTAGAACAAAACAAAAATACGAACAAGCAGAGGAAGGTCAGGCCTGATCACAAACATTGATTTTCATTGGGCGATGTCAGAGTTTCACCACTCGCAACGACATCATTATTGTTCAATGGAACCGAAGTTAGAAGACTGGCAGGAGAGAATATATCATTCAGGAGAACAGAACAAGATATGCTGTAGAATAGAACGTTCTCCTTCCGGCCCCACTGCTACCCTTCCCCCACTTTCCTTCTCTCTACTATTCCTGGGTCCCACTGTGCTTTAACACACAATGGATCAAAATGCCCCATCTCTGCGAGCAAAACCACTGAAAGAATGATAGACAAAGGCACGGTATTTCACGTAACACACAGAAATACAACTACAATTACAACAAAGCAAAAGTTCACTAAAAGCGCTGTAGAAGGCAGAAATAGCCACCTGCCACCCCCCCACTTGATCTAGGTAACACTGCAGTTCATATGAAAAAAGGGTGCAATTCAGAAAGAGCTGTACGAACGAGAAAAGAAAACCGGGTGCAATTTTTGAAATACGGGATCTACTGTTTTATTGGCTGCACACCACTCAAATTGCACCCCCGTTCTCATCTCAAAGCCATAGTCTTCATGATCTGATTGGATAGAAGGATATTCAATTTCTTTGAAGAGCAAATGTGCTGAAAAGGCAAAGCCAAGTCTTATCCATTTTGCAGTCCCATACAACAGTTACACGTTTTATAGCAGTTTTAACGAGTGTTACTTCTGTAGTCTTCTTCTGGAGAACTTCAACAAAGCTGTTTTCTTTTGGTTATGTTTGGGGGCCATGGGAGTTGTTTCATCTCAACTCATTCATTCACTCCAGTAAGTCAGCAAGAACAAAACGTTACTGTGGGCTCTCTTGATTTCTGTTGTACTTGGAAGAGGTTCAGAAGACCAAAGTTTGAAAATAGTAGCTCTCTCAAAGGCACTTTATTCTTTTGATTTTGAAGTATCCTGAGTACGAGGGACTAAGTTTTTGGACATCGAACCATAAGTGTCTCACTGCTATCTATAACGCTGATATCATATCCTCCTAATTACCACTGTTGTATGTAAATGTATTTCATTAACCTGCATTTGACATTGTTAGACTGTTCTTGAGGGTAAAACTAATAAACTTCCTTTCGACAAGGAAAGATAACTCTTTGTTAGTGTTTCGCATTAACTGCCTTTTCTTATAGTGTTCTTCTATCTGTATCATTGAACAACATAATTGAATTATGTGTCTCATTGCCGGCTCATAGCAATTGCCATTATAAATGGCCGAAACTTCCATATACATAACATGCTATATTTATATATGGTACCTTTCAGAAAGGACTATCGCCTTGACAATATATACAACTCTTGTGATTGAAATTACATACTCAATTTGCGGATTGAGATACCTCTTACTTTCCAATAGTTTTAGACCAAGGAAATAAAAGATAGCAGAACAAGATATTCAAAAGTATTCAAAAGTGTTCAATAGGAGAACTAGCGTACTGCCTTAGGTAAGGATGTGCATAAAGAGATAGGTTTATTCGTGTAAACTACATGGACCTTCTGTTCATCCGTTCCGATTCACACACCTCAATTTTTTGTTCTTGGGTTTTTTTTTGAAAGTTCTACTATTGTGTTGTATAGTTATAGGCAGTTAGATCTGCTTAAGAAGGACTTGTCGGGTTATAATTATTTATCGGCTCACCTATTGCTTGTTTAGACTACCCACTAAAATAACGGTAGGAGCTCCTACCAATTTCTCACACCAAGGTGAATTTTGCAGTAGATTCTATTTTTGTAATGTACCATTGCACCTCAAAATAGTATACAGAAGAGAACACATACAAACAGATAAGTATCGGACATATATTTCAAGTTGGTGGTTGAATATAGATGTTTCTTGAAGGTACAACATAGATATGGAAATTGGATTGATATTAGCAATTGCCTAGCAAATGTCTCAATAATTAATTTTGCTTTATGGTTATTGGCCGTACCATTACAACTATACTAAAAATGATGCCATATTTAATAAAAACAAATAGGAATATTTTAATTTTAATCTGTACTACTCTCACATCAATAACATGTACTCAAGAACACATTCCTACATTATGACAACAGTCATCTATATCATTTACAATCATTGCAACCTATTTTGGCATAGCGAATAGTATCGCTACTAGTCACTTTTTATTTTTGCTCCTGCAGCTATTTCTAATTTTTGTTCTTTCAATGCAATAAGTATAAATGATCATGTAGAGGTAAAAAATATTCTGTCTTAAACAACATGAAATTGTGTTTAGTGTCAAATGCACATGCCGCCAATTTGCGCCTATTACTCAACGTAATTTCAGATACTACTGAATTATTTGAGGCTGAATCTTTGTTTACAAATTTTTCTCAAACTTTCCTGTAAGTACACACTTGAATATTTCACTATGTATTCAGGAATAGCACAAAATTTGGCAAAAACTTCAAAGACAATAATTTTGTGGTAGTAAATACTGTACCGCTGTTATCTTTTTACTGTATCGTTACAAAGTCCCAAGAAGAATAGGTATATCTCAAATTTCCACAAATAAACGCTTATTAGAAACTTGAAAGCATTTCAAGAGATCTTGCTATCTTAATACTAAAGTATGTAATAAGTT